GTTCCCGTGTTGAGATCTTCCCGTTGACGACGAGCCAGTGAGCTATGGGACGGAACTGCCTATAGTATTGTAGGAGTTCCGTCTCGGTTGAAATATCATTGTCGACATTACTGATCACTATTCGCTCTAAATCGCGTATAGTGTAGCGTTGGCCCTTTGCAGCACCCGAATACTGTGCTAAGATACTGGTCTTGAAAACGTCGAAGTCTTTGCTCTCGTAGCCTGTCAGTGTCACCCAGAATCGTTTTGTTGGAATGTCGACGTATCGCACGATAGTTTTGCACTTCTCTGCGGGAGTAAGTGCACAAGCATCCGCTAAGTCCTCGAAGAGCTCGAAGAACTCCAACAATTCTGACGTTTCACCATTGAATGAGGGGGCTTTGCTAGAATTGGCCCCTGGCATGGCATTAATGCCTTTGGACGGGTTAGACATTCTTGATAGTACCGAGGTAGCGGGAAAACGATGCGCAAAAGGGTGCGATAAGGTGGGAGGTGCTGCGGAGATGGTGATGTGTGATGGTTGCGATGGTACGAGTGCAGCAGGGGCTATGACCTGGGTGATAGGAAGGGTAATGGTGCTAGGAACGGGATGTGCAAAGGGATTCGGTAAGGCGGGAGGTGCTGCGGTAGGGACTGTGTTTTGGACGCTAGGGAGCGTGGTGGTTTTGGCGATGGGAGTGTTTGGCGGAGGTACTGGAGCGCGAAGGAAGTCAGGTCTGGGAATAGGAGGGAGGGATTTCGCTGGGGGTGCGCCTTCGTTCGGGGAAGGGGCAGTGGGCGTTTCTGCTTCGAATACGGCTGGTCTTAAGGTGAAAGTCGGCTGAGGGATGGCGGGGAATGGGGAATTTGTTTGGAGGAGTCGTCCCACAGTATCGTCGTCCGATAGTGAAGATTCAGTTGGTCCTTCCGAAGTATCTGCGTTTGTATGAACGGATCTGTGGCGAACTGGGGTCTGGGGAAGGGTGAGAATCGTCGGTTGTGCTAAGGATGGGGCGGAAGGAGAGTCAATGGTGTTTGCGCGGGATCTGTTCTTCTTGGGAGCCAGCGCAGTTGGCTGCTTCTCGAGGCGAATTTGCGCGTTAGGGTGATAATAGTTTGAAATAATTATGATAAGCGTGGTCCAGAGACCGGGTATGGGACGAGTCAGACTAGAAGATCAGTGAAGATCAGCGAATCCGACTCGAAGTGCGAAGGGGTGTTAAGACAATTCCCCTCGCGGTGGGCTCCAATGTGTAGTGCTGCTATTGAGTTCGATAAGGGAATGGCGTAACTCAAAGCGATAGGATTGTTCTTAGGATCGGACGCGAGCTTGTAGCGGGGAAATCAACCAACGTTCAAAACGAGTCTACAAGGCCGTATTTTATCTATGAAAAGGTAAGGGTCTTGGTTATTACGAAAGGGAGAGTTTGATGAGACGGAGAGTGGTGGCGTTGAGCCTGACAGGGTAGGAGTAACGGAAATGAGTTAAAGTATGTTAGTTTTTGAATGAAGGTAGTAATAGGGAGCTCGCCGTGCACAGGAATGACGAGAGCTGTTAGGTTTTTGACTGCTTTTTGGGACGAAAGGAGTGAAACTAAAAGAATGACGAGAGAGAGTTAGGTGATGAGTCCAGGGTATAGTATGAATGAGGGTGAAGGACCGAGCTGGTCGTTGAGAATAACGAGAAGATGAGGGTAAGGAAAGAGAATGTGTCCGCGTGACTCGGACGCGAAGCGTGATGCTTCTTCGCATCAGTGAGTCACGCGGATGTCGAGACGTAAGTCCTTGAATCTTATTATGAAGCCTTAGTCGGGGTGTAGAGGATATGGAATCCTTACACTGTCTGTTAAGACAGCATCTTTTCCACAAGATGGTAAACTCCGTAAGAGTAACTAGAAATGAAGTTGGAAAGTTGTAAAAAAATTTCTATGTTTTTCTGATGTTTTTGTCATATTTATTCATTTTCAAAGTCCGAAATCAGGGTCAATTTGTTTCACCAGTTTTTCTTCTGGGTCCTGGGTCAATTTGTCATCGGTTTTCTTCCGGTCCTTAGGTTCAATTTCTTTCCTCGTAGTTTTATTCTACTTTAAGATCAATTTAATCACTAGTTTTCTTCTAGGTCAGATAGGCACTTCCTGTCATTGGGCGCCTGAGGTCAATTTGTCCCACAGTTTTATTCTGTTGTCCTTTCCCGTTTTGTTGTCTGGATATGTCTAATCTAGGGCTCAGAGGTGTATCTTTCAATGCATGTCCTTTGACTTCGCTCAGGGATCTTTTCTTGACTTCTACTGGTCAGACATTACTGTTTTTCATCGGTTTTCTTCTCCGGTTTTCATCGCTTTGGCATTACAACACCATCCTTGGAGAGGGTGAAACCTAGTTTGACTTTAGTTTGTTTGTTCATCAGTTGTCTCTGGTTCACGGTTTATAGTTCATTCTCTACTGCATGTCATGCTAGACTTTGATAACCCAGGTCCTATACTGGGGTCGATTTTCGTAACTCAGATCGTAGACTGAGGTTCTTATGTAATCCTACATTTTTGTTGACCCAGGTCGCTTCTGGAGTTCTAATGTTGTCTACATTTTGTTAACCTGGGCCGCTACTGGGGTTCTAATGTTGTCTATGTTTTGTTAACCTGGGCTGCTACCAGGGTTCTTATGTCTGGTCGAAGTAGAGTGACTAATGTAGGGGGGTGTCAACTGCTACTTTTCATAATCATGGGAGGCATCATTGCCAATTCCCAAAGTGGGGCTACCACATCGTGTTCAGGTTTTCATCATCTAGGACCCTGGTCCTCATCAAGGTCAAGCGGCTAATGTAAAGCGCCAGCTATTTTCCTATCCATGTTTCATCATTCATATAACCTCCCTTCTAGGCCATTCCAATACCTCCATTCTAGGGATGAGGTTCGGCTGCACTAGTCGGTTGGTTGTAATTGTAGTTGGAGATGAAGATATGCGCACTTTGCATTAGGGAATCTGATTCGCATTATCTTATTGTTACGACTTGGATGGTATCTGTTGGCGACGCTCAAACAGAGCGTGTGTCGTCAACGGTCGAGGACGTCCTTGGGCTAGCCCAAGGTTAGGGGTCTTACTTGGCGAGGCTTCGGCAAGTAAGATTTGACGCCTATGTCCGAATCGGGTAGCTTACGTCAGGCGGGTGCTAGACGATGAGCTGTATCAGCCAAGGCTTACGACACCCGAAGGTTAATCGTAAGATCGTCGTTAATTTAGAAGGACGGAAGTCCGACTAGTTAACAGGGGCTTTGCTCGTCGACGAAGTCGATGAGTAAAGGTCGAGACTATAGGCTTATCCGCGAAGAGCAGATAAGAAGATAGAATATAGACTGCTGGCTAGGCAGAAGGGATCACTCTGGTGAGAGTAGGAGGTCAAGAACCAAGTAGATTCAAGTTAAGGAATATGTTACATGGTAGCGAGTTTATATAGAGGATAGGAAGTGTATTAGTGGATGATAACTTGTACTGCCAAGAGAAGTAAACGGTAAAGGGTATGACCATAAAAGGAAGGCACATTCGAGGTGAGACACGGGTGAGTCCTGAACATGCGGATAAGAAAGTGAGTCAAAGATCAGAATAAGAAGTGAAACGCGCAGGGGCATGATTGTACAGCTGCGGAGCTAAGTATAAGTCACATGTGCGACTGCGCACCGAGTCAGAGATCAAGAAAGGAAAAAAGGGCAAAGGGTATGCATCGTGCATCATATCATAGGTTACTGTCCGGACGGTAAGGGTAATGGGACTGTCCACAGGATCAGTCAGGTGGTGGAATGGAGCATGGGTATGCTTTGTCAGCGAAAGGATCCGGCCAGATGTACTGGCTCTGCTGAAGCGATAGGTAGAGGGCGAAAGGGAATGTGAGGATGACAAGGATAACAAGGGTGAGGTCGGGGTAAGGGTATGATGCGAGGGCTGATACGAGGAGGATGAGGAGAAAAATGGTAGGGGCCCAAGCGTCTAGATGTTCTTGTAACACTTATCTTATCATGAAATCTGGGAGGGTCCCTGACATAGTCAGATCTACCTCTTCTCCACATGGCTGATCCTTCCTAGGGGTCCCCAACATAAGTCGGATCTACCTCTTCCTAGGGATCCTTAACTATCATAGTTCTATCTAAAGAAGTCTAAAGTAGTGTATCGTAGAGCTCAGCAGGCAGGGTCTTGGGCCAGCACTGAGGTTGTGGGTTGAACACCAAATGTGTCTGCCCTCCATAGACTGGTAGCCGCAAGTGCAGGGGTCTAGGACTACTAACTATAAATTCTACTATGTCGTACGGGATGGGTTCGTCATTTGTTCAAGGCGGTTTTGTCTGCCTGTCGGTGGCCAAAGCCGGGACCGGTCAATGATGACCGTAGGTTTCTTAAGGCACCCCAGGCCTATTGAGAAGTCATTTGTCAATGGGTTTTGTCCCAAGTCATTCATTGTCGTGTATCAAGATGGCCCTGGCCATATAGTCTTGTGCGCCCCCAGGGTGGCCAATCCCGACCCCAGGGGACACATGGAATTCATGTTCGTCCACTCCTCAGTAAACTAGTCTAGAGAGACATCCAAGCGAGGTATTAACTTGACCTTTTGTTACGATCCAACCCAATACACAAGGTACTAGATTGCTAAACACTAACCAGATAACTTGTAAGGTCAAGTTAGAGAATACATGATGTATCTACAGGTCTTATATACGAGTATTGAAGCGGAGCTACAATGTAAATGTCCAATAGGAATAATCATAGAGAAGTCGTACAATGGAAGGTCGTGGAATGTGATGGAATGTTCTGTGATACATGAAGATGTGAAAGGTGCATATGTGAAAGGTGAAGGTATGAAGGGTGAAAGGTGTCAGTGTGAAAGGTGACACTGTGACAAAGTGAAGTGGAGGGTAGGGAACCATAACACGATCCTTAATTTGGGCCGTCACATCGAAGGTGTCCATTATACTACATCCTATGAATGCCGCTATTGCTGCAAGCGGTGGTCAAGGTCCAATTCTTTGGAACAGCATCAGGACAAATGTGAACCGCTCCTTGAGAGCAAGGCCCACACTAAGAAGGGTCGTCACAAGTTCAGTCTCCAAGACCCGAAAAAGTTGGTCTATGGGTATATTGTTCCTGCCCGTGATGTGGCATAGTCATAGTCCAGAAATATGACTGTAAGTCCCCCTTGGCCTGTATTTGTCGCTACGGCTAATGCTTATTTCTTGTTGCCATGTTCTAGTATTTCAGTTCTTCACAAACTTTGTCTCACTTTACAACTACAACACTTGTTTCATTCACTCACATATATATTTGGCCAATATCATCGACATTCCTTTTGCATCGAATAGTTCCTCTTTCACTGTGTTTTCCTCCCCTCGTTATGGCTTGGCGCATGTTTTATATATTTTATCAGATCACCCTTATTGCACGCTAGACATACTTATCATGTGGCTTGGTGTATGTTCTTAGATACGGTCGTTGTATTTTATTGGATGGACATTGGATGATGGAGCCTGGAGCTTTGCATATGCGTACTTGTTATATATTATGGATCACGATCAGGAATGAATATTGCATACTACGGGAATAAACACCTGTCATAGTATTTTCCAACTCCTTCATTCTGTTGCATGCACTGTGACACTCTAATTAATCTGAGTATGATCATCCGACACCATTCATCATAATTGATGACTCCAGTCTGTTCTGTTCTGTACTACCTGACATCTCTCATTGTCCTTTAATTGAAAGATATTTTGCATGCAATTTTTTTATTTTCATTTATGTCCTTGGCAGAGTATTGCACACGATTAAGAAGGCTGGAACAATCGCTAGGCGCTCCTCGCACTTCCGTTATCAATGAGAAGCCACATCCAAGGCTGGGACACACATCTTGCTGGTGTGCTTATTTTACCTGGCCATCTGCCTCATCGCTGTATTGTAAATTTGGACCATGGTATATATGCTCCAGTATTATTCAAAATGTCCATAATCCGTGTAATAGTAATATAGACGACGGACAATTTCGATCCCTGTACTAAAATGTCCAGGAACCCCTAACGTTATACATTCAGACATCCGAATCCATCACATATCACGTGACGTTCCCACGGCCCATCTCCGGCCTCAAATAACATACTCTTCGGAGATGACCGAATTCAGTACAAGAATGATTGGCTACAAAAATAGGTTTACAACCGTACCATCATGGTGTCTGTAGATTTCGCTGAACGGCCGGTCAAGAAGCTCGTGCTATTCGATGTCGATGGGACGTTATCGCCCGCACGTCAGGTAATCTAGCTTCCCGACGACTAGCACGCTTGATGTCGAGATCTCCCGACAGAGGACATCTCCAGAAATAATTCAGCTCTTGCGCGACCTCAGAAAGCAGGTCGCTATAGGCTTTGTTGGCGGGTCTGATCTTGTCAAGATATCTGAACAGCTTAGTATTGGCGATATCAATAGTACGAACGTCGTCCTCGTTGGCCGTAAGATACTCATACGCATTCGCAGTTCTGGATGAGTTCGACTTTGGCTTCGCTGAAAATGGCCTTACCGCGTATCGACTCGGAAAACAGCTGGAGTCGCAGTCTTTCATCAAAACGGTAGGCGAAAAGGACTATCAGGAGCTGGTGAACTTCATATTGCATTACATCGCTGACGTGAATATCCCAATCAAACGGTAAATCTCTGTTATCCTTGAGGTCGATCAACCGATTCACTTGCAAATTGCAGTGGGACGTTCGTCGAGTTTCGCAATGGCATGATTAACGTTAGCCCTATCGGCCGAAACGCAAGGTGGGTTTACTTGAATGCCCCCGGACTTGCGTTTACATCCCTTGGCTCCACAGCGTCCAGGAACGTCATGATTTCGAGGCTTACGACAAGGTAGTATCGTTCATCATATTACTCACCGATCAACTGATTTTCGGCAGGTACACCATGTTAGGGCAGACTTTGTGAAAATCCTCCAGGAGAAATTCAATCGACTGAATCTAACGTTCTCTATCGGTGGCCAGATATCATTTGATGTCTTTCCGCACGGATGGGACAAGACTTACTGCCTTAGACATGTCGAGAAAGACAACTTCGAAGAAATCCACTTTTTCGGGGACAAGACGAGCAAGGTAAGAGTCGAGCTTCATATTAGGTGAATTTTCGTTTTATTGACAATTTTTGCAAAGGGTGGTAATGATTACGAGATCTTCAGCGATCCCCGCACTGTCGGGCACACTGTCAAGAGTCCTGCGGATACGATGAGAATCTGCAAAGAGCTCTTCTTGTCATAAAGTGCTCAATTTAAGTTCGAAAGTAACATGAAGTTGTACATTTCCCTGATGGGCCATGTTATGGATTGGGTCTTCTGAGAGTTAGCTTATAGAAACATGAACATGCCACGAACTTCCCTCCTGCAACGCTTGTCAATTGCTCAAACCGTGTTTTGCTCCGGCTTCTCTCTGGCAATGTAGGCTCGACAGATTTCTTTATTTTTTTCACATAGCCTTACAGTATGGACATGTACTTTAGTTCGGTCGCAACACCGGGCTACTATCATGTGACGAATTGCGTACATAAGCGAACAAATACGACCATACGCGTTCCTATGCAAAACGCGTCTCGTCCATTAGTACTTAGTCAGACCATCTTCCATCTATTTACCGTTTGTGGCACGCCGTTGTCTGTACTGTTCGTCTCATCTACTGAGACACGACGATGGTTGGCCCGACAAATTCTAGATGGCAAAATCAGCTAATGGCGCGCACGCGGAAGGATCAGAGCGCGTCACAGACGTCCTTACTCAGATATATGTTTAACAGCACCAAGCCGGATGTAAGCTCCGAACCTGCCGCGAAAAGGCGCAAACTCGGCCCGACAAACTCCTAGAAAATGCAAGATTCGTTCTTTCCAGACGTATTAGAACAACTGAGTCAGGACAGAGCACATGACGGTGTCGGTATGTAGTGTGGATAATTCTTCAGAACTTTGATTGTTGATAGTTTGAACAGCTGCTGAGGTCTGAGGTTCTTTGGGGTGACCGAGGTACCTTCTTTGTACTTGCGCTTTCACACTCTCAAATTACCTTGCAGGATGGACATAGCGTACTCGTATATGTCACTGGTTTTTTCCCTTACTTCTATGTCGCCGTCCCTCGCGGCTTTGATGAGTCAGATATTGACGCATTTGCAGACCAGTTAAACGTATGCATCATGGATACGTACAAGGTATATCATGGCTGAACTTGCCTACAGAAACAAGCTCAAGGCAACTTCGTGAAGCAAATAGAGATTGTCAGCCTTTGGGGCTATCGTGGAGACGACTGGGTCCTTTTCATGAAAATTACAATATCCGAACCGAAAATTTGAGATAAGTTTTTTTGTCCTGCATCAACACTTTACGCACGTACTTATTGTTCTTTGACCAATACGATTGTTTGAGAGGGACGAGTGTGGGTTTCGAGACCTTTTCCCCACCGGACAACCTTGTTCAACGTTCGAGAGTAACATTGCGTACACCCTGCGTTTCATGATCGATACCAAGGTATGGAAACGCGTGTTGCAGGAACACTGAAATGACACTTCTGCAGGTTGTAGGCATGAACTGGATCGAGATTCCTGCTGGTCAATACAAACCCGTGTCTGACAAAGACAAGAAATCCAAATCGAGCTTAAAGTCAGGTAATTTTTACTACGTTTTGTGGCGTGTGTGAATATCTGATGACATTTTGCACCAGGTGAGACACCTTCACCTCGCACCCACCGGAAGAAAACTAGCAAAAGTTTGCACCTCTTCGTATACCGAGTTTCGATATTGAGTGTGCTGGACGGAAGGGCATTTCCCCCGAGGCACAGATTGATACAGTCATCCAGATCGCTAACATGGTGACGAGGCAAGGTATGGGGTCTAAAGTTTTTTCTATGTATTCGCTCATCGTTAGATTTCAAGGCAAGACCAAGCTGTTCACTCGCCTTAATAAATGTTCCCACATTGTCGGCTCACAAGTGACGTTTGACGACGAGGCCGAAATGTTGCAGGCCTGGCGAGACTTCGTTGAAGGGGTTGACCTGAATCTTGTCATCGGGGACAACATTGCAAACTTCGATTTTCCATATCTCATGGATCGAGCGAAGCATCTCAAGGCAAATAAGTTACCTTTTCTTGGTCGCATGAAAGGTACGCATGTTTGTTTCGTGTGACTTATCTTGTCTTAAAGGTTCCAAAACTCAAGCGAAGAAAACACATTTCTCTTCGAGGGCGTATGGACAGCACGATTCCAGAGCTAGAAGGTCGACTACAACTCAACGTCTTGCAATCCATGCAATGTGAACACGAGCTACTTAGTTATACCCTGAACTCTCTCTGTGCACAATTGCTTGGTGAGCAAAAGGAGGATGTGCATCACTCCGTTATCAGACAGTTGCAGAATGGTACTCCGAAGTCCAGATGTCGGTTGGCCGTCTACTGTTCGAAGATGATCGAGTCATTGTTATGTCATCTTTGTCATGCTTATAATTGCTACAGTATGCATATCTCCCTCAGCGGCTGATGGACAAGCTCATGTGCTTCGTCAACTACACTGAGATGGCACGTGTCATGGGCGTTCCTTTTAACTACTAACTACCTTCTTTCTCGTAGCCAGTCCATTAAAGTGCTTTCCTAGCTATTTAGCAAGGCCAACGAAGGGGGAAAGGTCATTCCTGTATTGAAGGGCTTGAACTCGAATGAGCAGTATGAAGGTGCCACTGTCGTCAAGCCGAAGAAGGGCTACTATGATACACCGATTGCGACTCTTGATTTCAGCTCTTTGTATCCGTCTATCATGATGGTACATAATCTGTGTTATACGACGCTCCTCGAAAAAAGTATCATTGATCGCTTGCAGCTTGTCAGGGACGTAGACGATATCCGAACTTCCAATAATGGTATGAGCTGTTGGGTATGCGGTTTTCAGATCAATCGGCTAATACTTCTGGTTAGATTTCTTCGCCACCACGGCAAAACGAAAGGGTCTATTACCTACTGTCTTGGAAGATTTGATGTCTGCTTGTGAGCTTACGAAGGCAGATCTCAAGAAGGAGGCCGATCCATCCCAACGTGCAATTCTGGATGGTCATCAACTTGCTTTGAAGGTGCTGTGGATTCAACTAGTACAGCGATCCTATCTGATCTCACTGAATTGCAGATCAGTGTCAATTCTGTTTATGAATTCACTGGTGCGACGATTGGAAAATTGCCCTGCCTTCCTATCTCCTCCAGTGTGACAGCATATGGGCGTCAGATGATCGAGAAGACTAAGCAGGCAAGTCGTAGTCCGCCAGTGAACACCTGATCAATAACCCTTTGTAGGAAGTCGAAGCAGAGTTCTCCATCAATAATGGACACGCTTATAATGCAGAAGTAATTTATGGTGAAACCGACTCTGTCATGGTCAAGTTCGGGCCTGCAGAGCTGTAAAAGGTCATGGCTCTTGGTTAGTACCAATCAGAAACCTAACTTGCATGCGAATTACAATCTTCTGCAGGAGCGGAGGCGGCAGATTTTGTGACGAACAAAATTTGTCAGACCTATCAAGCTTGAGTTCGAGAAAGTGTATTACCCGTATCTTCTCATCAGCAAGAAGCGATACGCTGGACTCAAAGGGGATCGAAGTTTGTTTTGTCTTTAGTAATTTACCGTGGGTTCACTGAATTATGGGATCTAGACGGTCCGGAGAGACAACTGTCAGCTAGTATCGACGGTCATCGAGACTTGCCTTCGATCGCGACGTCGAGCTGAGGAGTAAGTACACACTTTTTGTTTTTTGGTTGCTAGCTCAACCATCCCAGGTCTACAAGCGCATCATATCAGATCTTCTGCAGAACAAGGTCTGGTATGTCCAAACTGGTGATTACAAAGGCTCTAGCTAAAGCAGGTGTGTGAGTTTTGAATGAGAACTGACTGGTTCTCTAATGTCTGCAAACTATGCTGCGAAGCAAGCGCATATAGAGTTTGCAGAGCGCATGCGGCAACGTGACGCAGGTTTGCGACGGGTCTGATATAAGTCCTGATATCCATGGTCAGGTTCTGCACCGGTCTCAGGGAAAGTATTGAAATGGCCTAAGTTACAACCTGTATTGCATGGGAATATGGTACCATCTAAGATTATACCTCTTGGGTCAGATTTTAAGGCAGAATATATGTACCTAAGAGGCACCTTGAGAGGGTGACTGAAGTGACTTCATTGATACGCAGTTTGTTTCAAAACTCCGAATGGAGGGAGGGCGTTTCTTGTCGACCGTTGAATCTCAATCCAGGGTATAACAGTCCTGCACCATACCTCTACGTCCCCTTTCCCTCCTTGACTTTTATTCTCCGTTGAGCAGATATGATCTTCTATATGGTCTGGCTAGGACAGACTAGATCAACTCGCCACAATTTCCCCCATATTGGTGTATTTTATAGATACTCTCACTTTCCCTCGTTGCGTCGGATCCATAGCCATGTCAGTTAGGTTTATGCTACACCGTTTGTTGTCCTAGTCGACTTCGTCATAATTAATACCCGTCTCGAGTTCCTTGCGCTTCTTCTCTGTTGGAAAAGGTACGATGCGTAAATGAGGAAATGGCAGATAAGTCATACCCCACCTCCACTGCCTGGGCCGTCGTACCAAGCATATATTATGAAGTCAGTCTTGAGCTCCTCACGCTTCTTGCTTTCTTCTTGGAGATCGCGTTGAAAGTCTGTGCCAAGTGTCTCTCCTTCGACTGAATGGTGCATTGCGGCATCTACGTGAATACGATACTACTGATGATCATGAATACTCACAGGCACGTTTTGAGATGGCTCTTGGCGTGAGTGATGCTGCAGCAAGGATGGCAAAAGATACAAGCGCGCCCAGAAGTATAGAAAGCTGCATATTTCGAGATAAGAGCGGTGATAATCCGAATGGGCCTTTTATACATTCTCGCAGGTTCGTTCGATTTCAGCTTCTTCCACAAACGATGATTGCACACATGTCCGGATCGTATCCCGCGGACCTCAGCCAGGAGTTGTAGAAAATTTCAAGTTGTAGTTCCGCTACAAAACTGCATGCGATATCTGACATAAGACCAAAGACCCAGTGACCGAAAAACAGCCGTGATGAGTTGCGTGGCAATTGCCCAGTGACTGATACAAATGAGTCCGCTGCGGAAACTTTGGTAGTGTGTGAGGAGCCGCCACGTCGTAACCGGGTTATGAATGGATGAAACTATGAAAGTTCAAACACGCTGTCATGATTGCTAGCACCTCTTGGAGTCACCAGGTGCAACCTAGTTCTGACAATATACAATGGAAGGATGAATCGTGATGGCCACAGGTTAGGTACTCAAGTCTTCACCGTGACGGCAACCTTGTCGAAACGCTACTGGACATAGCAGGACACTTGGAATGGCGACAAGCTAGTGAGTGAAGTTTAAAATTCCCGAGGGCATCACAGACATGGGTTTGAGAATGGCAGGATCTGCTTGGGATCTGCACAAGTTATGTGATTGTCGTACTGCAGACTCAGATGACGGTCAAGCGAACCGAGAATAAGAATTCCTTCACCGTAATCATTGCTGAATCTTACATAATGTCGACATCTATTTCACAGCAGTGACGAAGAAATAACTTTTAAACTTTACATTTGCCGGCTCTTTTTCTTCATTCGTTGGTGACCACAATGTTCGAACGTCGATTACGGACTCTCGACAGCGCTGTGTACAGTTGACCATGCGTCAATCCATCCGTGCGAAGGTCAGCCACGTTGCGTTGGAGTGTCAGACCTAGTTGCGAGCCATTGAACGCCGTGGCGTATGTGGCAGTTGTCAAGTGAGTATCGACTCCGATGCGTTTTGAGTGTCCGCGACACCATGACATGCCGTGAGTTGTAACAAGAGAGGCCTTACAGTGTGACCCTCAGAAACAAATGTCCTGGAGCGGAGTGCACACGGAACACGTCAGCAAAGTGACCTCATGAAGTGGAGCATGGGCATGGAAGGGGGGTCCTGTGGAGCGCGGATGACACCAATTGGAAATCACTCCGTGGCTGATGCCATGCGTGCCGTTCTCCGCGAGATTTTGATGCCTCCGGCTTCGCCCCCGGTCCTAACTCCCCTTTGGCTTTGCAGTCCTACTGTCGGCCACGATTTCACGGGCCGCAACCGTTCTGGCAGCATGCCAGCCTCACCGTTGCTTATCGTGCCTAATCTGGTGGTCACTGCTCATTCTGACTACAGCTGACACTTCTACCTGCTGTAGATACTCATCAAATACATTTTTCGCTACCTCTTTGGACTGCCAATCTCAGACTAGAAACCTCACCCAAATGACCATCAATTTTTATACGAAGTTATGTTCCAAGCGAGTCCGAGGAACGAAGACGTCCTTTTTGGCACATCCTCTTTGCTTTGTACTACTACTTGCCAAGTTGCAAACTCTCCGTACTCGACGATAGTCACGCTCCCGCCCACCACACCCTCGGCAGCATACGTCTCGCAACGCTGGAAACCACAGAAAAATAAAAATAAATTGCAGATTAACGAATCAAGCTACAGATCAACTTGAAGATAATAACATCATTTTTGCTCGACGCATCACTCCCGAATCCACAGAGTTCACTGCAATCTTGAGTGAGCTGCTGGGGTCCGCCCGCCCTCGCAGCTCATTTTAACATCCGAGATTCGGAGTGTTGGTTCTGGCTGGAAACCCTGTCGAGGCTTTGCTCAATTACTTACATGCATCTCGCACTTTATCTGCTCGTAGATCAGATTGATTAGATTTCACTTGTCTATCAATCAATCTGATATCTCTTCTCTGACCAGAAAAGATAAAAGAACACAGAAGATACTTTAGAAATCACTATTGGACCTCAGTCCAAGGCGAACTGACTGCATCACTTGCATATGTCACACAACGGAAGTGACTTCGCGGGAGAGGCTACATCAAAACATCTACTTTTCTGTAGCGTACCGTTCAGCCCGCCGCGATTGCAGGTGCCCTGCTCATGCTCAAGCAGTAGAGTAAGTGTTCCCAAATTATACAAACGAGGGGTGATCGTTTTCTTTGTGAATGGTGGTGATACTGTAACTTACACAGGCGGGTTCCTATCCAGCTTTGCAAAATGTTCAAGGCCATATTCCATCTATCAAATCATGACTACACGAGAACCATCATCAGGTGATAGCGCACACCAATGACTGATCAGCGACAATCATTGGGTCAGCGGCGTTGGAAACAGATGATCCAGCCTGAGGAACAAGTGTCTGGGACTCTGGGAAGCACTTCCATTGCATCATTCTTGTCCTCTGAGATATGCAAACCTATCTGACGTTCCGGATTCAATCTACATCCTACTCGTGTCATAAACTCATAATGTGATAGTTCTTTTAAGGTACCAATATTTGCTATCCTCCCATGGTATTCTTGAACAAGTACAATGAGCAAGCACGCAAGCAGTATGGCATTCCTCGTGCATCAAAACAAATGCTCGAGCGACTGAGGTCTGGGGAGGTCAACCGTATCTGGGAAGCGAGGAACATCGGATTCATCGATATGAATAGCGTGTTCGGCAGACCAATCCACGATTTTCTCGAAGTTCCTGCATCGATGAAGGGTGTTGAAGTTAGGGGAAGGGACACTGTATCCCTCCACCCAGTACCATGTAATTATCCCCACATCAGAATTGCACATGATGCTCTGCCTTAACATTTCGATGCAGTGATCTGAACCGTAACAATAAGTATTAATGCCTTGAGGCAGAAACAATACTCACCAAGATGCATACGGAGGGTTGCTGGGGCGCTTTTGAATGTGCTATCTCCAATGGAATGATAATATTCCGACCAGGTAGATTTGCGAAGTATGTTCTCCATAAGTGTAAGCCGAGAATGAACACATTGTCGGTGTAGTATAGCTTACCACACAATGCGCTTGATGGAGGCCATCTATAGAGGTCATGTACCCTCCACCAATCTCGTCCGGATACCTGACTTTCGAACGCAATTCCGTCTCGGTTGTGCCTGCTTTGAGCATCTCTTCACGGGTCATTCGAGTTACTGAGATTCACGGGAGATGGTCAATGGATAACTGGTATAACGAGACCAATGACGTACTATTACGAGATATCCTATCCCAAGCGGCATCGATTTCTGGGGAAGGGGTGCCACGATAGATAGAAGAAACATTAAGGGATGCCTTCAACCTTAGAGTCACGGGCTCGACAGCAACATTTGCTGGAGCTGTGATGGATCAACAACTATGCTGTTCAATGTGGACTGTCCGCTCACAGTATATACTAGGAATGTCGTTGATCAGCTGAGTCGAAGGCGTACGCATCCATAGCGTGAGAGACAGAATCGATGTGCAAATAAGTACGCCATGGGACAACCACAGGCGAAAGGTATGCGACTTGGGACGAAGTTCTGCACCACCAGATAATTTCTCGTCGTCGTCGACAGTATCAATAGGAGAGTACTGTGAAAAATATTTGATCATGACCTTTGGGTAAAGTAACTTCATTGATCACTGAATACTAGGGAGAAGAGGCGGGAGCTAGGGTCTGTGCCTAAGCCCAGCCTTTAAATTGGTGTGGGATGGGGGTTATCGAAAATACGCTGTGACTGTCATAATCAGTTTCTGACTTTGGTCATTTCATACATAGCGTGCATTGTATGAAATGTGGATGAATCATGATACATGAATCACGCACACGGCCCGGAGCCTGGCCTGGCATTTTACAACCAGTCATGTCTTTACAGAGGTGGCTGCTCGCGGCAGCAAGAGTACCAGATGGCGTTGACACGTCTAACGCATCTGTTAGGTACAGACACGGCCTTTCGATTTAAAAGTGGCTCCATACTCCCTACATGGCAACTATTCGAAACGATATACACCCTGAGGGGTATCGTCATCAACTTGTCATTACATAGCTTATGCAACACTAGACAATATTAGTACCTGTTTTCTAGGGAGCCGAGAGGCACAAGGCTAGCTCACCTAGCTTCTTCCCCCACCGTGTTCGAAACGAATTTTCCCATCGTTTCCAACTGAGACAGGTGTGCAAGCCGATGCGAAAGAATGATGAACAGTTCGTTCGAGCATGTTAAGCGTGTTAAATATTATTCCATAATCGTTGAATTGAATTTGATACTCGGGCTATCACAGGAATCACGAATTTTCCTGAAATGATATCGAGCTGCTCGCTGAAGGCCCATCAAGAGATCTTCTTCCAGACTATGGTCTATCGCCGCCAACCCCGTCATCCGACTGAGTTTTCCCCTCACTCGTATCTATTCCAGCACATGAATGCGTGTAAAGTTTCCGTGGTGACGTGTCGTGGAGAGAAGTCGAGAAGAACAGGCAATCTAAAAACTGTTTCCGTAGTGATGTGTCGCGGACAGGAATAAGCAATAGAAAAGCTCAAAAGGGGTTTGGTTGAACTTCGAGGAAAAAGGCAAAACCAGGTGTGCGTTGTCTGGCGCGACCTTCCTGTCTTGGATGCCAGCATGACGTCTCGCCACCGTCCCCGTTCAAGGACGTTTTTCGAATGTCTGCACAATCCAAGCCTCCAAGGCCTGTCTCTGAGTGTTGGCGTACCCAATTTTCAAGGTGATTAGACTTGCTATTCAACGAGTCCATCACACACTGATTGTACCTTAGGAATCTCAAAAGTGCTTCTTCCCCAAATCTAAAATTCCAATGCTGAAAGCCTGAAATGCAATCCGAGGAAGGGGATGATGATTCATCATGAAACATGGCTTCGAGATCCGGTGGGAGATTCGATAACATACTCCCTTTTTCTCTCCCACTGGGATGATCCCTGAAAGATTACACTGATCCTGATGCCAACTCAAGCGCCTCCAGGAATAAATAAAAGTAAGCATTCCTTCGCAGGCACTCAAGCGCCCTGTCTTTCTGACTCACTCGATCTAATTAACTACAGATTCGGATTTTTTTTCACAACTCATGCGCAAGGGATACTATTCTCCTTATCCTCTCGATGAGGTCGACGATGACAGTGCCAAGCTCCTTGCCGGTGGTCTGGCGACTGGTTTTCTACCGAAATCTCGCTTCTTTCACCGGTGGTCATGGCTCAGCCATGGTGTGCTACTGTCCATAACTTTGGTGTTCACTACACTATGGGCACGCGCGCCTTCCATAGATGACGTAGTTCTATTTTGTACGTGCATAATTAGAGTCGCTGCACAAGACCTTACTTGCCTATCACAGCTCCAGCAAATGAGGCAGTTGAATCTATCGGCATCGTGAAATTCAACGGAAGTGTTGATGCTACCTCCATATATCGTGGCAGCCCATCCCCAGAGCTCGACGCCATTTGGGATAAATTATCATTTGATGGTTGTGCCATATGCTCCACTTAACCATAGAAATTTACTGAATATATGATATCTCCCAGCGCGTCCGGTCCGTATGACCCTTGAGCAACTGCTCAGAACAGGGGAGAAACCTCATCCTGCCATGGCTAGGTATCCGGACGAATACGGCGGAGGTTACATGGCGACTGTAGAAGTCATTCATCAGCTCCATTGCTTAGTCAGTCATAAAACGCAGAGGCTGGTCGATCTTTGCTCAATTTCCTATAGGACATGCTTCGCAGAGCCAGCTGGGGTAACAAACACTATCATCATGGGGACGTGCACGAAACCGGTGAAAAATTTCGCATCCATATCGGTAGGTATCTTGTTTCTTGCTTTTCCCATAACCTGCTTATATCGCGCCTCAGACCACTGCCTCGACATACTCAGGCAGTTCGTCACGTGTAGTGGTGATGTGAACATGATAACTTATGATTGGGTGGAGGGAAGAACAACTCCATTGGGTGATTTCAACGTTCATCGCCAATGTAGAAACTTTGAGAAGGTTGTAGATTGGGTCAATGAGCATCGTGTTGCTATGCCTGCAGAGAAGATGGTCCGCTTGGACGGTTACGTGGACCTGCCTTCCCTCCCTTGATCGCATTCGTGATGTATTGAAGTATCTTCTCCCTATGATAGCAGATGTAGCCACGGCAGCGTTCAATATTCAGTTTGATTTCTACCCCAGGGTATCTATCTTCACGGTGGGGTCGATATACCACTCAGTGATTTTGAACAGGGCCTCCACATCGCACTCATGCAGAACGGTTAATAAGTTAGTAGCAATCGTCAAGGAAAAGAACGTCGTGACCAATGGGACATATAGTAGAGCCCAATAATCTAGTCACGAAGTAACGAGTGAACCTGATCGTGGGGACGGCGGCGCATCAGTTATGAAAACCCGAAGTACCTTCAATCACGAGCGAAAACTCATCGCTTGCACAGCTGACGTTCTCGCAAAATACTTGATTGTCAAGCCCAGCTTCGAAGACTCTGGCCGCCCAGATTACTAAAAGTAGCGACAGAAGATGTCTTTAAGGATCAAAACAAAGTGTATTGTGCATTCGGTAGTATAGTGTATCGCGCAAATTTTTAAGTTCACTTTGAAGCATCATAGGGTAGAACAGTATTGTCCCGCACTGTACCTTCTCTCTTTCCCTCCTTGTCTTTATTCTCTGTTAAGCGTCTAATGTGATCAACTCTTTAATCAAGAAGGAATAATTTTCTTGTTCTGGCTAGAGTGGACTAGATCAACTAACATTTCTCGCCTATTGATACTCTTAATTCCTCCTGTCACATAACCATCTCAGCTAGGATCATGCTACGCTATCTGTTGTATCAATCGTCTTAAGAGATGTGCGACTCAAGTTCCTTGCGTTTCTTTGCTGTGCAGACGGCACGATGAGTGAATAAATAAATGACAGATAAGTTATACCTCACCTGCAGTGCCTGGAGCGTCGTCGTCGTTGTAAGAGATGTGCGACTCAAGTTCCTTGCGCTTCTTAGCTGTGCAGACGGCATGATGGGTAAATGAATAAATGGCAGATAAGTTGTACCCTACCTGCAGTGCCTGGAGCGTCGTCGTCATTGTAAGAGATGTGCGACTCAAGTTCCTTGCGCTTCTTAGCTGTGCAGACGGCATGATGGGTAAATGAATAAATGGCAGATAAGTTGTACCCTACCTGCAGTGCCTGGAGCGTCGTCGTCGTTGTAAGAGATGTGCGACTCGAGTTCCTTGCGCTTCTTAGCTGTGCAGACGACATGATGGGTAAATAAATAAATGGCAGATAAGTTGTACCCTACCTGCAGTGCCTGGAGCGTCGTCATCGTTGTAAGAGATGTGCGACTCGAGTTCCTTGCGCTTCTTAGCTGTGCAGACGGCATGATGGGTAAATGAATAAAAGGCAGATAAGTTGTACCCTACCTGCAGTGCCTGGAGCGTCGTCGTCGTTGTAAGAGATGTGCGACTCGAGTTCCTTGCGCTTCTTAGCTGTGCAGACGGCATGATGGGTAAATGAATAAATGGCAGATAAGTTGTACCCTACCTGCAGTGCCTGGAGCGTCGTCGTCGTTGTAAGAGATGTGCGCCTCAAGTTCCTTGCGCTTCTTGATCACTTCGGGGACATCACGTCGCAAGTTCGTGTCAAGCTTGTCTCGCTCAACTGAGTAGTGCGTTGTGGCATCTGAGTGAATATGATACTGCTGATGATCATGAATACCCACAGGAACGTTTCGAGATGGCTCCCGGCGTGGGTGACGCTACAGCAAGAATGATGAAAGGTGTAAGTGCGCTCAGGAGCACAGAAAGTTTCATGGTTAGGTATAAGAGGGGTGATTGTTCGCACTGAAAATCCGAGAGGGCTTGTTACACATTTTCGAAAGTCTTCTTGATTTTATCCTCCTCAACAAACTATGTTCGCACACATATCCAGATCGTGGCCGGTGAACCTTGGCCAGAAATTGTCGAGAGCAGCACTGCCATAATACAGTATGCAATGTCTCGCATGAATGATGAGACCGAGACCCAGTGACGATAGACGGAAATGAGGATACACCTATGGTGAGTTGCGTGGCAATCTGACACGTTACAACTGGGTTGTGCATAGAGCAAAAAGATGTCATGATTGCCAGCATCTCTTGCACTCGTCGAGTGAAGTTTAGTCGATGACCTTGTCAGAGCACTACTACTGGACATGACATATTTTCGACGGGTCTCCGAGCAGGAAAGTTGGAATGGCGGCATGTCAGTGAATGATGTTTGAGATTCCTGGGAGCACCACATCAGCCATACATTTGACTCAGACTCCGGATGTGTTGAGCGAACAAAACACCTGGCGCACTTACTGAGTCACACTGTCCGTCATCATTGTTTCCGCTCTGCACCCCATGCCAGGAGCCATTGTGACACGACTCGAATTCTTGACCACCAACAAAATGAAGAATCTTCAAGGTACTAAATGTTGCCGACCTAGTGACTAAACGATAATAAACAATTGTCAACCATTTACGCAAATTTTCATTAATATTGAATATTATTATTAAGGAACCGGGCGTTTTACGGATGCAACCGTGCCACGTTACTGGATAAATGGTCCATCCAAGGACAGTGCAAGGTCGTGTCAGCACACATCTAATTGTCCTCACTTAAGTCTCGTGGACGCAGACAGCGAGGATATAGCCAGCAAATTCGAGGACCACAACACGAGAATGTGGGGTCCCCATGGATTCTCGAAGCCAACATGCCGCAAACTCAACCGAACTATAATTCAAAAAAGCGCTCCTTTCCACAACCTTTCCACGACTCAAGCTAGACTAGAATGCAATTTGAGGGGAGGGGTAATGATTAACCATGAAACGTGGCTTCTAGAGCTGCTGGGAGATTCGACAACATACTCCCTTTTTCTCTCTCAACTGGGATGATCCGAAAGCTTGCACCCGGGCCAGATCCTCTATGCCAACTCAATCCGCCTGAGATCTCCCAAGCGCTGGGATAAATAAATAAAAGTAAGCAGGTGCTTAAACGTCCGAGCTGTCTGACTTACTCGACCTACTATCAACTACAGATTTAGGTTTTCGTTCGCAACTCATGCGCAAAGAATACTATTCTCCTTATCCTCTCGATGAGGTCGACGATGACAGTGCCAAGCTCCTTGCCGGTGGTCTGGCGACTGGTTTTCTACCGAAATCTCGCTTCTTTCACCGGTGGTCATGGCTCAGCCATGGTGTGCTACTGTCCATAACTTTGGTGTTCACTACACTATGGGCACGCGCGCCTTCCATAGATGACGTAGTTCTATTTTGTACGTGCATAATTAGAGTCGCTGCACAAGACCTTACTTGCCTATCACAGCTCCAGCAAATGAGGCAGTTGAATCTATCGGCATCGTGAAATTCAACGGAAGTGTTGATGCTACCTCCATATATCGTGGCAGCCCATCCCCAGAGCTCGACGCCATTTGGGATGAATTATCTTTTGAAGGTTGTGCCATATGCTCCACTTAATGATAGAAATTTACTGACTATATGATATCTCCCAGCGCGTCCGTTCAGTATGACCCTTGAGCAACTGCTCAGAACAGGGGAGAAACCTCATCCTGCCATGGCTAGGTATCCGGACGAATACGGCGGAGGTTACATGGCGACTGTAGAAGTCATTCATCAGCTCCATTGCTTAGTCAGTTATAAGACGCAGAGGCTGGTCGATCTTTACTCAATGTCCTACAGAACATGCTTCGCAGAGCCAGTTGGGGTGACAAACACTATTATCATGGGGACGTGCACGAAACCGGTGAAAAATTTCGCATCCATATCGGTAGGTATATTATTTCTTGCCTTTCCCATAACCTGCTTATATCGCGCCTTAGACCACTGCCTTGACATACTCAGGCAGTTCGCCACATGTAATGGCGATGTGGCCATGATAACTTATGATTGGGTGGAGGGAAGAGGAGTTCCATTCGCTAATTTCAACGCTTTTCACCAATGTAGAAACTTTGAGAAGGTCTTAGATTGGGTTGACGAGCATCGTGTTCCTATCCCTAAATCGGAGATAGCCCGCTTGGACGATAACGTGAACCTGCCTTCCCTCCCTTGATCGCATTTATGATGTAATCTCTCTATTTCTCCTCATGTTAGTAGATGTAGTCACAGAAGCATTTCACGTCTAGTTTGATTTCTACCCAAGGGAACCTATGTTCACGTCGAGCTGAGCAGATGCGATATACCAGTAATCGTGGATATAAAGAAGGCCTCGATATCGCCCTCACGCAGAACGGTGCTTAATCCCGATGAAGTGTCAAAGATTATAGCAGCAATACTAAATGTATAATAGTCGATCGAGTTGTCGAGACGAATTGATCAATGATTCCGCGTGTTGATACGACAAATATTGTATCACTTGCATACTTAAACCAACGTCAACCCAAGTGACAACCCTTCGCGCAGAAGACTACATCGGGATACTTACTAGGAATGGCATCGGATAGGATTCCCATCCAGCTTTGCAAAATGTCTAAGGCCGTATTCCATCCATCACGAGAACCACCATTGGATGAGAATTTATCAAAACCACAATGATCACCGAGGAGGTGAGCAGACGATAGCGCACACTAATTACTGATCAGTAGCAACCGTTAGGTTTAGTGGCCTTGAGAGACGAGATGATCCAGGAGCAAGTGTCTGGGAAATATTTCTATTACATCATTCTTGTCCTCTGGCCTAGATATGCAGACCTTTCAGACGTTCTGGATTCAATCTACATCCTGCTCACTCATAATGCGACAGTTCTTTCAAGGTGTACCAATATTTACTCTCCTCCAACGGTATTCCTGAACAAGTACAATGAGCAAGCACGCAAGCAGTATGTTGGAAACTACCCAAGGGTAGAAACACTAAGTTCGAGTTCGGACAGGAGTAACGAGTAGAAACGTATGAGATTGGAATGAGGATGCTCTATACATGCGGTACGAGATCAATATAAATAGGAGTCCGTCCAAACAACCCGCGGTGCCCAATCATATCCGTGATGACGTCGACGTTGATGTGTAAGCCCAGCTTACATATGTCATTCCTCAAGGCCTCATGCATCACGATGTGGTTTTGGGAGGTCAACCGTATCTGGGAAGCGAGTAACCTCAGATTTGTCGATGTGAATGCCGTGTTTGTAAGACCAATCCATAATTTTCTCAAAGTTCCTGCATCGATGACGGGTGTTGAAATTAGGGTAAGGGACCGTGTGTCCCTCCACCCAGTACCATGTGATCATCGTCACGTCTGCATTGCACATAATGTTCTGCCTTACCATGTCGATGCAGTGATCTGGACCGTAACGGGATACCATAAGTAATAATGCCATGAGGCAGAAATAATATTCACCGAAATGCAGACGGATTACGTCTGGTGAGTTTTGGAACGCAACATCTCCGATGGACTGGTAATAATCGTACCAAGAGGCTTTGCGAAGCAAGTTCTCCACAAGTGTGAGCCAAGGATGAACATATTGTCGGTGTAGTATGGCTTACAACACAATGCAATTGGTGGGCGGCTTCCATAGAGGCCATGTATCCGCCACCAATTTTGTCTGGATACCTGACTTTCGAACGCAATTCCGTCTCGGTTGTGCCTGCTTTGAGCATCTCCTCACGGGTCATTCGAGTTGGTTCCACTGGGTTTCACGAAGGTGGACAATTAAAATTAGTATAACAAGACCAACGACGCACCATCACGAGATATCCTATTCCAAGCGGCATCAATTTCTGGGGAAGGGGGGCCACGATATATAGAAGGAAACTCGAGGGATCCGTTGAACCTTAAAATTACGGGCTCGACAACAGCACTTGCTGGAGCTGTGATGGATCAACAGCTATACTGTTCGATTCGGTCTGTCCACTCACAGTATATGCTAGGTATGTCGTAGCGCAGCTGAGTTGAAGGCGTACGCATCCATAGCGTGAAAAACAGAGTCAATATGCAAATGAGTGCGCCATGGGACAACCACAAGCAAGGGACATGCGGCTTGGGACGAGATTCTGCACCGAACCATTCTACACCACCAGATAGTTTCTCGTCGCCGTCGACAGTATCAATAGCAGAGTACTGTGAAAAATATTTGATCATGATCTTTGGGTAAAGTAACCCCGTTTTATTACTGAATGCGAGGGGGAAGAGTTGACAGAGTTGTATTTGGGTCTGATCCTAGCCTTTATGTTTGTGATGAGTGTATTGAAAATACGCTGCACTTGTTAAGATTAATCGCTGACTTTGGTCATCTCGTACGTAGCGTGCATTGTATGGATGCGGATGAAGCTGAGATCACACGCACGGGCGGCACGGTCCAGGGTCTGGCATTTCACAACCAGAGATACCTCTACACATGTGGCTCCTGCCAGTGAGTGCCAGCAATAAGAGTATCAGATAGTGTGGAAAGTGACTCGGCCGTACTAGTACCATCAGCAAAAGCGCCCAAATCTGGCGAGGGCCGGCAAGGTCCGGATCATATCCCACGGCCTCGTGATGCCTTCCGAGGCGTGAATCAATTCGTTCGACAATGTGCAAGATGTGCCTACTCGTCTCGCAAGGCATTGCTAGACTCCCTCAACCTCACGCCAGTCTTGCGAGGCATTTCAAGACTGGTACTGTCTAGTATGTGGATGCGAGGGAAACTTTATCTGTGTGGGCAATGGTATGTTATTTTGATATTTTGATATCCACTAACCTCAGTGACCATACCAAGCATTCGACCCCCAAGTTGCGTGGACGAGAGGCGACTGTAGAAGTCATTCATCAACTCATTGCTTAGTCAGTTATAAGACGCAGAGGCTAGTCGATCTTTACTCAATGTCTTACAGAACATGCTTCGCAGAGCCAGTTGGGGTGACAAACACTATCATCATGGGGACGTGCACGAATCCCCTGAAAAATTTCGTATCCATCTCGGTGGGTATATTGTTTCTTGCTCTGTCCACAACCTGCTTATGTCGCGCCTTAGACCACTGCCTTGACATACTCAGGCAGTTCGCCACATGTAATGGCGATGTGGCCATGATAACTTATGATTGGGTGGAGGGAAGAGGAGTTCCATTCGCTAATTTCAACGCTTTTCACCAATGTAGAAACTTTGAGAAGGTCTTAGATTGGGTTGACAAGCATCGTGTTCTTATCCCTAAATCGAAGATAGCCCGCTTGGACGATAACTTGGACCTGCCTTCCCTCCCTTGATCGCATTTATGATGTAATCTCTCTATTTCTCCTCATGTTAGTAGATGTAGTCACAGAAGCATTTCACGTCTAGTTTGATTTCTACCCAAGGGAACCTATGTTCACGTCGAGCTGACCAGATGCGATATACCAGTAATTGTGGATATAAAGAAGGCCTCGATATCGCCCTCACGCAGAACGGTGCTTAATCCCGATGAAGTGTCAAAGATTATACAGCAATACTAAATGTATAATAGTCGACCTAGTTGTCGAGATGAATTGATTAATGATTCCGCGTGTTGATACGACAAATATTGTATCGCTTGCATAAACCAACGTCAACCCAATTGCAAGTGACAACCCTTCGCGCGGAAGACTACATCGGGATACTTACTAGTAATGGCATCGGATAGGATTCCCATCCAGCTTTGCAAAATGTCTAAGGTCGTATTCCATCCATCACATCGTGATCTACTCAAGAACCATCATTGAATGAGAAGTTATCAAGACCACAATGATCACTGAGGAGGTGAGCAGGCGATAGCGCACACTAATTACTGATCAGTAGCAACCGTTGGGTCTAGTGGCCTTGAGAGACGAGATGATCCAGGAGCAAGTGTCTGGAAATATTTCTATTACATCATTCTTGTCCTCTGGCCTAGATATACAGACCTTTCAGACGTTTTAGATTCGATCTACATCCTGCTCACTCATAATGCGGCAGTTCTTTCAAGGTACCAATATTTGCTCTCCTCCCATGGTATTCCTGAACAAGTACAGTGAGCAAGCACGCAAGGAGTATGTCATTCCTCATGCATCACGATGTAGTTTTGGGAGGTCAACCGTATCTGGGAAGCGAGTAACCTCAGATTCGTCGATGTGAATGGCGTGTTTATGAGACCAATCTATAATTTTCTCAAAGTTCCTGCATCGATGACGGGTGTTGAAATCAGGGTAAGGGACCGTGTGTCCCTCCACCCAGTACCATGTGATCATCGTCACGTCTGCATTGCACATAATGTTCTGCCTTATCATTTCGATGCAGTGATCTGGACCGTAACGAGATACCATAAGTAATAATGCCATGAGGCAGAAATAATATTCACCGAAATGCAGACGAATTACGTCTGGTGTGTTTTGGAACGAAATATCTCCGATGGACTGGTAATAATCGTACCAAGAGGCTTTGCGAAGCAAGTTCTCCACAAGTGTGAGCCAAGGATGAACATATTGTCGGTGTAGTATGGCTTACAACACAATGCAATTGGTGGACGGCTTCAATAGAGGCCATGTATCCGCCACCAATTTTGTCTGGATACCTGACTTTCGAACGCATTTCTGTCACAGGTGTGCCTGCTTTGAGCATCTCCTCACGGGTCATTCGAGTTGGTCCCACTGGGTTTCACGGAGGTGGACAATTAAAATCAGTATAACAAGACCAACGACGCACCATCACGAGATATCCTATTCCAAGCGGCATCAATTTCTGGGGAAGGGGGGCCACGATATATAGAAGGAAACTCGAGGGATCCGTTGAACCTTAAAATTACGGGCTCGACAACAGCACTTGCTGGAGCTGTGATGGATCAACAGCTATACTGTTCGATTCGGTCTGTCCACTCACAGTATATGCTAGGTATGTCGTAGCGCAGCTGAGTTGAAGGCGTACGCATCCATAGCGTGAAAAACAGAGTCAATGTGCAAATGAGTATGCCATGGGACAACCACAGGCGAGGGACATGCGGCTTGGGACGAGATTCTGCACCGAACCATTCTACACCACCAGATAGTTTCTCGTCGCCGTCGACAGTATCAATAGCAGAGTACTGTGAAAAATATTTGATCATGATCTTTGGATAAAGTAACCCCGTTTTGTTACTGAATGCGAAGGGGAAGAGGTGACAGAGTTAGATGTGGGTCTGATCCTAGCCTTTATGTTTGTGATGGATGTATTGAAAATACGCTGCACTTGTTAAGATTAATCGCTGACTTTGGTCATCTCGTACGTAGCGTGCATTGTATGGATGCGGATGAATCTGAGATCACACGCACGGGCGGCACGGTCCAGGGTCTGGCATTTCACAACCAGAGATACTTCTACACACGTGGCTCCTGCCAGTGAGTGCCAGCAGTAAAAGTATCAGATGGTGTGGAAAGTGACTCGGCCGTACTAGTACTGACGTGGCAACTACTCAAGTCCCGAGACCGTCTTACGCTCCCTCTTAGCTTATGTAACACTAAACAAACAACAAATTAGTCCAGGAAATGAATCAAGAAACCTTGCAGTCATTCTTTTGCCCTAGGAATCTCCAAGGTACTGCTCCGGGCTCCCCAGTATCCCCACGACCTAACTATTAAAGTCCAAGATTGAAAGGCTGGCGCAGGTTGGGAAGAAAGGATGTAATGAGTCGTCATGTCATTGTGAAATGTGGCTTCGAGAGCTGAGAGCTGATAAAGGGCCGAGGAGATTTGACAACGCACTTCCTCCGAGTCTTTTCTCGTACTGCGACGATCCAGGAAGATCGTGCCTCAGGCTTATGAGATAATTAGATTTCCCAAGCTTCTAGGATAAATAACAGTAAGCATTTATTCGCAGGTGTTCAAACGTCCCAGTGTCCGGCTCACACTCGATCATCAATTACAGATTCAGATCTCCTTTCACGACTCATGCGCAAGGAGTACTACTCTCAATATTCTCCTCTCGATGAGGTCGACGATAACGGTACTACTAAGCTCCTTGACAGCGACATAGTAACTAGTCTTCCGCCGCAATCTCGCTTCCTTGACCTGTGGCCATGGCTTAGCCACGGTGTACTGATGTCCATGATTTTGGTGTTCTTTACACTATGGGCACGGGCGCCTTCCATAGATGACGTGGTTCTATTTTGTACGTGCATAACTACAGTCGCTGCACAAGACCTTACTTGCCTATCACAGCTCCAGCAAACGAGGCAGTCGAATCCATCGGCATCATAAAATTTAATGGAAGTTTTAAGGCTACTTCCATATATCGTGACAGCCCATCCCCAGAGCTCGACGCCATTTGGGATGAAATATCTCTTAATGGTTGCGCCCTATGTTTCAATTACATCATAGACATTTACTGACTATCTCCCAGTGCGTCCAGTCCGTATGACCCTTGAGCAACTGCTCAGAACAGGGGAGAAACCTTCTCCTGCCATGGTTAGGTATCCGGACGAATACGGTGGAGGTTACATGGCAACTGTAGAAGTCATTCACCAGCTCCATTGCTTAGTCAGTTGTAAAACACAGAGGCTGGTCGATCTTTGCTCAATTTCCTATAGGACATACTTCGCAAAGCCAGCTGGGGTAACATTGACTATAACCATGGGGACGTGCATATATCCCCTGAAGAATTTCGTACTCAAATTGGTAGGTGTATCGTTCCTTGCTCTGTCCACAACTTGCTTATGCCGCACCTTAGACCACTGCGTTGAGATCCTCAGGCAGTTCTCCATGTGTGGTGGCGATGTGACCATGATAACGCATGATTGGGTGGAGGGAAGAACAAAACCATTTGCTGATTTTAACGTTCATCATCAATGTAGAAACTTTGACAAGATCTTAGATTGGGTCGATGAGCATCGTGTTTTTGTCCCTAAATCGCAGATGGTCCGCTTGGACGATAACGTGGACCTGCCTTCCCCCCCTTGATCGCATGATGTATTCTCTCCATATGGTAGTAGATGTAGTCACAAAAGCCTTTAATATTCTATCCCAGTACCTACGTTCACCACGGGCTGGAGTGTGGGTACCATGCAGCAAATTGCGATCCATCTTTCAGGGAGCTAACCACTCACCTTGTTTCTTTTGAAAGTTGCCCACCCCCGTTGTGGCATTGGACACAGTACCTTGTCACTTCTCGTATTAGAGTAATACAGGATAAAAAACGGTGTGCATACAGAGATCAATCTTTTGCATGAAAGTTATTCTATACTGAATGATATCAATCAGGGATAGCGACGCTTCACCGAAGATGCAGCGATGAAATGCATAATTGTGAACATCACACAGTGATAGTGCCAAACCTCACTAAGGCACGACAGCACAACATTCATTTGGATCATGATGCATGATACATGAGATAAATGGCTATGCTCGACTGTGGTTCCAAGCGAGTCGCTTAGGATTTGGTGTTCCCTGTATCCAGTCCTACGTTATCATCGTCACGTCGGCATTGCACATGATAGTCAGCCTGATCATTCCGATGCAGTGATCTGAAGCGTAACTATAGCATATCACAAGCAAAAAGTGTCTGGCCCTCAAGTCAGAAAGAATATTTACCAAGACGCATACGGACTACTTCGGGGTGTCCTGGAACGGATGCTTACAATACTCCGACAACCAAAAGGTTTTGTGAAGCAAGTTCTACACAAATGTGAGCCAAAAACGACCGCACTGTATGACTTTGCATTTGCAGATTCCAAAGAGAACACCAATTTTGTCCGGATACCTGACTTTCAAACGCAAATCAGTCGTGCCTGCTTCGAGCATCCCTTCATATGGCATCCGAGTTGGACCTAGGGCTAGGATGTCGAATAATTACTGAACGTGTGATCGGACAAAACGGAGAACGACGCACCATTATGGGCATTCTGGTCCAAGCAACATCAATTCTGAATTTCTGGGGAACGAGCATCGACCGAGGACCACGATAGACAGAACAGAAGTTGAGCGCGCCGTCAAACCTCACAACCATAGACTCCATATCATCACCTGCTGAAATTGTGATGGATCATGAAACCATTCGTCGACTGTTCAAATGAAGGTGTGGTCGCCTGCAGTATACATAATACAGCAATATTGTCGTGCAAGGGAGCCGAATACGTGCGCATCCATGGGATAGCATCGATGTGGATTGAGGCGAAGTTCTTGGCAGCGTCTGTGAGTCACCAATGGTTTCCTATTGTCGCCAAAAGCCTTATATCCGGGAGAGTACTGCGGTAAATTTACGCCTGATGCTTAGGAAAATCAACTTCGTTTGTGCGGCCAAGGCTGAAGAGGTTCGAGAGTTGCAAGCACTGGCGACTTCAAAAGTGTGGGAGCTCATTTCTAAGACGCCACATCTCAGTGACAGAACGGTTGCAAAACGAATTATATTGTCGCACCGAACAATCACGATCAAGTGAAATACCGTACGTGATTGTCTATCATAGGGCCCTGATACAATGAACAAAGATACAGGAAAAGAACCTCGTTCAAGTTATGTACTCACCAATAGTGAATCCAAATACTCAAGCATGCGGCAGCCCCGGCGGGCCACGTACTATTAGTCCAAGTCCAAATCTGAAGGCATGGAAAATTTTTGGAGCATGAGCGTCTGAGCGTCAAGCAAAGGAAAAAGGTACATACCAATTCTGCCATGCGCTCATATGGAGACGCAGACTCAATATTAGTAATGCACGTGCACGCGAACACACCACTGAGTGACTGTTTGCCTGCGCTTTTTCTTGTAGTCGACAAATAATTCATCTCTGCCTGGTTTTGCCGTGGCACAACCCTGGTTCTGCCATGTTCTGCCGGTTCTGCCGCAGAACTGCCCACAACACTAACTTACACCTGATGCCCTCCGACACTTCCGAGCCATTATCACCTACGAGCAGGAATCCGTGGATACGGTAGCATTACCTTGCGGTTCAAGTCAGGGACGCAAAATGGCACGTCAACTCTAGTAGACAATCAAGGTTTTTTTTGGCTACTTTAGAGAACAGCCAAAGGATCGCAATTTCAAAGATGAGATGATTTATTTGTAAGGCATCCGCTGGCATATTTACATTAATGTCCCTGTCCTTGCGGAGCAATGCTAGGCTTAATGGCGATCCGTCGTAATCGGTGGTACTAAACGCTCTTTACTTGTCAGTATCAACATACAAGTTGCTGCTAGGTTCTTCTGTGCCGAGTTACTAAGCCTGCCAGATCTCAGGCGCGCTGTAGCCGCCTCCTGTACGAAGAAAGACGAATACGGATACTCTGGCTTTCACTTAATTCGGATTCCACACGAACTTCAAATCCAAATTTCCCTTCAGAATGATCCACAGGGAATCCTACTCTCAGTATTCTCCTGTCGACAGTGTAAACGATGACGATGTGGAACTCCTTGATGGTACAGAAACCAAATACTATCCATCAAAATACCGCTTCCTTCATCTATGGCCATGGCTTAGCCACATTGTACTGATATCCGCGACAATGGTTTTCTTCGTCCTATGGGCGCGAGCACCTTCGATAAATGATGTTGTTCTGTACTGTAGGTGGACAAATAGGTTGACACTTATAATCTTGCTTACCTGTCGCAGCTCCAGCAAACGAGGCCATTGAATCCATCGGTGTCATAAGATTCAACGGAAGTCTAGACGCTCCTTCCATTTATCGTGGCGCTCCTTCCCCAGAACTCGATGCAGTTTGGCATGAAATAGCTGCCGATGGTTGTATCAAATTTCACTCACTTCGCATGCAATCATTGACGTGAAATGGTATCCAGCGCGCCCAGTTCGTCTGACACATGATCAGCTACTCAGAACAGGTCAGAAACCTTCTCCAGCCATGGCTGTATATCCAGACGAATATGGCGGAGGTTATATGGCGACGACTGAAGTCATTCACATGCTCCATTGCATAGTCAGTTGCATCGCAGAAAATTTGGACCTTCTTTTTCTCACTCCCATGTAGAACATGCTTCGAAAAGTCACCTGGGGCGATCATTACAGATCATTTGATTATTCCATCCACGACTCCCCCGAGGCATTCCGCACTCATCTCGGTAGGTATAATGATTCTTTGCCATCGCAAGTCCTACTTATGTTTTACCTCAGACCACTGCATTGAAATGCTCAGGCAAGATATCATGTGTCGTAGTGATGTGACGGTGCTCACTTATGACTGGGTGGAAGGAATCGAAGATCCTTTTCCTAACTTCAATATTCGTCACCAATGCAGAAACTTCGAGAAGATATTGGATTGGGTAGACGAGCATCGTGTTGTTGTCCCTAAATCCGACATGGTCCGCTTGAAAGACACCATTGACCTACCCTCCCCACCTTAATTGCATTCTTGATATAGTTTGCTTCTGATGAAGATTTTAATTACAACTTTTCATATGGATCAAGTGACGCCAGCGGCCAGATACCGACCTGAATTTCAATTACCACATCATGACTCCAAGCCCTTTTGTGTCGAATGCAAATGCAACTTCTGCTAAATTATTCAGCGTTATAACGCCGCTTGTTACACTTGTCTACATTCACTGCTGCGGGATGGAGAGCAGTAGTGATGCACAAAATGAGTAGGACATTGTGATCCGTGAACGAATTACGTAATATCCAGCAGTGGAATCCTGGGAGTCCCGGCCAGCTTAGACGCTGGTCACCAGTCTACGGCCAGCTGGGCATGTCAAATTTCATTGCATTCCAATATCACCGGATCCCACTGACCCTGACACTCCTTCATATTCATGCGTCAGGCTCTTATCTGAACAAGAGCCTACTACTACGTTCGGAGCTGGGGACACGTCAAACACGACCGGTTTCCTACCCTAAATATCTGCCGACCTACACGCGTTTGGGCCTTTTCCGAGGCGAACAGTCAGTTGTGGACGCCGTAACTTGCTTGCTAGATGCTGTCATCTAGCTCTCGCTGAGCCATTTCATCATAAAACAGGAGCACACGCAAACTAATACACACCAGGACGACTCAGCCTGGTCTGCTACTTTCAATTCCTCTAGCCTCGCTGAAGCCTCATCAATCGACGCTTTTTTGGTTGCTGCCTCTTCTAATGTGACTCGACAGAGCTTACGCGCGTTCTTCTGGTCTTCGGCTCATCAATATATATATTCGTTTGGTGCTAAATCCTGGCAGTTCTGATCAGTCTGTAGAGAGTCTATATCTCGAAGCTTCACACGAGTTCGATAGACACATCATGGACGCAGACGAACGATTGACAATATATCTCATAACTGGTTCTGCATAGAATCTTGTTCTGCGTAATCGCACACTTGCGCTACGTACAATATACATGTACTGTGAGCCCAACACGATAATGTTTAATGCGAAACAAGGCTTACTAATGCGACAGCATTAGTGATTCTGCTTGTATCCGGGTCTGGTCACGCTGCTGGAGACACTTTGTTCTGTGTACATTATATGATGAGGTTAACATGACGAGATTTGGTGCGAAACCGAAGGCTTACGCGTACTACTGGCTCTGCGTAAAGGGATGGTTCCTCATAATTGCCCTGCGCACATCGTAATGTCAGGTCAACGCGGTGAGATTGAGCGCGCGAAACAAGGCTTACCACAGCGTCGCTACGCTTGGCAATGTCACCGACAGCTTGAACAGCCTGCAGATATTGTATGTCAATATGTGACAAGGTTTGACGCGAGATGAAGCTCACTGGTACTATCCCTGCATTGACAGCCATCAAGTTGAGAAGAAGGATGAAAACAGCAGTGGAGATGCGGGTGAACATGTTGGTGAGTTGCCCAAAATTTGCTTGCACAGACTGAATTTAAAGAAATTTCTAAGCGTATGACCGTGTTACTAGCAGAAACGATCCGGCAACTGAATTGTAAAAAGAAATCCACCAATACTTCCTACGATTCTCGTCGCTAGCAACCACCTTGGAGTCTTGCGTGAGAATTGTAGTAGAATGTAGCTCCTTATACTGGCATACTGCCCATCATATCTCCTTTTGTAACTCACGAATTTGACACTTTTAATATGAACGTAATTTCATTCAGCGTTATTGATGTTCAATGCTAGCGCTGCCTAGCCTCAGATGCAGTCCTTCATTGGTGAACCGGTCACGAGCAGAATCATATCCTTCTGTAGGTCTTACGGTTACAACAATATTGAGGACCTCTGAATTCGCTGATGTCGAGTCAGTAAAATCTGGAGGACAAAGGTCGTGTTACTGTTGCCATTATAGTGTCGTGGGGCAGAACTGGAAGAGCATGGTTACCACAGCATCAAGGACACTTAAGGCGTGCTATTTCGACATGAGAGTCCTTGCATCGTGTTTCCGTGATCATTATCTCGTCTACCACTCTTCCGTCCCATCATGATGCATATCCCGGTCCAAAGCAAATGAGTATTATCCGCGCATTAATTATTTCCCCGTGATGAGTGATTTGGTGGAACAAAAAGCTTGGCAACCTCTGAAACTTAAAGCTGGCTTTATGGACCTCCTTTCGACAAGGGGATTGGGAAGTTGGCCTCCAGACTTGGACATTGTAGAGAGCCTGTGGTTCATCCCGAGTCCCACCCATTAATTCTACTCTGCCATGACCCTGTCAGAATGGTAATCAATGCATGGAAAATGTTAGGGGACGGATTATCTGTACCGGAGTGTGAAAAAAAAAACGAAACCGAGTCAATCTGTAAAAATACTAAACCGCTTTAATGATGTAATTTCTACAGAATGAAGCAGAGTTGCTGGAAGATGATAAAGCTGCGCTGGCCGTTGCTAGCACTGTCTCAATTCGTGTTAAGCTCGTGTGCCAAGATCGTATGAAAATCGGCAATTACGACGTTTATAATTTTGCCGAGTCCGTTTGCCATTTCTAGACGCCACTTGTCCGTCGTACGTTGGTATTGAAATGCAAGGACTCCGAGGCACCACTGTGACTGTCCCTTGGAGAACGGCGAGTGCTAGTGCTGTGTAAGGCTCAGATATTCGGCTCATCATGTGGTACAGCGTCGAAATCAGTGCCTATAGAAACAAGGTATTGAAGTGCAGGAGCAATAGTCGACGCCGGACGACAGAGCCCTGATTGTATTTCAAACGGACACCCGGTATCGCTTTCTAACGTAAAATTAATATTCTCCTTGCCTGCATGTGCATGGGAGAGCATGCGACTTTGCGAAACCACCGCGCGTTGAGGGACTAGTGCCAGCAGCACTAGGCGCGAGATAACGGACATGGAACTACAATGCAAGAGCGCGAAATCCGAGGTTGCTATTGAGTCATCAAAAATTTTCCTTGATTCTACCACCTGCCATATTCTACTGAGTCCTGCCAGTTCTGCCGGGGGAACACCTTTAAGATAATTCTACCCAGGACACTGTGGCTAGTGTCCACTGCCAGCGGTAACCCCGATCAGCATGGAGTAGACATCAATTTCTTGCAAAGGCAAACAGTTGCGGCGACCGGGTTTGGGAATGATAGTTAGACGATGACCAGGACGTTCGAATTCCGTCGCAGCTTGGTGCGATAGAGCAGAATATGGAGTTAAATTAGCTTGAACGCGTTAAACTGCCACTTACGCGTGAGTACAGACTCCGCTTGAAGTTGTGGGCACCTCCCGAGAGTCTGCAGCCTGGTCCAGCAGCCAGGTCGACCTTGCGAGTCCTGGATCGAACCTCAGTTAGGATCTTATCCGCATGGATGTTACCCAAGAGCAAGCGCAGGACATTGTCGCCCGAACCGAAGGCGACGATGCTGTGATCGAACAGTTTCACGAGATCTGCAATAAGAGATTTAGGTATGATATATCAATCATACGCCTGGAAGGATTTTAGCTACATCCAATGCTCCAGCTACACTTCGTGTATCAAGTTTTACAAGATCGACATCGTACCCCGCAATGCATCATACCTTCTTGCTGCTACACCTGGCTCTAAACCAATCTCGGTGATGCAGCCACTCTCCCTTGCCACAATTCGCAATCTCCTCTCAGAAATCTCTAATAACACCATGATGCCTGTACCAGAAACTAGAAGCTTCGATGATTCCCTTGCACATCATCCATTCCATTATCTCCTCCTCCGCCTGCCCACACCAAACGCCCAGTCCCTCTCATCGCTAAGATCGAGCGGAGCTCTCACTCCGCTCCAAGATGCTCTTTTGGACCTTAAGTTAGGAACCTTTCTTCATTCCATGCACTCACTCCAAAACGATTGGTTTGGTGTCCCAGGAAGCCAGCCAGACGAGGAAGTATGCTACAGCTGGCAGGATACATTCATGCTGCTCCTTGATGGGCTGCTATGCGAGCTTGAAAACTCTGGAGAGATACAAACGACGCTGGTGGAGGACATAAGGCGATATCTATCCCGCGCCATCGGGTCATTTTTATTTGAAGACGCAGAAGTGCCTACATTGGTTTGGTTGACAGGTTCAGCGGACGATGTGTATGTCCAAATTTCGGAGCCTTGTGGGCCGAATCAGGAAGCTAGAGTTGACATCACATATGTGTTGCCGACATTTGATCGCGGGGTGTGGGGAGACCCGATGTTGGAGGCGTTTTTTATGCCGCCAGGGCCAAGCAAGGCATTGGAAGAAGGATATTTGGAAGGAGAGGGCGGAACCTTGATCGTTTTCCCGAGGCAGAGAACGAAGAGGATGTGGTACACGCTGTTCTTAGCTCTAGTTGTACTGGTAGAAGTTAGGAGAGATGAGGAGAAGGGGGAAGGCGATAGAAAAACGCATCAAAAGCTCGATTGGGCAAGGGAGATCCTCCCAAGATGCGTTGAGGCGTTGAAAGATGCGCCCTGTCACTAGAATAATACAGTAAAGTCCTGTAGCCCTCAAGTTCAGCTATATGCATGAAGCAAAAACATAGATGTCATACCCACCGATAGGTATATCATGACGAAGGATTAGCAGGAGCCATTTCAACATCTACTACTGCGGTTGGGGAAGCAATTGGTGTTGGAGCATCGTTTCCCGTGAGTTCACCTTCTACAATATCTTCCTCGTCACTACTTTGTCCTTCTCCATTTTCTCCGTTGTCGGGAGTCACTATCATTTCGTTTTCGTTGGTCATCTGAACGTCCTCATGTCCCATACGTGGATCCCATTCAAGCTCTTCTGGCTCCTCCACCTCCACTTCGACGCGCTGCTTCCACTCAAACTTATCTCTAAGCATCATCACAGCCCTGACAGCGCGCTCTACACGGTGATCATGCGCACTCCGTATCTCTTCACATTCACGCAGCACATCCTCGTGTGTCACCCGACCACTATTGGGAGGGGAATGGTTAGTCTGAACGATATTCGTGGCAATGGCGCCACGGGTGACCATACATTCCGCCAGACGCCGAACAGTCGCGCTTTCCATATTAAGTACGTCCGTCGTCTGCTGATTGCGCAAAAGAGGGATCAGGTCATTGTCGAGCTGATGATCCGTCATTCCGATGCTAGGATGCAGAGCGATGTTCTCGTACACGCTGGAGCCGAGCCGAGCTTTCGCCTGGCCAATTTGGGACTGTACCTGAGGCGAAGATAGGGATTGGGAGAAACTATGAGTTTGGGAGAGAATGACATTGTATTTGGAGAGGATATCTGGCCAGGCGGGCATGGCGTTCTGTCCACCGACATCGATTGTACGCTGGAGGGTCTGGATAGATTCAATAATTTGGTTAGCCTTAAATTTTAAGAGCTCAAGTTGAGCGATTGGAAGGGACTTTGAATCGAAAGCAAACTGAGGGTTGTTCGTAGCCATGATGGATTGATTCCAAAGAAGGGAAATTTAGAAGCGTCGTAGTTCACGAAGCTCTTGCACAACAAGACCAAATAGTCTTCAAGTCAAGTTCAACTGCTAGTGTTATTGGTATTCTCCTCTCCGTTTTTACTGTTCTTTTCATCAAATTTTTTCGGGATGCTTTCGCTTTTCGCTCGTCAGGTTGCATCCAATCTTCTCGTGCTGCGCACCAATGTTTTGTCTTCATCAGTATTGACTTCATCCGCATTCGTTGCTACGCGTCGTACGTTCTTCACCACGCGTCTTATCCAGCTGCCAGCCGCTGCATCCAAAAGCGCATCGACCACAACGAAGAAAACCACAAAGAAAACCACAGCCACAAAAGCTGCTCCAAAGAAGGCGAAAGCCACTAAGAAAGTAAAGTCCAAACCGAAGTCAGCAACGAAATCCAAGAAGACGGTCGAGCCCTCTGGTGAGTAGAACCATTGGCTGAGCTTGTAGTTATGTACATGTTTATATGTCTTGCTATAGCTCCCAAGAGGGTGCCCAAGTCTGAGCAGCCTCCTTCGCGTCCCCCTAATGGCTATCTGCTTTTCTTCTCGAAGCTCGTCCAAGACCGTAAAGGAGAAATGAAGGATACTTTGGCCACCCAAGATTTGGCAAAAGAAGCTGCAGTTATGTGGAACGGCTTTACTCTTGCGGAGAAACAGGTCATTTACATTGCCATATGTGCAATGTGTTGCGCTAAAATTTCTTTCCAAAGCCTTACTACAATGAGGTTGAAGTGTTGAAGAAGCAGTATGAAGAAAAGCTATTTGACTATTGGAAGACTGCTTCTCCGAAAACCCTCAGGGAAATAAATGCGCGTCGTAAACATGACGGGAGAAAAAAGATTCACCGACCTCAGCAAGAGCATGACTATAAGCGCCCCAAGGGAGCTTTCTTTAGGTCAGTTTCAGTACTATGGTAAACATATAAAGACTGACAACAAAGCACGGTTTACATAGATTCATGGAACAGTTCCGTCAATCAGATGATGGTAGAGCCATCCGAGAAGCTGGAGACACTGCCACAGGTAGAGCAACGGTCAATATTGCTCGTGAGGCCGGTGCGCGATGGAGGGCAATGAGCGCCTCTGACAAGGCTGTAAGTGAACCTGACTGACGATTGTTTATCAATAACTAACGATGTCACTCTAGCCCTATGTGGAAGCTTACCAGACAGAGCGTAGTGACTGGCAAGCAAAGCAACTCAGCAACAGTGCATCTTCGTAGGAGCTTATATGTCAGGAAATTCCGCATGCATCAGTCCCTCTGCCATTCCGTTATTATTCAGTTTCCATCATCGCTTACCTACTTCATCGCCCACGTTCAACTCAATGAGTTGATTTTTATTGCAATGTTTATAATTTCTGAAGTCATTCGCATGTCCCTACAGCTTTACATGTGTACGTTAGGAGTTTCTCGTGACGTTCTTGTTGACTTGCGAATTCTCCTCATCGTACGTCTCGGTCATAGCATCAATGTGCAAGTTTTTCAGGCACGCGGACACATATGTGATACTCATAATAAATCTCAAATCTCGCATGAAGATGTTCCAAACATTTGCACATTATCTCGAGTACTCTTCAAATGTTGGCTACTCTCGTTTTAGTCTCCGGACAGTGGAGCTATCTCCCTTTGCAGACCATGTCACATCATCAACGAAACATGACTTTTGCATCAAGATGCATGTGTTATGCTTCTTTTCCCCCTCTTCTAACTGATATTTCAGACGCTCACGATACATTGCTATCATCCAAGGTTGCGTAGGCGCATTCTGTCACTTCATGCAGTGGATCCGAACTCTGATTTCACTGTAGGTGATTTTGTATGCCCCTCCACCTCCGATCGTCGATACGGATATCTCAGTGGCAAACTAAACGGGAAGCCATGTTTATGACGAGCCTTCCAGAAACTCTCTGCCCAGCCATCTTCATCTTCATACTCGCTTGATCTACCACCACATTAACATTCACCCTTTGTCTCATGTATCTGAACTTCGCCTCCGACGGTACGTTCCCCTCCCGAGAACTGATGTGACCTGGTCCCGCCACTACCCAAGACAGTCCCGAAGAATGGAGGACAACATATTTTCGATCAGCGTCCTCGCGGCTGTAGTTTCCAACATTCCGTTTTCTAGCAAGTAGAAGATTTCTGACTATCAAGTCGTGCTTCATGGAATCGAGAATGTCCCGCTTTCAACGACATCCCCGCCGGGCTCGAATTTTTGGAGGTTGGGGAGGGTGCAGGCCACGTTCTCACCCCATTGATGCACACTCCTGAGGAGACAAAGCTGCGTGCTATGTCCGGCGCATCATCAAAATGATTATTTGCATGCGAATCTCGCTCAACATATCGTCATTCTGTGCAAACTGCACACCGTGGAATGCCAATCGAAGTCCGAGAATCGGCGCACGAGCCCGCTACAGCTTGACAAAATGCTCGGGTATTTTCTTCTCAGCCTTACAAAAAGTGATTTTCCGTTGACGAACAAAGCACACAAATAGATTGGTTTCGCAAGCACTATGAGACTGTCACAGGAGTAGCTCAGGGTTTTTTTTGAAATTCAAGGGTTTGATAACCACCACCCTGGATGAGAAACGGTAAAAAGGTGCTTGTTCGAAAAATTCCTTGGAAAAATTTTGGGACCCGAGATGACTTGCCGCAGCACCATCACCATCACCATCAGCTTCTACGGAGTAAGTATAGATTTTCCTAAATCCTTCGGTTTACTGCAATGTAGTTTTAGCAACTAGAGGTGCCCATTAGGCCGCAGCATCCCCCGGATCAACGGATCAGATCACTGTGTACATAAATTTAACAGGGGAAGGGTAATTGATTGTTCAAGTGACTATCAAGTTTCTGAGTTTTAAAAGCATTTAGTACGCACAATCCAGACAGCGAGAGTTCACCAACGCGAATCTTATCTCTGAATCGAATCAGGGCCGCATCTACATCTGAGTCCTCTGCGAGAAAGTGACGATATCCACTAACCTGCATGGACGGTGCACACATCTACCATCAAGCTCAGATGACCCGGACCCTACGAAAACGTACAAAAGCCCTCTGAATGTTTAATGTAGTACATACTCTCCTTGACTCAAACATCAAGCCTTATTTTTGTCCTCGGCGGGCTCGCGTCTGCCTCATAAAATATGTGGAGGTTGACGGATGCAACCTGCTACTAGATGCGGAGCGGTGCGAGAAATAGGACAAGCAGCTGACCTCGTGGAAATTGCTGTTACTACCATCAGGATGACTGAACTTGGTGACTAGAAGTTCAATTTATCGGTTATAATGGATGGTATTAATGTTCACCACAACATTTTGCCGCCGCTTCAAAGATGGGCTGCGGAGAAGCTCGTATACTTGGATTTATAAATAACTCGATTTAAATACGGCATGCTGCGCAGCAGTTCAATTGAAGTTCAAAACGTTCAAACGTTCATCTACTGGTCGCGATGGTAAATCTAAATTTATGTTCAGTAATATAATATAAGCCACAATGTTGTTCCTACGCTGCAGTGGCACAAAGGTGGCCAGTGTACTACCACCGATTGGTCTTCTGGCAAGATAGCCACGTAGAATTCAAAGTACGAAATCGTGATCTTGTTATGGCGCATCGGTATTACCAACCTTATAGTCTCGGGGGGATTCACGAACGTCATGACCCGAGGATGCACCCCAACTGACTCTAAGCAGGTCCTACAGGGGAGTGATTAAAGATCGACCAGCCTCCCTGTATTACAACTGACTATGCAATGGAGCGGCTGAATGATTTTCCAGTTGCCATATAACCTCCACCGCACCCATCTGGATACCTAACCATGGCGGGAGAAGGTTTCTCCCCTGTTCTGGTCAGTTGCTCAAGCGTCATACGAATCGGAAGCGCTGGGAAATATGGTCATTGAATGTCTGTGATATAAGTGAAGTATGGGGGCGCAACCATCAAGAGGTATCCTATAAAGGGACGCCCATTGAATTGTATGATGCCGATGGATTCGACCGCCTCGTTTGCTGGAGCTGTGACGAGTAAGCAAGATCCTGTGTTTTGACGCTGTCTGTCAACCTACAGCCCGAGTACAGAATCACGTCAGCGATGGACGGCGCCCGTACCCGCGCAAAGAACATCATCGTTATGAACATCAGCTCACCATTGCTTAGCCATGGCGACCAGCGAATGAGACGTGAGGTCTTGTTTCTGTATTGCTATCAAGAAGGTTCGTATCATCACAATCGTCGACTCCGTCGACAGGAGAATTCGGAATATTCCTTACGCGTATGTGGCGCAAGAAAAGGACTTGAAGTTCGTAGCTAAGGCCTAAGATTTCAAGTTCAAGACACTCGGGAGTCAGGATGCACTTGAAACAAAGCCGTACTCGTGGGCAAGTTGGAACCCAGAACCTGAGAGGCTTGAGTTCTTGCTGATGGAACCACTTGAGCATCGAAATATTGGTCCACGTAGAAGATTCGTACTATGTACATAGCAGCCGTATAACTTGAACCATACTCATGTAATGAGAACAGAATTAGCTTCTATAGAGAGTTCGCACGCTTTAAGCGCTTAAGCACTTCACAGTCTTTACTGCTGTGACTCGTGGCCATCTGCATCATCACTCAAATCTGCATATGTCCACGCCGGTTCTCACACTGGCAGTCAAGCTGGCAGTGTTCCTAGATGATCAAAATGGAATGGCTTTCCCTCCTCCGATCATCCCGGGCCTGCGCTTCCCAATTGAATACTTCCGCTGGGGCAGGTGACTCTAGCGCCAACGTCTAGCCTCGTGTTCCCCATTATCCCTACATTGACAACACCCGAGTCCAGCAAACGAAGTTTCCCCAGGGTCATGGTCAAAGATTTTTTACAGTATTCTCCTATCAATGCTGCTGACAATGATAACGAGGAATCATTTGGAGATGTAAAAAGGTTTCGTGCTGAACTTCGTCCTAAGTTGCATAATATCATCCGCGTGTGGCCTATATTGAGCCATTGCGCGTTGATATGGACATCGATCCTCTTTTTCGCGCTATGGATGAGCACGCCTTCGCCCCACCTGCATGACGACATTCCTGTATATTGTGAGATATCTCCGGACAGCTGGCATATGATAGTGTTGACGATTTGTCACAGCTCCTGCAAGTGGTGCCGTTGACTTGATGATCGCAAGATTCAATGGAACCCTCGACTTTCCTTCTATCTATCGTGGCCCTCCTTCTCCTCAAATTGATGCCGCTTGGGCCAGGATAGCTCACGATGGTGCGTCGCACATTCTCGCCTCTCATCCTAATTAATAATTGTTTACGTCCATGAAACCCCAGTGCTACCGACTCGGATGTCACTCGAGGAAATTCTCAAAGCCGGCGAAGTAGATTCACCTTCCAAGGTGAAATATCCAGCTGAATTTGGTGGAGGCTTCATGGTGTCTATGGAAGCCCCTCACCAACTCTATTGTCTGGTAAGCTATACTACGTCGAAAGTTTAGTCGTTCTTGCTTCATTTTCTGTAGAATTTACTTCGCAAAGCCTCGTGGCCCGAGTATTATGGACCCACGGATATCTCGTTCCAGGACACTCCCGAAGTAGTCCGCATGCATCTTGGTACAAACGCTTCTTATTTATTTATGCGCCTCCTGCTTACCATATATATCACAGATCATTGCATTGAAATGATCAGGCAGAATATTATGTGCAATGCCGACGTGACGATGATAACATGGGACTGGGTTCAGGGACACAAAAAGCCATACCCTAACTTCAACACCCGCCACCAATGCAGGAACTACGAGAAAATCTTGGATTGGGCTGTGGAGCATGCTGTTGATATACCGAAATCGGCGGTGACTCGTTTCGAAGATACAGTTGACATACCCTTACCCTTCCATCTGATGCACACTAATGTATAAAGAATACACTATATTCTTGAGTATCTTGCGAGAACGGCAATGATTAAGAGTTCAGTCGAATCAACATGTTAGTACCTCGATGGATAACAACTGGGACACGCAAAATCGACGATTTCGGTACGCGCCCAGGGTGATTTTTGGGGCCAAGCCCTAAAGGCCAGTACGTCTAAGTATAAGAAGTGATGTCGTATTCTTGGTGATTTTAGCGATATTTTAGGAATATATAGCTCCCCAGATATTTTTAAACGGTAGAATTGGAATCTGTTCAGGCAAATATGTTCTAAAAATGAGTCCTCGGCCATTTGTGCCGCGTCAGGAAAAAATACATTTTTGATGGGTCTGGATATAGAGTTCAGTTTATCTGCTGCGACGACGGTCCACCCCGAGCACGCACTTCGTCGGCTTACTTCTTTTCCCCACTCTTTCTCCTATCTCATTGCACACCAGCGCGTTATTATCCTGAAGGAGTAAATTAGTCAAGGCAGCCCCTCCCGCCCTCAAACGGGCCTTGGTCCGAAACCCCATCGAGGCCAGAAAGCGCCACTACTCGCGCCATCACCCCAAAGTCTCTCGAGCTTCGAGTACGAGTTAGGAACACATCGCTTTATTTGGTCACGAAACATCATGCCGGTGTACGTCCTTCTTGTCATCTAACCTCGCGCTGGTCAATCTTTCATGTATTTTTTAGTGCTCGCTGGTTATGTATCAGTACTCAAGTACTCATTCCTTTCAGCCTCCAAGTCTTTGTCGCGCCTGATATCCTGATAGCAAAGCCACAAACGGACAGTAACGAAAGTTTTAATTAGCATCGTGACACGGCTATAATTTACTTCCATGGGACACTGGTAATAGTTTCGAGTCACTACCAATTGTGGAGCTGAACTAGAGCCTGGCTACAGATTTCCATCATACCCAAACGGTCGGAACGAAACTTTTTCAAGTTGCTCCCACCATGACACCCTGACCGTCACAGATATGCATCGTGTCGACTTTCTATTTTAGCAAAGCGGTGATTAAAGACATAAGGTTCTCCGTGTTTACAAAGATTTGACCCCTGCAATCAGAAACTGCATTCTAGAACCGAATCTCGCTGTCATTGTTGTTGGTATCAAGGTCTGTTTTAGACTTTGATGTCATATGGCGCAGCGAGAAACAATCGGGGGTACTGATGACAGCTGGGAGGAGCGCCATCAGCTGACCTTAGTGCGAGTCGGAGCGCACGAGTCCTTTAGGGTGAGTTACATTGATTGCGAGGTCCTGACGTCGTAGTAAATGACTTAAATTACTTCTAGCAATGAATATAAGGAATACACCCTGCATATATCATCACATAATGATGCGTACCGATCGACGGTGGAAAGGATTTGAAAGAACTCGTATGGTGTATAGGACGGTACGGATTACTACTTCACGGGCATCAGTCAAAAATTAACCAAAGGTAGGCTTGTGCGGGCATTTTTCGTTGACCCAATATGGCAGGATCAGCAACAATTACTACTACTGTCATACTCACAAAGCACATGACGGAGCGCTGTGCGGGCATCGCAGGACCTTCTTCACTTTTTCAATGCTATTCTTGACGATGTTTTATTTACAATGGGGCATATCCAGACCGCTGCACATCCAATTAATATTGTTCGCTCCGCCGCATCACAAGATCGAGAGAGCGAGAGAGCCAGACAGCGTTCTAAAATTAGCCATGCTACATGTCCGTTTGTCTTAAAATAAGTATCGTCTTATATTTAGTCACGTCACATGGACCTCACTCGACTTACGTTAGGTCAATTTGCTAGCTGATATTTCTTGTCGCCAACGCCATCCTTCGAGGCACCAAACCAAGATTGGCACATCAACCGTGCTGCGGATTGCGTGAGGACACCGTTCTTTTTTCATTTCTACATAAATTCCGCATAACCACAAGCGTAATGTATGTAGCCTTTTCAATCGATTGAGATAACGCGGATTGAATGCTCACGGGTAATTTTGACACTGACAAAAGACCTCAAGTCGGACAAGTCACCCCATGATACCCTGAAGACTTGATAAAAAATGCGCGATGACGTTCTATCAATGGGACTGATCAGACGCCACCAGGACACGCAAAAGCGTTAAGATCTACCCTTTGCGTTGAAGCTCTGATCAGCTGATGATCTCTTACTAGCCTACCTAATCAGCGTATGTGGCAACTTAAACGTGCCGCGTTTCATCGAGTTCGGCGGTCGTCTTGATTTCCAATTTACCAATGCAAAATGGGGCTGTTGTTTCTCTTTCTCGCATGAGCCAATGAACGGAGCTGATCCGAGGATTAAAATTCGGGTCGACAATTTTGCCTTGTGGGTGTTGAGTGATTTTACAACGAAACTGGCGGCTGACCCGGTTAAGTCCACTTGGAACAACCCCTCACGAATGTTCTGAGTGGATGAAGCTTCACCCAATTCAGGAGACCCGAGTCATGAGCAGATCTACGAAAAGGTATAAAACGAACCTCTCTTGAGAATATTAATGTAGTGCATCGACAAGTACCACTCGCACCTGTTATCTCAAACATGCAGCTTTCTCTCGTCTTCAGCGCGCTCGCATCCATCGTGATTCTCGCTGCCTCAGCGCACCCTACACAAGGAGCCGTCGCGGAACGTTCTTGTGAGTATTCAAATCACTCGTCACCATGCGGAGGTTGATGAGCGTAACTTGCTGCCAGATGTAGAGACACGCGTCGACCTTCTACCAAACGTGGGGAAGCGCGAGGAGCTTGACGCCGACCACCATAAGAAGCATGGTCACGGTGGAAAGCGCGAGGAGCTTGACGCTGACCACCACAAGAAGCATGGTGGGAAGCGCGAGGAGCTTGACGCCGACCACCACAAGAAGCATGGTGGGAAGCGCGAGGAGCTTGACGCCGACCACCACAAGAAGCATGGTCACGGTGGGAAGCGCGAGGAGCTTGACGACGACCACCACAAGCATGGTCACGGTGGGAAGCGCGAGGAGCTTGACGACGACCACCACAAGAAGCATGGTCATGGTGGGAAGCGCGAGGAGCTTGATGACGACCACCACAAGAAGCATGGTCATGGTGGGAAGCGCGAGGAGCTTGACGCTGACCACCACAAGAAGCATGGTCATGGTGGGAAGCGTGAGGAGCTTGACGCTGACCACCACAAGAAGCATGGTCAAGGTGGGAAGCGCGAGGAGCTTGACGCTGACCACCACAAGAAGCATGGTCATGGTGGGAAGCGTGAGGAGCTTGACGCCGACCACCACAAGAAGCATGGTCAAGGTGGGAAGCGCGAGGAGCTTGACGCCGACCACCACAAGAAGCATGGTCACGGTGGGAAGCGCGAGGAGCTTGATGCTGACCACCACAAGCACGGTCACGACCACCAGTGAATTTGACGACAGGTTCTGCGCAGGTGAGTTATAGCCGTATGTCTTGTTCTTTGTGAGAGTCATCCATTGTACTAGGTCTGGCATCGTCGCAGTCTCACCCCAAAGCAACTTCCTTCTGCATATCTCGACTCCCTTATCTGATCGCTTTTTCTGATATGTCGAATACCCATGTAATATTGCAATCCTAGTTAGCTCGTGCTCTTTTAAAATCGGACTCAACTACAGACCCAGCGTTCTTGACACTATATCCGGTGACATTGCGTATTGAATTTTCGAACTCGTGTGTCGAGGTCCCTCAGTTCCCCTTGAAATGGGAGATGGTATAGCTTGACGGTCAATTGCAATACCAGCCCAAAGTCAACTCAGCGCATAGAAGCTTGACAGAAGAAATTTGACATATTCAGGATGGGTACGCTTCACCGGGACAAAGGGTAATAAAAGTTGGCGAGCACTGACGCGAGAAAGGGATGTGGAATAATGGTCTTCAATACAGAGCGCTGGTATCCATCTAAGAAAGCCAGTGGTAAGCATGCAGCGTAGCAAAGAAAAACGCGCCTTGCAAAATAAGGGAGGAAAAGAAAACATAGGCGGAAAGGGCCTACTCAGGCATCAAATACAAGTGTGATTCAACGGGGAGCCGCCCACCAGAGAAAACATATTAACAACGACTCAACGAGTTACGATACTAACGGTGGTCACGTGAAAAAGCTGCCAGGTGAATGGGTTCGACAGGTAGACTCGTGACTACAGGACACTCAAGAATGAAGACACTGCAAAAAAAAAACGGGTTATGGTAATATGCATGTACCACTAGGGGGATAATTTAGGCGAGGGATTGATGAGGAGAACAACAAACGATGAGCGAAGCCACGGAGATATCCGGGCAATCAAGGAAATATCCGATCCGCAGTCGGGCTCGACTAAAGTCCTCCACCAACGTGGAAGTCGATCACTGAAGAACAAGAGAGCCGTGTAGTACTGGTGGCAGAATTAGTTGCGGGAAATTGTACCGGTCATGCTGGTAGAAGTGGCAGAATCGCCACTTCTGTCGCTCGGCAAAATTTGCAAAGGTCTACAAGGCTGTATGTTACAATGTATAGTAAGTCTCGCTAGGAAACACTGTTGGAAGAGCATCAGCGTGTCCATCCTATTGTCCGTCATGTGAGCTGCGATGTGATCTTGTCATCAACAGACACATAACAGTACATAGAAAGCTACAGCGTGGCTAGAGTCATTCCACGAGCTTGGATGTTTACCACATACATCGCTGTCTCCGCCAAAATAACAAGACCAGACTTCGTGAATATCAGCTGAGACGCGGTGCTGTTTAAGTAGAACTTCCCAATGAGCGTGCCTTCGTCATTCCAGACATGAATACCATCGCCGCAACCGGCATGAACGTTGCCTTTGGTATCAAGCTGAATGCCATCGGGTGCACCAGAGTCACTGTAGGCGAACACTCTACGGTTCATGAACGACTGCGTCGTTGGCTCGACGTCGAACTGATAGCTTTATAATTTGCTTCAGTATGATTATCATCATTCTAGGTGGAATTAACTAACATCGTGGCTGGAAAAGTCTGATTTGTTTCGAGGAAGCCTCCGAAAACACCCGTGTCGGTGCTGGTGCATTACTTTAATTTACAAACATGAGAAAAAACCTAAACTCACACGAATGCAGTTTTGCCATCGGGCGTGAACGCAATACCATTCGGGTTCACAAATTGGTCAGCGACAACTCTGACCTGCCCAGTGGACGGATCAAAGCGGTACACTTGTGACGGTAGCATTGGTTCAGGACGGTAACCATTAAGCCACCCGTAACTGAATAAGCCATTAACATTGCGGACATTGTGATCTCATCCGTTGCTCACGGAGGATCGGTGAAAAACATGATGTCCGTGCCAGGTAGAATTTTGATATCATTCAGCGAGTTGAACTGTCTGCCTAGGAAGTTGTCCAGAATAACAGTGGTGTTGTAGGGAGGGCTGGGATTTACGCGAACAATAGAAGGCGGAAGCAAAGCGCGACCTGCGGTGACGAACAGAAGGTCTCCCCTGTATGGACCTGTTCCCCCGTTAACCATTTGGACATTGTCAGAGAGATTGAGCTGAAAATCAAGACAGTTAGACATCAATGATTAAGCGGGAGTGACCCACCGTTTGAACCTGAATATTAACATTTCCAGTCGTACGAGCCAGCGCCTCGTCGACTAGCGTCATGTTGATCATGCTGACAACACTGTTGTTATACCAGCCACTGTAGGTGAGTGTGCCACCACCAGTGTTTGAAAAGAAGACCAAGTTGAGATCTGGAACGTAGATGGGTGCTTCATGGGCAAAATCAAAGCCAGGATTCGAAGCAATTTCCCGAATGGTAGCAGATGGTCCAGTGACATCGAGGAACGAAGGGTCAAAGACCTGAATGAATGGGGGTGTACTGTTGGTGGGGTTAAAACCGATAGCGGATGAGTTGCGCCATTCTGTGTAGTTTGCTCCCACAACATTATACAATAAAGGGTCGATATACTGCGAGGCGATGTTTGAATGTAATTTAGCACTGCCGAATTGCAATTGTCGACGTACAATTGCTCCAGGCGGAGACGCTGCCGTATGCGACGCGGTAACAAGGGCGACAGCCAGAATCGCACCAACTGCTAATTTCGTCATTCTTGATGAACTATTTCCTGATAAGTCTAGTTTCCTATAACGGTCAGACGTCTCAGTATCAAGATAGACTATATAGCAATACCAGGAGGGCTCTGAGTACAGTACGTGTCGGAATTTCAAGGATATCGTTGGGTCGGCCGGTCAAAGTCAGATGATGAGTAAGTTCAAAATACTTCTGATAAACCAGCTTGATATATGATCTTTGATGTCCGCACAAGATTGAGATGAGTTGTTCGTTGTTTGGCATCTTCTTCAAGGAACAACTATCTTGTTCATGCAAGATATCAATCAAAAGCATATCTGGACCGTGACATGGTTAGAGCATTCCGACAGAGCACTCTAGAATACCTTTGGAATGTGATTTCGCTGGAGACGATAGGTGGTAAAATGCCAGTTTCCGCGCTGTGTGAGGTATTACCATATAGGCAACGTTACACCGATGTTGTTACGGTGTATATGATCTTAGAGCATGGGAAGACGGTGAATACAGAAAGCCGCATAAGGAAAGTCTTCAAAGCCTTTGCACAACAGACCAAAACAACGCTTAGCCTCGTCTTCTGGAGTCTGGACCTGCTCTCATGCACTGGTCTGGCACATCTGAGGGCTATTACGGCGAATTCTAATGTAAACACGACTAATGCGTGATACGTGCAGCTCTAACAAGCTATCGTAACCGTGTATTATCAATATGGCTATCTCAAACGATATGTAACGTATCATGATTTTTCTCGCAGTGTAAATGTTGACGGATCATCTAGGACAGAGAATGCTACCTTCATCTTGCATAATAATGGGGCTATCATGTACTGTGTTTTCTTTGCCCATCACAGGTTAGCTCGTAGAGTCTCCAAAGTAAGTGTCTTTTCACGTTCGCAATAAAAATGCGACTGACCCTACGCATCGAAACTTTCAGACCTCCGTGAGTCTACCGTAACGCACCCTTGCGCTCGCCGTTTCTCTACTGCGCAAATTTATGCTATAATATATCAATTTCCCCCTTGTGCTCAAGTTCACTTGCTACTGTCTTGAGAAGGTACAGCTGCGAAAGTTCATAGTTGTGGTCGAGTGTGTCGTGACAATGCTCAGAATCCCGTAATTTGGAGTCTATTGGAGTTGTACTCCTCCACATGTGATATCACCCTCTAGTGGAGAAGCGTCGACACTCACTCGATCATCACATTCTACGTTTATCAAGGTCAGTAACATTGTCTGTGTGCTTGTGGACTAATGCACGCTTGGTGCTACAAAGCAATGAATTCCACAGGTGCATTTCCTATAGGAAAGTGTCCACAAAGGTTTGCCTTTTCCTGATGTATTGTCGGGGGATAATGCCAGATAGATGGCTTTGATGCACGACCACAGTCGTCCATCGCAAGGTATAAAACTCGGCGTCGTTATCTGCTCTATTTCTCTCATCTTTTTCTTTAATTTCCAACTGGTCTCATCATTTTAGCTACTTTGCTTGTTTAATTCATCGATATGTCTATGTAAGTCTACTTGCGCATCAGGTTCTTTATATGCTAACGCTGCCTTTCGCATTCAGCCCCTCGTGTTACAACCTCCATGCGCCATCAGATAGGTCGGTGTTCGATCTCGAGTTCAAGGACGTGCTTCAGCTCATGATTATCTTAGCGAGTTTATGCCTATGTCAGATGCTCATGTGCCGCTCCCCGGCGACCCCGATTTTGTTCCGTTGTCTGAAGAAGACAGGGCTAAGTTGATTGCGGCTCACCAAAGCGGTGAGACGTCCCCTGAAGTGTGCACACTGTTGGATGTGTACGTATTTCTACCTGATTCAGATCATTTACTCAAACTCACGGTCTCAGGCAGATTATCCAAATACGAAGATGATTTAATGAGTAGTATGATTAACGAAGACGCGCTGGCAGGCCCAGCCGATGGTCACGTTGATGGGTAAGCCGATCTAATTAGCCTACCTGGGCCAAGCAATTCACGTGCAACGACAGGTCAAACGATGATGAATCACCAGCAATGCAACAAGGGTACGTGCACTTGCAACTGAGTTCTCGACATTTTTCATTTGTTTCTCCAGGACTTTGGCCGATTCACAATATGTTCAAAATCCTCAGACGTCCGGGTCATTTCCGACATCAGAGAATTTCACCGCCCCAGTAGCTGGTCTCCCCCAGTTATCCCACATCGATCAGGGACTCTACTACACTGTGCAGACCTCTGCCATCCCTCAAGCGCCGCATGAATATGACCACGGATACTTCACGAACGGGCCTCCCAGTGCATATTATACGCAGCCCTCTGTCGCACCGCAAGGCCCCGCATGGTCGCAACATGAGTATAATCCTGAATATTATGCCAATGGACCCCCCGGTGCGTATTATTCGCAGTCCTCTGCGGTCATTGCAGCACCGCCGCAAGGCCACGCATTGGCCCAACATGGATACCATCCCGCTCCCTCTTACCCTTACCAACAACCTCCCACCATCGCGGGTCCATCCAATGTCGATCACCCCACCGAGACATTCCCTCAAGGTCAATATGCTCCCTTGCAAACGGAATCTAGTGAGGACTCAGACATGGAGCTAGCTTCCTCTGCTCTCGACGGAACGGCCAGGCCTCGCAAGCGTAAAACCCACCTTGCACCAACGACGCGCAAGCGCCGACGCCCGAACATGACCGACGATTGCACACCGGGAAAGTTTGGTCCATACACGCCAGCGGACGCCAGCGCCACGATCATGACCAAGCCTATTCATGACCCAAAGCCTGTCGACATCAGTAGCCGCAGGACCCATGATCCCAACGGCAATCCCCTTCGAACGAGGAGATTTGGGGCGATGGAACTGGACGATACCTACCCCGATGGATCCGGAAACGTCCCTGACCGACATTCGCCACAGCTGATATGTGTACGCTCATGCGATTGGACCGACCAGCCATGCGGTCTATTCATCGAGATGGACAAGGCCCGGATCGAACACCACCTGTGGTTTTGGCATGGGGTTGAGGCGAAGAAACCCACTCCCTGCCAATTCAAGGATTGCCCAGACGCAGGAACGATGATGTATCTGAGCCGTCACATCGGAGGGGTCCACTTCGATACGTCCTACCAATGCCCCTATTGCAAGAAGTTGTGGTCGAGGACCGATGCTTTGGTTCGGCATCAAAAGGGGTGCAAACGATTGCTTGCTAGCAGGGCCCACGCTAAGCATGGAAAGTACGAATTTTCTCTGCAAGCGATGATCAAGTCGGTTTCTGGGTATATCGTTCCTGCTAGGAACGCGACCTAGGACGGCGTCTATATGTACGTCTTTCCCCGTATCTGCCGTTGTTGCTAATGTTGTTTCTTACTTCCATGCTCTAGTGTTGACTCTTATTCTTGATACAACTCCTCTATGGCTGATAGCTCTCCTCTCATTCTATTACCTACATTCCTTCTAAATTTCTTACTCTCTACGGCTTGGCCGACCACATTCATTTTATTCTATTCATCTCATTCTATCACCGACATTCATTTCATTCTCGCATCGACATTCCTTTGAACATTTGTCTTCTCAGTGCTCTTTCCGTTCTTGCTTATTAGGTTATCTTTATTGTACATCTGTATTGTACACGGCTATCGTACCCTCGCTGGGGATCCTCACCGAACATGCAAAACTATCCTTCTACGGTCCCTGTGTCTGTATTTACAAATGCAATACTATAACCTTCAGGGGTGCGACCCATGTTAGCGATAGGAAAGATTGCGTCAATGACCACAGAATCAGATCGATGGCTCTCACGTCGCAGATTGAATAAGATATGGGAGGCTAGGACTCCGTGAATCACTACTTGCGGTCTGATCAAAGAGAAGTCAACAGAAGAACCTGTCAAGAGAAAGAGATGCACTAACGCGTCCAGGATGTTAGTGCATGTGTGTGCCGTACAGGTTGAACATTTTAGTGAGTACCGTGGATCCAGATGCATATTAGTAAAGCCTCACAGGAACTTGAACCAGGGCAACCAGAATATTTGCGAAGGATGTCACTAAATGACTCTTGTTAGACCTGCATGAGTGCATAAACAAGAAGACGTACTTATGATACAACTCCTGTCGAAAAAACCATATTGAATAGCGCTACCTTTCCACTGCCGAACATGCAACCTGTCCGGTCGGATCCTACAATAGGTTTGCAAAAGTGATCACTCGATATTATAAAGCGCAGCTACCTGGATGGTTAGTGAGATGGAGGATGCCTACAACTTCTGATACCCCGACAGCCCCTAGGATGAAAAAATGTTCAAATACAAATTTGCGGATGGGTAATTATGGTGATACGCATGGACCACTAGGGAGATAATTAGGGTGAGGCATTGAAAAGGACGACTTTCAAACGATGAGCGAAGTCACGGAGATACCCGGGCAATCAAGGAAATATCCGATCCGTAGACTCGACTAAAGTCCTCCACTAACGTGGAAGCCGAATCTTGTTTCAAGTTGCTCCTCCACCCTGACCGTTCACATGCGTCGCGTCGAGTTCTCCATTCCAGCAAGAGCGGTGATTAAAGATTGCCTTTACAAAAGTCCTACCCCCGTAATCGGAAACTGAACCATGAAACCGACCTCATTATAATTGTTGTTATCAAGGTTTGTTTTTTCAAAACCTTGATGTAATATACCGCAGCAGTAATAAAAAATAGTCATCATTGAGGCTGCTGATTGCTGAAGCGCTGATAGGGCCGCCATCACCTGACGTCAGTGCGGGCTATCAGAGAACGGTGACCGAGGTGCGTTACGTTGATTGCAGAGCCTGGACTCGTCGGAATTGATGACATTATATTGCTTTCAGCGATGAAAATGAAAGACATGCTGTTTGCATGCTCTGCATTTGTCATATAACTTTTTCAGGCTCATCAGTCCTCCGATGTAGACGCTGTCGACTTTGTTCAGCCCCAAAACGCATACCGATAGCGGAAAGGACCTGAAAGAACTCATACGTGGCCAGTACTGTGTACAGGACGAGACGGATCACTACCTCATGGGTACCGGTCAAAAATTAGCAAGAACCGGTAAAGTAAGGTAGGTTGATATTGTTCGTAATGGCAGAGTGTCGGTAAGTTGTTCGGCTGCTGTCTGGACTAGGAACAGCAAACAAACTTTACTTGACAGTTATTTCGTCCTGGGCCGAGCATCTTTCACTTATTGAATGTTGAATGGTTTGATTGACGCTGCATTATCCGCAATGAAACTAATTCAGACCGTTGCACAGCCAATTTTTTCGCTCCGCCGCATCACTGAAGAACAAGAGAGCCGTGTAGGTCATGCTTTTACCAACTTTGCCAAGCGACAGAAGTACTTCTGTCGCTTGGCAAAGTTGGTAAAGGTTTACAAGGCTGTGTATTACAATGTATAGTAAATCTCACTAGGCAACACTATTGAGCGTGTCCATCTGTCCGTCGTGTGATCTTGTCGTCAACAGATTTTAGTGGAAGAACTTCGTTCGACATGCTTCCAACGTGAGACTTTGTTCAGACCGTCGTTGCAGGACCAGTAGATTTGGCTTCGACCGAACATCATTAATTCATTGCCCGCAGTTTGATTTTCTGCCGCGTTTCGCCCGCAGGACATCTGCTGGGCAGAGCCGGCCATGACATTGACAGAACCTCTGCACTAATCTAAACATAAGCGAATACTTTTTTTCCGTAGGCTCGAAAAATGGCGGCAGGGATACCCCGCTGTTCATTAATGCATTTCCAGTGAATTTGCAATGTTTTGCCTCGCTCCCTCCAGGCACCCCCCAGCTTCCTTCCTTTTTAGGTCACTAACACCAGCCATGTACGACATGCTCGACCATCCATGCCCAGTCTGCCTTCGGTGCTTCCAATCTTGCCCAATCCATTATACTAGCTACCTCCAACCAAATTGAAAGTCTGCAAAGACATAAACAATGTCAGATGAGCGCTTGAGCGAGTGTCAATATTCGGTCTTACTTTCTCGCTCTCAGCTCCTTGATCAGAAATTCTTGCCTCCGGGGATTATTGCCGTTATTGGAAATGTTTTTAAGACTCCGAGATACTCTATTTTGCCTGTCAAACAGGTACCCTAGTCAACTTACGTCAGGACAGTTTGTTTTCCGCTGATACAAATTTAAAAACAAATAAAATCATCTTCTCTGTCACGGACACGGCGATGGCATTACACCCCGAGGCACCAAGCTCCAATATAAACGTCTCGACCGTGCTGCGGATTGTGTGAGCGAGGAAACCGTTGAGTTTTTTTTGTTCATTTTTAAATAAATCCTGCCTAACCACATGCGTAATGTAGCCTTTTCAACCGATTGAGATAATGCGAATTGAATCCTCATGGGCAGACGGCAGTCGGACAACAGGTAAATGCACAAAGTCGCCCCACAATACTCGCACGATGACACAATGTAATTTTCATCATTGGGACGCCAGTGCCAAGAATGCGAGGATGTCGACGAAGAGAGCTGTTGACCACAAAGTTAAAAAGGTCCGAGGTGATTGATTGATGCATAATTCCCATATGCGTATTTCTGGCTGAGTTGTTCTATAGGGGGAGTTTGCCGCAAGGTGAAGCTTTGAAAATTTGAAGATCTAAGTCACTAATCTCCCTAATCAGCGCGACTGACAACTCGAGGCGCCAATCATCATTCAGGTCGGCGGCGGTCTATTCGGGTTGTTATGATATTTTTATGTTCAATTTGCGAAACAGGGCTGTGTGAATATGAGAATCTGGATTGTACGTGTTGAGTGAACCTTTTTCGATGAGATCGACACCTGATTACATTTACTTGAAACAGCCTCTCGCAAACTTGAACGTTCTGAGTGGACAGGGTTTCGGCCCGTTCAGGTGACCTGATTCATGAGCCGACCTACGAAAAGGTATAAAAGCCCCTCGAAAATTCCAATGTAATGCATCGACAAAGTACTCTTAGTCGCACCTCATAACTCAAACACCATGAAGCTTTCTCTCGTCTTCAGTGCGCTCGCATCCGTCGTGGTTCTTACCACAGCGTACCCCATGCAAGGAGCCATTGCGAGACGTTCCTGTAAGTGTTCAAATCACTCATCACCATGCGGAGGTTGATGGGCATGACTTTCTGCCAGTTGTAGAGAGACGCGCCGACCTTCTACCAAATGTGGGGAAGCGCGAGGAACTCGACGCTGATTACCACAAAAAGGGTCACGGTAAAGAGAGGCGCGATGAGCTCGACGCTGACTACCACAAAAAGGGTCACGGTAAAGAGAGACGTGAGGAGCTCGACGCTGACTATCACAAGAAGGGCCACGGTAAAGAGAAGCGCGAGGAGCTCGACGCTGACTACCACAAAAAGGGTCACGGCAAAGAGAGGCGCGAGGAGCTCGACGCCGACTACCACAAGAAGGGCCACGGTAAAGAGAAGCGGGAGGAGCTTGACGCTGACTACCACAAGAAGGGTCATGGTAAAGAGAAGCGTGAGGAGCTCGACGCTGACTACCAGAAGAAGGGCCACGGTAAAGAGAAGCGTGAGGAGCTCGACGCCGACTACCACAAGAAGGGCCACGGTAAAGAGAAGCGCGAGGAGCTAGACGCTGACTATCACAAGAAGGGTCACGGTAAAGAGAAGCGCGAGGAGCTAGACGCCGATTATCACAAGAAGGGTCACGGTAAAGAGAAACGCGAGGAGCTCGACGCCGATTATCACAAGAAGGGTCACGGTAAAGAGAAACGCGAGGAGCTCGACGCCGATTATCACAAGAAGGGTCACGGTAAAGAGAAACGCGAGGAGCTCGACGCTGACTACCACAAGAAGGGTCACGGCAAAGAGAAGCGCGAAGAACTTGACGCCGATTACCATAAGAAGGGTCACGGTAAGGAGAGGCGCGAGGAGCTTGACGCCGACTACCACAAAAAGGGTCACGGCAAAGAGAAGCGCGAGGAACTCGACGCCGATTACCACAAAAAGGGTCACCCGTGAACTTGACCACAGGTTTTGCGCAGGTGAGTTTTAGCCGTATGTCCTGTTTTTCTTGTGAGAGTCATCTATCATACTAGGTCCGATATCGTCGCAACCTTACCCACAAGTGGCTTCCCTGTACCTTTATATATCGCGACTCCCTTATCTGCCAGTGATCATTTGTTTTCTGATACATCGCATGCCCATGTAATATAATCCAAAGTATCTCCTTCAACTACGGACGCAGCGTTTTTTGCCATTAAGCCATCATCTTGTGAAAATTTCAGGGTTTGAGTGATTAGGAATCCCGCTTTGGTTGACCGGTAAATTAACACCATCGTCTACGACGGCCTACTAGTAGTTGACAGGGGTCATTTACTATTACATCAAATTCGCTTGCATAAATTGACCCATGGCTCTTTAAACTGATTTTCGCTCACTCATGTGTCATCTTATTCAATCGAGGAACAACTATCTTCTCTTGAATGATCTTACTACGGGAGACTGCGTGTTCCTCACATCCTAATAAGTAATAGCATATAGCAACATATATATCGCGCATGGCTAGAAGACAATAACGACAGAACTGATAAAGCAATAAACCGAACCAAATTCTCGAGTATCATTGTCCGTCACTCACAAGTACCCCAACGACTTCTCATCGATTCAGCTGAGGCTATGACATCGCCTTGATGCTGCTCAACACAAGAGAAAGCAGCGACACGTTCTCACTCGACGCATAGCAGTACTGCACACAGTCCAGATGAAACTGTCAGCTGGGAATGCGGTAATCGCGTGATTCAAACAACCTAGAGACAAGCACCGTTAGAATGCCACTGTCCAAATACCGCATGCAGACAATGGGGACGCTCACCAGTGGTTAAAGTTATACTCGAACTTCCCAGCGTTTATTCATCGATCGGTCGCTGTCGCTGATCTCCGCTGCTGAGAACGTTTATTGGCGGACTTGGTGCATTGCAGGAGGTGTACAATGTGAACGTAGAGCACGCCACTATCATGCAGGAGTAAGCCTGGAGGTGCGACGATCAGCGGGTGTCTGGGTTGGAGGTCGTACACATACCCTCAGCAGTTTGACATTCGTCGACATGCTTTCTTTCAGGTGGCATGTATCCAGAAAGTCTACGTGAGGACAAGGGGAAGCACAGGACAGAAGCATGAGAACCAAGAAGAAACAGATTGTTCGACAACGAACCTGAAGTTAAGCAGGGATATCAAATGTTCGGTCATTGCTGTAATTGTAAGTTGAATGTGAACTGAAACGAAGGAAAGGGGGAGGTCAAAATATGAGATGACTGGCGATTTAAAACCAAAGGTGGTGATCGAACATCTGGCACAAACAAGGTTATGTAGGTTGTTGCTCGTACCTTTGCCACGGATGAGTGCAAACGAACTTGTCTGCTTTTGTAGATACGATCGCTCACTGGCAGTTGTCTATTACTGCGAACAGAAGCGATAGTGCCTGTGAATGAATGGTCGTTCGTCTAAATGACATTAATATGTATACATGGCATGTAAGGAGACGTGTACCTTGGTATACTCTGCAAACAAACCAAGATTTTTCTTGCAGCTTCCGGAGCGCGGTCGTAGAGCGTGAGTGTCCATATTATTTGACGACTATGCAAGTTGCAGATGGACGCGGTAAATGCACAAGACGTGTAGCGGCGTACGTTACTATTTTTGGTAGTCAAATCCGACTGTTCTGACTAATGGTACATCCTTCTTGTCCTCTTAACATTCAAGTTAGCCTTGGTCACTAGTCTACTCACTTAACGTCGTGCTGGTTGTGCTCAGACACTCATTTCTTTCAGCGTCTATGTCTTTGTTGATGTTGGAGTCGTACCTGAGATTCTGAGATGAGTCCGATAGAAAGGGACCACGGCTATAATCTACTTTCATGCCAGTGAATGATGGTTCGAGTTACCATCAGTTGCGGAACTGACCTAGAGCCTGGTTATAGATTTCTCTTATATCGAGGCGGTCGGAACGGAACTTGTTTCAAGTTTCTCCCTGACAGCCACACCCCTCGTGTCGAGTTCTTCATTCCAGCAAGAGCGGTGGTCAAAGACAAAAGACATCACGTTCTCCGCATCTACACAAGCCTGATCCCCGCAATCAGAAACCAGTGGTCATTGCATTGTTGTTGTCAAGAGGACATTGATGCCAACATACCGCAGCAAGAATAAAATAGTAAGCATTGAGGGGTGCTGCACCTGCAACTCAAGTCATATAGCACTTGACTCTACACCATTCGGTACACTCAACGGTTTCATCGAACTCTGATTAAGGTCACCGTTTCAGCTGATGCGGACTCAGAGAGAGTTCTAAAATTAGCGACGCTACAAGTCCAGGTTACGTTACATCATCAAATGCTGATACGAAAATACAGATCATCTTTCTCGCCACATTGATTTCGCGCCCTCTGATGCACCAAACCATGATTGGTATGCTGCGGATTGCATGAGGACACTTTCATCAAAGTTTCCGCCCATCCAGGTACGAACCGACCTGCGAAAAAGACATAAAAAGATTCCAATGTAGATGCACTTCTCAACTCAAACATGAAGCTTTCTCTTGTCCTCAGCGCGTTCGCATATATCGTGGTTCTTGCCACGGCGTACCCGATGCAAGCAGCCATCGCGAAACGTTCCTGTGAGTGTTCAAATTACTCATCACCATGCGGAGGTGTGACTTGCTGCTAGGTCTAGACGTGGAGAAACGCGAGGTACCTGAACCCTACTACGATGATTATAACGACAGCACGTACGAGCCCTGTGGCTAGGCTCGTGGAGGAAGTTGATAATACCGTCGTTACTAGTAAACTTGACCACAGATTCTAACAGGTGAGTTATAGTCGTATGTCTTATTTGTTGTGCAAGTCATTTATCGTACTAGGTCCGGCATCGCCGCAGGCTTACCTTCCCTGTACATCTACATATCTCAACTCTCTTATCTGATCGCTTGTTTTCTGGATGCACGTGTACTATATAATAGAATCCCTGTTGTTTTACGTGCTCTTTTTGACTCAACTACAGACCTACACCAAGTTATCATTTGATGACATTGCATACTGCATTGTTCCAACTCTTTCTCAGTTCCCGTTTAAAATGAGTGAGACGTCATATCAATTATAGCTTGCTCAACATAAACTGGATCTCATCCGAAGGCAAAAAGGAACAACTAAATCTTTTGGATGATCCTAGTAACAAAGGGAGACTACGTGTTCCTCGCGTCCTAAGTAATAGCATGTCGCAACATATACAACTGATCCTTCGAAAGCTGATCTACGGCAGCCAATTTCGCCTCTAGTGTCCGCCAGTTGGGTTCGATAATCTTGAATGTCGTGAAAAGCCAGTATCTGCTGCACGAAAGCGCGCATGTGAGTCATTAGGAGTGCAACTTATAGTCGCCACTAGAGCTCGAGCTCTGGGTGGTCACTGATTGACAAGGGCAAGAGCATGAGAACCAATAAACAAATTGTTCAACCAAACATCCGCTCATCTCTGTAATTGTAAGTTAATATAAACCGAAACGAAAGGGTCGAAATAAGAGATGAACATGAAGACCACTCGCAAAGACATACCCATACTTTGGTACACTCCTTTGCGGACAAACCAAGATTCTTATTGCGGTCTCCTGGACGCATTCATGGAGGTCCATATTATTGGACGGCTATGCATGCAAGTTGCAGATGGACGCGGTAAACGCGCATCAAGCTTCTAGTCGACCCGTCTGATTGAATGATGACTTACAAAGGAGAAAAATGCTCTCGTCGAAGTTCTACTGAACGGTCTTTCGGAGGATATGATTTAGCTATCGAACTTGTGTTCGGCAACGTGACTTCGCGGCTGCGACATCCGCTTTGCCATGCCGGCAGATTTTGTATGTCCGACCATGTCCTAATTATAGCCTTTCTTCCTCAAAGTTTTCGCTTGGGTCGACTCGCAGCAAATATTGGTCCCTTCACTTTCCTTCTTTGACTCCATATATTTTGATTCATATGAATCAGTAGTCACGTTCTACATCTGACAGGTCAATACAACATTCGGATTAGAGTGGACACGTGCTTGTGCGCCCGATATATAGGGCTGATCGACTTCAGACCAAAACTTTGCCCCTGTTCTGATCATGAAGTACGTGACAACATCGGCTTGCGACTGACGAAGGTGGTCATCAAACGGTATGTGAAGACAGAGACTTGTCGCTTTCCTGCGTGAGAGGATCTGCCCTGCCCTGCTGAGCTGAGTCGAAGATGCATCGATGAGAATTCGAACTTGACGGGTGACCACGGGTCTTGCCTCGTTGAGATTGTGCGTGCTGAGTGATTTCTTAATGAGATCGACGGGCTGATCAAATTTCCCGTCCGCTCAGAAATTTGGACGAGAATCAATAGGGCTTCAGCCAATTGAGGTGACCAGCGAAGTCATGAACGGACCGAGTCATATACGAGAAGGTATAAAGCCCTCGTCGTAGTGCATCAACGAAGTACCACTAGTCGCACCTCTTAACTCCAACATGAATCCTTCTCTTGTCTTCAGCGCGCTCGTATCCATCACGGTTCTTGCTATGACGTACCCCGTGCAAGCCGCAACTATCGCGAAGCGCTCCTGTGAGTATTCATGACCTAGATCGACCATGCTGAGGTTGATAAGCACAACTTGCTACCAGATATGGAGGACCGCGAGGATTTTGGCGGCGATCTCATTCAATACTATAAGTATGATGGGCAAAACCACCGAGAATCTGATGCTGATGAATTCAATTAAAGTTACTGAGCTTGACGCTAGGTTCTACGCAGGTGAGTTATGGTCGTATGTCTTATTTTATGTGGGAGTCATCCACCGTACGTATTAGGTCTACTGCAGCCTCACCCACAAGTCACTCCCCTGTACATCTTGAAGTTCCGTGTCTGATTATTGATTTCTGGCATATTGCATGTTCATGTAATAAAATCCCAGTTGTTTCACTTGATCACAGACCCAACGTTCTTGTCATCAAGCTATCATCTGGTGAGAATGTCAGGATTTGGGGCATTAGGAAACCCACTTTGGTTGACCGGCAAACTAGCACCGAGGGCCTGCAGTAGTTGACAGGCGTCGTATCTTATCGAGGAACAACTATATTATCTCGCATCCTAAGTGATAGCACGTAGCAATATATATACCGTGCATAGCCAGAAGAGCAAGATACCACGATGACACAACTAAGAAATCAATTAATCTAATCGAATTTTTGGGCGTCATTCTCTGTCACTCACCAATACCCCAGCAACTTCTCATCCATTCAGCTGAGACTATGACATCGACTTAATGCTACTCAGCCGCACCACAAGAGGAAGCAGCGACACATTCTCACTCGACGCGTAGTACTGCACGCAGTCCAGATGAAACTTGTCAAAAAATGTCAGCAAGGAATGCAGCAACCGCGTGAATGAAACAGCATCACCTTGAACCTAGAGACAAGCAACGTCAGAATCTCACTTTCTGAATACCGCAGGTAGACAATGAGGCGCTCACCAGTGGTTGAAATTAGACTCAAACTTCTTCAGGAATTCCCAACGTTTGTTCATCGCCTGGTCGCCGTCACCGCTCTCTACTGCTGCAAGCGCTTGATTGGCGGACTTGGTAAAGGATGAGGTGTACAGTGCGAACGTGGAGCATGTCACTATCATGCGTGAATACGCCTGGAGGTGCGACGGTCAGCGTATATTTGAGTCCGAGGTCACACACACACCCTCAATAGCTTAGCACTTGTCAACATGCATTCTTTCAGGCAGGTGTCCAGAAAGTCTACGTGATCTCTCAGAAGCTGATCTACGGTAGTTACCTTCGCCAATTTCGCCTCTAGCGCCCGCCAGTTAGGTTCAAGAACTTCGAATGTCGTGAAAGCTAGTATTTGCTGAACGAAAGCGAGCATGCGAGCTCTCAGGAGGGCGACTCGCAGTCGCCACTGCTCGAACTCGGGGTGATCGGGTACGGGACGCCGCCAAGGACTTGTCTTCTGTTCTATCCACATCGATGCGAGCGATTGCTCTACATGTTTGAGATGTAAGAGAAAACGGAAGAGGAGCTGGTAACGCAAAATCGTTTTGCGAGAGATGACGAGTGAAAGCGGAAATTTCACGTTGTAGTCGAGTGTGAGGGCATCGATTGCTTGATTGGGATAAGCATGGACGACAGAGCAAAGGCTCCGCGTACATACCTAACATGGGCTTCTTATCATCCTTTTCTCGATCACGATCCTTCTTTGCTTCTTCATCTGGCACGCCTTCGCCTTCCTCACCCCCGATCACGCCACTTACGCTGATGACCTTGAGTAACCATTCATACAATCCGCTGCTCGCGATGCTAACTCGGACATCTTCGCGGAATGCGGCATCTTCCCCCGTAAGTGCAAGGTCAAGCAGACTCTGTAGCTTAACAATACTGACACTTTTCGCGGGCTTCTTTAGTTCTGTGTGGGCAAGGTCTAAGAGGTGGGTGAGGAAGGACGAGGAAGCCAAGAAGAAATAACGCTTGAGAGAGCGCAGCCGAGGTATGAGCTGTTGATCTTGCAACAGCAGACGTAGAAGAGTGCGATTCGCGTGTGTATACGCGTCTTCGATGAATTTGTAAAGCCTGAAAGTGCGCATGAAATGGACACGGGAACTCAATCCAATGAAGAAACACACTTTTCATCTTCCATGGACAGCGACTTTTTCGTTAAATCCTTCTGATCGGCTTGCACCTCGATCCCACATTCACGTATCACGTTAAGATATTTACCTGCAAGCAAAAACTTGTGTTTCCAACCCTCCAGAAGGGGCGGTATACAAGCACCACCGGGTAATCGACCTCCAACAGTACGTGGCGGAGGAACACCTGTATGCTGGCGCTTCGAAGAAAGGGTAGAGCCATCGCGAAGCTACCCGGACATCAGTACACAGTACATTTTCGCAAACACAAAGCTCACTGTATATCTCCTCTCCCAATACTCGTCCGTGTAATCCACTTCCAAAATACCCTTACTGATGAACTTGCTCTCCTTAACACACAATTCTTCATAGGGGTCTTCAAGACGACCTGTAGTTGTCCATACTCGAAGCATCTCGACATAGGGCACCCCTGCTGCAGTTAGAAGAGTGCCGTATACCTTGACCGCGGTAGGGTCGCCTGACATAGTCTGCATGCGCTCGTATATCACTGTTAGCACTTCCCCACCCTTCACATTAATAGGCGCGTCCGATGTGCTCTTCTTCATCTCAGACAAAACGGCCTTTAGCTTCGCCCCGCCGAGCCCAAGTGCTTCATCTCGTGCTGCCTGCTCCGGATCAGATTCAGAAGAAGATTCAGAAGAAGAGGCATCGTCGTCATCGGTAGTAGCCAGTTCGAGAATGAGCTGATAAATAAGAGATAGGGTATGCACTGTTGGGTGGACATAGAACCATAATTTCTGTAGACTGAATTGCGGCGAGGTGTTGAATGCATGTTCGAGTTGAGAGAGGAGAGTTTGGTAGTCCTTTCAGGGGGGTAAGTAAGACAACGCCTGAGCGATGGGGAAAATTGACCTTGAGCATGTCCCGGATGGCAGCGCAGAGCGCATGATTGACAAGCCCAAAATCGAGGTGGCTGCGGCTCTCTACAAAAGAGGAGATAGCGGTATAGTAAGTGCCGAGCGGCACTATTCGTTCTGTTAGGTCTCGAAGGGACGAATCTGCAAAAAGTATGAGCGAGAACAATCTTCCCTGAACTGTCAGACAAACCTAGGGGGGATGACACAACAAAAAGTATTCCCTTGAGTGGGTCGTCATCTTCTGGCGAATAATCAGGATGGTGGGAGATATATGTTCCCTCGATGCCCTGTAGATATTCAGTTGTTCCAGCTGATACCAAAAAATGGCGATACACCCCAAGCATAACAATCACTTGCGAAGACGTACCATCAAAACATAGAGGAGATCTTCCAAAATCAAAGCTTCTTGTATATCCACAGGAAGATTGTCCAATACATCTTCCTTTCCTTTTCCTTTTAACTTAGGCATAGAAGCAGAGGAGCCGACTCTCGAGTTCAGCGGTGCGCGCACGAACGAAGTTTCGGCGATAAATGACGGCTCATGGCCTGCATACCATCAATACTGTAGCATAGAGGTCATGGAGGACCACGTACTTTTACTACGACTTTCTCGTGATGAGTGCACGCGAACATCAGGATCTTCATAGATATCGTCGCACAGTTGTCTGTTTCTACGAACAGAAGCGATAGTGCCGGTGATCTGAATGGTCGATCGTCTGCATGTCATAATAAGTATCCACGATAGGTAAGGAAACTCGTACCTTGCTGTACTCTTTTGCAGATAAACCAAGATTCTTCTTTCGGCCTCCTGGACGCATTCGTGGAGTGTAAGGATCCATATTATTGGACGACTATGCGGGTTGGTTGCAGATGGACGCGGTAGATGCGCAAGACGCGTAAATGATAAATGGTTACTGTTTTTGGCAGTCACGTTTTTTCTACTTCGTCCTCGGAGTTCCAACAACACTGTCTAGATTTCTGTTGGGAGCCATCTTCAGCGTTAACCATGAGGGATGCCAACGTTTTTGCATTCCGCAAGGCCATGCCTCGAATGGTCAGTTCCATAACTCTTCTTTTTAGCTATAACCTAGATACACTGGAAATTTCCAACAGAGCTGGTCTCCGCGTAACCTCTACAACCTCTGGAGGCGGTCCTTTGCAGCCGAAGCCGAGGCCATCAATTTCACCCGCTCGCCCAGGTCGCTGTTTCAACAGCGTTGGATATCGAAAGCACTCGTGCGTGCGTACCACGGCGACTTCATCAACGAGAAAATATTCAAGCGGTGGTACCTCCCCGACACACTTCCCGACGTGCGGCCTCGTCAGCGCGCGTTTTCTAGTAATGGCGATCTCGACGCGTTTGCCGGGCGTACCGAACAACTGGATAGAGCAAAGAAGAGAGCCTATGAAGAGCAAAAGAAAGGCTTGGCTCCTGTGGGCAGTTTAATGCTTGCCGAGGTAGAGCGACGCATCGATGTGTTCATCTTTCGGTGTTGCTTTGCGCATAGTGTCTACGAGGCACGAAGACTCGTCATTCACGGATCTGTCCTGCTAAATGGCAAGAAGGTGCGCCAGTTTTCTTCTCTGGTGTTAGCTTCGATACACTAATTCACCTCTTCAGCATACGGATGCCAATACACGTCTAGCCCCAGGTGACATGATCTCCGTTGACCCTGCAGCCATTCGTTTTCTCCAAGAACCTGGGTCTTCCAAGGCGGAAACTGAGGGTGAACAACCTTCAGACTCAGAACCTAAAACCGAGTCCTCGGATCTCTCCCAGTCCAATCCTTCCGCAAAACCTGCATCTACAAAATCCTCGTTGACGCCTTTCAACCTCCCTCCATATGCATCTCCTTTCATTTTTATCCCTGCCTATGCAGAGGTCTCCTTCCCCACCTGCAGTGCCATATATGTGCGCCACCCAACAGCACGCCCAGGATACAGTGAAATTCCAACACCTTACGACGCCGATGGTGAAGTCATTCGTCTGGCATGGGAATGGTACTCAAAGATGCGTCCAAGGACGAGGAGTAAGAGTCAGATGGCAAGGGAACCAGAGAACCGTAGAGTTGGTGGTCACTAGGCTCTACTTGTTTTCTCTACTTTGTGCGCATTTCGTGAATATCTTTGGTGCTAATGTTGCTGAAGTATTACGCTATTTTACACCTGCGCTCTACGGAGTTCAATTTTCCCCTGCTTCTCACATTACATGGATGTCGCCGTTGACTGAAGAGCTCATGCGACGGTTGCACAAGCTTTCTGTTGACACCCTGTCTGAGCCTGTTCGCAGGCTGCCGTCAAATAGCTGTCCCATGTTGAATATTCGCTCGCGCACCTAAGATGTGTGATGATCTGGTCGTCCACATCCCCAAACCACTTCGTATCTTCAGGCTATGGGCTCCCGTCTTTTGAGTGACGTATGGCTTGCATATTTCACGTTCGGGCAACCCGCCAACTTACCTGACTCGCACTATCTCCGCAGTGTGCTCGAGTTTGAGTATAGCTCTTTCACAGGCTATCGCAGAGAGTTTGTGTCTCTGCTGATCGATGCAGGTCGATACGCTGTGGGCAGATATTCGTGAACAGGCTCAGATGTTCGTCAATAACAGTGGCCAGTGCGTGTCCCCAAGGAGGTTGTTCTGTTAGTATCGGCCCGATTGCCAGCTCATCGTCGTTTCTTCTGATGAGCCATCTGCTTTAAATCTGGAAAGCTTTCGTATGTGCGACCAAGTGCGTGATTCAGCTACTTCAAAATGTTAATACTGTTGCAGCTGGGTCTCCAGAATTTCGTCCGCAATGAAATACGGAGCTACTTTGGTTGCTTTGGATTGCTTTGCCTTTTTTCCACATTCAATACTACTGGTTGTATAAAGGATAGCAGAAAATACAACAAACGACAAAGCGATTCTTCAGGAACAATGCCTACAGTAGGGCTGGAAGTTGGGGAATTGGTGCGCATACACCATTACCGATATCACCGTCGTCGCTATGAGTGTCGCTTTGACATTCGTGCACGTTAGCGACCTTATCAGATAAGTGCTCCCATTACCGATAAGTTCTCTTGGCATTGTGCTTGCGTTGACAACGAGGACAACGATATGCATGAGGTGCCCCTGATTGCATGCGGGGGTCTCAATTATTAGTGTCACGCGCCGTGCTGCTGTGTTTAGACGGCCATGGCCTTGGGGAACGTTCATCTCGACAGGTACGGATTCACACCCATGTTTTGACGATTTCTCTGTGGCTCGAACCTCTAGCGTGGAAACATGAGAAATTTGAACAGCTAGGCTCCCCAGGCCTTTTTGATCACCGATAACCAACGGACACGCAATGCGCAAGAGCTATGTGATCTACATAAGCTGGTCATACTAATAAGCCATCAAGATGGATCCTATTCGTCTGCTGCGGAATCACCGAGGACATGGCGCTGAGCTCAGGTGAGATAGACTTGAGATCAGGCAGTTTTATAGAAGAGGGTCTTAGAGACAGCCAGTGATACCTAAAAATAAGTAACAAAGGGTCGGTACGCACTGGCATTCAGAGCCTCAGAGGTCGATGTATCACTATTATTTGCTTTACTTGTGGAATACAAGGCCGATGATCTCTTACAAGGCCGAGTGATCTGTACTTCCTGCCACGGTGAACCGCATGCTGATCAAGTTCCAAATTTCGGTGCTGAGCCTCAGTGGACATTGGACGGACAGTCTGGCATGGAGATTGACGGAAATTGGACCTGAAAAGTTCGGTGTCCGTAGAGGAGCGCTGAACGTTCTAGCTGCAGCCCGATCGGATCGGTCGACTGGTCAGTCGAGTCGTTGGATAAACCTCTCAATTGAAGAAACGTTGTAGTATCTTTTTGTAATAAGCTTTCTAGAAGTTATATCATCTCGACTACTGAAATGCGGAGACAACAAATTTTACGCAGCTTTCCTTGATCGTTGCCGAAGCTTGAACGTTGAACCTAGTAGTATGTGGAAACCGCCTCTTTGCGGACAAAAATCACGTTATCGCCACAACAATAGTTACTCAACTGGTTGTTGAGCCACTTCACCTATCGTGTAAGACAGTCCCCATTGCGTGTCGTATTTCTGCAATCAACCACAACGGATTGTAAACTTGTTGGCAAATGCTACTCCCTAGCTTATGATCATATGCCATCACTTGAGTCATGACTCATGATAATAAGCTAGGGAGTACCTTACGAGTCGCCATGTACATTCATTGATGTGACCCACATGGACTGACAATCAGATGCCCAGCCGGGCCCATCGCAACAGAATTTGTATTGCAATGTCGCCCATTTCTAGATCAAAGAAATTCATTGTCCTGGAGCGCTACGTTGGATCATATATAGTGCGTTCCATTCCAAAGATTGTGTTGTTCACTCGTTCTTTCGCCAGGCCACTCACTTTTGAGTCTTTCATTCTTTTCGGGCAGGCTTCAGGAAGTTCCCAAGTACTGTGCCTTCAGGCCCACAGGAATCTTATCATTTCTTTCTCTACACTCTCTTTCTTGTTAACATGGGCCTGGACGATGATCTGGTTTACCACGCTGACATTTTAATTTTTGGTATCATCCTCATCTTCACCCTTGCCAGTCTCCCTCGAGCCTATGCTCGTTTCAGCCGCAGGTCGGAATGGTCCCAAGGCCACTTCCTTCGTTCAATAGTGCCTGTTCCCTTTACCAAGCCAAGGATCAACAACCGTTCCCCTTCATACCCCGTCGACCCCAAGTCCTTTGTGGATTTTGACCGCGGGAACTCTTCGACTACCTGCGCTCCATTAACGTCTCGACACCATATCGGTCCAGCTCATGTCGTTGATGAGAAAGCTCTGCCAAAAATTTCAAACAGTGACCCTACCGTTGTATCGTCTATCTGGCACCCCGTGGCGTCTGTGTTGCAGTATCGCGTTCACGACAACTACTCCATTAACCAAGTTCTCCTGATATTGGCGTACATCAGTATTATATTCTACGTGTCTTTCTACAGGTCAGACCCATTCACGGACCCTCACCGAGCTGGTTTTGTCATCGCTTCTCAAATCCCTTTCGTATATGCATTAGCCACCAAGAACAACATCATTGGCATGATGGTGGGCGTTGGATACGAAAAGGTGTGCTTGATCAACATGATTTATTGCGCTGCTGATCCTGGCGTATAGTTGAACTTTCTTCACCGCTTGGTCGGTAAGCTGATGATCATCGGTGCAAATGTCCACTTCATCGGATATGGTATGTATTGTCCTGTTCCTTCTCCGCTTTCGTCTCATCTGATGTGGGCTCGGCATAGTCTATAAATGGAGCCTCGCTGGTGACATCTATAATAAGCTCGCCGAGGACTTCGTTCGCTGGGGCATTGTCGCATTGGTATGTTTGGACCTCCTGGGATTCTGCTCGACCGAATACGTTCGATCAAAATCATACAACCTCTTCATCACATCACATGTTGTGAGCCTTATCATCTTCTTATTCGCTGTAAGCATTTCCTCTTGTCTCGTTACCAATGCTGATTTTATATAGGCATGCTACCACGAGCCTACCTGCGTTCCCTACGTGATTGCTGCATGCGTATTCTATATACTGGATCACGTCGTTCGCGCCATCAAGACCCGCATCACCACTGCTAAGCTCCGTCCTCTCCCAGAGCTCGGAATCACCCGAGTTGAGGTGCCTTCGATTAATGCAGGCTGGCGTGCAGGGCAACACGTCCGCCTACGTGTACTGTCTTCATCAATGGGATGGTGGGGATGGTCTGAGGTGCACCCTTTCACCATCGCAAATGTGGCAGAAACGTCGGAAGGAATGGTTCTTATGTGCAAGAAGACTGGCCAGTGGACAGGCAGTCTCTACAGTATGGCTCAAACAGCTTCTTATGGTGAAACCGGCAAGGAAGTCGGCCGCGATGTTAGAGTGATGGTGGAGGGCCCCTATGGTGCGTTGTCGTGTTACCAGGGAGTCGATGCATCTCATGACATTCTATTCTTTCCTCGCAGGTGGCGTGGGACACACTGTGATGTCGAGCTATTCTGGTGCGATGTTTGTTGTTGGCGGGAGCGGCATCTCTTTTGCGTTGTCGGCAGTGCCGGATCTGATCCAGGCAGCCACGGACGTGAAAGTTATTGATATCGTCTGGTCCGTCAAGACCCATGTGCGTACCATCGTCTCACCACTTTCCGCGATCGTGATGCTCATCTGCCCACGCACAGCATCCCTCATCCCTCTACTCCCCCTCTTCACGAACCTCGTACAACAAAGCCCACTTGTTCGAGTCAACGTGCACATATACTACACCCGCGCAGTTAGCACGACGTTCAATGTGACGTACCTCCCGCAAGGCGTCACCATCCTGCCCGGCCGTCCAAAACTCGAGAAGCTGCTCGATGCAGCGATCACGAATACGATATCAGCTGGGGGAGTTGACGGCATGTTTGTAGGCGTCTGTGGCCCTCTATCGCTGGCGAATACCATGGCGCATGTGGTGCAAAACTCCAACTTCCGTTTGACCACGGCTGTGGGTGGAGTTAAGCTCCATGAGGAAAGCTTTGGCTGGTAGATCGGATCTATTTTGCAGTGCAGCCTGTTGACGGGCTATGCACCACTTATTTGTTGGGTTGTTGTGTATTTTTACCGTTATCGACTAGGTATGGGTTTCACTTTTAGATGTTGGAACTCAATTTTATTGGATGGTCCATGACGCATTGATGAATCAACTCTTGAAGACTTGAGGATGGCGGCTGGTTCTGCGGAACCAATATGTTGACTCCGATGATTCTCTCATAAGTAAGCCTGCGGTCCATCTGTTAAGCATTCTCATTCTATGATTAAATGAATCTAAATACATCTTGATCTTGAACTCATACTCAGCCTTACACGTTCTGGCTATCTCGTTTTCGACCAGAATGTTTACCAAAGTTCTTGTGTACTTGACTCGTTTGCAGCCTCATCCTATGTTTTGAGTACTCGAAAAAAGGCGGACATATAAAATGAGCATTTTCCTACACAATACTGCTAGTTGGTACATGAACGCGTTCCTGGAAGACAATTGTATTCATGCTAATTTCTGCGTCAGAATAGGCCACGAGTTTAGCATGATACTCTCGAACGTTCAGGATGAGGCGTGGTCCCAGCAGAAACATCTGCACGACCAAGAAAATTTGAAGAGAGCCATCGAGTATCTGAGCTCCAATGGAATTTGAATTCTACAGCAGCGATGAGCAGTGGTTACAAGCAGATATCAGAAACAGATCGGCGTACCACAACCTCTGGAGAGAGATATGCAAGCTCGAGGCAAGAGACACAAACAAAGCTAGCATATGCAGAACTTGAGAAAACAGACGAGCACATTCACATAAAAAGCTCACCCCGCAAAATAAAGCACGTGAGATTTTATCAGCACCCCAAAACAGTCCCCAATAACCGATCCTGTCGATGCGCCGAGTCGTCGCAGGTCACCCAAGTGTTTCAAAGCAATCCAGATTGAAAGACACAGTGCGATGACCTGCCCAATAGCATTGAGCATCCAAGTCATTAAGACCAGAAGTCGGGCATCCCCCTCGTATTCATAATGGCACATATAGGTGCCAGAGAGTACTACCTCCTCTGGTGTTCGAATGAGCTGTGTTCAAGTCAAGAAGTGAAGCTTACCTGCTACAACACTCTTGAGTGATATTGCCGTGATGACCGCAAAGGTGATGTTCACGCCCAGGTAGATAATGACCACGAAAATAAGCATGACCCTCGATCTCTGATACATGGCATGTAATCGAGCAATCATGATAACTTGCATCATGTTTCAGTCGAGTCAATATCAGTATCGCAGGTGCGTAACTCACATCCCAACACGTCAGCTAGGACGACAGTTGTCCCATTTATCGCATAGTTCATGGTGTTGCCTGAAAAACACAATCAGTGATCACCCTCGCACTAGGATCAAATATTCCAACTCACACCTGTGCGATCGTTACGTTGGGCCAAGTTTAACGTTGAAAATCTCACTCACCCCTAAATATGAGTGTGTTAATGATAGAAATGAGATGGCTGCGGAATACTCACTGCATCTGTCACCGAGACCGATGGCATATATCCTGTGTGACACCGGTCAGACGAATCGAATACAGCGTATATGAGACGTACGCAGAACATTGGTACTAATTGTCAGAGATCAGTTATCAGCAAGGTACCAAGTTATTGGCCTCGACACATACACAGAAAATGGTATTCCAATATAGCGTATCTAGAACATCGGGGAGTCAGCACAACTTGGTGGCCAATCACAATATAGCACAAGATGATGTACGAACAACCAAGTACAGCACAGTCATGAGAGACCAGCGTTGCCTCTGTCACGAATTAATTGTTTTTCTCCTGATGTGAGACTCTTGCCACCTACCCAGATCAGTTCAATCTATGACACCGTTCTTAGCAAATGACTGCTTCAAGTTTGGCGATGATGTTTGCCTACCTCTTGTCCAAGTGTGAGCACTAGAAACATCATGAGAATATGAGAATATCAGTGGTTTTTGAACACTGTCCTGCTCACCCCAGTCGTATACCACCACGACGGCGAAGGCGACTATAAAACCACAAATCAATATTGGGCCATGACATTTCGATGCAACGAACCTAACCCATAACATAATCCAATATTCGAATGGATTAACGGCCACAAAGTGGGATCATTCGATTCTACGGTCATGTTCCAGGGATGGGTATAAGCAAGTGGGGGATGTTGGTGCTGTATAACAATAGCGTTCGTGCTAGATATACCACCGTGCAACTTTCCGCGCTCAGCACGTATCAAATCGCTAAAATCGGCATCAGAGTTATGGATATTTGATCCCACCTCAAGGCCTCAAGAACCTTGATTAGGTAAACAGTAAGCATTGTGGTGCAAATTGGAGCAAAAAGAGGTGGTCCTTGATTGAATCAAAATAGATTTTGATCTTCGAACCAGTATTACACATGCGACTACTTGACAGAACACCGAGAAGGTTTGTTGGTGCCTGTAATGTCGACAACTGCGATCTTTTGGGCCTTCCGTATGTACTAGGTCGAAAGAGAAATCGCACATCGTGATGGGAGTCGTCATACTAACGAAGTCGTAGATTTCCCCTGCAATAGACGGAACACTGATGCGCCCATCAATGGCCGCCATGCAATCGGGCTTTCTGGACAGACTAAATTGTGGCTCATGAAAGTGACAATATCGACCAATATCTAAGTCTCACCGGTTTACTGATGAGATGATAGTGAAGTTAGTGAAGATTCACCAGCACCCATGAGCCGGGTGTTACCGAAGAGTCGTGTACGTTTCATTATGTAATTAACCTCCGAGATAAGCTTCTCTCGAGGAGTATCCCATAGCATCCCATAGAATTACAACAACCATATGTAAGATAAACCGAGCACCATGGTACGATAGCCACGTCCAGCGTGCAATAAAAATAACCAATAAGCATACTACTAGTAGAACATCCACCAAGCAAGAATGAAAAGAAAGAATATCGTGAATAATAGAACAAAACGAGTACAAGTGTTGTTCGCCGTAGAGAGCAAATTGATTGTTTCCGAGTCAATGATTGGAGTAAATACTAGAGCACGGAAATAAGAAGTGGTGTTAGCACCAGCGACAGATGCAGGACAAGGCGAACGTACATATTCAAACACTGTCCTAGATTGCGTTCTTTGCGGGAACGATATATCCAGAAACCATCTTGGTAATCGGTTGGGGACAGAATTCATACTGTTCACGCTCAGCGTGGGCCCTTTTATCAAACAATACTTTACACTCCTTCTGATGCCGAGTCACAACATCGGTCCTGGACGCCGGCTTGTTGCAATAGGGGCACTGGTAGGACATATTGAAGTGCACCCCTTCGATGTGACGGCCCAAATTCTTTATCTCCTGTGTGTCCGAGCAATCTCCAAATTGGCAGGCAGACTTGGAGTTCTTGACTTTGACACCATGCCAAAACCACAGGTGTTCTTCGATCCGGGTCTTGTTCACCTCTACGAACAGACCACACGGTTGGTCAGTCCAATCGCATGAGCGCACGCAGGTCAATTCTGGTGAAAGGTCCTTCGTGACTTTGTCGGATCCATCAGCACAGTGGTTATCCACTTCCATCACCCCAAATCTGCTCGTTTGAAGCGGATTGCCGTCGGGATCGTGCGTCCTGCGGCTGCTGATGTCCACAGGCATTGGGTCGTGGACAGGCATGACCATAACCGTGGCACTGGCGTCCGCTGACATGTATGGACCGAAATTTCCAGATTTGCAGTCGTCGGTGATGTTCCGGCGCTTGCGCTTGCGCGATGTTGGTGCGATGGACGAACTTGCACCATCCTCGCATTCAAAGGTCTGGCGAGCTTTACGCTTGCGAGGCCTAGCAGACGCCGTCTTGTTGAGAGCAGAGGAAGATGGCTCCATGCTCGAGGCGACATTAGATTCCGTCTGCAAGGGAGCATGTTGACCCTGGGGGATTGTCGCGGTCGGGTGATACGCGTTGAATGAACCTGCGATGTTATGAGGTTGAGGTTGCTGGTAGTAAGGGTAGGAGGAAGTAGGAGGATATAGATGCTGGGGTGGTGCTGGAACGACCGCAGAGGGCTGCGAATGAGACACGTCAGGGGGTCCATTGGAATGATATTCATGTTGAGGCCAAGCATAGCCTGCCGCCGCCGCCGCAACGACCGAAGATGGCTGAGAACAATCAGGGTTGTATTCATGGGAAAATGCAGGGCCTTGCTGTGCGGCAGGGGGCTGCCTAAGATACACGCTGGGAGGCCCGTTCTTCAAGTATGCAGGGTTATATTCGTGCTGGGGCAATGTATGACCTTGCGAGGGCGCTCGAGGGACGGCAGAGGTCTGCGGAGGGTAACAAAATCCCTGATCAATGTGGGACAACTGTGGAAAACCAACCACTGGTGGCATGAATTTCTCCAATGTCGGGAACGACGCCTGAGGATTTTGAACATAGTTCAAATCATCCCGGGCCCTGAAGAAACAAATAAGGAAATTTTAATGGCGAGCGCTCAGTTGTGAGTGCACTTACCCCTGTTGCATCGCCGCGACGCCATCATAGTTTGATCTGTCGTTGAACGTGAGTTGCTTGGCCTAGGTAGTAGGCTGATTAACTTACTCGTTAACGTGAGCACCTGCTGGGCCTGCAAGCGCGTATCCTTTCGTCATATCACGCATAAATTCCTCGGTGTCTTTACACAATCTGTCCGAGACCGTAAGTTCGAGTAAATGATTTCAATGAGGTAGAGCCACGTACGCGTCCAGCTGGTTGCATACTTCGTGAAACGCCGCATCGCACCGGTTGACCAACTTAACCATGTTTTCTTTGGACAACGGAGTGGGATCAGGGTGGCCGTGGAGGGGTACGCGGTAATCCGAATCCGACATGTGTATAGAATTGCTAAGAAAATCATGAGATGAAGCGCCATCGTTAGCATATAGATATACCGACCCGACATGTGAGTAGACTTACATAGACATATCGATGAGCTCAACAAGATAAGTGGCTAAGGTGAAGGCACCCAGTTAAAAGGTAAAGGAAAGATGAGAGAAGTAAAGCAGAGAACGACGCCGTATTTTATACCGGTGGGGAAACAGTAGGCAAAGGACGACTGTGGACGTGCATCAAAGCCATCGATCTGGTATTATCCACCGACATCGCGTCTGTGGATGCTTCACTATAGGAGATGCGCGTGTATAATTCACCGCTTTGTGCCACCACGCTTGCACCATTCCACAACAACATAAATATCACTTACCCTTAATAAACTTAGAATGTGACGATGAAGTGAGTACCGGTACTTCTCCACTAAAGGGTGATATCACATGTGGAGAAATATGGCTCAAATAAAGGTCCAATTGAGAACAACGACAAACTTGTGGACTCGGAGCATTGTCGCGGCACATTCGACTACAGCCATGAACCTTGGCAGCGGCGCCTGCTTAAGACAGTAGCAAACGAGCTCGAGCACAAGGGGAAACGTGATATATTATAGCGCAGTAGAAAATTTGCAGATATGAAGGCGCGTTACGGTAGGATCATAGAGGTCTGAAAATTTTGGTGGTAGGGTCAGTCGCATTTTTTATTTGTAAACGTGCAAAGACACTTACCTTAAAACGCCCACTGCGTCGTAACCAAGTGTAGTTCTTAAGCCTAATGTAGCAATCGGACGGGGTGATGCAATGTGACCGCTCGAAGCACACCGCAATACGCTCGATGGAAACCATGGTTCGATTTTAGGCTGATACAAAATCCTACAAGTCAACTGGAGATATAACCGAGGACAAGCAGTCAGATAGCCCAATTATAATGCAAGATGAAGGAAACGTTCTGTGGGCTAGACCGTCCATCAACGTTCAACAGGTCGTACTATGAGGAAAATCATGATACATTACATATAGGTTTGAGACAGCCATATCAACAATACAGGATTACAATAACATTTTCAGAGGCATAGAGCTGTACAGATAGCACAATGGTCGCATTTATATTAGAATTCGCAGTAGCCCTCAGTTGTGCTGCCGGACCAGTGGATGAGAGTTCAGAAGAGCTCAAGCGTTTGTTGTGGTCTGTTTCGCAAAGGCTTTGAGGAGTTTCCTTATCGGAAGCTTCCAAGCACTTTGTAAAACTCGGCGAGTCCCTCGGGCTCCTTCATGTAAGAGGCAAGAGACAAGAGTACATACTTCGATCCGGGTCTTTTAGCAAGCACATCTTATAACTGTTGCTACTTATTGCAATTTCAATGAAAATGACTGTGTGATTGCAGCAGCAATGCCCTCGTTGAGAGCTAATCGAACATCCATGCACAGAATTATATCGACGTGCGTTGTGATAAATAGTTTCATCGTCGACACACCCGGACCCCTCATTTGCGTCAGCCGATGTACTACAACATTACCAGATCATTGCGGTACCGTCAAGGTTGCAACTTCTAACGTCCACAATATCCGTCTCCCAGCACAGGAGACCCCCGCACGTTCCCGAGATGCATGCGCCGCGTCAGTAGTCTCGGGGTCGAGCACGTCTCTTGCACTGAGATGATGAACAGCCAGGATAATGATCGTCAAGAGATTCATCTAGACCCTCGCGTCATCAGTCAGATCTACAGGTTGGCGAGGTGAACCTGATAGTTCGAGGCGAGAGGGTCACGAACGTCCAAGTTATAGAATTTCAGCAATCGAATAACAAGGTCATATGTCGAGCAACACACCTTTGAGTCAGGCAAATCGACATCAATGTTGAGACAGAAACGTGAACTCATCGTATGTGAGAAAAGAATCAATCAGCTGACATGAAAGAAATTGATAAAGGTGTGGGCCAGCATACATCGGCGATCGAGGACAGAGGTGTTGCTGAGTCGTAGTTACGGTGAGGGCAATTGATATGACTGTACGAGCAACTTGGTCAGATATATGCATATTCCTCCACATGCTTGAAGAATATGCACAAATCTGGCCCTGAAGACGGGAGAGAACATTCCGTGAGAATGACGATCTAGTAAGAGATTATGCGGAAGCTTATTAAATTCAGACGTACTGAATGGATGAAGAACAGTCAACGGAAGGAGCATGTCCTCAAACCAAGCTCTTTAACTGACCTTAGTACTATGAATGAAGTTCGACCGTGATGAACGTTGTCAGAGAGGCTTTGGCGAGCGGCAAGTATTTTCCTATTGCGGAATCCAAGCGAAATTTAGATTCCAACACTGCAAACTTGAACATTCATGTAATGTCTAAGCGATGGCAAAGACACTTGCTCTCAACTTGCATTCTACCACCTACTTATTACTTGAAGGTATTTCCTGTCGCTTTGAAAGTGGGATGTGACCACACTTCCCCGGGCTCGAGCGCAATATTAACGCCACTATATCTTTCGTCCGAAGGTGACCGAATAACTCCTTATATAAAACTATAAGCAAGTTCAGCATCATTCCATACCTTATCTCTGCTATCGACTCGCGCTTTACAAGATCCATGTCTTCTGATTCCAAGTCCCGTGTGCCTCTGGTCATCCTCGGGGCGGGGGTGATTGGACTCACTATCGCCTACACTGCTGTCTGTGATTCGGATGTGGCTTTTGATATCACGATCATAGCAAGAGATATGCCTGGGGATTGGCATTCTCAAGCTTGGGCAAGTCCATTCGCGGTACGTACCTGTCGAGCGATCTTCAGGCTCTTTTTTACTTCAATCTTGCTCAGGGCGCAAGCTGGTCTCCAAATGCGTTAGGTGCGACAGATGAACGCGTGCGACGATGGGAGCAAATAACATTGTAAGCGATATATTGTTAATGTTTCAAGTTTTACGGACAAGGCTTCTCAGTGATAGGTTATGGGACATGGCGCCATCAGGCTTGGTCAAAGTCAGTCTTTGTTTGAACGTTTGTCATTTGGCATGACTAACAAACATTCCAGAGATCACCTGCTAAGGTTCTCGGGGAGACGGATGGCGTTCTTTCTACCATCTGGTGGAAAGACCTTGTGCGCGATGTAAGTCCAATTTGTATGACCTGTTCTTAAATTCTAAGTACAAGGGTAGTTCAATTTGCTCTCAGAGTCTGAAGTCCCTACACCATTCAAAGTGGGCATTGCTTTCAACACGGTCACCATAAACCCTTTGGAATATTTACCATGGCTTCGATCAGAGCTCGAGTCTCGCGGTGTTGTGTTCCATTGTCAATACATAAGGAGCTTGGACGAAGTTAAGCCTTTTGTGGGGAAAACAGGGTTGTTGGTTAACGCAACGTCTCTTGGTGAGCACATGACATTGTCAGGTACCGATAGTTATTGACGGTCCGGATCCGAAGGTTCACGGTCTTTGATCGGAGTCGAAGATACAGCCATGTATCCGGTCAGGGGACAATCTATTATAGTCGAACGTAGCGGCTTGCAGGAATTCATCACAGTACGGTCTGGTCAGTCCGTATCAATATTGACCCTCACTATCCCTGATGTGTCCTTGCACGTAGGTGGCGGGTTATCAGAACTGCCCACATCCATTACTCCTCGCCCTGGGCTGACGCAAACGAACACCGCGTCCCTAAACGGAACACATCAAGTAGGAAACTGGGATACATCCTTGGATATGTCGGCTGCAAAAGGGATATTTGAGCGGTGCTCCGTCATAGCGCCATGTTTGAAAGACGAAGGGACGAAGATCCTCATGCATACTGTCGGCCTTAGGCCGGACAGGAAAGGCGGTCCACGTGTGGAGGCTGAGCGAATCTCGCTTCCTCTTATACAAAGTGACGGTTTAGCTCCCAACTCGGGCGAAGATGCAGGACAACAGCAGGACCTAACAGTTATTCACGCATATGGGATGGGGTGAGAGTAGTTTCCTAGATCGTGCGAGTTCTAACCTTCGGTTTCAGAGCCGCAGGCTACCAAAGATCATGGGGTGTAGCTATCGAAGTTCTATCTCTACTGAAGGAGAACATGGAAACAAGCCGCCGAAATCAACAGCACAATGTCTAACTCTACTTATCTTCGTTTCGAGCTTGCCATAGCACATGTATAACACTTAGCTTGAACCTAACACTCAACTGATATAACCCTTCATCCCTCAGTCCTTGGCTTCTCAGCCCCCGTCCTGGTGAACATAGCCTCCTTTCTGCTATGAATACTCGACGAGGAACGATACCGAATGGACCGCAACAGAATATGTATTCATAGCTCTTCCTTCCTCAGCTGACAGCATTCCTGCATATTAAGAAGAATGACCCACGGCAACTTCAATACCGGTGCGCGTGTTCAGGATATTTTGAATGCTGTAAAAATGATTGTGCGAAGGTATGCCTGATTTTGGTGCTGGAAGAATGACAAGTTGATGCCGGACTACAAATTTCCTATACCTGGATAGGGGAAGAAAGCTGCGCCCTTCTTCGGCCGCCGTCAGCGTTTACGCAGGGCTGCATTCCATCAGCAATGAGAATCACATCGACCTTGGCAACATGTCTTCTATACATCACGAACGTGGGACTGATACATATTTCAGACGGCCAAGCCCACTAGGTATACCTATCCCAAAACCGCTTATTGCTTCAAGGGTAAGGCCCAAGATTTTGCACAGGCGCTGGAGATCTCTTTTTTTTGACCACGTGAACACATCACAGGCGCTTGCAGAAGGTTGCATTTTGCGAAGGCAACTTATCTGAAGCGACTACAGAGTATCATAAACATTTTAGAGGCGAGCCCGAAAGTTGTCCTTTGGTATACGGTCTGAAAATGCGTTCATGCAAGGGACTATGACCTTGCGGGGGAGAGTCATCCAGACAGTCTCCTTGTGCTGCGCGCTGCACACACGTTCCTATACAGATCTCATGGCTCTGCATGTTTAAATGTCACGATTGAAGATTGTGATATGCAAGGTTTCAAGCTTCGATATTCAGCTTCCATGGACATGGACTGGGAGAAATTGCTTTTTGACTGCGCTCTACGTGCAGAGCACTTTGCTGTCCTTGAGCACTGAAATGGGAGTGCCTCCCAAAAATTTGCACAAGTTGCTTACCATTCAACGCTCAGTGCTGAACATACACTAACTTTGATAAATGTTCATCGACCAGCAGAACACTGCCTCACTACCCGCGCAACTTGATAAAGGGTAAACTTATAGCAATAACAATTCTGCCAAATTGATCAGAATCGTCCCTATATGTATATGCAAGACATAAAAGCTGGTCATCGTCATACGGCGTTCCTCGATCCTCAGAGGATTTCATACTACCTCGCGAAAAATGCGTTTCTCCCTCCTCATCGTTGCTGCTTTGACAACATCTATGTTTGTCAGTGCATGTTCCTACCCGGGTGGATCTTGCATAACATATCGGGATTGTTGCGGTGGCACGAATTGTGCCGGTTCTGTGAGTATGAGCAGGTCGCTGTACAAACACATGTACTGACCTGCGCGCCTCAGAATGGAGTCATGACATGCCAGTATGAGTAGTCTTTTGAAATTGAGCCGGCAGCCTGAGGGGCATGTCGCGACGGTGCGTCATGTTTCCGCTTTCGCTTTGATATCATGGTTGATCAGTATAGTTAATACCCAGTTCGAAAACTCTGAAAATGATCGAGCTTGGTTTGAGTTCGAGAGGCTGTCGAAATGGGCGTTAGTGTTCCTGCAGTCGTCAGATTCGATGCCCGAGTCGGATAATATTCATATCAATAGTAGAATGGATCAATGCATGCACCTAGCAGCGTTTATACAGCTCTTCCCAACATCCATCCACAATAAGAACGACCCAATGAAGACCGTGCAGGACACGGGAGATGACAACAATGAAGAAAAAGGGAAGGCGCACTCAAACACGTGGCTGAAGGAGGGATGAGTGGAATTGCAGACGTGATCATGTACCATAACTTCCTATACCTGGACGGTCTGTGTAGGGGAAGAAAGCTGCGCCTTTTCTTCTTCGGCCAGGCTGCATTCCATCAGTAATGAGAGCTACATCGACGTTCTCCTTGCGCTGCACGCATCTCATATGCACGGCTCTGCATGTTTCAATATCAAGGGTTTCAAGCATTCCATATTCAGCTTCCATGGATTAGCGGAAATTGCCTTTATGTATGCTACTCCTCACTCCCGCACAAACAATTGAAGCTTGTTCGGTAACCTGAGTTTGAATGAAAGTTGGGCGCAAAGTTTGACAATGCACAGCATTGAACAGGCGGCACGACGAACGCCGGTGTCGGAGATCGAATGTCTTTCCCTTCCGACCATGGCCACGAAATCTGTTATCAGCCATCGCGCATATGATCAGCGCAGAAAGCAGATCTTTGTAGCAGTCGCTACTTTCATAATCTGTAGCCAACTCCAGCTGATACAAATGTCTTTACCAAAGGAGAAGGCTCACTGGGAGGATGCTGAGGTTGATGCCCTCCTCGACTATCTTATCACACAACGATCAAAGTTGGCTGGAACCAACTTCAAAGAACCGACCTACAATGAAGCTGCCCTCAAGATCGCAGGGTTGAAGAAAAGTGGCCCAGTAAAGACGGCATCACATTGCAGGGTTAAATGGGCAGGGGTATGTTGTCTCTTGTGCCACTCTGAGTCCAGCCATCGCTGATGCAAATATTTTAGTTAAAATCTACTTACAATGCTATTGAGAAATATCGCAACCGATCCGGGTGTCATTGGGATAGTTAACATGGTGCTAGCATTCAGGGGGAGGCAGCTGAATCTGTGTGGAATGAATTTATTCACGTATGTAATCACATTTATGTATTAATTTCAGCTGAATTTATCTTGCCACAGAGCAGCTCTGGGAAGTCCATGAAGTCGTTCAAGAACACCGGTTGGAGGTTCTACAACAAGATGGACCAAATCCTACCGACTAACAGCATTGCACATGGATCTGCTTCATACAACCCCACGTCATCAGCTGCAACCGGCACTCAAGTCCCAGTGCCAGGTCCCAGTGTCAGTAACATCACTGATGATGCTGCACCAGTACCAGGTCCCAGCACCAGCACCAGCAACATCACTCATGATGTCAGTACTAGTATCCCTGCCCTCATGCCGCCTCCTTCTTCTACCTCTAGCCTGGGAAAGCACCAGCTCGATGATATGACGTCAGTTGCCCCTTCCGCATCCATCATGTCTGAGTTGGTCTCGCAGCTGGTACCATCAGAATCCGACAGCAAGAAGCTCAAGTTAACGGGTACGAGTCGGCGTAGCAGTGGGAATGGTGGCAGAAAGGGCAAAGATGCTGCCAGCGCCGCCGCATGGATGAACCTGCAAGGTTCCATTAATCGCCTGACCGATGGTCTTACAACATCGACCGTCACTGAAGATTCTCGGATGGCGGATGAAACAAGACGTGCGCTGGACAGCATGCAAGCAGAAGAGGACTTGTCGCATGATGAGAAGATTGTCCTCTTGAACGTGTTCCTGCTGAACGCGAGAATATGCACTGTGTATTTGAGTACCACGCCGGAGCTTCACATTGGTTTTTTGCGGTCTATCATTCAACAAGTCAAGCACAATATTCCATTTTTGTAGTAGTAGCAGAATGTTGTACTACTACTGTATCAAATAGCATCATCGTTGTCAGCATCATTTTCAAGCTCTGCATACTGTTCATCATCTGAAGCCGCCTCCTCATCACTTTCCAAGAACTGATCTACATCCATCAAGTCTCGTTCATACAAGTAGTTTTGATAATCCTCCCACATTTGCGTTGCAATCTGATCACGAAGGTTGTTTGCGTTGGTATGAATGGGCGCTGCACCTGAGTTATCGGTGTCGGCATGTCCTGGAGGTGCTGGGAAGGTGTCGTGATGGTTGTCATTGACAACGGGTATGTGCGGCAAAGGACCTTCGTCTGGGTCATGAGCGCGGATGTAATTGTGAAGAGCGCATAGCGCTGTAGGAATCCGTGCCTGAATGTCAATGCTATATTCAGGGGATATGAGAAGGATGTGAAAACGACGTTTCACAACACCAAAAATTCGTTCAATGATGTTGCGAGCTGATGCATGACGGAGGTTGAACAACTCTTCTTTGTTAACAGGTCTAAAAAATAATGTCAGATGAGCAAAAAAAAACAACTGAAGGTTTACCTAGTGCTAGCACGGCCCCATTCAGCAAGGTGATAGCGAATGCCACGATAGGGGACTAAGAGCTCTTTACATGAGGGGAACCCTGAATCAGCAAGAAGATATTTTCCAGGCGGGATATTCAGGCCATCATTGCAAGCTACATCCCAGAGTCGAGCATCGGTTGCTGATCCCTCCCAGCTGGTCAGTGTGAATGTGTCACAACCCAATAACGAATTAACGCTGGGCAGAGACTAGGACTCAAACGAAGGTTATCACAACAAAAAGGATAATGAGCAGGTACGTCTTGGATTGCTACGGTGTAGAAACAAGAGGTTTGAACTAAGGAATTATCTACCAAGACATGCTAACTATATACAACTATTGAGACGGAGATTGAAGCTGAGTTACAACTACTAGCCAATCATAAAAAGAGAAAGGGAATCGTACCATAGAACATCGTGGAATATTAAAGAAGCATCACGTGACCATATCTTATCTTATCTTATCTAATCACAATCAAAGAACTCGTCTTCTTCATCAGTCACATCGAAGACACGTGTCGTAGGCGCTAAAGGTATTTCGGGAATGGTAGACGCTTTCAAGGTAGGGTTAGGGTTTATCTTAGGCGCTGTGTATTGACGCTTAGGAAGATTCAGGAAAGAATAATGGTTTGTTAAAGGTACTCGTGACAGAATGTAAAATTAAGGTCAAAATCGCACACAAAAAGGCAATTTTGAGAGATGAAGCCTTTGCGATTGTAATAGAGGTGGCAGCTGTGTGAAGGAGGGTATGCATGGATATGACTGCCGTCAATCGCTCCGATGGCATCTTTGAAGTAAGGCCAGCGTTTTGGGTTGTCGCAAATTTCACTTGAGATAGGTGTGCTGTCAGTGGGAAGGCGGACATGTATTGTGTAGAATGGATGGGACAAAAAAATAAAGAGCATCTTGCGGAAATAGCTGTTATATGAGTGACTTGGGGTTAGTACTAAGTTCAAGCAAGGTTTTGCAAACTACAAACCGAGAGACTGTATCATTTGACCGCTGGAATCGTTCCGCAAGATGTCTTAAAGATAATCTGGTCACACACGCATATAGGAATATTGCCAGCTGCTCCTCTAATGATACGTGGCGTGAATCTGCATGGCCAAGGCTTCGAAGATCGTTGACCAAACTCTCAAAGACCTCAGCGTGCACCCCAAGCTCACAGTGTATGCGTTCAGGGTGGCCAACAATTAATTCCATCACCCATTCTTGACCGGTCAATGACGAAGTGTGGTAGGGCTCAGGATCCTCAGGGGTCTGTTGTATGAGTAGATGTGTAGTAGCGGCAAGCAATATGTTTATCAGGAGAGCAATGTAACGGAAAGTGCGCTTGTGGACTTCTGCTCTTGCGATGTGCACTGTATCTGGTTGAGTTTGCTGAAGAAGATGAGCTGCAGTGAGATGCCCCCCATGGGGGGTAATGGGATTAGGGAATAGTGGCTGATTTACTGATAGGAGTCCCTGTGGATCCATGGCTGGTATGTTGTACCGACTCGTAATACCTGTGATGATCAGCACTGATCCTTTTCAGTCTCCGCTCACAACTCAGACGCACCTGCGCCACATCAAAATTGTGCGTTGAAGTAAAGTTGCTCTAACGTGGATTACCGAACAAGCTCTATAGCAATAACAATTCTGCCAGATTGATCAGAATCGTGCTAATATGTATATGCAGGTCCCAGGGCATAGAAAGCCTGTCGTGTTCCTCCCATCCTCACAGATGTCTCCCTTCAGAGGATTTCATACTATTAACTCGCACAGAAAAATGTGTTTCTTCCTCGTTATTCATATTGTTGCTGCTTTGACACCATCTATGTTTGTCAATGCATGTCTCGCCGAGAAGAGTCATTGCAGAATAAATGGCAAGGCCCAGTGTTGTTCTGGCTTCACATGTGCCCTCCAGGATGTGAGTATGAGCGTGTCGCTGTGTAAACACACACACATATATACTAACCTGCACGCCTCAGGATGGGAGCTCGCAATGCGAGGAGTGTCTTCGTCTGATTCGCTGCCCGAGTTAGATGATATTTCATATCAAGAAACTACCTCCAGAGTCGATCAATGCATACACCTAGCAGCGTCTATATAGCTCTTCCCAACACCCATCCACAACAAGAACAACACAACGAAGACTGTGCAGGACACGGGAGATGATGTCAACAAAAAAGGAACGGAAAGGAACGGAAAGCGCACTCAAACAGGAGGGATGAGTGAAATTGCAGACGTGATTATGTGCCATAAACAATAAGTGGGGGAAAGAAATGTGCCTCTATATAGTGTAGTCTATGTGTAGAAATGCGATGTGAATGGTCCATCCTGTCGAGTTTGCTAGTCGTAAACGTTGATGCTCATTCTTCATTCCCGGCTCACGTCACTACAAATGTGGTCAGTCCATTACTCACAAAGAGATGAAGAAAGCTTGGTCGAAATAGAAGGTAGAAAGGGAAGACAGACAGAAACAAATTTTAGTACCCACCGTCCCCATAACTTCACCCTCATCCAGTCTCCAGCAACCAGGCTTCGATTTTGCAGGGAGAACAGAATGCTCAGATATGCACTCCGCCAGAACATGAACGTCGCAACACCTCCACTCGTCCACTATAGCCCAGTCAGTTCATATATCCAACAGTGACGGTAGTAAACAACATGCCTCACGCCCAAAAATAGGCAAGTCGGCAATCGCCTTGTCCGAGCCGATGTAGCTGTAGATAACGCGTTAAGAGAGGGATAAAGCAGAACAAGGAAACACGCACGCCAACGAGCCTTGATGACTGTAGTGGATAAAGGGGAAACCTATAGCAATAACAATTCTGCCAGATTGATCAAAATCGTGCTTATATGTATATGCAGGACATAAAAGCTGGTCATCTTCATACTGTGTTCCTCGATCCTCAGAGGATTTCATAATTACCTCGCACAGAAAAATGTGTTTCTCCTCATTGTTGCCGCTTTAACAACATCCATGTTGTTTGTCGGTGCATGTTCCGTCAAGGGTCAATCTTGCAGAGCATATACTGATTGTTGCGCTGGCACGAATTGTGCCCACATTTCGGTGAGTATGAGCAGGTCGCTGTGCAAACACATGTGCTGACCTGCGCGCCTCAGCCTAAAGTCTTGACATGCCAGTAGTCTTTTGAAAATTGCCTGAGGGACATGTCGTGACAGTGCGTCATGTTTCGACTTTCGCTTTGATATCATGGTTGATTAGTATAATTGATACCCAGTTCGAAAACTCTTGAAATGATCGAGCTTAGTTTGAGTTCGAGAGGCTGTCGAAACGGGCGTTAGTGTTCCTGCAGTCGTCAGATTCGCTGCCCGAGTTGGATAATGTTCATATCAATAGTAGAATGGATCCATTTCTGCTGTGAATACTCGACGGGTAAGGATGTCGAGCGGACCGCCACAGAATATATATTTATAGCTCTTCCTTCCTCAGCTGACAGCATTCCTGTATATCGCGAAGAGTGACCCACGGCAACTTGAATGATATTGGGGCGCGTGTTCAGGATATCCTGAACATGTGGAGGTAGGCCTGAATTTGGTGCTGGAAGAATATTAATGACAAGTTAATGCCGGACTACAAACTGAACTTCCTATACCTGAGCAGTCTGTATAGGGGAAGAAAGCTGAGCCTTTTCTTCTTCGGCCGCCGGGTCAGCGTTTTAAAGCAGGGCTACATTCCATATTTTCAGCTTCCATGGATTTGGGCATCTCGTATCGTGTGAGAGTGGGGAATTAGTCAGACTGGTCGATCTCGGAAAAATTTGGCGGGCGAAACGCGGAGGTCGAAGTTTAGCAGGTGCCGGTTGTGCCGGGTGTCGTGACATTGTACAGAACACTGTAGAGGGTTGGCTATCACAGTTACACCCTTAAAATTGCTTCAAAAATATCATGTACGCTGAATGCAGTGCGCGAACAAAAGTTTCTGAGTGATAGTCGACAGCCGGCACGACCGGCACCTGCTAAATTGAAACTCCGTGCTTCGCCTGCTGAGATCGATACATACTAGTACTACATCCCTATTCTAGGGTACCTAGACTTGCTGATTTTGAGGCTGCGAGGATGCCCACCCGCCCTCACAGCTCACCTCTTCTCTCTCTTTTGCACAGGTTGGGGCCGCTATCGGGGCTTGCACCCAAAAAACTATCTGCTTCAATAAAGTGTAGATTCTTTTTTTCTCTCGCTACCACTACTATGACCGCTGCACGACAGCAAACACAAAGTAGCAGAAATTTTCTTTACATATGCTCTTGTTACCAGCACTCAAACACGTGGCTGAAGGAGGGGATGAGTGAAATTGCAGACGTGATCATAATGTACCATATTAACTCCCTACACCTGGGCGGGGAAGAAAGCTGCGCCCTTTCTTCTTCGGTCGGGCTGCATTCCATCAGTAATGAGAGCTACATGGACGTTCTCCTTCTGCACGCACGTTCCTATACAGATCTCATATGCACGGCTCTGCGTGTTTAAACGTCAAGGGTTTCAAGCATTCCATATTCAGCTTCCATGGATTAGCAGAAATTGCCTTTACGTACTATGCTGCTGTTACCACTGGAAGTGAGGACCTCAGTCCCGCACAAATGAAGTGGGAAAACTTATAGCAATAGCAATTCTGCCAGATTGATCAGAATCGTACCTATATGTATACGGAGGACATAAAAAGCCAGTCGTGTTCCCCCCATCCTCAGAGACATCTTCCTTCAGAGGATTTCATACTATTACCTCGCACAGAAAAATGCGTTTCCTCCTCGTTATTAACATTGTTGCTGCTTTGACAACATCTATGTTTGTCAATGCATGTCTCGCCGAGCTGAGTACTTGCCAACCACATGGCGAGGTCGAGTGTTGTTATGGCTCCACATGTGTCCTCCAGAATGTGAGTATGAGCAGGTCGCTGTGCAAACACACATATATACTAACCTGCGTGCTTCAGGATGCGAGCCCGAAATGCGAGAAGTGTCTTAACTGCCCGAGTTAGACAATATTCATACCAATAGTAGAATGGATCAATGCATGCACCTAGCAGCGTCTATATAGCTCTTCCCAACACCCATCCACAATAAAAATAACCCAACGAAGACCGTGCAGGACATTGGGAAATGATGTCAACAAAAAATGAACGAAAAGGAACGGAAAGCGCACTCAAACAGGAGAGATAAGTGAAATTGCAGACGTGATTATGTAACATAAACGATAAGCGGGGGAAAAGAAATGTGCCTCTATAGTGTAGTCTATGTCTAGAAATGCGATGTGAATGGTCCATCCTGTCGAGTTCGCTAGTCGTGAGCGTTGATGCTCATTCTTCATTCCCGGCTCACGTCACTACAAATGTGATCAGTCCATTATATTTGGAGGCAGAAAGGGAAGACAGAAACAAAGTTTAGTACTCACCGTCCCCATAACTTCACCCTTATCCAGTCTCCAGCAACCAAGCTTCGATTTCGCAGGGAGAACAGAGTGCTCAGATATGCACTCCGCCAGAACATGAACGTCGCAACACCTCCACTCGTCCACTATAGCCCAGTCAGTTCATATATCCAACAGTTACGGTAGTAAACAACATACCTCACGCCCAAAAATAGGCAAGTCGGCAATCGCCTTGTCCGAGCCGATATAGCTGTAGATAATGCGTTAATAGAGGGAAGCAAGCAGAACAAGGAAACACGCACGCCAACGAGCCTTGATGGCTGTAGTGGAAAGGCTTCAACTTGACCTTGTCTATCTGCTTCTTCAGTTTCTCTGCCTGGTCGCTGTCTTTGACATGCGACAAGTCAGCCTCGAGTTGGTCTTTCTTCGCAAGTAACTTGAACACGCGCGAGAGATATGAACCCTGTTGGCTTGCGACCTGGGCAGTCGGAGCGTAAGACGAGGCCGTACAGTCCCCGATAGCGAAGATATTGCTGGCTCCCTTCATGCGGAGGTGATCGTCGATGGAAATCCCACGCTTATTCGTCTGGTCTTCAGGGAGCTTCGCCATCAGATCCCGTGTTATTTGGCGACTAGTGTTGCCCTATGAGAAGACAGATGAAAAGCAGAAACACCACGACGAGAACAGAACATACAGCAGCCCAAATAACCATCCCGCACGGCACCTCCCGTTCGACACCATCGGGGCCCTTGAGAACGACACTCTTCTCGTTGACCTTCCTCACCATGGTCTTGGTGAGGATATCAATGTCGGACTCCTTGAACGTGCGCTCGGTATAGGCAATCAGTTCTTTGCTGAATGAGGGAAGGACATTGGGAAGAGCCTCGACAAGCGTGATGCGGATCCGTGAGGCAAGCTCTGGGTACCATGACTTGAGATCCTCCTTGATAAAGAAGATACACGGTCAAGTTCCAGTAAATGGAGGAGGAAAAATGACAGTCGTACCTCCAAGAAGTCACGGAGTTCGCCACTGAGTTCGATACCCGTTGGTCCACCACCCACCACCACCTGCCAAAGAGTGAGCACATGGTCCCATATAATGGAAGTTCACATAGAATAAAGAGATTCATCTGTACTGGCGATAATCACCAGGTATCAGAGTTCCCTCACAATGGAGGGATCAAGTTTCGAAAACGTAAAGGTCGGAAAGATAAGAAAGAGAAAGTAGCGAATCGTTAAACATACCATATGCAACAACCGGTCTTTTTCCTCATCACTTTGGCCTGGGAAAGCAGCAGTCTCTACGCCTACAAGCAACTATAAGCTGTACATCACAAATGATGAATGATGTTGAAACGCACAGTCCAAAAAGCGTCTTTGCATCTGCAGTATATCATTGTATTCAATAAGGTGGCAGAGGCTAGAGGGAGTATAGTCGTACCTTCTCAGCATCATGCAGTTCTTTCATGAAGCATGCATGTTCCTTCACGCCAGGAATACCAAATGTCTGCGTCTCGGCCCCGACAGCATATACAAGATAGTCGTACGGTATGGTCGTACTGGATATTTGGCCTCGGATCTCAGAGTCATCTGTGATAATTCAGTTCTCTCTATTCTATGAAAGAATAGCAAGGGGTGGAAAACGCACCTGAGAGCGTAACAGTCTTGTTAACCGGCTATTGCAAATAAAGGACTTTTAATCTCTGCCGAGTAATGTACGACGAGAGACGTACGTCAACTTCCTTGGCCTCTGCTTCAATGACTAAGACCTGACGTTGTTTGTGCCGCGTCAGGTAGCGAGTAGCTGCGTTTTTGTTATTGTTGCAATTCGCGGTAGGCGAGAATGAAGCGAACTCACGCTGTAGGATAGATCGTGCATTCAGCGTGCCGACTGCAACGGAAGGAAGGAGAGGCGTGAAGAGGAAGAAGTTCTTTGGTGAGACAACGATCTAGTGCATCATGCAATCAGTCCGTGAATACGGTACTATCGAACATGTGACATACAGTGTTATAATCGCTGGTGTCGAGCCCTTTAAGGAGGCTCGTCGCTCCCCAGCCGCTGCCCAAAACAACCAAGGTCTTCTTTGAGGGATCGAACGGGAGTTGTGGCCCCGGGTTTTTTTCCTTATGTGCGATGTAGTAGAAGGTGGCGGAAGCTGTGTTTTAAGATTACATGGTGGTCGGATAAAAGAACGATCTACAATCAGTCAAAAGTGTTGCTCGCCAGAACACAGCACTTGCCTCCGATCACTGTTACGAGTGTCACACGTCCCAAAGTCTGCAAAAAGTATCCCCATCTCCGTTGAGACGGTGGTGGTGGTGGAGGCGGAGTCTATTCATAATGACGAGTTAAGAAGCCGACAAGAAAGCTAGACGCGGGAAACATACCTGTGATGCAACGGCGCCCTTCGAGGCTACAGACCCAGATTGGGCTCTTGAAGTCGAAGCTGTCAAGAAATGTTTTTGTACGTGCGTGTGAGAGCGGACAAGCGTCCTGCCCATAGACGCGATGCGAACTGTGCACCAAAATAACTCATCGTAAAAAATCCGACTTGCAAGTTTGATCAAAACATACCATGTCGTGCAGCCTGCATCGGAGGAGAAGACAAGAGGAGGTTTTGGAAAAAAAAGATTAATGGCTGTATATAACTTTTAAGGCTTCTCGGGGAGTCGAGGACAAATTGGTCCAAATGACGATTTCAATTCGCTTCCGGCTCACCTCCGCTTCGGCGCCTAACTAAGTGCTTGACATCCGAGATTACCCGAAAGGGAATAGATCTACGCCGGTATCTACCTTGCTTTAGCCTTGTTTCTAAGTTCTTGTTTCAAAATCAAGTAGACTGCACTTGGCGTGGTCTAATATCCGAGCCAGCATGCAATGCGCCGTCCTGGACATCACTTCCCTTTTAACTAGCGGATAACTCATGCTCGTTTTCCCGAACGACGCTTTCCGGTTTATTCTAGGAGTCCCAGCCGCCGGACTGCACTTAATACCGAACGAATCAAATCGCAAAGCAACCGCCTATAATATGCCGCTGTAGTCAAACCAGCTGCATCGCATTGGTTCTACTAAGTCGTAGGCCATGGCGATAGCACAGCTAGCTGGTCCTTACTTAGCTTGAGAAGGCCTAACCAATCGGAATCATGGCTCCATAGGCAGCACCCTATGACTCCTCGACTCCCACGAAGTTAGTGGAGGAAGGGCTCTTGTTGTGTTCCCATCTCCTATAACCTTTGCCGACTCTACCCGTTTTCTTCGGGCGTTCGCGTATGATCAAAGACATAGGAATTTCTTGTGGTCAAACATGACTTCACTCTCTTCAGTCGCTCAACACTCTAAACACATTACTCCGCACTTCGTCCCAGTACCCTGTACAACTGCGAGTGTGGCGAAAGAGCGCATGGCGCCCTTGTCACAACTAGTATCCGGAATTCCATTTGATATCCGCATCGCATCACATCTCCTGTCGCCCGTTCTCCCTTGCGTGGCTCTCGGCGATCTATGCGTTGGAGACAATCATCGTGATCAACGGAGCTAGGCTTGTTCAGCTCGCCAGTCCTTGGTCATCTTACCCAAGTAAGTGACCATGGTGCTGTCCAAACACCTCCGGTTCTACGAATGCGATCTCGTGCGTTCTGTGTTCCTTCTTTTGCATGGCGTGCAGGTGAACTCTTGTTGATACAGTTCCACATACGCAAAATATCCGATGTAGGCGTGTTTCTTTTTTGCATGTGTAACTTATAAACGCGTTGCTTTACTAGTATCGAATATTGAAGATTGAACCTGGTACAAAATGTGAGAAAGCGGTGTAATTTTGGGACTGGGCACCTAGGTGCCGTTGCGATAGTAGTGAGTTCATGAGTCCATGGCTGCGCCTTCTCAGTACTACTCAAGTCAAGTGGCTAGTTCCAACGCAGACCCGTAGGCGATCATCGCTTTATCATGAGTTTGAGAACAATGTTCCGACTCAAGGATGGGCTTTCTCACAAGTATAATATATAGGGATTTGCCGGAGTCATAGGCTGCAGCATTGAGAGCAGTTCAGACACCATGAAGGACAGGAGTTCAATAAAAAATGTTTCAAGAACAGACCGAATCCACTGCCCGAAACACAGCACTGCCACTCACTATTTAGAAACATAGCGCCCCGCGGTGCGTGGACTTCTTCACGACGACAAGTGAAATTTCTGACGGATGTCCTGATTCTCAGAATCTCAAAACTGTTTCCAAACGATAGCTTAGCGACAGGAACCCCGAGTCTGTAGTCGAGTCAAAAAGAGTGAGACAACTAGGATTGTATTACATGGGCATGCAATGTGTCAGAAATGAAGATGCGAGAGTCAAGATATGTAAATGTGACTTGTGGGTGAGGCTGCAGCGATGCCAGACCTAGTACGATGGATGACTCCCACATAAAATAAGACTAACGGCTATAACTCACCTGCACAGAACCAGACGTCAAGTTCGGTGAGAGCTCTAGTTGAAGTCACCGACGGCAACTTCCTCGCGCTTTTCTTCATCGACATCAAGTTCCCCGCGCTTCCTCTCAACACCATTCGAGTAGGAGCCGTAACTGGTGTCATCAGCGTTGAGTTCATAATTGCGATAGTTGAAATCAACGGTCTCAAGCTCCTCGCGCTTCCTATCAACCCCATTCTGGTATGAGCCGTAACTGAAGTCATCAGCGTTGGTTTCGTAATTGATATAGTCGAAGTCTTGGGCGTCGACTTGTTCCCCACGCTTCCTCTTGACCCCGTTCTGGTATGAGCCATAACTGAAGTCATCAGCGTTGGTTTCGTAATTGATATAGTCGAAGTCATAAGCGTCGACTTGTTCCCCACGCTTCCTCTTGACCCCATTCTGGTACGAGCCGTAACTGAAGTCATCAGCGTTGGTTTCGTAATTGATGTAGTCGAAGTCTTCGGCGTCGACCTGTTCCCCGCGCTTCCTCTCGACCCCGTTCTGGTATGAGCCATAACTGAAGTCATCAGCGTTGGTTTCGTAATTGCTGTAGTCGAAATCATCGGCGTCAAGTCCGAGATCCTCGCGCTTCTCTACATCTGATAGCAAGTTACGATTAGTATCGACCTCCAGATGGTGATGAGTGATGGATAGGAATATTCACATGAACGTTTCGCGATGGCTCCTTGCATAGGGTGCGCTGTAGCAAGAATCATAATGGGCGCGAGGGCGCTGAAGACAAGAGAAAGCTTCATGTTTGAGTCAAGAGGAACGATTAAGTGACACTACGTTGAGGAATCTTCAAGCTAAGGGATTTATACCTTTTCATAGATCCGCTGATGACTCAAGTTACCTGAAGCCTCGTTTACTCAGATTCGAGCTGTTGTTCCAAGTGCACGTCAGTATGATTGAAAAGTTACTCAACACCCACAATATTCCCAACGAGGAAAGACAGTCGACCATGTCCCGATCTTGCAATTCGCAAATTGGCAATTCGAAGGTCACGACGATCCGAACTGTGGAACTCGGGGAGTCACTGTCGCGGTGTTCTTTGACTGTCAAAAGGAAACTCGAACCTATTCCAGGACAGCGGCTCGACATCGACATCGACATCCTATCTCGTCACTTCTGCACGTCTTGGCGTCATCAATTCCCGATGGTGGAAATACCATTTGTGTCATGTAGGCAAGTTTATTTGGCTCTTGTCCAACAGTTTCCGTCTGGAAGATTTTTTGTTGGTGTCTGCTCCTCGAGCTAGTTTGACGCACATGCTTGAGAATTTTCTGTACGTGCACGAGGTGGGATTGATCTGGACGGCTGACTAGTACTAGTACCCGGTCGTTGGCAACAAGAAGAACGTAAGTCGAGAAGGACGTTCTCCAAATTAGGACGAGTCGACTATCAGTTTGCTGGTTCTTTTTGGTGCGTGCTCATGAGGTAGTGATCCATGTGCACAGTACAAACCACGTTACATCCCATCAAGGTGAGCTTCGGTTCTAGGATCCAGTTTGCTCTTGTAGGCCACACCACGCATGTGGAGCAACTCAAAGAAGTTTCGTTCAGACCGCGTTGGTATCAGGGAAATCTGTCGCCAAGGCTCTAGCTGTCAGCTCATGGTGACTCAAAACTATTATCGGCGTACTAATCCCATGGAAGTAAATTATAAACGTGTCAAGATACTAATTAAAATGTTTATTAATATTATTGTCAGCATCTCCATCTCAGGCGCGATGACGACGACATAGATGCTGACAGAAATGAGTACTTGACCGGCGCGACGTTAGAGAACAAGACGGACGTACAAATCTTCTGTCTCGTAATCATCGTTCTGGTAGGAACGTTCCGCGATGACTCCAAGTCTTTGCATGGGGTATTACGCTATGGAGAGGGTTTTGCTCATGACCCTGAATTGATTGAAGCCTTGTCCACCCAGAAATTTTGTAGTAAGGTCAGTCTCGTTGAAAAATCACTCGACGACATCACTAATCCTAATGAGGCAAGGCCGTCAACGTTGATTGTGAACAGCGTCTCTGAGATCCTTCACCGTGTTCCGGCGCCCCGAACTCGGACACCTTCATTTCCCCACATCTCGTAATCTCGACTAGCTTATTAACTAGGTGTGTTACTGGGATATCTTTTGCATAGTCCTATCATTAGTGTTGCGGAAGTCCGGTTTGGTCCGGTTCAGCAACAAATTTTGCGAACGCTGAACCAAACCTCACGTCCGGTTCAATCGTTTTGCTGAACGCTGAACCGGACGCCATGAACACGTTCATGGCGTCCGGTTCACGTCCGGTTCAGCATTCGAACATCGAACACATTGTAAATATACTCGATTGTACTATAGCTAGTAGTAAGGAGTACTGGTACACTACTGTGAAGCAGACTCGGAGGGGGTGATGCCATCGATATCTGTCTCATGATCCATGTCAGTAGCTGCATCCGTAGTTACCCCGTTATCCTGGTCTCCTTCACAGTCACTTTCCTCCTCAGAGCCCTCACTTGTGACCACTGACCTGCTAGCCTTGCGTTTGTGCAAGACAGCGTTGTTGGGGTCAACAAGCTTGGGTGCAGGGCGTGGGATACGAGTCGAGCGACGTGCCTGAGCGGGAAGCACAGACAGTGGAGTATCGTCGTCAGGATCATTGTACCATCGGATTTGACTGGCGTCGAGGAGAGTTCCATCTGCACCCAGACCACACTGGTCAGCCATGTTGTGAGGGGGAAAGCTTGAAGAGAGTTGAGCTTACCTTGAATTTGATCCATTTTAACTTCCATTGAGTTCATGAGTGCCGAACAATTCATGTAGCTACCCTAGAAAAAAAACAACCCGTTAACAAATACATTAGCACTAAACCAAATTAACCAAAGTTTCCATACCTTATCAGGTTCTTCCTTTGTAATGTTTGGGTTAGTGGTAGGCAAACAAACCTTCACAGACCTTGCCAGTGTGGCATGGTCCTTGTGAATTGGATTCCAAGCGAAAAAGTTGCGAGTAATCATGTCATGTTCAGTGTATTGCATGTGTGGGTGATGTCATCTTGTATGTGTGAGTAGCCTAAAATGGAAGCAGTTCAAAAAGGTTTGGACACGTTCGGATGCGTTCAATGCGTTCAAGGAATGCTGAACGCTGGACTGGACCATTGTTCCAGTTCAGCCTATACTCTGAACGTTGAACTGGACCATGGTCCAGTCCACGAAAGGTCTGGTTCGAACCGCAGTTCAGAACCGAACCTCCGCATCACTACCTATCATAGTATGGGAGACTATGTCTTCCATGCATCATAAGTAATAGCATATAGCAACATATATCGCGCATGGCCAGTGATAGAGCCTAACCGATTTTGTGGGCATCATTCTTTGTCACTCTCAAGTAGTTGTTATATTCAGACGAGAGCCAGCTAGCACTGAGCCAGCTATAATTAATACGTCAGAGGACTTGAGGCAACGACGCACGAGTTGGAAAATGCAATGCGCAATGTCACCAGGCAATCGAGTCAATTTAAAACAGAGCAACGTGAAAAACCCCGTATTGTATTGCATAGGCATGCAACATGTCAGAAAATTTTAAAAAGCGATCAGGTAGGGGTGTAGATGTACAACAGGGAAGATACTGTTACTTGTGGGAAAGGCTACGGTGATGCTGGACCTAGTACGATGAATGACTCCCTCAAAAATAAGATGGCGCACAGCTATGAACTCACCTGTTAGAATCTGTCATCAACCGTTCACTGTTACGACTTGGATGGTATCTGTTGGCGACGCTCAAACAGAGCGTGTGTCGTCAACGGTCGAGGACGTCCTTGGGCTAGCCCAAGGTTAGGGGTCTTACTTGGCGAAGCTTCGGCAAGTAAGATTTGACGCCTATGTCCAAATCGGGTAGCTTATGTCACGCGGGTGTGAGACGATAAGCTAAATCGGCCTAGACTTACGATACCCGAAGGTTAATCGTAAGGATCGTCGTTAATTTAGAGGGACAGAAGTCTGACTAGTTAACAGGGGCTTTGCTCGTCGACGAAGTCGATGAGTAAAGATCGAGACTATAGGCTTATCTGCGAAGAGCAGATAAGAAGATAGAATATAGACTGCTGGCGAGGCAGAAGGGATCACTCTGGTGAGAGTAGGAGGTCAAGAACCAAGTAGATTCAAGTTAGGGACTATAGTACATGGTAGCGAGTTTATATAGAGGACAGGAGACATATTAGTGGGTGATAACTCGTACTACCAGGAGAGGCAATCGGTAAAGGGTATAACCATAACAGGAAGGCACGTTCGGTCGGGGTAGAACGTGCTCAATAAGAAAGTGAGTCAAAGATCGGAATAAGAAGTGAAACGCGCAGGGGCACGATCGTGCAGCTGCGGATCTAAGTATAAGTCGCATGTGCGACTGCGCACCGAGTCAGAGATCAAGAAAGGGAACAGGGCAAAGGGGATGCGTCGTGCATCATATCATAGGTTACCGTCCGGACGGTAAGGGTAAAGGGGACTATCCACAGGATCAGTCAGGTGGTGGAGCGGAGCATGGGTATGCTTTGTCAGCGAAAGGGTCCGGCCAAATGTACTGGCTTTGCTGCAGCGATAGGTAGAGAGCGAAAGGGAATGCGAGGATGACAAGGATGACAAGGGTAAGGTCAGGGTAAGGGTATGACGTGAGGGCTGATACAAGGAGGATTAGGAGAAAAATGGTGGGGGCCCAAGTGTCTAGATGTTCTTGTAACATTCACTGGTAATGGCGATATTTTTATTTATCGGCATATGAGCTCCCATTTTAATTGTAGTAGGGATCAGCTTCAGCTTCACGACGGTATATACCAACATATTTGACTTCTGTACTGTCTGTGTTGAGTTCCTTGCGCCGCTCCACGTCTGGCAGCAAGTCAGCATACCACATAATACAGTAACATATACCCGTCTCAGACAGGCAGCCGAGCGTGACAATGTACCAATGGGGACGGGCCATCCCATGTGGGCCCATGGTAACAATTGTACCATGATATAGGAGTGGGCCGAGTGAATGTGTGTACCCGAGGCAAACAGATGGGCCAAGGGAATATAGTATATACAATGGTATAGGAATGTACTAGTATATAGGACACAATGGATGGTACATCCGGTTGACAATAGGGCCGGTTCATCTAGCCTATTAGGAAAATGGATCATCCGGTAGGTATATTTGCAGGTACATATATTATCCGGTAGGTATATTATCCAGTCGTATAATCCGGGAGTTAGGTATATAACCAGGGTATAGAATCTGGTAGGTAGGTATATAATATGGTGGGCATATAATCCGGTAGGTAGGTATGAAATCCAGCGAGTATATAATCCGGTGGGCATATTATCAGGTAGGGTTGGTAGGTATATTATATGGTGGGTATATAATCTGGTAGGTAGGACGAACATCTGGTTAGTGATGTGCCTGGCCTGGCCTACTTGATGGGCCTCATGAGGGCTTGGGCCTGGCCTGGGTGTCTCATAGGCCATGGCCTAGGGCTCAGGCCAGGGCTTCTACATAGTAAATGGATTTTTCCGGAATGTACTGTACAGTAGTTACTAAATTAAACTTTGCAACAACCACATCTGCTGGAAGTCAGCTGAACAACATACCCGGCCCAAGAATGACTCTCACAGTCATGTCTGATGATGACGCAGTTACTGCCATCACAGTACGTTCTAAACGAACAATCATACCTTCTTCTCGGCTCCTTGATTCCAATAATAGTGCAACACCCGAATTAACTAGCCACAAGCAGGTCCAGCGGCCAGTTCAACCAAACACTGCTCCCACGACAAATCCACACAATGCCAAGCAAAATGCAGACAACGCTGGCTGGAGTTCAAGTCTCTCGAATCAGGATGAGGATTTGGACAATGACGATTCCAACAAATCAGTATACAAGGGTAAGTACTATCAATCTTTGTGCCGGTATGCTCACTATTTTATTTTCATAGTCAAGCGCCTTCATTGAGCCAGCGAGCCATCCTTCACAGATATTGATGACGCTTGTTCGACTCGTTCATTCAGCACACACACAGGTAAGCACACAACTCATTTCACCATTGAATTCTAATGCTACTACTAACTTCTTACTCTAGCGCATACAGGTACACATGAGGACTCCATCGATCATGACATTGACATCACTGGCAATGGCGATGACGAGAACAACAACAACAGCAACAGCTTCCTGCAAGACATCAATGTGCAAGATATTGCTGTTCCCAGAATGGTTCAACGCGAGGAGAAAACTCGGGACGTCAACACGTTCTTCGGCAAGTCCTATGCGCATAAGGCGAAGGATGGTAAGACAAGGAATGTACGAGACTGTGAAACTTGCAAGTACGTGATTTTTTCATTCTTCAAATCTTGACTCACAGAATTATAGGAAGAAGGGGTCACCCTCGCAAATAGTTAGTGATGCGTCAACATGCCGCCATCACCTTGCATTTCGCCACATGGTAAGTTTATTTGTTATCTGTTCTTGACATCTTCATCTCACTTGCCATCAGGATGCTTACCACAAGTGGTGCAAGGCCAATAAATTCGCCTCAATGCTACCTCAAGATATCAAGGAGTGCAAGACTGCTGCTGCTGTTGCAAGTGCGCAGCAAGCTAATCTCGATGGCCATCTCTGCGAGATTGAGCCTCATGAGGCCATTATTCCCTACTCTGACTGACTGTTTTGTGACGCCACTGTGGAATGGCTCATATCCACTGGACAGGTATGTTTTTTATTTATTTGATCTAATTCACTTATTCTAGTCCCTATCATAGCCCATACAAGCTGTGGACCACCCCAGTTTCAAGAAGATATAGACGTCACTTCATGTGCTGTGCACAGTGTCCACATACCCAATCACAAGGCTACACAGGCCGAAATAATGGACTTATTCAAGAAACAAATGACAAAGTTAAAGGAGCGCCTTAATGCAAGTTATTTTTTTATGTTTCTTTCTTTGCTACTCATTTCTTATATCACACAGAGTAAGATTGTCAAGGGTGAGGTTAACTTGACCTGCGACGCTTGGCAGGCAAGTAATGTCGACGGTTACTTTGCCGTGACAGGTCATTGGATCAAGGAGGCGTCTTCAGATACCTGGGACCTTCAATGCGCAGTTCTTGGGTTCACTCAACTCAACAATTCACATAACGGACAGCAACTGGGTCAAGCCCTGTATGGTATTGTTGACTGTGTTGGAATTGCACACAAGGTAAGCTCACTCAGTTCTTGCCTTACATTTTCACTAATTCGTCATAGGTTGGCCATATTACGTGCGACAATGCAAGCAACAACAACATGATGCTTGATGAATTTGCATATCGAATCAAGCGAGGTGTCGGTCGAATGTGGATACCAGAGAAGCGCCACATCAGGTAAGTTCACCTGTTACTTGTTCAGCATTGGCTAATATACATCACAAAGGTGCCTTGCTCATGTCATTCATCTTGCAACACGAGCTCTCATCTCTACCTACAGCAAAGCACCCTGCTACAACCCTCAGCACGCGGACCTTTCTGTACCGCAAGAAAATGGTTGCCATGACGAAGTCGGTCTCATTCGTGCCATCGCAGTCAAGGAACAATCTTCAGCTCAATGCAAGCATCTGTTCAAGGACATTCAAGCTCGTCCTCCCAACCCAAGTCCTGTTGTATCTCAGCTACTACTAGATATGCCTATCCGATGGTCATCTACGTATGTCATGCTGGACCGCGCCGAAAAAAAGAAAGTGGTATGTTTTAATTAACAATGACATTTGTTCTGAGACTAACTTTCCTTGAGTATATCAACACATTTGTATATGAAGTTGGACTACGTGAAGGCAACCTCACAAAACGTAAGAAAATTGATGAGTTGAGACTTTGTATGGCCGAGTGGGATCGTGTTAAGCTATTTACATCTCTTCTAGCTGTTTGTTGTCCATTCTTTATGTCCGACTGCAGTCACTAACTCCGAACTCGTATTTCAGCATGCCGACAATGCTCAACAGAGCTTCTCCTCAGATAGAGGTCCTTCCCTTCAACAAGCATTGCCAGCTCTCGAGGCATTACACAAGGCTTGGTCATCACGCTCCGCAAATCCAAGATACAAGGCTTTTCATATAGCATTGAATGCTGCTGTCGAGAAAATCAAGCAGTATTATGATCGAACTTCCGACAGTGAGGCATATATTATGTCTATGTGTAAGTTAAGTTCACTCCAGCAATTCATACTCTCATTCAATCAAACTTTCTAGTGCTTGACCCTTCCCAGAAGGATACCCATTTCAAGAGATTTTGGGGCAAGACCTTACATGCTGAGGCCCTCGACGAGGCTGAGAGAATAGTAAGTGCAAACACTTGTGAAGGTCATTGACTAATGTCCTCGTAGTTTCAGGAACGTCGTGTCGAGCTATATGGTGAACATGGAGCTCCTTCTTCACCAAAAAAGAGGAGGGTAGGCAAAGTAAATGCACTCCTTCGTGAGTTGTCCAGTGATGAGAGTGAAGGTGAACTTGAAGACTTGCCTATTGATCCTCAATCACCATGGGCAAGGGAGTTCCACCTTTATCTCAATACCGCTACCTCGATTCCGGAGAGCATGTCTATTATACAATGGTGGGGGGTAAGTATATTTTATATCCTTGTGTCGTACACTTCTAATTTACACTTGAAGTTGAATGCTCAGCAATACCCAGTATGGGCATCTCTTGCCCGTGACTACTTATCTATCATGGCTACATCAGTCTCTAGTGAGTGTGCTTTTTTTTTTTTTTTTTAATTCCAATTTATGTCCTTTGGAGTATGCACTATGTAGGACAATTCATTCTAGTCTATGGGACCCCTGGTGTCCCATCATAACCCTGGGTGCACGAATGCCCTGACGTGAGCGTACCCCGTCAGTCCGCTGTTCCCGCCAGCCGTTTTAGACATGCCGCCCATAAGTAGAGATGACTTTGGTGATTCGCGCATGTGGTGAGCTCTATCAGTAGCATATGTAAACGCGTACTCGGTTGCATGGAGCGAACTGGTACAGGAATCATAGGAGGTGCAAATGGAGAAAGGTGGGTAAGCCAAAAATGTACTGTTGGTTGGCTAACTAATTTGTCTCCGTTTGACTGATGCCGCGCAGGAAAGAGATTGATCCCATGTAGACGAGTGTTGAAAGAGGGGTTTAAGGATGTTGTACAAGTGGTGATACAGGGGGTGATACAGAGGGTGTGTAAGGGGGCTTGCGGTATGGACATCTAGCATTGTTGTACATCTGTGTATTTACAAGTTTCGTCAATCAGGAGGCATGTAAGGCAGCGGTACTTCACCGAACGTCGGGTGTAGTCGCCCAGTGGCATTGATGTATTTGACAAGGTGGGGTGTTGCTTCTGGGTTGGAGAGGAGATATGGGAGAGACGTGGCTTTGCGTCCCAGTGCACATGCCAGGGTGTGGCATTCATGACGAAAATGGGGGCAGTCAAGCAGGTAGTGAGGGACAGATTCAACTACATCTGGGCAGTGTGGGCAGAAGGGAGTCGGCAATTTGCTGATGTGGTGTAGGTGCTTACAGAGGGGGGCATGGTGAGTATGGAGGGCCATGTATACTCCGGTGAGTCGCTTGGGGAAGTGGGCGGTGAATTTAATGAAAGAACATTGTAGTAATTTGGGATCTATGAGGTTTGTACATGCAAAGTGGGGCGATTTGCGCCATATTCGTTCCCACCGAGCATGTGATTCATTACGCTGGACTTGCTTGAGTGTTGAGATGCTGAGGGGTAGTGCATTATGTCAGAGATAGTGTGGGAGATGATGACGTGGGCTACTCTGGTGTCGTCCCTCAGCTGCCCGTTTTGCATGCTTATCCGCCTCCTCATTGCCATGAATGTCTGAATGGCCTGGAACCCATCTGAGGGTGACGTCAAAGTCATCATGATCCTTGGCGATGCACTTCAACATGCTACAAAAACGATTGATCAAGTATGAGCCTGGGTTCGAGTGGAAACTCTCACCGGATTGGATAACCGCTTGGTTGTCGACAGAGATGGTGAGAGGGAAGATGAGATCTCGTTCCGTAGCGATCAACTTAGCAGCTAAGGTAAGACCAACTGCTTCCGCTTCATATACTGTATGCTCCTTCTCCGTCCCCAAGTGAAAACGTAGAATGCAGGGGCATTTGCCCGCACAAAATAGGACTGCTGCCGCCCCTATTCCTCCCTGATGCCCTGAGCCGTCGCTATATATTTGGATGGTGTCACTGAGCTGGAGATGTTCCTGGATGGCCGACTCTTTCGATGCTGCGATGTGTGTCCTGTGTAGGTTCGTGCTGGAAGGTGGTCTGCGTGTCGGTAGGAGTGTCTCGATGTCCTCTGGGATGATGGCATATTGACGTGTGAGGCGGTGAAGGGACGAACGATGGGATGCGACATAGTGTCTTGCCGCACGGCGAACTGGGCCATATAGAGGGTGAGTGTCGGGGTGAGTAGCGAGGTGGACAATTGCTCTGTGGCAAGTGTTCTGAAGGAGAAGCGGGATGGGCAACAGATTAGCGTGAGCTTCCAGTAAGTCTGTGGCCGTTAATTTCATAGCCCCCATGATGGCAAGCGCTACTATGCACTACACAGAGGTTAGACATTTTGCTACACCAATAGAGTCACACTGCAATATGTCAGATCCTTCACGGAAGGAGGGGGTGAACCACAAATCTGCCGCATATAGCATCTTTGGGACTGCTATGGCCTGATACAGTTGCCACATGAGATGGAGCGGAAGACCTTTGGCTGCGGTCGAGAGTCTCCGCAGTTGAAAGACATAGGCCGTGCCTTTCGCAATAGCATTAGCAGCCTGCGCTTTCCACCACAACTCCTGGTCAACTATGACTCCCAGAAAACGATGACTGAAGGTGGGCTTGATGGTCGCACCCTGGATATGCATGTTAGGGCGCGTCTTCCGTTGATTCATTGAGAAATCTATTAATGCAAACTTGTTAGTTTCAAATCGTCAGTTGTGAGCCCTCGACCAGTCATAGCAACCACCAGGCCTTTCTAACATGTCTGCTAGAGTAGTGTGAGTAGATTCAAAATCCTTACCGACCGCTATAAGTGTGGTATTGTCAACAAACGCTAAGGTTAGTTCCGTGACCACTGCGCGGCCCCGCAGAGGCTTGGCTACATCGACGAGGTCAGAACTGTATATAATATACAGTATCATCAATAATGGGTCTCCTTGGCCTATCACATTATTAATGGGAATCCAACCTGATGTATAGCCGTCGAACCGAAGTTGAGTCTGTCGGCCGGTTAGCAAACACTCTGTGAAACTGACTATGTCCCTCAGGATGCGTCACATATGCATATTGTGTATAAGGTGCTTCGTCACCGCATTGGGAAAGGCTCCCTCAATATCCAAGAACAGGACAGAAGTGACCTTGTGAGACCTCCACGCATTTTTCACCGTTTCCTCAAGTAAGTGCAAGGAGTCAGTGGTGGAATGTCCTGGCCTTCCCCCAAAATGCGTGTTTGGCAGGAGATGGTACTTCTCAAGCGTGTAGGTGAGTCTCTCCGCTACGACAGCAGATAACAGCTTGCCCATTGTGTTGAGCAACGCAATGGGACGGAATGCCTTCGGGACGGAGTAGTCGGGTTTCCCCGGTTTGCACAGCACTACCGTCATGAACCTTTTCCAAGGTTCGTAGTAGGTGTCGAGGGTGATGACAGCGTTGAACAGGTGCGTTAGGTAGGGGACAAGAATACTTGTGCACTGCTTGTAGACGATATTGCAAATACCATCTGGTCCGGGTGCCTTGTATCCACTGAGTTTGATGATGGTGTGTGTGATTTCCGCTGGGGTAAAGGGGGAGTGCGGGGCTACAGGATCTGGATATAACATCTCAGGGGGTACAGAGTCGTCAGCAGGGGGCAGAGGGAAGAACGACACAGCTATAATGGTGCTCTTCTCCTGATTGGTATTGGCTTCAGTCGTGGAGCCGTCAGGGCGCTTGATGCGAAGGGTGGGTACTCTTGTCTTACCCCCATCTTTCGGTTCCGATGAGATATACTTGTTGGCTGTCCATAAGTCGTTGCCCTCGATATGCTCCAGCCACTCGATCCAGTGCTGTTTCTTCGTCGACTCGATCTCTGCTGCATACCGCTTCTTGATATCCGCGAGGTCCTGGTGGCAGATGTGTTGAGGCAGGCCCCTCATCAGGTAGGCCTGCCTGCTGAGGGTATTGACCTGTTGATGCAAACGTGTTAGTTCGTAAGTCCACCATCATTTAGAATATGGGCAAGGTTTGGAAAAGGGTACTTTAGCCTCGATGGAGGCCGTAATGGCTGCAGTGAGACACCTCATGGCATTTTGAAATTCCTCGTCAGTGACGAGCGGCTGTGGGGGGAAGGGGGAGAGTGCGAGGCCAAGGTGCTCCTTGAAGACATCCCAGTCAGTCTCGCGCCAGTTCTTGCGAGGTTCATCATTGACTTTGGGTGTGTCCAGCTCCAGGCGGAGGAGAATTGGGATGTGGTCGGTCTTCAGTCCACGTTGGGCTGGGTCCGTCTCGCAGGACACTACGGCATCGCTGATGGATTCCATCCCAAAGACATTGTCGGGACGGGTCCAATTGCCCATGGCGGATGATTGCAAGGTAGGGAGACCACAAGGGAGGAGTTGCACCATCCCATAATCGGCGATCAGCTCAATGAGCGGGTTGGCCGCAGCGTAGTTGAAGAGGTGCTGATTCCTGGCTTCCTCCCATAGGGGGTGATGCCGGTTAAAGTCCCCCATCCAGAGCATGTGGTCAGTATCCAAGGGGCGGATGGTGGCGATGTCAGTATCTAAATAAGTGTCAAGGGCTGTGAGGGTGTGCTGGGAGGTACCGTCATTGTAGACGTTAAATATAGTACAGAGTCCATAAGGTCCCGAAAGTTGGAGGACAACCACGTCTGAGGACGGGAATGAAAGCTGTTTCCAGGAGTTAGTATTCACAGATGAACTAATGAGTGTTACAGCGCGTGTCCGCTGCTGGGGGTGTGTGTGATGTTGGGATGGGTATAGGACGTGCCAGTGATGGTTGGCACTGGTGTTGCGGAGGAAATTAATATGAGGTTCCTGTAAAATTAGTATGTCCCAGTTGGCAATTCCGGGGTTGTTGAGCAGGGAGGCTTGCGCCACCAGAGAGGTATTGAGGTTCTGTTGCCATATACAGAGACTAGCAGGAGTTTCGTCGGCGTGCTCAGACATGAGAAGAGGGTGGGGTAGGGGTACTGTCATGGGGAGGTCCCTCCCCCCATGAGGACGAGGAGGAGATGAGGTTGTGGAGGGAAGGATCCTGTGGGCGCTGTGGAGAGTGTTCACGGGCAGCCGCTTGAGCGTGGAAGTTGATCGTGGTTTGGCAGAGGGTGCCTGAGTGAGGGTTCTGAGAGCTTCTGGGTGGCGAGGCAGGCGGTGTAGAGGACTTCGCTGGCTTAGCAGGTTGAATGACTTGAGTCCAGGCGTGGTCGGTGGGAAAATACGGCATGCAGTTCTCCGGGTGTTTCTCGTCTATCTCCCAGCATTGTTTGGTGAACTCTGGGCATGATCTGCTTCAGCTTGTGTGCTTCAGGCTGTGGCAGTTGGCACAACGTGTCGTGCAGAAGGAGTTGCAAGCTGTTGTGCGGTGTGGACCTCCACAAGTGCCGCAGGTGTCCTCAGTGGCCTGGCAATTCTGGGCGATGTGATTGAACCTCTGGCATTTGGCACAGCGCAGCAGTTCTTTCCTGTCCTTGTGTACCCCCACACGTTCGTTGGCAATGCACAGTCCATCACACAATATGTCGTTTGCGGTCTGGACGTCGGCAACTTGGATCAGTGCAAAGGCCTTCCGCTGCTCCTGCAGAACACTTGAGTGGGGGCTTGATCCATCGTATGCTGGACAGCACGCCCTCTGGGAGGTTGTTGTCCCACTCAACTCCTCTGAGGAAGTCATCCTTCTCGATCTGAAGCTGGATAGGTAAGTATTCGGCCACAATTGGATACTGTACGGTTGCAGAACAACACTGGTGAGTCCAGGCTTCCTTCCAAGGCTGCCCTTCCTGACGGGCTGTTGAGCCATGTTGCAAGACTCTCTGTCTCCATTTCGACGACTATACCTCCATTGCGTAGGGCCATGACTGCTCGGATGCTCCCTAGTGGTGTCGATTCATCCCTGGCCTTCTCGAGCACGTCCTTCAACCTCTTGGCGATGTCGAAATTGGACGTGTTGGGGGGAAATAGTAGTTCACCAGGTTGGGGGTCCAATAAGACCTGCCTTGCGTGGATAGCGGCGCGACCGATGGCTTTGTCGACTGATGGAGGCAAGTGAGCTGCCGCAATGCTGCTGTATGACAATCGAGATAGGGTGTGGGGGATAGGCTGGGAGGGTGAGGATGATAGCTGCATGTAGAGGTGGTTGATCTTGTCCTGAGTGGCCTCCAGGGATGGAGAGAGGACTTTCATTGCATTTTGACAGTCCTCCACTGAGGCATAAAGGGCGTCAGCAGCATCCTCAACCCACCCGATTGCTGTTTGTGAGCTATCTTCCTTCTCATTTCTTAACCTTTCCAACAGGCGGTATGTCCCATCTGTCTTCTCTAGAGTGGAGGTAAGGGATAGATTGGTAGCGTCCACCATCTTGAGTGAGCCTTCCAGGGTGGTCGACACATCTAGAACCTTGGCTACTTGGGGCGCAATGGCAGCGATCACGTGATCAACTATCTTGGGCATCAAGGTGTCAGAGAGTTGGCGCGCGACCGTTTCTGCGATTTCATCAGCGGCATGCTTTTTCAGGATGAAGGCCGTGGCCCTGATAGCCGTGATGACGGGGAGGGGGGTCTTGGGTAACTGTGTGATGTGGAAGAGGGTTGAAATCAAATGGGTCAGAGTGAATGGTTCATCCAGATGACAAAGAAGAGTAGAAGAAAGATATTGCTCAGCACTAATGGGGTCCGTTACTACGCTGGGGAGCTTCTCTATTTCATTTTGCGACAAAGTCTGTCTTGTGGATCTTCTAGTTGCGGTACCTTGAGTTGGAGATGTTGTGCCAGAGTTGGGGCCCCTGGGACCCACACTGACACTTCTTCTCCCGATAGCCAACATATTGGGTGTTTTTCTGGTGGTTTTGAGGTGTTGGTGATGCCGTTGGGCGCGTTGTTGGGTAGAGTTTTTTTGGGGTCCTAGTCGGGGTGCCACTTGGCGTGAGACCAAGAGGCGATGGTGAGCATGCTTTTTCAGCTGCTGCTCTAACTATTACCAAGCGGCAAAATCACCTAAAGGGTGATATTGTGGAGGCTATCCAAGTCTTACGCATGTTGTACAATCGTGACCTTATGTTTCGTGAGCCTCCCCCTTCATCTGCTTTAGAGTTAGCATTAGAAGAGCCAGAAGTTGGTGAGGAAGTTGATTCTGGTGTTCAAGGGAGGACTGCCTGGGATTTGGAGCTATCTGATATACCATCTGACTAGTATTCAAATAAATAAACATCATTTTTCATCATTTTCTTTGATTTTTATTGAGAGGCCCTGGCCTGGGCCAAAGCCAAGCCCAGGCCAGGCCCAACCAAAGGGCTTTGGCCTGGCCTGGGTTTTTGCCAGGCCCAAGCCCTCTGAAGCCAGGCCCGGCACATCACTACATCTGGTGAGTATATAATCCGGTTGTCACAACCCAATAACGAATTAACGCTGGGTCGAAGACTAGGACTCAAACTGAGGTTATCGGACAAGAGAGGAGAGGAGCAAGTACGTCTTGGATTGCTACAATGTAGATACAAGAGGTTTGAACTAAGGAACTATCGACCAAGACATGCTACCTATATACAACTATTGAGACGGAGATTGAAACTGAGTTACAACTACTAGCCAATCATAAAAAGAGAAAGGGAATCGTACCATAGAACATTGTAGAATATTAAAGAAGCATCACGTGACCATATCTTATCTTATCGTATCTAATCTAATCTATTCACAATCAAAGAACTCGTCTTCTTCATCAGTCACATCGAAGACACGTGTTGTGGGCACTAAAGGTATTTCAGGAATGATAGACGCTTTCAGAGTAGGGTTAGGGTTTGACTTAGGCGCTGTGTATTGGCGCTTAGGAAGATTCAGGAAAGAATAATGGTTTGTTAAAGGTACTTGTGACACCGGTAGGTATATAATCTGGTCAGTGAGCATATTCTCTGGTCGGTAGGTAGATCATCCGGTGGGGTATATAATCTGGTAAGTAGGTGGATTATCTGATGGGTATATCATCCGGTAGGTATACTATATGGTCCATAGGTATATAAGCCGGTTGATATATTATCTGGTCAGTTGGTATATTGTCCGGTAGGTAGGTGTATTATCTGGTAGGATCTCATACTATCTACCATGGTATTAGATTGACCTTACAAGTGTTCACACATAGGCTATGCAAGTCACAATATGTATATAAAACTCATTTACTGGGGGTTTACATATATGATCACTTGTCTAAACAACATTTTTTGCAACCGGGTCACTGCATTTCACATTGCCATTTTTTGCATAGTCTGTCCTTGGAGTTCCGACAAAATTGTGGATACTATCTCGCATGTACCATGCAGTGACAATCCAGCTTCCCTCTTCCACATGCATGTGATGTCTCACCAGGTGACATGATGAAGCCAACATCAACCCGGAGTCATATAGAAACTTGACTCCAAGATTCATGAAATCCATTATCACCGGGCGATAAATACCTGCAGTTGTCATGATATCAAATGCCTCAGGTCGACATTTCGGATCTCTATGAGGTGGGGACCAGCGGTTGCAAATGACTGACACCACATTGAGCACTGAAGTCCAACATTTTAGATGATGGCACATGTCATGTAACTGATACCAGGTTGCCCATTTGCCCAGCCTGACTTGGGTTTTGATTCCAGCCTGATAAAGATCTGGGTGCATGACCCGAAGTGCAGCAGAGACAAGGATACTGGATCTTTGAAGGGAGGTGGTGATATTGCTACCAACATCACCCTTCAACGAGGCTGATACTTCAGGTGAGAAGCCATCTCCCGGATTGAGATTTGGGAAACCATGTTTCTACAATACTTCAGACAGGCAAGCTCAATTCAAATGAACCAGACATACCTCTCTTCCTTGCTGAAACCATGCTGGTGATATATTGATGCAACCAGGGGTGATCTTCCCATGGATAGTAATTTGAAGCATGTGTCCTCCATGCAGTAGGCTTGCTGGTTGTGATGCTATTGTTCAACAAATTACCCATGGAATTTGTTGCACAATGCATATCGGTCTATGAATTTGTAATATACATATGCATGAGATAAAATAAGAAACACATGTGGATAAATGACATACATTATCATACCGGTCATTGCTTCAGGCAAATACCAGACGATGATTCTTCCTCTGGAATCAATGATGACACTTGGAGTTGTCAAGACAAGCTCTTCTTGAGGAGGGAACTTGTCCAAAAGAGTCTGCTCTCGTTTTTCGTTTTGACCGGATTCATGTTTGTCCAGGGATTCATTGTATCTAACCATGTCAATTTTAAGATGAACTGTGGGCAAGTTATTTGACCGGAGTAGATATGTATATGAGGGAATGCATACCAGGATTGCAGTAAGCCATGGCCAAGACATTGGCAAGCTGCTCCAAAGCAATACAGGTGTTGATATCCAACAATCCAACACTCATTCGGTTTACCGGTTGTTGATGAATTTTTGACACGAAGGTGTCATAAACCAATTCACCGGCAAGGTAGGTCTGGTATAATGCCCAGTCCGGTGGAATTGTTGTCATGTGTTCAGGCAATAAATGAGTGGTTGATATATGAGGAAAGACAAGGCAACCGGTTTGATCCATCTGTAACTGGATATGGAAATTGCCACCCATTTACATTGAAGTTGAACATAATACATGGTATGATATATTTAATGAATGCTTCTGAACGTCAAATAGTGCTTGACCATATGGATGCACCGTCATCTAAATTCAACCGATCCATGAGTGATTGTGAGGATGCCACAGCCCTAGTCAGTTGATCAACAGGCCCAACTAATCCGGCCAACCTATTACTGGAATGCAAAAAGTTTCTCATCCTTTCCTGCAATATTTCCAACAACTCTCTCCCAATTGTTGTCTGACGGCACTGCTCAAGAGATGCCAAGCCGATCATCTCTGGGTTAAGAACCGGTCCATGGGCGAGCATATATGGAAGGCGGCCAGTCTCCACATGATCAGGCTATTATGATGTTAGATGTCAGATTTAGTGAGGATATAGTGTAGGAGGTAAATATTATGGACTCACAAGTTCTGAAAAATGTCCCTTCACCAACTCCATCACATCTTGCACACATGACTTTGGCAACATGTCTGACACCCTACAAGTGGCCAGATTTTCCTTCCACCAGGCATTGAAGTAGTCTGGCATATGTGCAATGTCATATTCATCAGATACGGCGGAATCCACAGAGAGAGCCAAGGCTTTGATATCCCTCAGAAACTCATTCACATCCGGTTGCCAGTCAGCCAATGTATGTACAACCATGAGTGCAAGCACATCTTGAAGAAGTTTTGGGATGACAGTGGAGCACCTGCTAAGGAAGGATATGTTGACAAAAGGTGATACAAAGGTCTATATGCCAGGCGACAATATTTGAGTGTAAGGGAACATGAGGATGACCGGACTACTGGAGAACCAGATGCTTACCTCCATTTCCCATTTCATGAGCATGTGGAATGTTTCTGCATATCCAGGGATTGCAGTGGCAAAGCTCTTGTCCACATACAGGTGCATGGCCAACAAGCAGCAATTGGCATAGAATAAAGCATGAGAAATCTCTCCAGTGGTGATCTCACCATCTGAGTAGGCCACAATGACTTGGTCAGAGCCAACCAAAGTTCCAGTGGTGTTCATGGAGAGTGAATGAGGATAATGTTGTTGTCAGAGAATGGGAAAGTGGGATTGTTTGCAAACATCCAAATGAATACATATTAGCTAACCTGGGAGCAATCCAATCAGTACTCTAAACTAACCGGCAACCGGTAAATCCAGCTGAATCACTAGGCATTTTTTGTTGTTTGCACATCCAAATAATTACATATTGGCTTACCTGGGAACCGGTACTATGAACTAACTGACATCCGGTCCTTCCGGCTGAATGACTGGAATCATTTTTTGAAAGGAATCCGCTTCATGTGTAGCCAGTTCTTGATATATGTGTTGTTGTCGTGCAGCATAACATGCATGTCCGGTCAGCCCGGTGGAAGTGGCATTATTCATGTGACCCCGCCACTGCTTGGCCTTGTGGTTAAAGAAATTGACGGCCCACTGCATTTCATGTTTAACAAGGATGAACTCTTCATTCCAATGATCGTGCAGTGCCTTTGTCTGGAGCCAGTTCACCCGATAAACTATTGTCGGAGCATGTGAGATGGTATGACCTGATATCACCGGATGTTGTAGAAACTCACATTCTGTCATCCAGTCATTTCTGGATGTATCACCCTGAACATTGATGGACCAGAACCATGGAAGAGTGATATCCCTCTGACCACGTGCATTTGGATCTGCTACTGCAGCACTTGCTTTGAGGTGTTCTTTTTTTAGCGGAAGATATTTCATCAGGAGCTCATGATCAGGGAGTTTAGCTAGTTGAGAGCGGCATTTTGAATATATTCTGGCATTGAGATTTACTGCTGCTTCCACCAAGCGAACTTGAGTCCATGCCCTGGTGGAGGATGCTTGTGACTTAGCTGACTGGACGGTAGTCTGGAATATGACAGCTTTGTCTCCCAAATGAACTCTAATTGCATGAAGTGCGTCATTGGCCTGGCCTTCATGGAGGGCAGTTTCTTCTTTCATGAGATTGGTGAGATCCAATGCATTGCATTTATCCATTCTGAGGTTGGAAGGCAAAGGTATGACAGTAAGCTCCGGTTGAAATAGGGAGGTATGGTGTGGCTCCAGATCCAGATTAGGATCACAATCACAGAAAAATTGTCGAGGGAATTATGAACCATGTCTACTGGAGGATCCGGTTCATCGACGTCAACTCCAAATCCAAGATAAGTGGGTGCCATCTTGAGAAAGCTTGAAATGCGAGTTTGGAGCTTATCCCTGAGTCGGGCTACTCTCAGCAATTGAATATCTGTAGGATGCTTTCCGAGCCTTTTGACATCTCTAGAGAGAGCGATTTGGGATTCTTCTATGGTAAGACCAGTTGCTAACCATGTGGCGGCTCCTCGTCGACTGATGGAATTGGTGACTAAATGATCAGGACAATTTTGAGCCTCCAGCAGGTGCAAATCCTGCTGCTTTCTAGTTGGAGCTGTAGATAAATGGCATCCGGACATTAATCAGAATGTGATTGGGCCCAGATGAATATTAGTGGAATTTGTCACTTGCCCTTTTCCAACCGGACCTCATAAATGTCCATGGCTGTTGGATCACCCATTCTGTTCGCCTGAGCAAGTGCCTCCTCTGCTTCCCAAAGAAGGACCATGTCAGGGTGAGCTGTCTCATTAAGGTTTTGGAATGAGAGTTTGCTTTCTTCAGCACCCCTGGCAGCCTCTTTGAACTTTCTGCACAGAAACTTCACTGCAGGGCAAGTGAGCCAGGAATGGATTGTATGACACTGGAACATATTTGTGCATCCGGAGGTTGGCAACTTACTTATGCGAATCATTTTCATGAAGTTGGAATCATTCATCTGATATTCAATACCTCTTTGCGATGCGGAGTTCCCATGCCCCTGGCTGATGGAGAGATTATGTTCAAAGATGCCCAGATTGTTTCCATGATCTCTCTGTCTATCCTTCCGGTCCCATGGATAAAGTTTGATGCATACCGGACATAGCAGCTGTCCTGATGCCCATGTACATGCCACAAATCTATTCCGGTGTAATGATGGTCATGGCACTGGGCTCGGAACCAGGCAATCCAACACCTACATTCATACCATTCCCCAACCTCCCTTGACCTTCTGAAGGCTGCGCACACTTGTCCGAACCTTCCGCAGGCAGTTCTTGTGTTCTGAGACCTGTCTGAACCTCGCAAGTTACCATACCATGTCCTATCCTCGTCCTTTTGACTTCGCTGGTGCGTTTTCCTTTATTCTAACTATATGTTGACTATGTCTTAGTGCTACACGGATAACAATTCCATCGGCATCCTGTTGGGAGTCTCGGAATACGTATAAGCAGTACGCATCATGGCTTATTACATGTATACTTGCATTCCTGCACGCATCGCGGCTTATTACATAGGTTCCGACTTGCTTATCTCACTACTAGTTTTGCCTATGGATTCCGGCCTCTCACAGAAGTAGGATATAATCTTGCTCACTGGCTACTGATAGGGCACTTCACTTCCCGTACTTCAAATAGTAATTAGTAGAGTCACCTCGGTATAATCGTAAACTGCGCAATTGATCCTTGTTCATTCGGAACGATTGTTTGGCTAGACCACTACCAATTTTGCACTTCATTTATTCTCGAGTCCCAATAGATTAGCATCATTCTGGACTTCAGACGCTGCACAAAGTCTTATACTGTTATTCGACACACCGACATACCGACACATCGACACACTGACATATATAGACCTTTGGACAGCCTTCGCAAGCCTCGGAAGGCATCGCGCTACTTTGGGCAACACTTTCGCAGCCTTGGATGACCTTCGGTCACATCGGACAAGTTTCTTGGTACTTCGGAAGTAGTCTTGGAACTACAGACGAACATTAAAGAGGTTTTCTTCCAATATCTTGTCTACTCTCTAACTGTATAAGACTTCCCTTGCATTATCAAGGTAGTTCTTAGGTTGTCTCTTGGGATGAAGCATACTCGCATCTCTCAGGACTAGGGACTCACATACAGTAGAGCCCAGCCCAGATCTACTCTTTACACCGGGAATGATATTCATGCCCATGGGGATCGAAAGATATATGCTGGATGCGATCCAGTCCTTGAGAAACTTATTATACTGACAATTAATGTCATAGAAAGTTATCACATGGGAGATTCCATCTGTATTGTAGTTTAGTGCTTAACTCAAGGCATAGACCATGTTCATCTGCCTGATTATTGTGGGTGAGATCAGTAAGACTGGAAATGCATGTAACTTGATGTAATGCATATTCACCTTTCACCCTTATGAAAATCTACCATGGAATGTGGAACAAAACATCCATGCCGTGCACATGCACATCCTCCTATCCCAGTGGCCTCTAGCTTTTGCTGGAAGGCATTTGCTTGATTGACTGCATGGTGATTGTTGCAATCTGACTTTTGGACATGGTCTTAGGCAATAGGCAAATGGCTCTTGTATCTTTCATCTCCAACCATGAATGCGAGACCGTCCATCAATGATACTTCATCAGATGGATTCACCAGATAGAGGTGCTCAGCTTTGAAGTTACCATCCATGACTAAAGTCCTGATGAAGAGCCAGGATGGGGTGTTGGTGGGCTCAGTGCCTGTACCGGTTGACAGGTTCAAATTTATCCCCAGTTGAGGACATGCCAGACAAAATAGGGCAAGTTCACTGGACTTTGGCTGATCATCTTTGTGGGCAAACCCACACCACTTGTAGAGCTTGCATTGGCGCCACTGTCTGGCAGTTCTCATGAGCTCTCTATAACGATCCTGCAAATATTGTTGTTTAATGACTGGATGATTGGTACAGAAAATGAAAACTGACCGGAACCATCAATGGAAATATACTTGAGGTTAGCCTCCGCATCTTACTGTAGTAATTCATGGCTGAAGTACCACATTCAAGGTTGTCTAGCAGAAAATCATCCAAGATGGAGAATGTGAATGCAGTTTTTGGTCTGGTGAAAGATGCCGGAAACAAGCCTGCTTGAAAGAGCTGCATATCCCGGTCGAGAGCACTGGGGCAGTGGCAATACCATATGGATAGGAAGTGAACACCAGATTTGTCCACTATGGTTATAGCTGGATGATCTGAGTCTGTGACAAGTGGAATGGAAGCTCCCTCCAGATAATCATCATAGTCTATATTTTCATCAGTATCTGACCAATCAAAGAGGTCGGATGTATATTCAGTGCTGCTTGGACATGGGTTGCTGTCATGAGCAAGGTGAATGTGCAGGCCGACTTTAATGAGTGATGTTTCTTGAAAAAATGATCTGGTCCATTGACTGATGCGATGGAATGGATGCCTTTGATGCTGGGTTCTGCAGCAGTCCATGCAAAACAGGGGCTCGTTGAAACAGCCATGGCATTTATAAACCCCATCCTTCTTGCAAACTGCACAAAGCTGGTCCAGAGGAGGGGCTTCTCTGACCATCAGTAAATTTATGTAGTCCTTGAACTCGCGCTTCCATTGCCAGAGATATTCATTCTGACTCTACATGATCTGGTCAGATGCAGACCACAAAAATCAGAAGGACTTTTGCTTGCCAGAGATTTTGGTAATTTAGGCTGAGGGATCTCATCTTGGTCAAAGTCAAAGTCAGCTCCCTCATGGAGCATCTGAGAGAACCTGGCTGTTTGCTTTGAGGAATATTTTGTTGGTGATGATGTTACTGACTTTGTTTTCAGGAACCATGAATCTTTCACCCAAGAGGACCTAGATCCTCTGGCAGTAGTTTTCTTCTTGAGTTTATATAGCTGAGGCAATCATTTCTTCATCGGAGGAGTGTATGCAATTCCCTTTTGTTTAGCATTTGCCATGATTGATACCACCACCTAAAATGATTGTTGGGCTGGGGAATGTACTCAAGCTTGATGATCGGCAGGCATATGACTTCACACTGTACCTTCCTTCAACTCCAGCCTCTGAGTGATTTGAATCACTGGATTACCACATTTCCTGTTCCTGTTTGTCAATGACGTATCAGGTAATCAGAAATCTCAGAACATCATCTCCATTTAGGATATATTCAGGTCAGAGCAACTGATATTACCATAAGTTGTATCATTTCTGAGTCGGTTACTCAAACACATCGTAATCCTGCCATTATCCCAATTTCCATGGATTTCCTCCGGTATCAATGTGTCTCCCTGTGCTGTATGCTATATTTGAGAGTATGACTGCATACTGCCTGTATACTATATGATGAACTTGGTGTATGTTTGTATGTTTTACAGTTCTAAATCCTATGAACCAGAAATACAGGGTATGTTGAGCCTGAGCGAATTATGCTGGCAGACAATCTCTTGTTCAGTTTACTGTCGGATGCATGGTGGAAATCCACTGTGACCAAATACTGCATCCTTTCTTCTACCAAGACTACACCTGCTTTGCAATGGCCCGATCTAACTCATCAGTACACAGCCCTGAAAAGATCAAGCAGAAATTGACTGAGGAAGAGCTGCTGGTCTTACAATCTCACCTAGAAGAATGGAAGGAAGCCACTGGTAAGGATAGAAAAACAACTCTGAGGGCAGTCATAAAAGAGGCCAAGATGCAAGCCCCTAAGATGGATGCCCAGCTTTTGAAGAAAAGGAAATCTGTGAGCAGCCGATCCTCTAATGGGATAAATGCTCATGATGTATTAAGCTGTACCGGGACTGGTTATATAACCGGAGAGCTCAAAAGACTCTCAAAAAAGAGAGTAAGTTCAGTAAGAAATGGACTGCCCGGTTGGTGATAGAACACCAGTACAAGAAGGAGATCCTTGAAAAGACTGGAGCAAGGCCAGGAGGGAAGGAAATGATAAAACACTACCAGGGTGCGGTCAATGCAATTATGAGCGGTTTATCTGAAGAGCAGCTGGAGGAAGCAAATAAGACTGCAATAGAATGGTCTAGCAAGGCTCCTCCTACAGATGTCCAGGCTGAGTTCGCTCAGAAGAAAGCTCCTGGTATGATGAAGGATCTTGCGACTCAGTTATGGAGGCAGGCTGGTATGAGGATATTCATATTGTCAGCATGGAAAACTGAGGAAGGTGAAGTGAGGATCAATGGGTCAGTGACATTTTCATTCTCTCAACCAGTAAATATAGCCTGACCCGGTCATAAGAATAGACTTCAATGAAAGGTTGGAGGGCAATAGTTTCACAGATACGAAGGACTGGAAGCCCATGTTACCAGAGTGGAATGCCTTTGTTGGAGAAGAGTTCGGTGAGCTTCTGTTTTGTGCAATGTTGGTTGATCCGGTCAAGTACTTACACCATGTCATAAAAACCAGCAGTTGACTGGAATGATGATGAGGATGGAAATGAGGACGGGGAGGGAAAGGAGAGCAGGAACCAAAGGAGAAATAAAGAGAAATTCCCCATGGAAGTGGATACCTATGGGCTTCCAGTCATACCGGATATTAAGCCACTTAACCTAGAGAACAAAAAGTCTCTTATCTGGACATTCCTCACAAAACACTATAGTAAGTGTCAAATCAAATATACGGAGCATTGATAAAGCAGCTACATATTTTGCAGGGTTTTGCAGTCAAAAGCCAAAGGTGTCTGTTCCTTGGTCTGCAGTGAGAGATGCTCAGGAAGATTTTATCGAGGCCAAGTTTTTACCTTCCGGAGGGAAAATCAAGGACCCATTGAAGCTTCAGTTGCTTGAAGCTGACCGGCTCTTAGAGCACTGGCATCAAAGACAAAAGAACAAGGTTCAGCCAATGTTTCAATTCAAAGGCTGGCAAGACCATGACAAGGAGATGAGAGAACCAGTGGAGACAATCACATCATGCGACTCTAGCGGGATATGCAGTCTAACGACAATGCAGACTAGGGTTCCAGTGACAAAACCAACCAGCAAGCCAACCGGAAAGTCATCTGGGAAGCGGACCGGAAGGGTGGCACAGGAGTCAAGTAGTGAGAGTGAGGATGGTGATGAAGGTGAGGGTGAGGGTGAGGGTAAAGGGAATGAAGAAGTACAATCACCACCTATCAAGCTGAAATCAACTGGAAAACGGGGCAGAGCTGTTTGATCTCTTCTGGGTAAAAAACCCCCTACCACGTCGACTGGAAAGTCATCCGGGAAGGTGACCAGTAAGGATGGAACAGAAGTCAAATAGTGAGGACAAGGATAGGAACAGAGCTGTTTGATCTCTTCTGGGTAAAAAACCACCTGCCATGTCGACCGGAAAGTCATCCAGGAAGGTGACTGTAAGGGTGGAACAGGAATCAAATAGTGCAGAAGAGGATAGGAATGAAGACGATGAAGTCCAATTGCCCCCTTCCAAGCTGAAATCGACCAGAAAGCGGGGCAGAGCTGTCCAATCTCATTCGGTGGGAGATTCCTGTGTACCGGTCAAGAAATCAAAACCAAATGTGATTAGGTGCAACAGACCACCGGGGGACAATGCTGGCACCCCTTCAGTAGAATCATCCGGTAATCATACTACAGCCCCACTGCCTGCAAACAATGCCTGTGGAAGTCGCTTAGTCAGTCCTGCATCAGCCGTCCGGAGGAAGGAGATGAGTCAGAAGATACCTGTGCCCAAACCAACGGCTGCCTGCACCACAAAGGTCACCAACAAGAAAACCAAAAGAGGTGGAGCTCAAGTTGACAATCCTGAGCCAAAGTGGTCTACCAGAACTGCAAAGGTGTCTTATAAAGTGAATTACATGCAAAGGGAGTAATCATTGAGCTTTATTGAATGTACTATACAAGGGGTGGAGAGTATTGACTGTATATACATCATGTTGACAGTCGGTATATTGAAATCAGTTGAAATGCCAATAACAACACATTTTTGGAATGAAGAACATCCTGGCTGACAAGCAATTCTTCCGGTGACATTGTGCTCTGAGCCCTTTCCATCTCCAACCAATGTATTGCCAAGCACAAATCGCCTACAGCGCACTGAATGACAAATCCTATGGGTTCCGGTTCACCCACTATGACTGAGTTTTAGTAAATAGAAATATGATATTGCATGGAATGACCTACAAGACTGATCCGGCAGAACATGTACCAGATTCAGAGTCTCAAATCCCATGTCCAAGTGTCCATTGTCAGGTTGAATGTCTACTGAATTCTCATTTAACAGTGCAAACAAACAATGAAGAAACTTACATGACCGATCCGGAAATCATGAACCAGATGGACACCAAAGCCCATGTCCAAAGGCCATGGACAGAAGGTGAAGGGGGATGTAGGTAGCCACTGTCCAGTAAGAACGAATTGCATCATTCTTGGAGGGTATCAATACATACAATAGATAAAAGAACATGAAACATACCAATTGAGAAGCAATGCTTCGACTCAATCCCATTTTCTCTTCTTCTGACTTGGACCGCAGGACATGTTCAACTAGCTCATTCAGCCGGTCAAGAAGGGCAATGAGTGCCTGGTTGGCAGTAGCAGCAGTAGTGGTGGTGGTGTTGGAAGCCATTTTAGCAGTAAGATGGTGGTGGTGGCAGGTTAGGTTGGAGAAGAGATCCGGAAGGGAACAATGGTTACTTGGGCAATGTGAAAATTACCGGATGTCCGGGTGAATTTGGAGATCACCAAATACAGAATTCAAGAACCGGATCCCTATTCAGCATAGTGTTTATTTCTGATCGTGTGAATGCAATTGTTGTCATGTCACCATTACCAAACCGGCATCATTATAATTCATGTTATCCAGCTGTGGTTGATTCACACATTGGAGCCAAGGTGCAATCAGCAAACATCATCATGACTTCTGACCAGATGACAGGTCAACCAGGGCCAGAAGTGTTGGATATGGGATTTCCACCCGGCCATGAACTCAATTTCCATCATTTACCTGACCCGGTGAACAAACTGATTCTCCATAGCAACCCATTGGTGTGCCTCTACTGCCATGTAAGAGGTGCACGACAATGAGCTTGGAATGTGAGAGCTGGGTGACCAAAAGGGGTGTGGTTGCCCATACTTGCACTCTTTGCAATAAGTGGCGGATGAAGTGTATCTGGCCAAATCAGCTGGACGCAATCACCACCGGTACAGGTACAACCACCACACCTACCCCACCAGTCACACCCATCGCCACTCGATCAAAGACCACTGGGAAGAGCAAGACTGGTAGGCAGTCAAAAAAAAAAGGCAAGTCTCTTATTGTCCGCTCATGTCTCTACTAATTGATCCCTCCAGACATTCACGCTAAGCGGCCTAGTCCCATCCTGGAGGAACCGGATGTCAATGTTGAAATGGATGCTCCTGCAGTGACAATCACTGGTCTTCCCGGTACTGCCCCAGATGAAGCACCTGAGGGAACTCCAAACACATTTGCTGTGGACCGGTGGATCAAACCTATGGATGACAGTATCTTACCTCCAGCGCCCTTTGTTGACACACCAGGCGAAATCCGGTACTCGCCTGTCTATCCAGGTTGAACTCATCGACCCCCCTCCCCTGCAACTGCTTCCATACCTCTTCAATCTCATCAACGTCCCCATCCTCTAACTAATTTGGACATGGACACCATGTGGACCCAAATCCAAATGGATATGGATCAGCTCTGCACACGTGATGACATGATTCATGATGACCTGTCCCATCGCATTGACCGGCTGCAAGCTGACTATACAGAAGAATTGAACACCCAGAAGGGACTGGTGGATCACTTGGCTTTTCAGATGGGTAGCATTGCCCGGTACCTCAGGGACAACCCAAGGACCACTGCAGCGACGGCCGCAACTCCACCTTCGTTTAATCCACCACCCATTGTCATTCCCAGTACTCCCTTATTCCCCGAGTTTGGCTCCATCAGTGCCTTAGGTCATGCCGTCACCAATAACGTGTTTACTCCAGATGTATTTTCGACCAATGCATGCCCTATTGGCGATGGCTCACCGGTCACAAGAAACGAGCCGGCACCGGCATTTGCATCTACCTCTACCTCCACCATGAATCCTGTGCCCACCATGGGGGAATCCGGTCCACCCATTCATCCGGTTGGTGCATTTCTGGTACCACCTCCCACTGTCCCAATGGCATCTATGCCTTCTACTACAACCCTTCACATGCTGGTCACCGGGCCATCAAATGTGCCGGCTGATGGTCAGTCCATCTCAGCTCCTTTGCCAAACCGGTCATTTGCACCTCAATCACACCAACAGGGTCAGTCAGTGAGTGCCAGGCATGCTAAGAACACCTCTGGTAATTGGCCCAAGTAATGGTAGTATACATAATTTCTTTTCATTTTTACTTATGGTTTATACCGGTGGACATGTGTTGTTCTTTCAATGTTTATAGGACTATGAGTCCAATACCATGGTGGATTGTATGAGATCTTACCGGATAATACACCTACCTTCCGGATGATATACCCACAGGATGATTTACATACCAGATATTTTTCCAACTGGCGTATATACATACTGACCAGATTATGTACCTTCCAGATTATATACCCACTGTATTATATGACTGGATTATATACCTACCGGGGTATATACCCACCGGATAATACACCCACCAAATTTTATGCCTCCCGGATTATATACACCGGATTTTATACCTACCAACCAGATTTTATACCCACCAGATTGCTATACCTACCTACTGGATCATATACCCACCGGACCATATACTTACCTACTGGATACTGTGCCCACCGGATTATATACCTACCACATTATATACTTGCTGGATTTCATACCTACCTACCGGATTTTATACCTACCCACTAGATTATATACCTACTCCTGATTATACTACCTGATTATATACCTACCTGATTATATACCCACTGGATTAATATACCTACCCACCGGATTATATGCCCACCAGATAATATGCCCACCGGTTGATATACCTAACCACCAGATTATATACCTACCTACCGGGTTATATACCTACCCACTGGATTATACACCTACCTACCGGATAATATATGTACCTTCATATATACCTACCGGGTCATCCATTTACCTAATGCTAGATGCACCGGATGCATTATTTCCCGGTGCTGCGACGGTCGCGGTGTTGGGCTTGGAACCACATATTTTTATACTCATGTCAACACCTGAAACATATGCACACATGTCCGACGCACTTTCGCACATGTCCGAGCCACTCCATATCGGATCCAGCGCATCGGACCTTCGGACATCGCATCAGCCAATCGCACTTTGCACGCACTTGTCCATCCCGTGTCCTGTCCATCTGAACTAGCCTCACTAGATGCATAGTTATTCCCGTGCACATTTTCTGACATTCAGACCACATTATTACATGTCTGCAGTACCTCGTGTCTTATTACATAGGACATCGGACCCAAAATATATTGCTACTATCTTCGCCTGTAGTATTCCGAATTTCTATGTACTTACTTAAATACTCTGTAGTGACATGTAGCAATTATGATCCAGTAGTTAGGAGTCATTTCCCGACTCTGGGGATCACCCAGAATATTCTCATAGTTCTCAGTTGCAATTGCGAAATAATACCATTCGTTCACCGTCATACTCCATCACTCGTTATACTCGCGCATACTGCTCGCAATCCAACACTCGTTATAAAGTTTCCGACCTATTATCGTGAAGTCCAAAAGTCCAACATCTCGGACATTGCACTTTGGCTTCAGACATTGGATAAGTACCTTCGGACATCATTGGATCACCTTCAGACATCATTTCACATCATCGGACATTCTGTGCTTTGCATTACTGACGCATTTTTACTACTAATACCAATTAGCAATCCCTTTAGGATCGAACGCACTTGCTCTGCAAGTATAGCAGCGTAGGTTGTACTAAGATCTACCTAAACATTGTTGACTAGGTAGTACAATTTCTGCTGAGCCCAGCAGAGATTTACTCTTTACACCGGATGTACCATCCATTGTGTCCTATATACTAGTACATTCCTATACCATTGTATATACTATATTCCCTCGGCCCATCTGTTTGCCTCAGGTACACACATTCACTCGGCCCACTCGTCTTCATCGTAAACTAGAATCACCATTCATTATGTCCTATATACTAGTACATTCCTATACAATTGTGTATACTATATTCCCTCGGCCCATCTGTTTGCCTCGGGTACTCACATTCACTAGGCCCACTCATATACCCGGCCCATCTGTTTGCCTTAGGTACACACATTCATCCAGCCCACCTGTCTCCATTGTAAACTGGATTCACTATTCATAATGTCCTATATCCTAGCACATTCCTACACTACCATCTATGCCTTCGACGCTTGAAGTTTATCGGGATGTTGAAGATATGTTTGAGGTAACTAGGTACACGTAGCACAATGCAAAAACTGATTGATGTAGTGAAGGTTTTTGGGCAAAGGCCCGAAGGGCTTTTTGGCCCGGTGCATGCGCACGAACCTAAGGGTTTCAAGGTGAGCTGTGATCCCATAAGAGTAGGAGTGCTATGATGCAAATAGCGAAGCTTGACACCCTAGGATGAGTAGGAGAAGCACTCACTATTAGCGTTTACCGTACCGGTGGCATTGTGTGACGGGTAAACGGTTCGAGCACGGGAGATGATTGAATGTAAGGTGCGATGATTACCACATGTTCATGTAGGTACAACGTGAAAGCATCACTTGACCACCTGCCCATAGATTTGATGACATCAAATGGAACTCCTCTCAACAAATACTCGAGCGTTCTGCCTATTCTGAGACCGTGGCCTTTGAGGTCTGCGAGATTCGCAGTTCGTGCAATAGAACTGAGTCTCTTTGCTAGTTGCGGTTTCGAGAGCGGTCTGATGCCCTTGGGGTGTTTCCATGTGAAGAGGTGCTCCTTGCCATTGCCTTGATTCACGCGAAGATGGTTTTCAAGCGCTGTTTTTGGGTCTGAAGGACCATCTTGAGCTGACCAGTAAGCGTCTTCCCCTTCTATAGGTGATGTCTTGGTGCTTGGGATCCGAAATTTTGTGACGGGCAGATTATTGCGATTGACAGTTTCTACAACAGTTTTCATGTGTTATGTGCTTGGATGGATTGAAAGCTTTGATGGCTGGAACAGTGAACTCTCCGAGTCTAGCAATAGAGTAGAATGTAGTAGTTATGCATGCGAAAACAGCCGCGTCTAGCGGGTTATTGATGTCGATGTTTGTACGGATTATACACAAGATTTCGATAGTAAATGGGAGTCGTTTGGAATGTTTGGATGTAGCTGGGGCTAAGGCAGTAGCTCCGTCAAGTATGGCTTTCAGTTCTCTGGCGTCGACTAACCATGGACGTCCATGCAAAAGATGCCAGGCTTTAAGACCAGCAGCATAGTTAGCTAAGGCTGTACCCGAGTATGAACCAGCACAACTCAATAAGAAGGCGAGTAGGAGAGTGGGAGATATTGGACAGTGTTGATCTTCTGATATGTTTAGCGAATCACAATAGACGTGAAAAACTAGGAGCCCAGCTCCGTACGTTTCCTTGGTGGACATTGCCCAGGATGACCCTATTACTTCTAGTATGTGATCCAACTGTTCGTCAGATATACTGATATCTTGGGTTCTGGATGTTGTTGACGAAGGTAGGTGTGCGCTCTCTCCTGCTGGGAACCACTTCCGCAATCTGTCCCTTGCTAAGCAATGTGGTCTTAATGGAGATGGCATGGGAACTAATCCTGTCTTGTAGCGCAAAGGGGAAGGGTTGTTTGGTACTAAAGTGCGAGAAGAAGGGAGCGGTGCACTGAAACGAGTGTAGGTGATGCCAGCTTTGGGGTTATTGTGATAGAGTGTTGAAGATGATTTGGTCCTCTTCGGTGTGGGAAGCTCTGGCTCTTTCGAACGCTTGCTGCCGCACAAGTGTTCTGTTGATGACTTTTGCGGCAGGAGTGGAGTACTGCCCATTTTGGAATAGTCGGAATTCTGTTGGAGACAGAGGGGCCGTAGCATTGATGACGAGGTGTTTGATTTCATTGGGAATGCAGGTGGGAGGTAATGGAAGGTGCTCTGGTCCATATTTCCCTCTGGATGGATCGTCTGCGGGGTTGGCTGCACTAATGACATATTCTGTACGGATGATGCAATGTCTGGGTAGATTGTGAAGGAATTCATGGATGCGTTTGAAAACTTCATTGACGACTTTGTTTCGGTTACTTCCTTTCCACCATCCTTCAACGACACTGGTGTTGTCACCATAGACAGTGATGTGGTTGCTAATGTTAGGGAGAGCAGTGAGTGTGTAGACCAAGAGCTCGAAACCAACGGCTTCTGCCCATGCGATGTCTCGTTTTCCATTTCCCGTGGTCTGCCAGCCAGGGACTAGTCTCCAGGCTCTCCACCTGTTACCTATGACTATGCCTATGCCTATGCCTGAGCTAGCGTCTAAAGGGATTGAAAAGGTTGCTGGTGGGTATATTGGACGAGAGACACCACCAGATTGCAGGAGATTTGACCACCATGTGAGGTCCGGTTCAAGTTCTTTGTCGGGGCGATGAGGAAGGTGTGGCTTCTTCTGAAGGACGGTGATTGATCTTTCCAGGCTGGTAAGGTATGCTCTTCCTCTTTTGGCTGCTGCACACGCATGCATTAGTTTACCATAGAGTTCGAGGGCTTCTTGCAACACGTGTGTAGGCTTCCTTCTCTATGTGTGAATGGCCATGAGATATTTCTCGACTTTCGATTGGCTAAGTGAGACCGTGCGGTGATAGATGTCCCATAGAAAACCAATGTAAATGGTTGAGGAAGCGAAAGGTTGATCTTTGGTAATTTGCCAAAAAATTCCTAGATCTGAGGACGAGTCATCTATATCTTGGAGGTTGTAACAGAAGAGTGCATCATGTTCAGATCTAGGTGAAGAGCTGGAGAAGTCTTTAATGGGTTTGGAACAGTCCTCATTAAATTCTTCTATTGATCCATCATTGAAAATACAACCACCATACCAAAGGCAACTGCCCGTTTGGTGCATGCCTCGCTTAAGAAGGTCACAATGCCATTCTGCTCGGTTGTGATTATATTCATCTAAGAACTCCTTACAGATCCTAAAGAATATATGATCGTCGACCCATTTATCTAAGGGACCTAAGCCTTGGTTGCGGAAGATTTCTGCGCCTGCATCTGCAACGTGCCCATAAGTGCCTGCAGAAGGGGTGGCTCCAAATGCTGTACAGGTGTCCACACAGAACTCGGTGTTCGAGGTGCGTACTACTGCGGCAGGCCATTGGGAAGGGTGTAGAGGGACAGTGCGATATGCCTCCGCTACGTCTCGAGTGGCTGCTTCTGATCCTAGAGGAAGTCTCGAAATTAATAAGTAAATAACGGAAAACTTTCCCCAAGTCATAGGGAAGTCGCTAGCATTAATATGTGAATTAACAGATGGGTTGTGGAATAGGGTGTCGGGAGAGCAAGGAAATGAAAAAATCTGAATTAATCAAAACTTTCCTGGTTTACCAGGCTTTGGAATGATTGATAGCGGGGAAGTTTGAAAAGGTCCTATAAGATTTGTAAGTAAAAGAGCGGGAAAAGGTCCTATGTAATGAGATTTTTGGATTTCTTATTTTATACTGGCGTCAAACTGGTCCTTGTAAGTAATAACAGATTGACTATTAGCAGGGGATTGGGTGTTATGTATCATAGGGAAATTTAGAATGAAACCGGAACAGATACCTTCAGGAACTTTAGCGAAGCGTGCTAAGAGGTTAGCATTCTTCAACTCTCTGTACCAAGCATCGGCTTTGTATGGAGTGATGGGATTAAGCTTCCTGTGCTCTAGGGCACTTTGAAGCTCCATGAGTGATGGTGCCACATCCGGAGCATATGTGACGATTGTTGTGCGTGGTGCTGTTGCATCCTCCTTCTCGTTGCCAGGCAGTGCATAGTTGTTTACCAGCTCTGGTCCAGAGCGCTTTGTGAATGTGTTCGGCGATGGTGTCGTATTTTCGATCCCAAGTGAGGGTTGCAGAGCAATCAATGACATGGTGAGAGTTTCGGCCGAGGCAAACAGCGCAAACTGGGAGCGGGACGCTGGGGTCTCGAAAGGTTTTAGGCCTTTTGTTGAACCTGTTGTCTGGAGAGGATGGCGGGGAGCGCTTCTGCGAACTAAATGAGCATGCGTGATGCTGATTGCTCTTGGATGTCGACACTGCCAGCACGGCTTGTGGTTGTGCATTGGATGTAACCTGGCACATGATGGCCGTAATGCAAGAGCGAACAAGTGTTTCGAAGAAATGTGCCATGATTGGCGGAGCGTTTGAAAACCCGAAAGGGTGTGATATGGTTGACCGTGATTGGTCATTTTGTAATGCAAAGAGTGGGGTGGAACATTATGTCCACAAGGTGAGGATGTTTGGACGTTATGCCAAAGGGTTTGTGCAGGTTGCGGTGATCGCAGGATAAATGATAGGAATGATGAATTCTTTAGTTTTGTGTTCGATTTTTAATGGTGAAGGGGAGACGCACCTGAATAGCTAATTGTTGCATTCGAAATTGGTTGAAGATCATCTCTCAGGCCTCGTCTAACAGATCTTGATTGATCTTAGCTAGGCTCCAGCTGTTCGAACTGCCTACTGAAAGATGCCAGTGTCACCGCTGTTGGGCTTGGTATAGCAACAGCGCTCACTGTTTATGAGTGTCGAAATCATGTCTCCAGCGATGGTTTTGTAACGCGGACCAAAATGAGACGTGCATGGCTACCCTATCATCTGGCCAGTCATTTTCTTTCATTAGTACAATCATTCGAGGCGCTGCTTCGTTAAATTGCTCCCAAGTAAGGTTCTCATCCTTTACTATCTGCGCTTTGGGATCTCGAGCGGCACCGGCCGGAATCCACTTGTGCATTCCATCAGCAGTAGGTAGCATTATTAGGGCGTCTTCATCAGCTGTAAAGGTGTTCCGAGAAGCTTCTTCTAAGCTGCTGTTCGTGAAGTAGAAGAGTTCGCAGTAGTTGCCTGATTTCATTTTCCGGATGGCATATTGACATGGAAGGATGATCAGGTTGGACGGAACTTCAGCGTTGCGGATTGGTGCGTACTTGGATTTGTTCTTTTTCCATTCTTCTAAAACAGCAGCTTCTTGCTTGGTAAGGAGTGTTTGTTGCCACTGTGCTTCCTCTTCTGCGATATGTCTGCGCTCTTCTTCGGCTCCTTCAGCTTCCTCACAAATCCTGGCTGACCACCAACGTCTGTCTGCATTGTTTTGGATATGCCACAGGTTTTCCAATATTTTGGCGGCCTGCTGGTCATTCGTCGTTTCGTTAATGAGCTGAGCACGAGCTAGAGTGTATTCTTCCGACTCGAAGTCTGGTGGAACGGCTAAGTTGGGGTCTTCTGCGATGATAGGCATTACAAATAGATAATAATGCAAGGAACAACGAAAATTTAGCGTAGATAATACGAGAGACTTAATAACGAGTGACTGATACTTGTCTGCTGTTGCGAACCGGGACAAGAGGTGTTGCGCTGTCTTAATAACCGAGGGTCTTATATAAAGTCGTGTAAATGTAATGACACCACAATTACACTTTGGATAAGACTGCTTGCCAGTCCTCGATTAACACGGTCTATGACTTTTCCTATTTCGTGGTAGATAATGTGTGAGTTCTTGGGAGGCTCGCTAAACTAATCTTTGTCAAGATCAACCTAGCCGGAGCTTTACTTTTCTTTATTGAAACTCAAATCTCTTGTCTAGGAATAAGCTTCTAGACACATAATTCGGTTTCTGGAATGTATTTGCCTAGGAAATCTCCTTCTAGGCTCTGGACTTGGATACTGGAACTAGTGAGACGTGGTCTCAAATATATGAAATATGACCAAGATCACTTGGTCTATGGACACCTGACTGTGAAACAATGGTCTCAAATATACAATATATGTTCAAGATTGCTTGAAAAAAGGGGACTATAACTTGACCAAGATCACTTGGTCTATGGGACTACTAGTGAGACATGGTCTCAACAATATGATAGATGACTAAGATCGCTTAGTCAAAGGGCACAGAGCAATGAGACAAAGGGGTCTCAAAGACAATATATATGACCAAGAACGCTTGGTCTATGGCACTAATAAGTTTCTAAGGTAAGAAACTTATAATCTCAAGGGAATTCTTTTCCCTGCACTTGTCTCACTTCAAAGGGACTAACTTTGCAAGTGAAATATCTGAGAGGCAGATTGCTACAAATGAGAGATCATATTTTTTTTGGGGGAGAATGGGCTCTCCTTATATACATTTTGTGTGGGAAAGTAACCTAGGTTCACAAATAATAAAAAATAAGGAGGACCAATCAAAATATTGGGTCAAACCCAATAAAAGATTAAAATACAAGTGAAAGATGGAGCTATGACATCATTGTGGAGCAGAACATTCTGGAATGTGGAGTAATGACATCATAATGACATCAAGAGTGACATCATTGTGGAGCAAAAGATTCCAGAACCTTCTATGAGTGAGTCAGAGTGAGTCATTGTGGAGCAGAATATTCTAGAAGGAAATGACATCATGGATGATGTCATTGTAGAGTAGAATAATCTAGAGCTTGATGACATAATATCTTTCAACAGAATACCTGCAGGAGTATCTGTGGAGTCTTATGACATCATAATGACATCATACCCTATGGGTACAATTTTATGAAGTGTCAGGTGAGTCAAAGCATCCTAATGAAAAAGTAAAGTAAAGAAACACTAGAGAAAAGTAGGTAGCAAAAATAAGACAGTTGGCAGGAATTGAAACACAGTCAAAAAAAATAATGCAGTTGGCAGGAATTGAAACGCAGTCAAAATAATACAGTTGGCAGGAATTGAAACACGGTCTTTTTGGATAGGTTTTTTATAGGCTTTGTACTTTTCTCTATGGTTTTCTCTAGCCAAAGTGAATAAGCCAAAGGCAAGGCTATACCTTAACCTCCATTTCTCTTCTCACATCAACTAGGTCTAAATGTGATTCCCATCTCACATTAGACTTTTTCCGTCAAAACGTATTCAGATCATGAAACTTGGGGAAAACTGGAAATATGAACCATGGTTTGAAACCAAGGTATGGGTTGACTAGTCTGAGGACTAAGCTAACAGACTTTGTCTTTTGAGGGTCACCTAGTATTCATGTCCATGCATGATTCCCACATCATGCAGGACAGCGCCACTTTGCTTACTCACGCGTAGACTCAATTCTGTGTCAGTCTCGTGACTCGGCTGATGCAGAAAACCATCTATACTATATACCCCCGGCCCATCCGTTTGGCTTGGGTACACACATTCACTTGGCCCACTCCTATATCATGGTACAATTATTACCATGGGCCCATGTGGGATGGCCCATCCCCATCGGTACATTGTCACACTCGGCTGCCCATCTGAGACGGGTGAATTCACTGAATGGGCTCAGCATACTCATCAACTTCCACCGCATGGTGATGAGTGATGAATATGAACACTCACTGGAACATTGCACAATGGCTCCTTGCATGGGGAACACTGTAGCAAGAACCACGACAGATGCGAGCGCGCTGAGGACAAGAGAAAGCTTCATGTTCGAGTTAAAGAGGTGCGATTAGTACTTTGTCGATGTGGCACATTGGAATCTTCAAGCTAGGGATTTATACCTTTTTGTAGCGCTCATGAGTGACTTATGGGTCACCTGAAGCCTTATCTACTCATATTCGATGAAAGACCGCATCAGGAAAACCTTCCGATACAAACCTAGACTAAGTATGTGAAGTTTAATAAAATTTTCTCTAACACATTGTAATTTCGCAAAAGTAGACAACTTAGCAGATTAGAGAATCTTTTTTACTGCCCCACCAGATCCTACTCGTGGACACTAATTTAGTGATAATTTTAAACAAATTCACAAACTTACAGAGTGTTATGAGGACCTTATCTGATGGTTTGTTCAGTTTTTGTTGTTTGTGTTCGAACATTATACAAGAACAAATTAAGTTTTCATTAAAAGAGGGTATATCAGCATAGCTTCATAGAGAGCAAGACAACAAAGGAACATCGAGAACAATATATGTCACATATGTGAATGCAATGATGTAAAATAAGAAATTTACTCCTCACCATCCATGCCGTTGATATTGAGGAAAGCCATTGCAGACTCGTGTGATCCTACTAAAGCAGTGTTGCTACTGGTACAGAGTTTCCTTGTGAGGTGTTAGACTCGGACAGATGATTTAACACAACACAAAAATGAACTCACTGGATAGCCTCAAAAATATCAGCCATCATCTTGTGAAACTTATGTGGCGCCGTCACCTTCATGTCTTCGAGAAATTTTACGTGAAAAAAGTAGACCTCGCTGAATAGATTGCCAGTGAAATTGAACTTAGATGGGGATCCATTAGCCTTCCAGAAGAGTGCGGCATACACCTATGCGCTCATTGTTAGTACATGGACTGGGCTCAGAGTAGATCAATAAATATACTGAAGTACTGGTTAAAGCAACCATTGGAATTGTAACCTCAGGCCGCTGGGCCTTGTTGCTTGCAATCTTCTTGAAGCGGTCTGAAAATTTCACCCCAACTGACTTGAGCCCATTGAAGTAGCGCCCCTTCATTAGATAGGGTAAAATATCAGCAAAGTATGGCTTTTTTGACTGCAGAATGGGGTCATTCTTCTCCTGGAGAGTGCACATGACACTGAGCAAATCAATATGCATAACCAGGAACACAGTCACTTACATTGCAATGTTGTTCATAGTGGTAGACATGGTTGATCAGCAAAGCCTTTGCAGTGTTGACACAGTCAGGGCCAAGACGATAATACGCTGATACTTGAGTGCAAGCATCATCTTTTAATTCAGTGTGGAAAAGTGGCACTTGAGCCTCGACCTGTATGCAAGGTTCAACCAACTAGTAATATTGCAGAGTCTAACTCTTGAGCGTACCAGCATGGTGAGAGCTGTCACATATGAGTCATCACTCTTGAGGCAATCTTGGATAGGCGAAACACCGCAGGCACGAGCTGCTGTTAAGAGTGCATCCTGCGTAAAAAAGCTCTTCTCCATGAGCTCCAGATAGCCGTTGACAAATGTCATGTGAACTTTTGCCTCTAATATTGCTCTTTGGACCACACAACGGGTGTCAATATCTTGATCCGTCAGCTTTAACTTACCAGTGTCTGACCATACGAGCTTGGGCCTTCCAGAGTGATCAATAGGAGCATCTGGGTCGTCCTCTTCAGAGTCACTGTGGTCATATGATGCCATGGCAGCCTCAGGTTCCTCATCTGACATGACAACTTCCCAGACAGGTGTCTGCAGAGGATCAGTATTGATTAAATGAAGAAGAGAACTTTCACTCACATTATTTGCTCGTTTATGATCGCGTGCAGACTGAGTTTTTTTTGTCTGATGGGTGGTATGATAATTTCAACGAGGAAGTAGATATCCGAGCCAACTTACCCTGGTAGTCCTTGGTTGAGACAATGGGAAGGGGAATGATTCAGCAGTCCGCATCAGCTCAGGTTCCTCGTCCGACACGACAACTTGAGTATCTGCCCAGACAGGTGTCTGCAGAGGATGCAAATTATTTGAGTGCAAAAAATAACTGTGAGAGAATTTTCACTCACCTCATTTGCTCGTTTATGATCACGTGCAGACTGAGTTTTGTTTATCTGAGGAGTGGTATTATAATTTCAACACAGAAGTAGATATCTGAGTCAACTTACCTTGGTAGTCCTTGGTTGAGACGATGGGAAGGGGAATGGTTCAACTGTCTGTATCAGCTTCTTTGAGGTGGTTGTGGAAGGCCAGGTTGGTTGGGTCAAAATGAAATTAGCATGTTTGGCTTTCGACCTTGAAACAAACACTGGTGTCTGAGGGAAGCCAATTGAAGGTATGATCAGTTACTGTCAACAGTAAGCACAACAATGACACTTACTTCAGCTGATAAGGACTTGGGCTCCTCCAAATCGTCTTCGATTTCCTCCTCACTGTCCTCCTCGATGGGCTCGTCTGCTAAAAAATTATCATCAATTGCCTGCTGGGAAGAGCCTGACCGCTGCTCATTTTCTCTTCCTGCCACACCTGTAAGGTTGCTGAACTACCAAATACAATTAAGATGAAGCTGACTGACCTTTCATTTGTGTGACAGGGCTCATGCGGCCTTCATCAGAATCTTGTGGTTCGGTAACTAGACAATACCTTTAAATTAGTCATCATGATATCACGAGTCGGTGCTCACGTGTTCGGCATTTCTTGGTAGTACTATGTACTTCTGTTGAGTTGCAGGACGCCTCACTCACAACTATGCACTGGTACAGTTTCACGTAAGTGTACTACTACTAAGAACCTGAATTAAGTTCAAACACTTACTTGGACACTTTTTAGATGCAGGTCCAGAGATCTCAGCATCTGGAGGATCACCAGTAACTTGTGCCATGCTGCGGCGGCCATGCTTGCCAGTTGTAGACCCTTGGGGTTTCCTTTGTGTGGTTTTTTTCTCCATGGGCTTTTCTCCAGTAGGATGCTGCTGACGTGGTTTCATAGTCATCCAGACTAGTGCAGTGTCCAGTAAGTGCTGCTCAAATTTTGACTCATTCAATGATCTGCTGACCTGCATTTTCCATAGCTCTTTTTTTTGCACCTCATTGATCTGTTGCAGTAACAGGCATCCGTAGTGGTTTAGATTTGTTATAGTAGTAAGTACTCACTCTTGGAGGGCCAACTGGAACCTGTATTGTTGCTGTGTGACATGCTAACCTGAACGGTATAGTAACAAGTGGATAATTTTGAAGCAGTAAAGAACGTGATGGGGGAATAGATAATTGGCTTATACCACTGGCAACTTCAGTACATGTATTTATGTATCTTGAATGAGTGGTACCATTGCCACTGGGCAAAACTCACATGTCCAACAGTTCCCAAAACGAGCATTGTTTTTCGAGCGTCTCATTTGGATTAGTGCAGGTTCCTGGGTGCTCAACTTTAGTTTTGTGAGTCATTGTACAGGTGCTGCATGATATACTACTAGTAGCCTGCCAGAATGTTTTGGCATGGAGTTTGAATCACTTGGTTTTTTTGCTGGTCATTTGCATTCAATTTTTCTGATCAGTTTTGTCACTTGGACCATGTCAATAGCTTGCTTCGTTGTTGAGATAGAAATCAATATTTGTAGCACTACTTTTCGAAAATAAATTCACACTTTTTTTGGAAATTATGCCAGCCTCTACCATTATGCAAATTGCTGTAATGCAATGTCAACAAACTTAGTACTAATTAGTTGATAGTAATGGATGTCATGATATCATGTATGAACTGAGCTGAAATTTGTGAAACAAGTGACATATGCTATATGATATCTACTGTACCCCAGCCATCATCATGTCAAGTTGAGCTAGTATGTTGGTGGATGAGACCTGCGAGTCCCCAACATTTAGCATGTGAGATTTCTGGTAGTTGAACACAATTTTCTGGACGCTGTCCAGGTTACCGATATGGCACATGATGTCATTGAAAGTCTCGCTCCCTTCAAGTTGCGTGAATGGCAGGATGACCGGTGGATGGGAAATCTGCTCCCACAGCACTAACTTGGCAACTGCTCCAATAGAAGCGATGGCATAATTGAGTTGTTGGAGTTGGTGCGACATTGAGGTGGAAAGGAATTCTGAGATGCAGAGGTCACTGCACCATATGAAACAGATAGCGACATGAAATATCAAGGGGTTATCGAGAACCCCATCAAGTATGGTGACATTCCTATCCTGAAAAAAAAGATTGAAATTTGCATGTATTTGAAAATAACAGTGAAACATACTGCATCAACTGTGAACTTATGCATGAAGGCTAACAGGTTACAAGTATCGTTAATCAATGCAGTTAAGACACGGCCACGAAATTGGACTGGCATGAGACTGGAGTCTAGTGGGGGGTAGAAACTGTAGCCCAAGGTGAGACAACTCCATACCATGACCAATAGTTTGCGAAAAGTGTTGTTCCATGCGACCACCACCTGCTGACGTTGATTACTAGTTGTTTTGACTGTAACTACATAAATATGAATTAGTATCCAAATCAGCAACTTATTTGTAAAAAATATAACATTCATACCCAGCACAGATGCTGCCTCTGAGATCATGAGAGAAACAAGTGCAGCCTTCTCGGCATCTGTACCAGCCATTGCAGATGCCGTCAATACAGATCTTGGGATTCTTCGCTTTGCATGATCTACAATCTGTTTTTTCACATTGGGCCTGACATTAATGACGACAAGGGCTGTGGTTGGCTGCACAGTGGCAGGAATAGTGGTAGGGGGCATCATGGGCTGCATGGTATTGAGGGCAGCCATTGTGGTTGTTGGCTGAGATGGCTGAGAAACTCTGGGCTCAGGTATGAAGTGCTGCATGGTATCGAGGGCAGCCATTGTGGATGTTGGCTGAGACGGCCGAGAAACTCTGTGCTCAGGTATGAAGTATGGTGTGATGGAGGGTCGAGGGCACCTATGTCTCTCAGGATACTCAGGCTGTGATAACTCTGCCGGCAACTGAGGAACTGGTGGATGGTAGAAAGAGTCAAGTTGGGCCGAGTAAGGAATTAAAGGGTGGATGTTGTCACCAGCATTGAGTGGGTTGCTGGCAGACGATGGCCCAGGGATGGGTATGCTAGAGCTAGATGATGGCGCAGCATCTATCTCATCTGTTAGCAACTGTGGTAGACTACCTGTAGTTGTCGTGTATTGGGGGTCTGTGATATGGAGGAATCATGAAATTGGAGACATGACATTATCTGCTTGATCTGTTAACAAGCGGTTGATGTTCCACTAACTTTGGTACTCACTGTTCGAACTTGTAATTCCATCTGTAAATCCATCATAGCCTGACAACAAGAAAAACTTGTCTCGAAGTTGGTCGTGGAAGTGTGGATTACCCAAGTCATCGTTATCCTGCACCTGCATACTTTGCTTGGAGAAAAGAATGGCAGTAGGGAAAAAGAAGATGGTGATCACAGTGGGAGAGCTGGCATCACACGCCAGAAACATGGCCCTTGTACATAATGAAAAATTAAGTAGAACTGGATACTAGTCATGTGATCGCGGTCCGATGCTTAACAATTGCGCTGCTAATTGGTTGATATTAGTAAACAGGTAAGAGAGGGCACAAGTATTACACATACAATAACGGATGGAGAATGGAGGTGAATACTTGACTTGTCATGAGCATACTACTGGTTGGGCGAAACTGTATTTGATCATGTTTACATTGAGGAGGATCAGGGGACTTGGCAGGCAAGCGGCATTATAATTGGGTAATCAACACAGGTACAAGGAAGAGTGACATATATGGAATGGTTGAAGCAATGACATATATGGAATGGTTGAAACGACAACATATATGGAACATTCTGTTTGAACGTTCAGCCTTCCATATGCAAATTGTATTGCAATCGTATCATGAGGAAATGTAATACTTCTTGTCGGATGATAAAGAGTGTAATAACACAACAACACGAGGGGTAATCTCTAGTACATTGTAAGCGCATATATGAATTCACAAATCACCAGAACACAATAGATACTTCCATATCAATAATGATCATATGAGAAAAAAAGTTTGAATGTAGGACAAGAAGTGCAATTTGAGTGGTAAAAGGGAGCCTGTAACTTGTGATGAGTTGAATACTCATGAATTGAGGATTTCCCATACCACTGGAAGGATGATTATTAGCCAGCTGACTTTTCAGAGCCTGCACCTTTGGATGAATCTTCAGAGCCATGATCCGAGTCTTCTGGTAACTTGTCTAGATAAGATTCATCAGACATCTCTGGGTCTGAGGGTTCAGAGGGTTCCCTAGTGCCGATGCAGGGAAGTCCACTGTTAAGGTGAAGAGGAAATACTGCAGTAGGCTTCAAAAATGCCCGCTTGACATGTGAACTGAGGAGTTTTGCAATCTGGTCAGTTTGGGTACTACTGACACAGAGGATCTCGCATTCATCCTCATAGACGGCTTGAAGATATTGCTTATCATCTTCAAGTTCTGCCTGGCCATGCTGTAAAAAAATTCTTCTGGAGCCCTGCAATTCCCCTTCTGCCATCTTGAACTGTCATTCATTTTCACCATAGATGCTCATGAGGAATGCTTCATATTGTGCGGCCTCATCAATTTTCCACGTTGCCAGCACCATGCGTTGACATGCAACCTCGCGACTTGCGAGCTTGGCCTTGTATCATTTGTACAAGGTTGGAGTTGACAATTGGGAGAGGCCACTCTCCAATTGTTCTTGAAGCTTTCAGACCATATCAGTGAGTTATTAGTGTCTGGAAGTAAATATATCATACCTTCTGTGTTTCTTCCAATGAGAATTCTGGTTGGAATTTTGACTTCATCACTTGAGCTGCATAATGAAGCTCCAATGGAGCTGGATTGGCGGGGTATGGAATATACTTCCTTGACAATTGAGAATTTGACATTTTGTCACTCCTGAAGAATAGGCTCTCATCTGCTTGAGAAGGTGCAGGTTTGCTTTGCTGTGAAATGCTCAGATGTGAGGCATTTAACACTGTGTTCATTGTGTTTAAAGAGCCTGAGGAGACTGATCTTTAGCTTGAATTACAGAGAGTTGTTCCTGATGGACTTGAGGAGTCAGGTGAAGACAGAATTGTGGGACTGTTCATTTGAGCAGGGAACGAAGGTGGACTGCTTGACTGAACAGGAGACAAGGGTGGTGAGCTGTCCATCTTATTGTGTGCAAATCTGACCTTCAGACTTATTGAACAATATATCATTGTGGAGCCTGAAAAATAACATCAACAGCGGATGGGGTAGTAGTATCTGGTACTGGTGTACAATTTCCTGCTATCACTATGGTCCAATGCACCGGATGCTACACTACTTTTTTTGGCCACGGGCTTAAGTCAACATTTGGCTAAAACCAGGAATCAATGCTGCATGGCGGTGCTTGCTGCATCATGCTCAAATGTCTGCTCTCTAACTCCAACTCCTTCAGATGATCCTATGGAAATTGAAGTAGCTGATGATTGACGACCTAAGTTTGAAGGAGACTTCTTTGGTACTTATGAGAAAGATGAAATTGAATGGACTGACAACATGGGACGGTATGCCAGCAGCAGTGAAAGTAGTGACAGCTCAGATTCCAAGGATGATATACCTGGCCTCAATGATGCTGAATGGGAACCCCCCATAACTGGAAGGGATTTAAAGGACCAACTTGGAGCTGCTGAAGAAGACAACACAGAGATGAATAGCCAGGATTGTGGGTTGTGTCAGCAGATCAAGCAACACATGCTTGAGCCTAAGGAAGGTGGAATCACTATTGTGTGATACCCTGATGCTCGAGCAGGGCAGCCTGTCCCACAAGATGACATCTGCAATGCTAACACTGTGTATGCTACCGTTATCAATGACACTATGAATCCCTATGCCCCCTTCAACTCTCGGGTGGACTGGGAAGTTGCACGATGGGCTAAATTATGCGGTCCAACTTCAACTGCATTTTTGGACTTACTCACTATCAATGGAGTGAGTGATTGTGTATTAATCTTACATGTGTTGTAGATAATCTGTCTATTTTTGTCGCCAGGTCCATGAAAAGCTTGGTCTTTCTTACAAAAACTCAAGGGAATTGAACAAGATAATCGACAAGCAGCTTCCTGGTCGCCCAAAGTTCAGGCGTGAACAAATTGTCATTGCAGGCGAGGCCTTCGACATTTTCTATAGGGACATTATAGAGTGTGTCAAGGCTTTGTATGGCGACCCGGATTTTGCAGATTTTCTGGTCTTCTCACCAGAACACCACTATGCAGACAAGGAACAAACTGTCCAATTGTTCCATGATATGCATACTGGTAAATGGTCAGGTAAGTTTTCATTTTGAAGACTTCTGCTCATTGAATGTAACTGACATATTAAATAGAAAAAGCTTGATCAGTGCAAACCGGGTGCTACTATCATTCTGATTATCATCTCAAGTGACAAGACTCAAGTGACGATGTTCAGAAATAAAACAGCCTACCCCATCTACCTTACTATCAGCAATATTCCTAAGGAAATTCGCCGAAAGCCCTCTCACTGTGCCCATATTCTTCTCACTTATCTTCCTACCACCTGTCTCGAGCACATCACCAACAAGGCTTCACGATGCCGAACCATTGCAAACCTGTATCACGCGTGCATGGGCCATATCTTAGCACCACTGGAGGAAGCTGGTTTAGATGGTATTGTTATGAAAAGTGGCAATGGTATCCTGCGTCATGGTCATCCCTTATTTTCTTGTTTCGTTGGTGACTACCCTGAGCAAGTCTTGGCTACAGGAGTCAAAGCCACAGAATGTCCCAAATGCAACATACCACCAGACAAACTTGGAAGCATTGCTACACCTTTCAAGATGCACAACCTTGATGTTGTCCTCGATGCATTGGCTGCAATTGACCATGGAGATATCAAATTTGTGTGTGCATGCCATGAAGCTGGAATTAAGCCTATTATACATCCATTCTGGGAGCCCCTACCCTATACTAACATCTTCCAAGCCATCATTCCAGATATACTCCACCAATTATATTAAGGTCTAATCAAGCATCTCCTTGGTTGGCTGGCTGAGGCATTTGGAGTAGCTGAAATAGATGCCAGATGTCAGAGGCTCCCCCCAAATCATCATATTCATCTATTTACAAAAGGCATCACTAGCCTCTCACGAATTAGTGGTATGGAGCATAGCCAGATATGCCATTTTCTACTTGGCATCATTGTTGACATCCAACTCCCCAACCAACTTGCACTGTGTCATCTCATACGAGCTGTCAGAGGTTTACTTGACTTCTTGTACCTCGCGCAATATCCTTGCCATAGCTCTGAAACGTTGAGTCTCCTTGTGGAAGCTCTTGATCTTTTTCATGACAACAAGCAGATCTTTGTTGACCTTGGAATACAAAACAATTTCAATCTCCCAAAGCTCCATGCAGCCCGGCACTATATGTTGATGATCCAAACTTTTGGCACAACTGACAATTATAATACAGAATATACTGAATGCCTTCATATTGACTTGGCCAAAGATGTGTATCGTGCGACGAACCACAAAGATGAGTTTGTCCAAATGACTCAATGGCTCGAACACAAAGAAAAGATCGTTTGACATGAGAGGTATGTCACATGGCGCCTCCACAACAATCTCATTTGACACCAACCACGTCCACCAAACCTGTCTTTCAACCACGTTCAAACATTAATGAAGCATCCAAGTGTGAAAGGTGTCCCAATTCAGAAATTAGTCACGGAGTATGGGGCCACATACTTTCGCGAGGCACTTGCAAGATATGTTGCACAACTGCATCCTCCACATGAAGCCACCACTCGTCGCCGCCTTGAAGACCTTGCTGCCACAATTCACCTTCCATTCTGCACACTTCCCGTGTATCACATAGTCAAATGGCAATCTGTTGATGCACAGGGACATGGTGATCGGTGTGTCACAGTGGATAGCGTGCACATCAAGCCTCGCCATGTAGCCACCAGTCAAACAGGCACTGACGTCCCAGCACGATTTGATACTGTGCTTATTAATGATGGGACTGGCCATTCTGTAGGTATTAAAGGTCAGTTTGTGATTCTCGAGGATGATAGACAGTCACAAATGATATATTTTCAACAGGCTACCGTGTGGGTCAGATTTGCGTCATATTCTCGATCCCGCAGAATTCTACCCCAACGATGTTCCCTACCACAATCCAGCCTCCCAAACATCTCACCTATGTAGAGTGGTTCACTTGGTTTCCTCTTACAGCTGATTCAAACCATGGAATGTTCAAAGTCAGCTGTGTTGTACAATTGGGTGAGAGAGTTGCAAGCATTATACCTGTCACAAATATCCACTGAAGTGTTCATCTTATTCCCAAGTTCGGACCTGTCACACCTCATCAATGGACAAGTAGTGAAGTCCTCAAACAATGTAACACTTTTTTTGTTAATTCTTATATTGATCGTCATACATTTGTGACAATTAGATAGCACATTATAACTTCATTATAGAATGTTGAATTTTAGCGAGAAATTATTGATCTTATTCATAGTTTGTAATATTCTTGTCTTTTTATCAAAGTTCGCATAATTTTGACTATCTTTGTCTAGCTTTGTGCAGGAGGGTTTTCCTGATGTGTCAACCCAAATTCTCATCTGAACAACACCCCCGATCTCGCATTCGCACATTGGCAATTCGAAATTCATGATGATCCGAACAGCGGAACTCGGGGAATCACTGTACTGGTGGCCTTTGACCTATGCAACAGGAAATGTGACCTTGGGACTGATCACCCCGGATCTGTTGATGGTCAGCAGCCCTTCATCGACATCAGCATCCTATCTCGTCAATTCTTGACAATAAAAATTCCATTTAATGTCATTATGTTTTATGCAAGTATCATGAGGCAAGGTTGTTTGGGTCTTGTCCAACAGTCTTTGTCTGAAGATTTATTCTAATTAGTGTCTGCTCCCCAGTCCAAGTCAGCACACATCCCTGAGAATCTATAAAGTAAGGGAGAACGGTGAGGGAAGGACCGGCCGCTCATGTGGTTTTCGCGTAGGGCCATGTGCGAAGCACATGGTTTCGCTTACCTCACTTAAGGCTCGATTTGGAAACTCACATGGCTATCACATGCGTCCACTGCCCGTTAGGGCAGCACACATTTAAAAACATTTATTATCTATGAAATTCAAATTATAGACACAATAAATTCAACTACATATTAAGAATAGACAATTGAGAAATGGGAAACAGGAAAGGAGAATGGGAGAATGAGGGAAATGGGAGAACAGGGGAAATGGGGAAAATTGGAGAATAAGAGAACAGAGAACAGGAAAACAGGAATGGGACAATAGAAGAATGGGAAAAACAGGAGAACAGGAGAATGGGGCAATGAAAGAAGGGGAAAGGGGACAAGAGGATGGGAGGATGGGAGGACAACAAGAGGACAGGAGGACAACAAGAGGACGGGAGGACAACAGGGAGGTAAGGGGAAATCAACACATTCAATTGTACTTTTACTTTTCTTATCTACACAGAGAACAGGAAAACAGGAGAATGAGAAAACCAGAGAACAACAGGAGGACAGGAGGGTTCAATGTGTCTAATCCCATTAATTGTAATATATCATGCTCAACTCAATGAATACAATATAATTTATTTCAAGATCTAAAATAATGATTATTAAAACACCCAAAGGTAGGATGAAGCCGAAGGCCAGGAAGCCAACAAAGAGCGCGAAGCACTCTTTTTGCTTCCTGTGCTGAAGGCACAACGGGTGTGTGCTAGTTCTCTGTACGTGCGCATTCAATCCGTGTTATCTAGAAATGAAAAGAACACGTCCTTACTCACGCAATCCGCAGCACGGCTGACGCACCGATCTTCATTTGGTGTCTCGGAGGGCACGAATCGGTGGCAACAAGGACATCATCGTCAACTTACAAAGCGCCTGGCTAATTTTGGAACATCAGTTAGCATTCGGAATTCCCAGTTGATACTGAATTACAAGCCTAACCTTGAGCTTGGTTTGCTGATTCTTGACTGGTGCTCATGGGGTAGTGTCTGTGCCATCTTGTACCAACCACGTACGAGTTCTTTCAGGACCTTTCAATATCTTCGTCGCTAAAAGCAATATGAGATCATGATGCCAATGGCCCGCAATCAAGTTAACGTACGACTCGTCCGTTCTTCTGATGCGCCGGTGGTGGCCCTACTATCAGCATTCCGGGAGAACACCCTCGATGATCGCTGTTCCTGCGATACATCACTTACGCAAAGTTCTGAAATCAGATTTTGATAACAACAATTGCAATGAGGTGAGGTTCTAGGATCCAGTTCTGATTGCACAGATAAGGCTTACTGTAAACGCGGAGAACTTGATGTCTTTAATCACCGCCGCGGCTCTTGCTGGAATGGCAGCAATGGAAGTAGATACTAATTAAAACTTTCATTAGTATCATCGTCCCTTTGTGGCTTTGCTATCAGACACAACTCCATCTCAGGCGCGACTCAAACGACGGCGACGACGACATAGATGCTGACAGAAATGAGTAGTAACAGCACTTGAAAGAATTTACCAGCGCGACGTTAGAGAACAAGATGGATGTACGACTCTTCTGTCCCGTAATCATCGTTCTTGCAAGATACTGAACTCGTGAGTTTGAAATTCAGCACGCAATGATGTATAAAAGAGTCTCCCTTATACATCAACGTGCTTCAGATGGACGGGCAAGGGCATGTCGACTGTATCTTCGAAACGAGTAACCGCCTCTTTCGGTATATGAACAGCATGCTCCACAGCCCAATCCAAGATTTTCTCGTAGTCCCTGCATTGGTGGCGGGTATTGAAGTTAGGGTATGGGTATTTGTATCCCTGAACCCAGTCCCATAGTATTATGTTCACGTCGACATTGCACATGAGATTCTGCCTGATCATTTCGATGCAATGATCTGTAATGTATGCGATAATCAGGAGATGCATATATATATATATGTATACGTACCAAGATGCATGCGGACTACTTCGGGCGTGTCTTGGAACGAAATATCCGTTGGTTCGTAATACTTGGGCCACGTGGATTTGCGAAGTAAATTCTACAAAATATGAAGCTAGAACGACTAGACTTTCGGTGTAGTAGTATAGCTTACCAGACAATGGAGTTGGTGAGGGGCCTCCATGGATACCATGAAACCCCCACCAAATTCCTCTGGATATTTGACCTTGGAAGGTGAATCTACTTCGCCGGCTTTGAGAATTTCCTCAAGTGACATCCGAGTTGGTAGCACTGAGGTTTCATGGACATAAATAATTACAAATTAGGACGAGGTGAAAATTGGGCGACGCACCATCGTGAGCTATCCTGTTCCAAGCAGCATCAATTTCTGGGGAAGGAGGACCACGATAGATAGAAGGAAAGTCGAGGGTTCCGTTGAGTCTTACGACGATGGGGTCAACAGCACCACTTGCAGGAGCTGTGACAAATCATCAACACGATGTATCAACTATCTCCGTTCACTTACAGTATATAGCAATGTCATCACGCAGGTGGGGCGAAGGCGTGCCCATCCACAACGCAAAGAAGAGTATCGATGTACATACCAACACGCCATGGCTCAACATGGGCCACACGCGAATGATATTATGCAACTTAGGACGATGTCCTGCCCCGAACCATTCTGCATCCTCAAACTCGTTATCATTGTCGACAGCATCGACAGGAGAGTACTGCGAGGAATCTTTGACCATGACTCTGGGGTGAACTCGGGGGTTGAACGCACGAGGGTGGATACGAGAAATATCTAGAGAGTGTCATAATTTTGGTATCTCACATATGCATCTTACTGATGGTGAACCGGTGACACGTCAGCGGCGAAGATCATGCCGGGATGATCGGAGAAGCCAAAATCCACATGGGTATGTAGTAGAGTAGTGACGAAGCAGGCAATCTCCAGCCTAATAACGCTTAAGTGGTTGCGGGTCGCAACTTGCTCACGGGCACGACTGTTCCAAGTCCATCCCAATCCTTTTCTCGCGTCAGCTATGCATAAGGAATATCCTGCATCGTATTCTCCCATCGACGAGCGTGATGATACGAACCTTCTTGAGAACAATACTAAAACAAGACCTCTTTCCAAACCCCGTCTCACTCGCTGGTCGCCATGGCTAACCCACGGTGTGCTGATGTCCATAACGATGATGTTCTTCGTATTATGGATACGGGCGCCGTCAATCGACGATGTAGTTCTGTACTGTAGGTGATCAGACAGCGTCAACGCACAGGACCTTGCTTACTCGTCACAGCTCCAGCAAACGAGGCGATCGAATCCACCGGCATCATAAGATTCAATGGAACTCTGGGCACCCCTTCTATATATCGTGGCAGCCCGTCTCCAGAAATCGACGCCGTCTGGGAGAGGATAGCATTGAACGGTTACACCATATACTTCACATACATTGTAGACATGTACTGACTGTATTTCCCAGCGCGTCCAATCCGTATGACCGCTGAGCAACTGCTCAGAATGGGCGAAGAACCTTCTGCAGTCCTGGCCAGGTATCCAGACGAATACGGCGGAGGTTACATGGCAACTGTAGAATTCATTCACCAGCTCCATTGCCTAGTCAGTTGTAATACAGGGAGGTTGATCGACTTTTACTCACTCTCATGTAGGACATGATTCGCAGAGTCACATGGGGTGATCGATCCTCGGGTCATGGCGTTCACGAAACCCCCAAGGAGTTCCGCACTCACCTCGGTAGGCATACTGTTTCCTGCCCGTACCACGTCCGCTCATTACGGTATGCCTCAGACCACTGCATCGAAATGCTCAGGCAGATCATTATGTGTCGTGGCGACATAACAATGCTCACTTATGACTGGGTGGAGGGAGTCAAAGATCCTTTCCCCAACTTCAACGTTCCTCACCAATGCAGAAACTTCGACAAGATCTTGGATTGGGTTGATGAGCATCTTGCTGTTACCTCTAAATCCGACCTGGTCCGTTTGGGGGACAACGTGGATCTGCCTTCCCCTCCTTGATTGCAGTCTCGATATATTCTCTCCTGACGATGGTTCTCGTGTGGATCACGATATGACGTATTAGTAGCCACAGAGCCATTTACGAACATGTTGAAAAGTTGAATTGAGTGAGCTGCACAAGGAGGTCGGGATAGAGCACAAAGCCAACGCGGTATCCTGGATGTATCTCCTTCGTGAGCATCATACACTGAGTACCCTTTCAATACCGTAGGGTCTATCCGATAAGTACAGAGACGGCTGAAACTCTTTGCTTGACCCAATCGCTATAGCCGACTCCGGAGACAGTTCAGAAAAGGAGTGTGAGCGCTACGACGCAAGTGGGACAAGAGTCGTAACCCAGATGCGCACGACCCAATGATATATGGACCGTGTCGATTCTGGTCGTCCGACGCACAACGTTCGCAGGAAAATTTGCTTTCAAATTTGGTGCGGTTCAAAGTTGAAACCTTTTTCTCACACTCAAATGTTGTCACATCTGAATCCCTCTCCAATGGGAAAACGTTGGTTGAATAAAACACCAAGAGCGATTTCTAATTGTCTCTCTCGTGGGAACGCAGACGATGAGGATTTAGCCAGCAAATCGAGGACCCCGCTGTAGGTACGAGTGCTCAGTAAAGTGAATAAAAAATACCATGATTTTTAGACCTACTTGTACGCTAAAAATGAAAAAAAAAAATTCCCTTACCGCAGGTACCAAGATCGAGTCCACAATAGAGAGGCCTAAATATTCTTAGTATTGTGCAATGTAGCTGCCAGCTCTACATTAATGATGATGGTGACTCAACTATCATCGGTGTACACCCCATGGAAATAAATTATGTACGTGTCAAGATACTAATGTCCCTTTGTGTTTTTGCCACCAGACTCATCTCAATCTCAGGCGTGACTCAAATGACGACGGATGCTGACGGAGATGACTACTGATAGCACTTGAAAGAATTGACCAGCGCGACGTTAGAGAACAAGATGGATGTACGACTCTTATGCCTCGTAAACATTCTTGCAAGATACTACATGCGTGAACTTGAATGTATGTCGTGAGTAAGCAGCACGATACTCCTTATACATCATTGTGCGTCAGATGGAAGGGCAAGGGGATGTCAATTGTATCTTCGAAACGAGTCATCGCCTCTTTCGGTATATGAACAGCATGCTCCACAGCCCAATCCAAGATTTTCTCGTAGTTCCTGCATTGGTGGCGGGTGTTGAAGTTAGGGAGTGGGTATTTTTGTCCACGAACCCAATCCCATGTTATCACCGTCACGTCGGCATTGCACATCATATTCTGTCTGAGCATTTCAATACAATAATCTGAAGTGTATACGATAAGCAAGAGGTGCGTAAATAAAAAAGGCATATGTACCAAGATGCATGCGGACTACTTCGGGCGTGTCCTGGAACAAAACATCCGTGGCTTCGTAATACTCGGGCCACGAGGCTTTGCGAAGTAAATTCTACAATAAATGAGGCAAGACCGACTAGACTTTCAGTGTAGTAGTGTAGCTTACCAGACAATGAAGTTGGTGAGGGGCCTCCATGGATACCATGAAACCCCCACCAAATTCCTCTGGATATTTGACCTTGGAAGGTGAATCTACTTCGCCGGCTTTGAGAATCTCCTCAAGTGACATCCGAGTTGGTAGCACTGAGGTTTCATGGACATAAACAATTACTATGTAGGATGAGGGGGAAAATGGACGACACACCATCATGAGCTATCCTGTTCCAAGCAGCATCAATTTCTGGGGAAGGAGGGCCCCGATAGATAGAAGGCCAGCCGATGGTTCCGTTGAATTTTACGACCATGGGTTCAACAGCACCATTTGCTGGAGCTGTGATACATCATCAACACGATGTATCAATTATCCGGGGATGTCTGTTCACTTACAGTATATAGCAATGTCATCACGCAGGTGGGGCGAAGGCGTGCCCATCCACAGCGCAAAGAAGAGTATTGATGTGCATATCAACGCGCCATGGCTCAACATAGGCCACACGCGAACGATAGTATGCAACTTAGGACGATGTCCTGCACCGAACCATTCTGCATCATCAAACTCGTTATCATTGTCGACAACATCAACAGGAGAGTACTGTGAAGAATCTTTGACCATGGCTCGTATCGAAGCTAAACGAAAGCTCAGGAAGATAAGACGAATCACTCATGTAAGAAAAAGCTTACCACCTTTAACATCTGTAAATATTTGTCATACTTGGGGGTACTCGGTTGAACTCGTGGGTTGAACACGCGAGGGTGGACACTGCGAGAAATATTTAGGAGTGTAATAATTTCGAATACAGTATCCCCGAGCGCAAGTTGGCTGTATGTCGTAAGGATGGTGCAAGAGGGAGCCAGTAACATGTCAGCGGGGAAGATCAGGCCCGGATGATGACAGAAGTGAAAAGCCACACAGCTAGTAGTGACGAAGAAGAGCTTCCAAGAATAGGCGATTTCTAGCTTGATGACGCTTAGATGATTCCTTCCAAGTATTCCGGTCTTGGGTTTCCAGGCCCGGAAGTGAAAAGCCACATAGCTAATAGTAACGAAGAAGAGCTTCCGAGAACAGGCGATTTCCAGCTTGATGACGTTTAAGTGGCCCCTTCTACATCCTGTGTTGCAACTTGCCCAGGAATACGACTTTGTTCCAAGTGCATCCCAAGAGTCTTCAAACTTCGAGTCCTTTTCTTGCGTCAGCTATGCATAAGGAATATCCTGCATCGTATTCTCCCGTCGACGATCGTGACGATACGAAGCTTCTTGGTAGCAATACAGAAACAAGACCTCTTCTCAAACCTCGTCTCATTCGCTCGTCGCAATGGATCAGCCACGGTGTGCTAATGTCCATAACGATGATATTCTTCATATTGTGGATACGAGCGCCGTCCATCGATGATGTGGTTATGTACTGTAGGTGGTCAGACAGCGTCAACGCACAGAATCTTACTTACTCGTCACAGCTCCAGCAAACGAGGCGATCGAATCCATCGGCATAGTAAGATTAAATGGAACTCTGGGCACCCCTTCTATATATACTGGCAGCCCGTCTCCAGAACTCGACGCCATCTGGGACAGGCTAACTTGGGATGGTCGCACCCTATACTTCACATACATGTAAACATGTACTGACTCGGACTGTATTTCCCAGCGCGTACAGTTCGTCTGACCGCCGAGCAACTGCTCAGAATAGGCGAAAAACCTTCTCCAGTCATGGTCAGGTATCCGGAGGAATACGGCGGAGGTTACATGGTAGCTGTTGAATTCATTCACCAGCTCCATTGCACAGTCAGTTGGAATACAAGGAGGTTGGTCGACTTTTACTCACTCCCCTGTAGGACATGCTTCGCAGAGTCAGCTGGGGTGATCGATCCCCGGGTCATGGCGTTTACGAACCCCCCGAAGAGTTTCGCGTGCATCTCGGTAGGCATACCGTTTCTTGCCCAGACCACATCTGCTTATTTTTTGTTCCTCAGACCACTGCATCGAACTGCTCCGGCAAGTCATTATGTGTCGCGGCGAGGTGACAATGATCACTTATGACTGGGTGGAGGGAGTCAAAGATCCTTTCCCCAACTTCAACATTCCTCACCGATGCAGAAACTTCGAGAAGGCCTGGGATTGGGTTGTCGAGCATCAAGTTCCTATCTCTAAATCCGAGTTGGTCCGTTTGGAGGATAACGAGGATCTGCCTTCCTTTCCTTGACTGCAGTCTTAATTATTCTCTCCTGATGATGGTTCTCGTAGATCACGATATGAGTGATTGGTAGCCGCAGATCCATTCATAGATATCCTCGAACATATTGAAAAGTTGAATTTGATTGAGCTGCACAATGAGGTCGGGAACGAGCACGAAGCCAGCGTAGTGTCCTAGATGTATCTCCTTCGGGACCATCATACATTGAGTACCCTTCCAACACGGGTCTATCTGTCGAGTACAAGAACGCAGAAACTCTTTGCTTGACCCACTCGCTATAGGCGATGTCCAGGAACAGTCCAGAAAAAGGAGTGTCAGCACTACGACGCAAGTGGGGACAAGAGTTGTAACCCAGATGGCACGGCCTAATGATAATCTCTTCACATACGGCTCGCGGATGGTGAGCGTACGGAACGGTGTCGACTCTGGCCATCCGAGGAAAACGAGGATGGGGTCGAATTCGCACGAAACTTTGCTTTGATTTAGCCTGTACATCGAGGAAAAGCCGGCGGCAAGGCCGATCCACAGCACAATGAGATCCGCAACTAGTCGGACTAACGCAGACACGGGAGTGAGGTTTCCAAACCCTTTGCCCCTCAGAAAATGCGGGAAAACATCTGGCTCCATGTAGTATTCCTTCTGCGCACGGAACATATCGAGAATGTGTGCCAACATGTTCAAGTCGCTCTGTGATTTCGGCTTTTGAGTGCTACCGTGACTAAGGGGAAATGACTGTATACAGAGGGCAGGAGGGAAATAAATTTCGTGATTTTCGGGTGATTCTACGGTGCCAGCGAGCTGTATGTTGGATTTGGACGTCAAGGGTATTGATGACCTAGAATTCCCGCAGGCGGATGATTAAGACTTTTGTGACAAGTTCGTGCTTAGGCAGGCCATAGCCAATCAAACGTGATTATATAATGTTTTTCCTTGGACTCCTGGTACTCTCACATGTGACCATGGAGACGTTCACCAGTGAACGTTCACTGACTTTGGCGAACGTTCGGCGACCGGCAGAACACTGTCACTCATCACGTATACGTCTTTCTGGACACGAATGCCAATCTGTTGAGGTTATTATAAGTGCGACCTCCGACCCAAACACTCGCTCATGGTTGCACCTCTGGGCGTACTTACGCATGATAGCGACGTGTTCTACCTTCGCACTGTACACCTCCTCCACCAATTCTACCAATCAAGCGTTAGAGAACGGCGACGGCGACCAGGCGATGAACAAACGCCAGGAATTCCTGAATAAATTTAACTTCAACCATTGGTCGACGCCACGCAGCACTGGAAAGTAACATTCTGACGCTTCTTGTCTCAATATTTATTTGTCTAAGTTGTTTCATTCATGCGATTACTACATTCCCAACTGGCATTATTTACGCAAGTTTTATCTGGACAACATTCTTTGATTGGGTTCTTTCTCTTCCAGATACTATACTCATGACTGAATTACACTGCGACAACGCTGGCAAACCGCACAATCGCAACTGAACTGGGACGTGGTGACAACACCCCGGGATCACACGACGTGGATTCCATCGTAGATGTACCAGTGGTAGGGTTCATAACCCGAAGTTACGAGTTCAGCAACAGGTGGGATGTAAATTATATTGTTTCTTTATGTTTGGGACTGAATTGTGTTCTATTCTATCGTCTATTAGTCACACTATGTTCCGCTATTAAAACATAACCGGTCCGTACTCGAATCTTCTCACCAATCACCAATTGTCGTGCTGTGTTGACTAATATGTTTTTGTTTAGCCAACTTATCATGACTGCGCTTGCATCCAATCTTTCACCGACTCCAAAAATTTACACCTGTTAACTACTACCTCGGAGAGAGGTGTTAACAATTTGCTGGTCAAAAAACGTGAGAATCCTACTAATTTTCCTGATCCTAACATTGTCACCAGATGATAGCTTAGTGGCAAGAACGCTGGGCCTGTAATCGAGCCAGAAAGAGTGAGACAACTGGGATCATATTACATGGGTTTGCAATGTGTCAGAAATCAACCAATCAGATACAGGAGTCAAGATACGTAGATGTACAGGTACGTGATTTGTGAGTGAGGCCGCAGCGCTGACCTAGAACAATAGATAACTCCTACATAAAATGAGGCATACAACTATAACTCACCTGCGTAGAACCTGGAATCAAGTTCAGTACGGGCTTTAGTTCAAGTCGACAAGTCAAATTCCTCGCGCTTGTCGACACTGCCATAGCGAATAAAATCGAATATTTCATCGCCTTTGTCCTCTACACTGTCTGGCAGAAAGTCACACTTATAAATCTTAGCATGATTATTTGAGTCATGAATGCTCACAGGAACGTTTCGTGATGGTTACTTGTGTGGGGTATGCCATAGCAAAACCCATGATGTATGCGAGTGCGCTGAAGACAAGAGAAAATTTCATGCTGGAGTGAAGAGGTGCGACTTGTACTTTGTGGATGCACTACATTGGAATCTTCAAGAGGGCTTTATACATTTTCGTTACGAGATCCGCTCGTAATTCAGGTCACCTGAATTGGCTGAAACCTCATCCACTCAGGACCTGCGCAAGGATCCAAGGGAATGTTCTCAATGGACCGTAGTCAGCGGTCAGTCTCATTAAAAAATCACTCAACGCCCACAATCTCAACGAGGTAAGGCCGTCAACTTGAATTCTGATCTTCGGTTCATAGGTTCATGCGAGAAAGAGGGACAGCAGCCCCTGGGTTTCGCATTCGCAATTGGAAATCACGAGAACCGCCGAACTCGATGATACGCTGCGCATTCAGGTTGCCACTCATGCTGAATTAGTAGAATAAGAATAGAAAGTAAAGATGAGGTCTAGAAGACGAAATGTTATGAGACAGAGGCGGTGTGCAGAAAAAATGTGAAACATACCTCAGCGCTCAGCTGAGGTACGAGTGGACATAAGGGCTGCTCAAATCATTCAGTATTCAATTGGGAGCCGGGTTTGGCAGTTTGAGCTATTAGGTCTCAAGCACTTCATTTCCACCTCCGTAATGTAAGAACCTGCGAAAGACGGTAAGTGTGTAGACTGCTTGTAGGATAAATATGCGCTGTATAGTTAGAAGTTCGCGAACGATAATAATATTTTGGTAATCCCCACAGCAATCGTTCACTGGCTACATTCAAATCCTGCTGAACTTCCATTATCTAGGTATTGCCCAAGCGAAAAATGTAGTCAAGTCAAAATTTAAACAGAGCACGAGCCAACTACGATTGTATTATACAGGCATCCAACATGTCAAAAAACAAGCGATCAGATAAAGGAGTCGAGATAGTCTATATGTAGTACAGGGAAGTGACTTGTAGGCGAGGCTGCAGCGATATTGGACCTAGTATGATAGATGACTCCCACACAAAATAAGACACATGGCTATAACTCACCTGCATAGAACCTGTCGTCAAGTTCACAGGTAATGGCGGTATTTTTATGCACCAGCATCAAGTTCCCCGCGCTTCCTCTCAGCACCATTTGGGTACGAGCCGTAATTGAAGTCATCAGCGTTGGTTTCGTAATTGATGTAGGCGAAATCAACGGTGTCAAGCTCCTCGCGCTTCTTCTCAACCCCGTTCGGGTACGAGCCATAATTGAAGTCATCAGCGTTGGTTTCGTAACTGCTGTAGTCGAAGTCTTCGGCGTCAAGCTCCCCGCGCTTCCTCTCAACCCCGTTCGGGTATGAGCCATAATTGAAGTCGTCAGCGTTGGTTTCGTAATTGCTGTAGTCAAAGTCCTCAGCGTTGAGTTCCTCGCGCTTCTCTGCATCTGATAGCAAGTGACGCTCAGTACCAACCTTCGCATGCTGATGAACGATTTGAATACTCACAGGAACGTTTCGCGACGGCTCCTTGCATGGGGTACGCTGTGGCAAGAACCACCACGAATGCGAGCGTGCTGAAGACGATAGAAAGCTTCATGTTCTGAGGTAAGAGGTGCGACTGGTAGTACTTTGTCGATGCACTACATTGGAATCTTCAAGAGGGTTTTATACCTTTGCGCAGCCCAGCAGGTCAGCCCATGACTCAGTCTTCATGTCTAACCGTAACCTTTCGATAAAAATCACTCGACACGCACAATCCCAACGAGGTAAGACCGTCAATCCGAATTCCCACCTTTGGATCAGCTCAGTCATGCTTGAAAGAGGGACAACAGCCTCGTTTTGCATTCGCAAATTGGAAATTAGAAAATCATGACAACCCCGAAACACCGAACTCGATGATGCACGGCGCGTTCGAGTTGTCGCTCGCGCTGGTTAGATATATATATTAGCGACAGCGTCAGTTGATCAGAGCTTTAAAGCTTCACCTTACAGCGATGCAAACGGCTCGAACTCAGACTCGAATTCCTTTGATTCCCTCGAGTCTCGACGTACTGACCAGGATTATCGGGAATAAGTAAGAACGCCGGTAAGAGAATAGAACACTTGGAAGACTGTTGCGGCGCAAGTGCATTGGCTGCCAAAAATAAAAAGACGAAACTTGACTAGGCTATTTCAGGCCCGGCCATCCCGGATCTTTTACGTAAATCTCTGACCAGGGCTCTTGAACCGCTCTTCAAATCAACATCCTCGCAATATTCTGATCTGAACGCTTTTGCGGCCTCCGATCTATTCCCAATGATGGAAATTCCATTGTGTCGTCGCACGTTTGACACAAATATTTCGGGTATCATGCGGCGAGTTTGTTTTCCTGTTGTAGAGATCTTTCGTCAGTGTCTGCTCCTCAGGGTAGTTTAGCACACATCGACAAGTTTTCTGTCTTCACCCATGAGCAGAACGCTGAAATGCACTAACGGCATTTAATATCTGCATATAGTTACGCAGGATCCATCTAGAAATGAAAAGAAGAAGAACAGCGTCCTTGCGCAATCCACAGCATGGTTGTCGTGCCGATATTGGTTTGGTGCCTCGGGGGGCACCCATGTGTGATGGTGTCGGCAACATCCTGTTATTTTTGTATCAGAATAACCTGACGGAAGTCGAGTAGGGTGCCTGAAAACGCATGTGACGATGAGCCTGGACTTGACTAAAATATGACACTTATTTTGAGATACAGAGGACGCATATCTGATGTAGCGTGGCTAAACTTAGAACTTGATCTGGCTCTCTCATTCTTTACTAGCGATGGGCGGAGCAAAAGATTGAGCGGCATGCAACGCTCTAGCGTTGAACAACACAGCGTCGATTAAGTGAAAAGAGGATCCTGGGATGGCCTTCGTATTTTGTTAGTATTCCAGTAGTAGCTCTCGTTGCTGGTCCTGCTGTTTTTGACTGTTACCTATGACGTGGTGATGCGCGGCGTCACATGCACTAGTACCAACCACGTAAGAGTTCTTTAAGGTCCTGTCCACAAGGCGCTTCAGGGCTAAATAAAGTCAAAGTCAACTACATCAGACGTATCACTGGTGAGCCTGAGAAATTTACATACCATTATATGACAATATGTTCTTTATTTTCATTGCTAAAAGCAATGAAATGAGTGATATATTACGACGTCGAGGTACCGCAATCAACATAACGCACCCTCAAAGTCTGGGATCTGATGACCCGCACTGACACTGATGTCATGCCGTGGCGGCTGTCAGCTCAATAATAATTACTTCATCCTTGCGGTAGCATATCGCGTCAAGACCAATTGATAACAATGCGGTTCTGTTCCAGGATCCAGTTTCTGATTGCAGGGGGAAAAACTTTCGTGGACGCGGAGAATTTGTGGTCTTTTAATCACCGCTATTGTTGGAATGAAGAATTCAACATAATGCGATGTGATGGTCAGGGCGGAGGAGCAGCTTGAATGAAGTTTCGTTCCGACCGCCTCGGTAGAAGGGAAATCTATAGCCAGGCTGTACTAGCCTCGAGCTAGGACAGCTCCATAACTGATGGTGACTCCGAGTCGGAACTACATAGTATTACCGGTGTTCGACATGGAAGTAAATTATAGCTGTGTCAAGAAAAATACCTCAAAAAATTAACCAGCACGACGTTAGAGAACAAGCAGGATTGAAATTACATCACGTGTTCTTCATACTTCCCTAGCCATCGAGGGACTCAGCTTACCGTTTGCATAGCTAATATGAAAGTTACATAACCGTTACCATCATTCACTGCCTTTCAAACTAAGAGGATACTGAGAAATGGAAATATGATTCATTCATTCCTCTGTCATTGAAGTAAAAATATCAACTACGCTCTTAATCATCGCCGTTCTTGAAAGACATCCGCGAATCCATGTAGCCAGCAAACAGCACGATACTCCTTATACATCATTATGCATCAGATGGAAGGGCAAGGGAATGTCGACCGTATCTTCAAAACGAGTAACCGCCTCTTTCGGTATATGAACAGCATGCTCGATAGCCCAATCCAAGATTTTCTCGTAGTCCCTGCACTGGTGGCGGGTGTTGAAGTTAGGGTATGGGATTTTGTGTCCTTCGACCCAGTTCCATGTTATGATCGTCACATCTGCGTTGCACATGAGATTCTGTCTGATCATTTCGATACAATGATCTGAAGTGTATACGATAAGCAAGAGGTGCGTAAATAAAATAAAAAAGCATACGTACCAAGATGCATGCGGATTACTTCGGGCGTGTCCTGGAACGAAATATCTGTGGGTTCGTAATACTCGGGCCATGAGGCTTTGCGAAGTAAATTCTACCAAAAATGAGGCAAGAGCGTCTGGACTTTCGGTGTAGTATAGCTTACCAGACAATGGAGTTGGTGAGGGGCTTCCATGGATACCATGAAGCCTCCACCATATTCGGCTGAGAATTTAACCTTGGAAGGCGAATTTACTTCGCCAGCTTTGAGAATCTCCTCAAGTGACATCCGAGTTGGTAGCACTGGTGTGTCATGGACGTAAATAATTACTAATTATGATGAGGGCAAAAGATTGGGCGACGTACCATCGTGAGCTATTCTGGCCCAAGCGGCATCAATTTGTGGGGAAGGAGGGCCACGGTAGATAGAAGGAAAGTCGAGGGTTCCGTTGAATCTTAGGATCATGGATTCAACAACGCCACTTGCTGGAGCTGTGTCACATCATCAACACCATATATCAACTGTTCGAGGGTGCCTGTTCGCTTACAGTATATAGCAATGTCATCACGCAGGTAGGGCGAAGGAGTGCCCATCCATAGCGCGACGAAGAGCATCGATGTACATATCAATACGCCATGGCTCAACATAGGCCACATGTGCAGGATATGGAACTTGGGACGAGGTCTTGCACGGAAACTTTCTGCATCATCAAATGATTCCTCCTCGTTATCATTGTCGACGGCATCAACAGGAGAGTACTGTGAGGAAGCTTTGACCATGACTCTGGGGTGAACTCGGTTTGCTGAACTGAAGGGTTGTGGGGATAATCGGGAACACGCGAGGGTAGACGATGCGAGAAATATCTAGAAGTATATTCATTCTGAATATGTCTCCCAATCGGTCGTATCGAGAGGGTCACATGCCCCAGCGGAGCGCTGGAAGGAATCACAGGCCCAGGATGATCGGAGAAGCGATAAGCCCATGTGTTGATTACGAGAACCGGGGGTGGATTGAGCGATGCCACGACGGTCGAGTACTTGCCGAATATCTCGAAATCCAATTCAAATTGGAACAGTGCTAGTCAAATTTAGCGAGGCACCCATGATGCATGAACTATATATAGAAACCATATGGTACTAGTACAAAGAAGTGCCCATCAGCATTTCAGTGATCATCAGTAAAAAACCCACACGTGCTCAGGTCCAGTGGGTTTCACGAGTACGACTTTGTTCCAAGTGCATCCCCAGTGTCTGCGAACTTCAAGTCCCCTTCTTGCACCAGCTATGCCTAAGGAATATTCTGCATCGTATTCTCCTGTTGACGATCGTGACGACACGAACCTTCTTGATAGCAATACAGAGACAAGACCTCTTCCAAAACCCCGTCTCATTCGCTGGTCGCCATGGCTAACCCACGGTGTGCTGATGTCCATAACGATGATATTCTTCGTGCTATGGATGCGAGCACCGTCCATCGATGATGTAGTTCTGTACTGTAGGTTGTCAGACAGCATCGACGCACAGGACCTTGCTTACTCGTCACAGCTCCAGCAAACGAGGCGATCGAATCTATCGGCATCGTAAGATTCAATGGAACTCTGGGCACTCCTTCTATCTATCGTGGTAGCCCGTCTCCAGAAATCAACGCCGCTTGGGACAGGATATCTCTTGATGGTTGTCCCATGCTCCACTCACATCGTAGACATGCACTGACTCGGACTGTATTTCCCAGCGCGTCCAATCCGTATGAGCCACGAGCAACTGCTCAGAACAGGAGAGAAACCTTCTCCAGTCATGGTCAGGTATCCAGACGAATACGGTGGAGGTTACATGGCAACTGTAGAAGTCATTCACCAGCTCCATTGCATAGTCAGTTATAACACAGGAAAGCCAGTCGAGCTTCACTCACTCCTCTGTAGGACATGCTTCGCAGAGTCAGCTGGGGTAATGAATCCCTGGGTCATGGCATCCACGAATCTCACCAAGACTTCCGCATTCATCTAGGTAGGCATACCGTTTTCTCCCCAAACCACGTCTGCTCATTGTGTCGTGCCTCAGACCACTGCATCGAAATGCTCAGGCAGATCATCATGTGTCGTGGCGACGTGACGATGCTCACTTACGACTGGGTCGAGGGCGTCGAGAATCCTTTTCCTAACTTCAACATTCCTCACAATGCAGAAACTTGGAGAAGGTCTTGAGTTGGGTTGACGAGCATCGTATTTTTATCCCTAAATCAAAGGTGGTCCGCTTGAAGGATAACGAGGACCTGCCTTCTCCTCCTTGATTGCAGTCTCGATATTCTCTTCCGATGACGGTTGTTGTGTAGATCATGATATGACGGATGTAGCCGCATTTACGAATGTGTTGGAAAATCGAATGGAAACCCTATTTTTCTGAATCGATCAATAATATCATTTGCAAACACGACTCGATTCACCTAATAGTAGACGGTCAAATGAAAGGATGTCCCAAGGTGTAGTAAAGAACCAAAAAGAAGAACCGTTTCATCCGCATATGGCATCAAACAATTGATAACCACCAACATAAACATGTCATTAAAAATATGAGTCTAACTTCCTAATGTCCTACCATGTACGTACGTATAAAAAGGTCATAAAGGATTCAGGGAACTGAGGGAGGCAAAATAACATCACAGCACAGCGATGACGAAGGTGGACTGGTGGAGTATACGAGGTAAAATGATAGCGAGATACGGAATGTAAACTATTAGGAAGTGGTGCTAGGCCGAGGTGCAAGGGGAAGTAGGCGAATAGCTGAAGATAAATGCTTATCAAAGTCTCTGGTCGCCCAAGCGTGAAATCAACAATATCACTCTCCTTCGTGAGCATCATACATGGAGTACCCTTCCAATATGGGTCCATCCGATAAGTACAGAGACGCAGAAACAATTTGCTTGACCTACTCGCTATAGCCGATGTCCAGGGACAGCCCAGAAAAGGAATGTGAGTGCTACGACGCAAGTGGAGACAAGAGTCGTAACCCAGATGGCACGACCCAACAATAATCTCTTCACATACGGCTCGCGGATGGTGAGCGTACGGAACGGTGTCGACTCCGACTGTCCGAGAAAACGAGTATCGGGTCGAGTTCGTATTGATGTGAGATAAGGAATAAAATTGCGAACGCGAAAGGAATGAAGAGCTGTAAAGCAAACAACCCGTTAGATGCAGAATCATACCAAACAGATGGGACTCACGAAAAATCGCTTTGATTTAGGTTGTACATCAAGAAATATCAAGGAGAAGCCGGCGGAAAGGCCGATCCATAGCACAACGAGACCGACGACGAGTCGGACTAACGCAGACATGGGAGTGAGGTTTCCAAACGCTTTACTCCTCAGAAAACGCGGGAAAGCATCTTGCTCCATTGCCCTAAAGCAGTACTCCTTCTGGGCATGAAACATATCAGGAATGTGTGCCAACATGTTCAGGTCGCCCTGTGATTTCGGCTCTTGAGTGCTACTGAGGGGAAATGTCTGTATACGGAGGGCAGGAGGGAGGTAAATTTCGTGATTTTCGGGCGAATCTACGGTGCCAGCGGGAGAGAGATACCGGAAGAAGATGCGCTCAGCGGATGCGATGAGGTCCATACGATTAATCGCAGCGGAACGTGGAATGACCGTTGGCGCACGTGATGCGCGTTTGAGATTGAAAAGGGTTGGTGTTCGCCTTGAGAGGGAGAAAGGTGTCGTTGACCGTGGTGGATCAGCATCTGGAGTATTCATGGCAGTGAGAGGGGATGAGATGTGCTCCTTCTCATAACCAGGCGTTGTAGAACGCTGAGCACTGCGCCTCTCCTCAGCAGCGTTAGCGTTTTTTTCCTGGTCATTGATAGCATCGCTTGTGCTCGTCATACTTCGCTTTGCGGCATTAGGCTGAAGTCCGACGACTGTGCCGTATATTGACCCACGACGGCGTGCGTATTCCCAGTACTGAGGCCAATCCTCTTTGATTGTCCGGCCTGACTTTCGGACATCTTTGAAGTATGCCCTGCAAAGGTTCTCGTGCTGCTGGACATCCAACCAGAAGTCCAGGATATCTTCTGCACCTTCGCGTTGGAGAAAAATGCTAGATTTGGCATGATATAAGAGGCTGTCCAAATACTCGAGCACAGCACAAAGGCACTACTCACTAGAACATGAATAAATCAACGGGTGGTCGGGTCCTTCGAGAGAGGACTTCTGTAAAAGAGGGCAGCCTGTTCTTGCGGCTGTTGAGCCAGTCTTCTTGTTGTTGTCTGTTCTGCTCATCGTCCATAGCGGCGGTGGAGGTCACCAGGAACCTCTTGACGTCACAATCAGCAGCGAGGGTTGGATGGAATTGGCGGGCAAGACAACAAGATATAATTCTCATGCCATTGCAACCACGCCTGCTAGATTATTATGTAAGCACCTGTTCTACGAACCAACCCGACGGTCCATCACAAGAAAGCGTTGCAGAAACGTTGTTTGCCTTAATATTTGGCTGTGACTTGATCTCATTCAATCCCTGTCATGTCCGCATTTGCAAAAACATTGTCTCCCGCTCTCCGCGAAATTCGCATCTTTTGCTGCCAGTCAAGCCAAGCTTCAGCGGGCACGCGGTAAGTTCGTGGTTTTCTGGGCGGCCGGTCACTCATATGGTTTATGATCACGTCTGCAGGCAATTCATCTTGTCCACATACCCAGTCATCAAGAAACACAACCCGGACCTTCCCGTCATGATACGGGAGGCAAACGGCACACCTGCGCGGATGTTTGCACGTTTTGGTGCGTGTAATGCTCGTGCCCTTCGATCATTTGTGCATGGCTGTATTAATTTGTCTTCACATAGAACGCGGAGTTGAGAAACACGTCGAGCTGGATGATCTCTCATCATCGGATGTGGCTGCTAGTGTTGCACGGATATTGAGCACCTCATAGTCGCTATGCTTTAACCGCCCCAGCGTTGTAATTCAATTCAAATATTTCTCTTGCCATTTTTTTTGTCTGACTTTTACATAAAAAGAGTGCTGAGGTATGCACAGGTATACATGCGGCACCCAGTCCTATTATATCACGTGGGCTACTAATTTTGTGCAGGCGGTTTTGCTCGGATGTGAATGGGATCATTGCATGCAAGACGCACCAGCTTCGTGCATATCTGAACTGACTTCGCGGACTTTCGGTAATCTCGTATCAGCCTATAACCAAGTGAGTTCATATAAAATCCCAACAACCCGTAATTAACTAATGTCCATCAAATTGCCCATAACAGATTCCATGCTGCCCTCTACTTCCTCTCGTTCCTTAAAACGCCTTCGCCATGCTCTCCAGCACCCTCTACACCAACTTCTCTGTCGTGTTCTTTCTTGATATTGCGTAGCAACCAAAAATAATACAGAAGAACAAGGCATCCACATACGCCTGCAACCCCAGCTGTTACAATGATCGACGACGTGCTTGTGATGACATAGGTTCCATGCTGTACACCATAGATATTGGAAAGTACAGAGATAAGACCAGCGAGCGAATTGAGTAGGCCAGGCCTATTCAAAACTCGATTCGTCAGTCAATTGACGACACTATACCCCACTCACACAAATATACGATTCACAATCCAGATATAATTTTTTTGCCATCTCCACCACAACCAAATCATACCGATGCTGCCAATACCGGTACAAATCCACGCGATGACATAACTATAGGTGTCTGGTGAACAACTTCAATTCCCATGGCCTTGACCATCACTCACAGTGATATATTAGAAACTACATTCAGCACTTGTGCTTCCACGCCGCTGAGTTGTTGCTGTTGCAAAGATGTAAATGTTCCGGGGAATAAGACAAATCCTGCAAGCAGGATCCATGTGAAGAAAGATGCCATTATGTTGAACATTTGCGGAATGTCATCAAGTGCCAAAAGCATATTCACGTAGCGAGTATGTGCATGCCCAGCCGGCATATTTGGCATTGGCGGGCGCTGCGTCGTGTGGTGAAGCTGTTTTGCGGGAGTAGGAGGTGGTTGCTCAGGATAAGTTTCTTGTGTCTTTGGTGCTAGTTGAGGAGCAGGGACTGTGCGGCCGGAACGCCGTGAACGACTGCTGGATGGGACTGGGTTGGGTAAAGGGCGATTCAAAGGAGAGGACGTGTCAGGAGGTAGTACATTCTGATGACTGAATGCAGTCGCTATCTGGTTCTTGGGAGGTGTACCATTGAGAGAGGTGCGCGATCCGTTTGGAGTGGCAGAACTACCGTCACGGTGACCATACATAGGCGGGGTGACAGTTGACGCATATCTGTGCGATGCTGCACTTGGAGGGCGCGAACGAGACCGAGAACCGTGATGCGTACTATGATGGGAGCCGTTATGACTATGATGAAAGCTATTTTGTTGCATGCCATGATGTGCACTCTGTGTGCCTATGGGACGTATATTCTGGGCTACATTCACACCCTGATTCACACCCTGACGGATGCTGTGACTGGATCCCTGATGTTCCGTCCCATAGAAGTAGGGTTGCTGATAAGCCGAAGTAAAGGGTGGGGAATTCGGCTGGGGCATAGGGAAGCTCGGGGCATAGGACGGGGTTATCTGTGGTGTGGGTATTACCGGAGGCGTATTAAGTGCTGTTCTAGGCGGCTGGGGTACATCCCGTATCAGAGGAGCCTGAGGCAAGTTACTCTGTCTAGAAGAGCTCCGATGATGTGATGGTGAGATAAAACCCGGAGATATTGGATCAGGAGGGTTCACCGGGGAGCGCACTTGTGCAAGCAAAGATCCTGGTGAGGGGACGAATGGGTCTCCTATGCGTTCTACAGAGGAGTTTCGTGAGGAGGTCTGGTGGAGGGCATTCATAGGCTCTGTCGTCCTGCGTGCCGGTGCAGGCCACGCCGTTTTGAACGGCGGTGCTACGTATGGATGCCCAGGGTCACTTGAAGTCCTTGATCGCTGTCGTCTGTGTCCTGGTGGGCGCTGACTTGAAGAATGCATCGTGCGGGACATGAAGATCGTTAATGAAGGGGAATATGTCAAGGTTTAGGACAAAGAAAGAATCTAAACAATGTTAATTGCGGCTCTCCGGTTCATCCCACGGGTTGGATAGTTGTCGAGGGTATAAGAAATATCGATCAAGATTCGTATTTCTAGGAATCGTCGAACGGTCGAGACTCGATATGAGTATCGCGAAGATGACTCTCAGTGAGCTTGATCAGTGAAAGCCGTTGCTGTTTTGAGAGTTCAGCAAGATCCGAACGGGCCAGACTCATATACACCACGAGGCCGGGCCGCCGTCGACCGGGAGTTAGTAGTATGTATAGGCGCCCATGTCACTGTAAGCCTGTTGTAAGTAATGTCTGCAATGACCGAAGTCAACTTACATAACTTCAAAATTTGCGATCGGTGACAGGATTGGTCCCGATGGTGATCGACCTTAAAAGCTTAATGTTTTGTGCACCTGACGCGTGGTTGTGAATATCGACTCGCGACTTACATAAATTTCAACTCTTGCAAGTCAGTGTATCGACTAGAGACAGTGCACCGCTTCGAAGGAAATGCAAGTATTCGAAACTGGATACAACCGTGCTACTTATAAGTTTGCATCACTACAGCTGTTGTCATTATCACTCAATTGCCAATATTTATGAACGGTAGTTGGGCGTCGAGACTGCATAGTCAACTATTGCATCAATTTCACAGCAGGCATAGGAGTACATAGGAGTACATAGAAAGCTACAGCGTGGCCAGAGTCATTCCACGAGCTTGGATGTTTACCACATACATCGCTGTCTCCGCCAAAAGAACAAGACCAGACTTCGTGAACACCAGCTGGGCCGTGGTGGTGTTCAAGTGGATCTTCCCAATGAGCGTGCCTTCGTCATTCCAGACATGAGTACCGCCGCCGCAACTGACATAAACGTTGCCATTGGTATCAAGCTGAATGCCATCGGGTGCACCAGAGTCACTGTAGACGAACACTCTACGGTTCATGAACGACTGCGTCGTTGGCTCGACGTCGAACTGATAGCTTTAGAATTTGCTTCAGTATCTGATCATCATCATTCTAGGTGGAATTGACTAACATCGTGGCTGGCAAAGTCTGATTTGTTCCGAGGATGCCTCCGAAAACACCCGTGTCGGTGCTGGTGCATTACTTTAATTTACAAACATGAGAAAAACCCAGACTTACACGTATGCAGTTTTGCCATCGGGCGTGAATGCAATACCATTCGGGTGCACAAATTGGTCAGCGACAACTCTGACCTGCCCAGTTGACGGATCAAAGCGGTATACTTGTGACGGTAGCATTGGTTCAGGACGGAAACCGCTATACCAACCGTAACTGAAGAAGCCATTAACATTGTGGACACGATGATCTCATCCGTTGCTCACGCAGGATCGGTGAAAAACATGATGTCCGTGCCAGGTAGAATTTTGATATCATTAAGCGAGTTGAACTGTCTCCCTAGGAAGTTATCCAGAATAACAGTGGTATTGTAGGGAGGGCTGGGATTTACGCGAACAATAGAAGGCGGAAGCAAAGCGCGACCTGCGGTGACGAACAGAAGGTCTCCCTTGTATGGACCTGTTCCCCCGTTAACCATTTGGACATCGTCAGAGAGGTTGAGCTGAAAATCAAGACAGTTAGACATCAATGACCAAGCGGGAGCGACCCACTGTTTGAACCTGAATATTAACATTTCCGGTCGTACGAGCCAGCGCCTCGTCGACTAGCGTCATGTTGATCATGCTAACAACACTGTTGTTATACCAGCCACTGTAGCTGAGTGCGCCACCACCAGTGTTTGCAAAGAAGACCAAGTTGAGATCTGGAACGTAAATGGGTGCTTCATGGGCAAAAACAAAGCCAGGATTCGAAGCAATTTCCCGAATAGTAGGAGATGGTCCAGTGGCATCGAGGAACGAAGGGTCATAGACCTGAATGAATGGAGGTGGACTGCTGGTGGGGTTAAAACCGATAATGGATGAGTTGCGCCATTTTGTGTAGTTTGCTCCCACAACATTATACGATAAAGGGTCGATATACTGCAAGGCAGACGCTTAAATGTAATTTAGCACTGCCAAATTGCAATTGTCGACGCACAATTATTCCAGGCGGCGACGCGGCAACAAGGGCGACAGCCAGAATCGCACCAACTGCTAATTTCGTCATCCTTGATGAACTATTTCCTGGCAAGTCTAGTTTCCTATAACAGTCAGACGTCTCATTTTTAAGATAGACTACATGGCAATACCAGGAGGGCTCCGAGTACAGTCCGTATCGAAATTTCAGGGATATCGTTGGGCTGGCCGGTTAAAGTTAGATGGCGAGTAAGTACAAAATACTTCTGATAAACCAACTTAATATTGTATTATCTTTGATGCCAATCGCATAATGCCAGCGGAGCATCATGTCCGCACAATATTGAGAGAAGAGTCGTTCGTTGTTTGGCATCTTGGAACAACCGTGCAGCCGTGCAACACGTTTCGACACTTCGCTTCTTGCAAGATTTCATAGGTGGTAAAATGCCAGTTTCCGCGCTGTGAGGTATTACCATATAGGCAACGTTATACCGATGTTATGTATATGATATACTTATTGTCAAATGGGTATGAGCATATTGATGAAGCCCTAGATTGATGTAAAAAAATGGAACACCACATCCGGTGGCAGGGAGAGCAATAACTTGAAAGAGTACGCGTCACCCTTGTAATTAGAGGTGGATGTTGGTTGCCTGGGCGCCTCTAAGCAGATAGAGGATGAGATTATGGTCACGGATCATGATGCAAACGAAGACGGGACTTGGAATATTGATTCTATGTTGCTATCAAGTGGTCTTATTTCCATGTAATTAGTACCTCTAGCACGATGAAAACGACAATACGATTTTGCCATCTGCCACGCTGGCAGAACACGGTTCTGCCGGTTCTGCCAGATTCTACCGGCAGAACCACTTTGAATTAGTTTAGCCCATGACACTAGGATTCATACAGCGTTTGGATGGATAGTAATTGTTGGATATTTAGTGTGGGTATTGCCAGTGTAACATCGGTCGGCCCGCGGCCCGCGCATACTGTAGAGATACGCACTTAGCTTCGACATTATCTGGGTGTGACCAACTGAACCTTAGCTTCGAAGATTCGAAGACGGGTGTGACCTGTGACATGTCAGCAATAGCTTCGAATCAGCACCACTACCAGCTGCTGTCAGCAAGAGCTCACAGTTGATGGTGATGAAGAGAATTTTGGTCATGTAAAGCGAGATGCATGGCAAATACTCAGTACAAGAATTTTTGGGAATATTTTTGCATTTTTTTCATGTTTTACCATGTGTCATAATTTACCTTCGACGACTTCAATTTTGTGTGACGGTCACACGAAATAGCTTCGATTCGTCGGACGTGTGACGCTGTGACGAAGCTAAGTGCGTATCTCTACAGTAACCGTTACACCAAAAGGTGAAATACTCTTTCAGTAGCCAGGTTCACAGTAGTGTTTTCGAGTTATTTTTGTCGTTGTTTTTGAATTTGTTTTTGATGCTGAAAACAGTCAAAAACAGTTTTCAATTTTGATCATCCTGTCAAAAATGCACGAAAACAGTTTTTCCCTCATGTCTGACTTTGAATTTACACTGAGAACCATCATGCCTCATCGAACTGAGAGGCAGCTAGTAGCAGATGATATCCAAGACAGATTCTTTTGTTGGAAAAATCTAAATGTACCTTGGAAGGCTTCTATCTTTAGACATCATTTCAGCACCTTCTAATGGCATTACAGCCACAATTCCAGGGCCTTCCATGGAACTTGGTACATTTTTGGCACTTCAAAGGACCCAATGATAATTTTAGCTACTTCCAATTGGCTTCCCTTCTGATTATGAGTCAGCAGCTGCCTTTCACCATCGTCAGTTGTTCAATAATAGTTTGGTCCTTATCAATTCCTAAATCCAATTCATTTCTCCATCACAAGTCTACATTGCTGAATTGATACTGTATCATATTATTCACTCTGGTGCTGCTACAAACTCATGCACTGCACCTGCCAGTGCAGGCACAAGCAAGCCCTGGTCCAGGCCCAAATTCTGTCCCAAATCAACTCGTATAGTGCAAATATTGTGATTGATCCTTCACACCTCAAGGTGTTGAGTCTCATGAAAGGAGTTGTTTGGAAAAACAGAAGAGAAGGAAGGAGACTAAGGAGTTCGCAAAGCTAGCTATGAGAGCAGTTGATGTGCAACAAAAAGGTATGTATCATTATGTTAATTGATGTTATGATAATATTTAACATTCTGATGTGCTATCAGAACAGCACAAAATGCGCCATCGCAAGGCGGCCGGCTTGAGTGCCATCTCACAGACACTTCTAGGCCAGCCAGGAGGAGTGCACTTAGACTATTATGAAGGGGATCATGGTGATTATGATGCCTTGAGTGTCAAAGGGGCACATCAACGTGAGTACTTCATCACTAGAGTTATGATTTGTCTGAATAATTCATTGATGAAAATTTCAAAGGCTCAGACTCTGATACAAGCATAAAGAGTATTGCTGGACTAGCACCTGAGAATGGACCTCCACCCGTTGTCCCTCATCCTGACCTTGACAAGTTCAAGATGGAGTACCACCCCAACAGTGGTTGACCTACAGTTGTCGAAAAATTTCAGTCTACGGATGTGCGGATGCTGCACCTCCATTGGTTGATGATTCTTTGTGGCTTCCCTTTTTGTGTCATGCAGATTTTGAGTTTGCTGAACTGGCGCACTGAGCTGCTCTCAGCAAGGAACATATGGACAAATTCTTATGGCTGCTCTGGAACATTGTAGATGGTCACGCAAAGTTTACATTCAAGACTCACGGTGATGTATCAAAAGCATGGGATAAGGCTTCAATGCAGATGACTCTGGTATGTGCTGTTTTATTTCAGAGTCCATTAATCTAATGATCAGACACAATTATAAACCTTAGTTCGAGAAGCATGTCATATCTGTAGAATATCAGAAGGGCAAACTAGACTTTGATATATATTCACAACCACTATGGGACTGGGCTATGGACCTGCTCAGTGAGGCTATTTTGGTGCTGCACTTTGAATGAGATACTCAGCGGTTGTACAAGCACAATGGTACTCAGTATGAACAATTTATACATGAACCTTGGACTGCAGACCATTGGTGGAGGATCCAAGTATGTATATGTAATATTAGCTCTGATGGAACTAATTTTGTACCAATGATTCGTTTTGTCATAGTCATCATTACCTAACAAGGGGGTACCATTTGCCTTGATCTTGTATGCAGACAAGATGCACTTGTCGTCATCTGGCAATGTCAAAGGGTATCCGGTAATTGCCCAGTGCGTGAACTTGCTGGTTCACATTCAAAATTGTGCTGGAATAGGAGGTGGTTGCCTTGTGGGCTTGTTGCTGATTGTAGGTTTCTATTTCACCTCAAATGTTACCTGCTATGATTGTACTAACATGGTTTTATTCTTTGACAGGTATCTGAAGACTCTGAACAAAGCAACAAGCTCTCCTATACAAATTTAAAGTGCATTGTTTGGCACGAAGCATTTTTAAAGTTTCTTGAGGTCATCATACTTTACTCCAAGACAGGATTTGCCCATCAATGCTTCAATGATATCCCACGCTGGTTGTATGCACTAATTCTACTATTGTCAGCTAACTACAAAGAACAGTGAGTACACTGTCTACTTCTAGCTTAAAGTTATTGACATTTCAACAGGTGTGTAATGGCATTAATACATGAGACAGGCTCCCTCTGTCCATGTCCCATCTGCCTGGTGCCTTCAATGAAAATTTGCAACCACATGGTAACATACCCTATCCAAAAAGTTGAGGATGCACAAATTCACGTCAAACTCTATGAGGAGAATCACATTGCAGGAGAAGTGGCCCTGAAGAAACAAGGTCTGTGACCTATCAATGTACATTTTTTTTTGAATATTTGTCTCTCAGATAATTATGTTATTGTTAGAATATCTTCTGGAGAGTGGAGAACTCAAATCCCCATGAGACAATCTCTCAGGACCCATTACACGCCTTTCACACCGGTTTATATGGTCACCATATTCATAAGGAGGTTAAGAATTTCACAGATTTTTTTGGGTGCAGTGCCCTTAAGTAAATTAATGAGCCGTGAGTTTTTACCATTCATCATTATTTTTTATTCATATTGTGTGTATAGATTTGATGCCTTTCCATGATGGAGAGGTCTCAACCATTTCTGTCGGGTCACAAACATCAGCTTTAGTGATGGGAACAAATTCTGGGATATCTCAAAGGTATGTCTAATTGATTCGTCGACATACTTCATTTTCTTACATGACTATTTCAATAGCAATTTCTATTTGCTGCTCATAATGTAAGGATCACACATCCTCTACACCCCGACCACATCTTCAAATCAAGGTTCAAGGATGCAAGTCCAGAACCATCCACGTGACTCATGGATGCAAAGAAGCGCATGCTTCGCATCCGAGTTATGCGGACACATTCCTTTTTCCTTAACCCTTACTCTCTTGTTACTCTCAACGACTGTTACAAGAACATCTAGATGCTTGGGCCCCTACTATTTTTCTCCTGATCCTCCTCGTATCAGCCCTCGCATCATACCCTTACCCCGACCTTACCCTTGTCATCCTCGTCATCCTCGCATTCCCTTTCGCCCTCTACCTGTCACTTCAGCAAAGCCAGTACATTTGGCCGGATCCTTTCGCTGACGAAGCATACCCATGCTCCGTTTCACCACCTGACTGATCCTGCGGACAGTCCCCTGACCCTTACCGTCTGGACGGTAACCTATGACACGATGCATGACGCATCCCCTTTGCCCTATTTTCCTTTCTTGATCTCTGACTCGGTGCGCAGTCGCACATGCGACTTATACTTAGATCCGCAGTTGCACGATCGTGCCCCTGCGTGTTTCACTCCTCATTCTGATCTTTGACTCACTTTCTTATCCAGCACGTTCTACCTAGATTGAACGTGCCTTCCTGTTATGGTCTTACCCTTTACCGATTGCCTCTCCCGGTAGTACGAGTTATCATCCACTAATACGTCCCCTGTCCTCTATATAAACTCGCTACCATGTACCATATCCCCTAACTTGAATCTACTTGGTTCTTGACCTCCTAACTCTCACCAGAGTGATCCTTCTGCCTCGCCAGCAGTCTATATTCTATCTTCTTATCTGCTCATCGCGGATAAGCCTATAGTCTCGACCTTTACTCATCGACTTCGTCGACGAGCAAAGCCCCTGTTAACTAGTCGGACTTCTGTCCTTCTAATTAACGACGATCCTTACGATTAACCTTCGGGTGTCGTAAAGCCTAGGCCGATATAGCTTATCGTCTCGCACCCGCGTGACATAAGCTACCCGATTTGGACATAGGCGTTAAATCGTACTTGCCGAAGACACGCCAAGTACGACCCCTAACCTTGGGCTAGCCCAAGGACGTCCACAGACCGTTGACGACACAAGCTCTGTTTGAGCGTCGCCAACAGATACCATCCAAGTCGTAACAACGACCAGCTCACTCTTTTTTACCCTCATTCATACTATACCCTGGAATTATCACCAAACTATTTCTCGTCACTCCCTTTTAGTTTCATTCCTTTGCCCAAAAGCAGTCAGATACCCAACGATTCTCGTCATTCCTGTGCATGGCGAGCTACCTAATACCACCTCCATTCAAAAATTGTCGTACTCTCACTCATTCCCGCTACTCTACCCTGGCAGGCTCAGCGCCACCATTCTCCGTTTCACATAACTCTCGTTTTCCGTAATGTCAAGGATCCTTTTTACCTTACAACTTAAAATATGCCATGTACATTGACAAGAGTCAGTCTTTTGCCCTCGTGCTAGATTCACGCACTCAGTCCATCAGCAAAGTCCTCTCGTTCTAAGCACAATCTGTCTCGTCGAAACTCTATCATTTAAAAAGCACGATCTCTTCTACTCTCATTTTAGTACGACAATCCTCGTCGGACTCACTATCAGCCTTACAATAATGTGCTCACAAAGCAGAAGAGCAAAGCCAGCTACATGCTCTTGTGGTGTATTGCAAGTTATCTTATTGTAGACATGTATATCTCACTCGACACTCAAACGGAGAGCACTCTCATAGCTGGCGAAGTGGCATATTCATATTTTTTGAAGTGTTTGGACATGCATACCAACAATTTAATTTAATTGCTCATCTAATTACAGTAATACAGGAATATGTCAATGTTGCAGGCCATTCAACCAAGAACTGGAACTTCCCAAAGGTACATGCTGGAAAGTACATATTTTATGACATACGGGAGAAAGGCACTGCTCAGAACTTCAGCACTTGTCTCAACAAAAAGCAACATGGACCACTCAGACAGATGTATTTATGCCAGACAAACCACAAGGATGTTGCAAATCAGGTATGATTCATTTTATCATTATCATTATCATTGTTCTAATACTACCAACTTAGCTTCTCCAATTGGACACAGGACCCTCGTTTTTGAGCTCATTGATGGTCGCATTGCCCAGCTTGATGAACAGCATCTGTGGAAACTCAAGGACACTGATTATAATGATCCAGATAACATCAATAACCCTAAGGACACCAAAAACATTGGCACATCATTTCAGGGCCATATCTATTTCAGTTCTTCTCAAGACCCTATGAGTTTTGCTGATGTGTAGCAAGCAAACAGCTCGTTGCGCACTTTTGACCAATTTTGTAAGAAATTTTTGATATTCATCAATGAATTCCTTCCTGCCCACAACATACCATTGCCTGATGGGATGATGGTTGAGGCTGGCAGTTTAGGACAAGGTTAGTTAAATTTTTTGTTGATTTTCCAGTGATGCTGATTAAACTACATTTCTTGTAGCTACAGGAATATTGCTACCTCAAGGTACACCATGAGTCCATCATTGACTGGAAGCATGCAACAGACTATCTCCATTGCAGTCCAAGCTTCCATGGACATGAGTGCCATGATTGCACTATTGGCAACCAACATTTAGATCTCACTCTCATGCTTCCAATGGATGCTCCGATTAGCCCACAGCTTGTCATTGATAAGGAGCTGTGCTTTACTTGGCTGCATGCATGGCCTGCAGCATCTTCAGAGTTCTTTTCCATTCATTTAATTATTCATGGTGCTTTGCTCATTCCAGATTATACCAATCCTCATCGAGACTTTTTTCTTGTTGATGTTGTTGATTCTGACATGTTTCCACACTTCCAGAAAAATGTTTTAATATAATAGTATATTGCAATGAGGATCTCATTCTCTAATACTCATTCTGCAAGCATCCATTGTCTGATGGGGATCTGCAGATTGACATAATGTGAACAGTATTAAGTATATAAACTACTGATCAATCTCTGACCACCTTCCAGCACTTCTCCATCAGAGATAGCTCCGCAGAGTCAGATTCACCGCTCTCACCTCTATCACCACCCTGGAAGCCTCAGTCTACCCAGCTTACAACAAGATACTCTGACTCATTTCATAGTCATGAGCAGGTTTGCTGGTTATGTGGACACTTCATTATACATTTATTTGCTTGTCCAGAGTACTAACCTTTTTCATCCTCTAACTCACAGATTTCCCAGTTATGTGGACACTTCATTACATCACATCTTTTCGCTTGTCCAGAATACTAACCCTTTTCATCTTCTGACATGCAGGTTTGCTGGTTATGCGGACACTTCATTATGCATCTGTTTGCTTGTCCAGAGTATGCACAAAATTCCATTCTTGTATAACATTCACTGGTCTAATCCTCTTCCAGCAACCCAAAGTGTGCTTTCCCACTGTTTGGGGATCTTTTGGTCATCACCCAGTCTACCCAGCCTATTATGACAAGACACTCCGATTCATTTTATGGTCACAAGCTCATTTTATGGCCATCAGTTATGAGCATACTTATCTGAATAACTAAATACTTATGCTTTTTTACAGATGCTGGCATTGCCCCAAGTTGATAACAATGCCATCATTTGCTGCAGACAGAAATGCAATGGGCATGTATCTTTACCTCGAGCTGAGGCTGCTTACTTGTTTAATTTGTTACCACTGACAACCTTATTACTTGTGCATGCAGGATGAGTATGTTTTTGTTACAGTGCGTCATAAGACACTTTTCTGGTGTGTGATTGGGTCCCAATCAATATAAAGTTCATGGTACTGGTATGAATGTCTTCAGCTCACTGTTGCCAACTGATTTCATTTCAGTACCATCTTAGGCTTCTTTGTATCTTACCATCATCATGTCCTAGCATCAAGACCCAATAACAGACAACTCGTTCAACAACAGCAGCTCAGGTTCTAATGAGGAGTCTGACTCTGATGAGGAGCTTGTGCAAATTCATACAGCCATTGCTCCTCCTTTAGATGCTGCATCCCCTCAAGAGCTCTGTCAGGTAAGTCTTTCTAGGCCCAACTACTTTATATTCACTTAATTTGTTAATTCAAGGCAATTTTGATTGAGCAAAAGCTTTTACTTAACATACATGGCCAATAAAGGGAGTTGCTAAAAAGGAATGCCCTCCTTAAAGCTTCAGCTTCTCATAGCTGGAAGAAGCTCACAACAAATGAACTTGCCCTAGTGGTGAAGGAAGATGTCATCAAGGCCCATGGGCGCAAGTACTCAATGACACACTGTCTATGGATCGACACCCACCTGTTCCCTTTGTACACATGTCCTAATGTTGATCTCTTTAGCAAAGAGCAATGGCTCTCTCCGCTTACTATTGAGAATAGTGTCAAAGCCAAGTTATTCCTCTTTATTCCTAAGACCGACCATGAGTTGATGAGCCATAAAAACTTTGGGCATAGTGTATGTGTCACTAGTTTTTGACATGCATTTCATTGAATCTCATTGTAACTCACTCAGTTTGCAAAGGCATCAATTTTGTTCGTTCTGAGATGGTTTCCGATGTCAAATCTTGTGCTGGCGTAATTTTTACCATGAGCTCAGACATTTTTCTTGCAGGCTACAAGTGAAGCACTGAGTCCAAATGCTGTACCTTGCTCATGAATCCAAGTGGCACTTATACTAAGTTTGCGCCAGTTCTATTCCCTGATCCCGAGAAACCATCATCACAGATCTTGCTAAAGACAGTCAAGCTTGTTCAGGTTTGTCTTTCCTTTCATTATGTGCATTGCACAATGACTAACTAGATGCAATTAATATAATACAGATTTTGAGAGTCTCAATTTTTGACAAGACTTTACTGGCTTCTAAGTCAATCCCAGCCAGAAAAATGAAGGCAAAAATTTGGGAGTTGCAAGCTACAACTCCAGGCATGATAGCAGCAGCAGCTATCATTATAAGTTGCTTAGACTGTCTTATGCTTTCATGTCACGTTTCACTCATTTCACACTTGGTTTGCAGGCAATCTTTCTCCTCTTGGGTGACAAGGACCTCCTTCCAGTAGGAGCTGAGAGTCATATCTAATATCACGAGTACCACAACTGGTACCGTCAACAATTAATGAGTGAAGACAGATGGTCTAAAGATGTCCTTGCATTTTTCAGTAACTCAATTTTTTCAACCTCTGCCTCCACAACTATTAGCAATAGTGCCCCTCAAGGCCACCCAACTGACATGTAGGAAGAAGACTTTAAACATGCCTTGGAAGATGAGATGAAAGGACCTGTCTTTAGTGCCAGTACTCCACTGGTGCTGTCTCTGCCCTCCAACGAACCTTTGCCTTCTATCGATGATGCTGAGACTAATGATACACATGCTGCAGCTCAAATTGGACCCTCAGAATCTATCTCTACTGCAATGCAAGATCTATTCTTAGGTCTGGACACACAGGATCAAGTGGTATCAGAGCATGACAATATTGATATGCCAGTAATTGCTGACACCACCACAAAGCCCAAACCTAAGCCCAAGCCCAAACATGAGAAGGGAAAGACTGTCAATGGTGATTTGGAATTGACAGAAGCAGTTTCTCACAAACAGAAGTCTTTACAGAAAAAGTTACAGTAGTCTGTCAATAGTTGTATACCTCCTTCAATCTCACTTCTGCCTAGAAATTTCACTTGCCCCTTTGATGCTTTCAAAATGCCTTCCAATTAAGGATAAGTACACACAAGGCCAGATAATACTCATGTAAGTGTCTTAGAATTTGCTTGGAACTTGAACTATATTAATATTAATACCACATTGTCTTGTCCTGTCTTTCCCGCTTTTGCAGGCAGTCTCATAGCCATCTGCAATGCACTCTGGATCTCACCAGGACATCACTTACAGCCAAACAACTTTCTCATCGGCATAAAGGCAAGTGTGTCAACCAAGTTGACAATGTCAGTCTCACAAAGACCTCCGAGGCTCTGACGCCCAGATTCTCCACAGTTTTGGCAGTTGAAAAACTTCTTCAAGGGTGTTTCTGTCATGCTTGTCCACCAGCCAGGCCTCAAAAGGATTCATCGAGTATTGATTGTTAATGCTGGAAACTTTGAGTTCGAGAACACAACAGTCAAGGTAGGTTTTCATATGAATCACATTCATATTAACAGCTTCTTAGACTCTCAGTGCGAGTGCAGGACTACTTCAAAAAAACTTGGGGTCACCCACTATTCCAAACATCATCAGCATTCAAGTTGGATCAAAGGATTAGGATGGAGTTACCCCAGCAGAAATGTGTGCTATCATACCAAACCAATGTTATACACAAAGACTTCCTCCTGAATTCTCACTGACAATGGTTAAATTTTCTTCCAAGAACCCTCAAGATTGCCTTTGCATTCATCTCTGCGCTTGTATCTCAGGTGTGTTTTATTTATTTCTAATTCTATGATTTTATATACAATACCTATAGGCAAACCCCCATGGGCACAGGTGCGGGTATTGGTCAGCAAGCGGCTGAAGAAGGTATGTATGCCTGGCTGGCAAAAACAGTTCTTATTGATGATGGACAAGCACCCATATTGGAAATCACTCTGTTCTTATAATATGTAGATGATAATGTAGATGCCTTAAATTGTAGCCCATTTTTGCAATTTTGTGAAAATTTTACCACATTGTATGAAATTGTTTAAATTCTCAAGGACCTTGGAATCATGTAGTGCTATTGGAATGAGCTTTCAGACCCTTGCCTTAAAATTAGAGCTATGGACCTGGAATGGTCTTGGGATCATCTTGTAAGACCCTCCACCCCTTCCAAGAGTCTTACAAATAGTTTGGGTGCGCTGCCAAGCACCTCGTAATGCCGCTGGCAAATTGAGACCTTTCAATGCCTTTTAAGGCATGCCAAGCGGACTTAGATTTTTCTGACATTGCTGGTATCATTGCTGAGCTTACAGCTCAGTTCTATCTAATTACTCATGCAACAAGAACTGTCCTTTTTTTTACCCATTGTTGAAGTAGCCTGAGCATCAAAGTTCTCCTTCATTCCCAAGTCAGTAGCAGTGAGATTGGTGTAGGATTTCAGAGGACGGCGGCACTTGCAGATTCCTTCACACTGGCGAGGCGTGCCTGTGACAGCTCCTTTACAGCCATGATGTCACTGACTCGCTGTGGCTCCACCACACCCTGGTAGGAGTATCCATACACCTTGGCCATAGTAACAGTACTGTTTTTGATACTCAGTGGGGATTGTCAAGTGCTTCCTTTATTGATACTACCTAGAGCTTCATTGATACTACCTAGGGCTCTATTGATACCTATTAGCTACCTATCATTGACATATTGTGCAAAGATCTCATCGGGAAAAGATCTTGCTAGTACTGTTTCCTGGCCCTGGATCATATCCAGGCCTTCCGTTCATCAAAGATCCTTTGTGGGCTGGATCATATCCACACCTTCCATCCATCAAAGATCTTTTGCGGGCCTTCTGTCCCTACCACCTTGTGGCCCAATTAGATAAATCCAAAGATTTCAAAAACATTACAACCTGACAAAAAATATATATCCTACGAAGTGCTAGATAGTAGTACTACACAATGACTGGTTAACAAGGTCAGGGAAGACCCTCCAGATAGAAGAACAGTGGCCATGCATCATCCTCCAAATGGCAGCTTGCCGATGTGCATATGCTACTGCACCCTCATTCTCTATGGGCCCAAGCCATGTCTTAGATGTTGTACATTCTACCCACCAGGCCGCATGCCAGTCAAAGAAGGCGAGAACACTGTCTTCTTAAATAGATGATCTATAGATGAACACCTACAAAATAAAATATCTCCATGGTCAGCGATTCAGACAAATACCAATGACTGATAATGTGTTCATTAGTGGGTGGCCTGTCAGTATATCCAAGCTACAGTCAGACAAAGGTACTCTATGATATCAGTCTAGAAACACTAGTCAACCCAGCAATATGGTGTTGACTAAAAGAAACAAAGAAGCAGAAAAAAAAGAACCAAGACTAAGCACAATCACTGGTGCTAAACAAAGAAATGAGAACTAAGACTAGGCACAATCAATGGTGCTATGTTCTAAACTTACTATGAAACAGTTGTGCGAAGCTGTATTGGTCACTCCCACAGCGCAAACAGGTAGGATCAAAGGTCAAGACTTGTTAAAAGCTTCCGTAGAACTCTTAGCCTAATACTGAATCTGCTGCCAAGGAACTCACGATGAGTATTAAACAGAATCAGAAACAGATGTCCTTGGATTTCAATACCAAGTCCCCTATTCAATAGCTAAAGCCTATCTGACAAATAACAATTTTGGCTCAGTATACTACTCAGATGTGTGAGGTCAAGTGGACAATAATCAACTCCTGAAGTCTCCCCACTAAGCTACTCTGAGCCTTTAGCAGACATAGAGACAACACAAAGATTCCAAAGATAAGGCTCGAATGTATTCGCTACAATCAATAGTACATTAGTATCAGCAGCAATAAACAAACACTCAGAATATATTCACTAGAATCTATAACGTGCTAGTGACACAACAATAAATGAGCACTCAGACTGTTAGCTTTCAATGGGTAGAGAGAGTGAAACAAATAGAATGAAACAGATCCCGAGCTAAAGAAATAGATAGAGTGAAACAGAACCCAGACCAGTGAAACAGAGATAAAAGAAATTGATCCCAGACCAGAGTGAAATAGATCCCAAGCCTAGAGAAACAGATAGAGAGATAGAGACAGAGACATGTGCACACAAACACAAACACAAACACTCAGAAAAACAAGAGATTTCTCAAAACAAATAAGCCAGGCCTTGCAGGTTGTTGAGCACAGTGAGCTCAATGGCTCCTACTGTCTCATCAATGTACCTGACAATGTTGAACAACTCTTTGTGGTTGTTGCTGATGCTGATCACACACAAACCTCACTCACAATTTTATTAAGGGTGACTCTGGGAGTCAGATTGATTACATTTCAGGCCAAAACGGAGGTCCTTATATAGACAAATCTACGTGGCTATGCTAATTTACTCCCACGTACCTAGGTATATTCAATTTTCGTTTTCTCACGTATCTAGATATACTATATTATTTGTCATAGATCATAATCCCCATGTGAATTGTACGTAGATGAACATGATTTGTCAGGCTTAGTCATAGATCAGCTGACTGTGGTAAGAGAACATGGTTTACATAATGTGTTGAAACTTGTTTGTATTTGGTGTTATTTAGAGATGTAGCATATGTCATAAAGTAAAACCGGGTAACACATGTATTTAAAGTTTCCTGGAAGTTCCCGCAAACAAACATATCCGGGAAATATTTTTCATGGAAGCTTCAGATGCATGAGAATCTAGCTGAGTCATCTTCGAGCCAAATAACACAAAATTCGTTCCATGCAAAATTTCCGAAAAATATTTACTAACACTGCATGGTCATGCACCAGACCAGTTTGGTGCAGGTCAATGCACCGCATCTCCTCTTGCAATAGCTTGACCTCCTCGGACCACCAGTTAGCACATGCACGAGCCTTGCATCACTCAATGCGCATAGCTAAAAAAATTGTTTAGGAAGGGAGCTGGGTGAGATAATGAGGTGAGCTTACCATCTGAGAGCTCTTCCTCACCAGCTCTGAAACATTGCTTCCAAATCTATGAGACAGACACTAGCCTTCGTCCCTCAGAAACACATTCACCCGCGGCTTGATCCTCCGTCATTCCACAGACATCCTCTTTCTCGAGCATCAGGAACTCAGTCATCCAGTCAGTTTGGAGAAGAGGCTGAGCAAGAGCATCAAGGGAGTTCCAAGTGATGCGATATTTAGTCGTGGCACTGTCAATCTTCTTCTGCACTGTGTTGATGATACCACATGACCTTGTGTGTCCACGTTGACCAGTAATCCAGTCTCTCTTGAAGCCAGTAAGATGATGCTTAAGCCACAAGTGCTGATGAAGTTCATGCAACACTTCGTGTCCCTGAGCTCTGCGAAGCTTCCATTCAATATGGATGTCTTCTTCTGTATTATCAGGTGTGGTAGCATCAATTGTCTCACGAAGACATGCGACACATGGCATGTAAAGAGTCTGAATCTTGATCCAGTGTTTGATTTGACAATGGAGTGTGTTTGTCCGCTGCTGCAGTGTGGATAACTGGATTTGGGTAGCATGTGCACCTATGTTTGAGGTCTCATGAATAAGTCGGCACCTGTCAAACAAAAAACAAATTGTCAGTGAAGTTAAACAGCAGCTGAATAATCTAATTACTGCTGAGTCTCAAGCTTGATTCCGACAGCTATCAAGACACTTGGTGAAACCTTGGAGTGCAAGGATATGTCGAGTCCGTGTTTGAGCTGATCTGCTTCTACTTGTGAGAGCTCTAGTCGAACGGAAGCCTGCATCATCAGTGAGGATGTTGAGTCAAATAGATTTGCATTGGATCAGTCAGTCTCCCAATCCTCTACCATTGTGTGCCAGATTGCGAGGCTCTCAGCTGGAATTGCATCTTCAAAATTGACAAGGTTCGAAATATGTTGATTACGTCGAGGGATGGCATCCTTGAACTTTTGCAAAAGAAATACACCTGTTGAAAGTGTCAGTTAATAATGATTGATGATAAGGTTAACAACTTACCAAAGTTAGACACCTTCTGCCAGTTCCAGTCACCGAAGTGGTCATCAAGGATATCATGCCTCAAACCAGGTCCCATCTCCCGTGTGCTAGTAGCCACAGGGTTTATATTGGACCATCCATGTTCTGATGCTTCACCGTCCATTCTGGCCATCCCTTTAATAAGATTAAATGAGAATTTTGTCTGACATGTGGTGACATGGGCGGGGAGGTGGAACTTAGGCACAAGGAAAGTGATTATCTTGCTAGTATGCACCAAATGAATGTTGGAAGGATACCGAGACATGCACTCCCAAAGGTTTTTGCTCCACTGGCATGTGATGACGTATGATATGTTGAGGACGACCATCTCACTTGAATGTGACATTGTCGAAAAGAACAAATAGTCCATATTGACATATCTAATTTGATGTTGTTAGCAAACATACGCACAGTAACAAATTACTTACTTCTCCCCTTCTGGAGATCTCCCACTGCCGAGGGTCGCTTGAAGTTATGCCTTGTGCAAACAATGGCACCAATGCCTGTCGCTGCAAGGCCACACACTCTCTTCAAATCTGCAAGGTTCACTGCATTGTGACTTGCACAGCTACTTTTCTCCTGTGTGAAACCTGCATGCAACTCCAGGACACTCTTGAACCCAGATCCCTCCACAAAGTAAGCCCAGCCCTTGCTCAAACTCGGATCAGCTTCCTCTGACGATTTGTTGCAGTGACACATGCAGAAATTAGTGTTGATACCAATGAAAAAACCATAAAGCCACCTATATGGTGCTAAGATAAGCACACACATAGTGTAGAGTGAAGGAACTTACCATTTTTCTGGAGGGGCGTCTGCCCAGTCTGGTGGAAGGTTTTTTCCTGGTTGAGGACAAGTGGGATAAACCATGGCTAGTTCCCCAGAATTTGTTCCCAGAATTCCAGAGATATCATGGACATGGCCTGCCCATTTGAGGGCAATGAGATGGCGGTACTGACAGCTCATGCAAAGGAGAGATTCATAGCAGTCCTAGTATATATTTAGTCACAAAATGTACGAAATAATGAAAGACTTACTTTGAGCCTCTCTGTCCCTGTATTGTCTGTCAAGTGAGACAAAGCTTGATAGTATTTGAATGCGGAACCCTTTGATTCAAATGTATACATTTGAAAATGATTGAGGAGTCGGAAGGTGGCAGCCATTTGAGGGTCAGTACTTGTAGCAGGGTACCATCGAGCATGCAATAATTGAGTTGTGTGAGTCTGCACAGATTCGCAGTTGCAGAAATGAAGCGCAACACTGTGAATGCCGTTAATGTTAAGAACCATGAATTCGTGATCGAATGCTGGTATTGGGTTACAACATGGGACCCCTGAGGGGTGCCCGAGTTGCACACGTAGCCCAATATCACGAAGGGAAGTGCACTGAAAGTATTTGCCTGTCCAGACCTGTGTGTAATTGAGGATAAGAACTCAGAACGCAAATAGATGTTTAAAAAAATACCTCGACATGATGCAAGGACATAGCACGATGGAGAGCTACCATGCAAGATTGACAATACATTTGAAGTCCTTCACAGTCGCTGCAACGATATACAGGCTCGTTCTTGCAACTACCGAAGCCATGACAGCATTGAGACCACATCACATCCCCACAGCTTTCGAGCCTCATCAACTCACAAAGGAAAGTGTCTCGCTCTGGAACCCACAACCTCTGAGGATCATCCTGTAGCCACAAGAAATTAATGACATGTAAAGGGAGTGAGGCCATGCACATCCTACTGTGCATTTGTGGTTCTGGGTGACTCTTGATTGAAGTTGGTGTTTGCAATATAATCCATGTAAGCGTCTTCAACAATAAAGTCAAAATTGAGAGATTCAGAGGGTGTAGAAGTAAGCGTTGATGGCACATTTTTTACATTGGGTGCAGAGAAATACATTTTGGCTAAAGGGCGGAGTCTGTTGGTGACGTCAACAGATGTATGTGTATGACATGACGCGCCATGTTCAATGTCCTTAGTAGCTTGTTTGGTTGCAAACCGAGTGGCATTTTCCGCAATTAATGAGCAATTGTACTTGTTGAGCTTGCACTTGCGAGACGGGGGCATGATCAATGCAAAAAGTTGTAAAATTTGTCACATGTGACATGGTACAAAGTCAATACAAATACAAACATAATTAAGGATGCTGCCAAACTAAGTTGTTAGAAAGTAATGCATTGCATCAGTTTCTTGATCCATAAGCTGCAGTATTTCCTCCTCGGATGTAAGCCAGAGATGGGCACAGTGAAGGAGATGTGTACACTCTCTTTTTAGTTGCACAGTACAGGGACCTTCGAGATTGGCAACCAAACTTGCCAGCGCCTCAGCATTTTCAAGTAAAACTCTTGCCTCTGATAACTCAACCATGAATTCCTGGTCTAACAGCACTCCAGCCCCGTTCATCCATGTTACATAGAAGGACATTGACGCAAGGTTCACATCCGTTGTGGTTTCAGCTGCCTCCATTGTAAGTTGACATCCATAAGTCTTCCAAAGTACAGAACACATCGAGAGTAGGCTGTATAGAATCATTATCATTATTTTAAAACACTCTGAAAAGATGAATATACCTCTGTCACACCTTGCTGGTGCCTCCATCTATGCCTTGCTTTGATTCATTCATAGCCAATGTGCCTGACAGCATCCAATAGTCACTTGATCGAATGAAATAAAATAAAAAGCCACCTACCATGTGTAGTGAATCCTTTTGGAGAGTTTACAAGCTTCTGCTTGTTCTGGTGAAGGCTTCCAGTGCCTGCCCATTTGATATTCGTGAGTTAGAAAAAATTGAATGTGAAGTGAGGCGAAATTTTAAGTGTTAAACATTGTGAAAACAAATATAAAGCCACCCACTGTGTGTAGTGAACCCTTTTGATATTCGTGAGTTACAAAAAAAAAGCCTGACAGTGCAAATGATGAGTGGTATAATAATGAGGCAAAGTTGTAAGTGTTAAACATTGTAAAGGCATCAACACAATTACACAGCACTTTGCCATTGGCACTGCCACACCTTCAGGACACTTATTTACTTACCACTCATCATTCGCACTGTTAGGCAGAGCCAGCTTATTTAGTTACTGGTGCTACATTGTTCGTACTGTTGGGCAGGCTGTAGGGCGGGCTTCTAGCAGATATTGTGTCATGTTGTGAACCTAATACAATAATTGTTCTTTCTGCAAGACCGACAGTTTGATTAAGTCTCTAAGTGCCTGCAAGAGCCTCTCAATTTTTCAAGAACAGCAGGATTCCAAGAAAATATCATTGATGCAAGAACATGAAAGCACGATAACAGATATACATCTACATCTACATATACAATCATTGCACAGCATGGACTCCAGCCTCATGCTGGTACCTGCAATACTCTATCAGCAGCCAGTGCCTGTTCATACACCCTGTCAGCAGCAGCACGAGAAGAGTGATGACCAAAACATGTGTCAGGAACACCAATAACATGACTGTGAACTGCTGTGCCTATGAACAGTTGAGTTATTTGATAAAAAATGTAGTCGGAGAACATACCAGCCCTGGAACACACCTGTTTCATGGCCAACAGTGACAGTGTACCAGCATGAGGATGCAGAGGAGCTGGCAGGTGAAGCCAGGATAGTCTGTGCAGCTGGAGGCTGCACAGTGACAACTCTGGCAGTTGCTTCCTGGGAGATGGTCACAGATTGTGGTACTGTGAGGGAATCAAACTCATTGTCACTCAGGTCACCGACAGGATCAACTGAATCTTCATATAAAATTAATTTCAGAATACGAAATAAGATGCTTACTGTTGGCTCGGGTAGGGCTATTCTGGGCTTTGTGTGATCTGGCGTCAATGGCCACTATGACTATTACAATATTAGATACATAAGCAGAATGATGACAAGAAAACTTACCAGTTTGGTTGTGTATCAGCTGTAATGCACTCCAAAGCTCGGACAAGGTGAAGGTATCATCCTCATTGGGGCAGACCTTCATATTGGTCAAAAAGAGGAGTGTAATGAAATGTAGATGTAGGGTGGCTAAATGTTGACGTTAAGTCTTGTACATGGGACTTATAAAAGTTGAAAAAAAAGAACCTCGGTGATTGCCTTGCAAACACATCATCTGATTGGGTAAATTGGAAATAGAGTTGAAACCCCATCCTATATGGGGTATTCATACAAGCTTGTGGTCCATCAAACATCAAAAAATATACTATATGTGTGTCATACAAGCTTATATTGATAATTGCTTACCTCGGTGGGAATGCTAGATGCCTGGCACCTCGTGGATGACTCACGAACAGACCATTTGGTTGAAGAATAAGATGGATGCCTTCAGCTTGAGTCAGCTGCAGGGCACTGTCTCTGTATATCTGAACCAGATGTTCCTAGAATGGTTTATGAAATGGCCCAAAGTTGGCATACATTTCAAAGACAGCACTACTGGGGTATCTCTTACTGAGGCCGACTTAACGGCCGACCAAACAAAAGAATTGGGTAAACTAGTTAAGCAGCGTAAGGGAGTACATTACATCATTTTTATTTCGGTTCATGGCTAAACTACCTTAATGCAGCAACTGCGCTCTTACTGTTATCGAGCAGCCTCTTCCGCCGGCAGGGCACATAACAGACTAAATTGTTATGTACCTAGACACAGTCAGATCCATCGTACATAGACTATTAGTGTCGGGACATAACAAAACATGAAACAGAGAAAACATACCCTCAGTCATATGCATAACAGACTGAGGGGAAAAGATAAACATGGACCACTATATATAATGTTCATTGGTATTCTATAGTGTCACAGTCGTCATATGCATGACATGTGTGCCAATGGCATCGCATGTGCACCAACACTCCTCCTCGATGTGATGCGTACTGCATGCCACACTCAGTTCACCAAGACCATCACAAAGTTGATGGCAACTTCGACTGCTCGGACATGTGGACCCACTGCTGTGGAACATTTCTTACAGATGGACTACAAGGAGGACTCCTCAGTCAAGGAAGAAGTGGCTGCTCAATTGAAGAATTGTGAGTACACACAAACAAACCGCATGTCCAGCCTTTGTGCAGAAGCCAGCAAAGCAATGACAGCCCATGGCGAAGCCTACGTGATGCAGATGGAAGAGGAAGCCAAAGCCGAATGTCAACGTCACACAGACAAGGTAAAACGTGAACTAGAAGAGTTACGCAACCCCTCAGACACTCTCAAACTGCAGTAAGTTTCTTTTTCATTCACTCAAGTTTCTCAGTGTGTCTAACATACAAATAGATATATTGAAGGTTTAGGCGGAGTAGCCGGGCAACTACTAGAGACAATATTTGAGACAACTGGTTGACATGGGAGCATATACCTAGGTGGCCCGGATCCATGTGCAAACGGGGATGTTTGTGTTTTCAGGTAAGTATATGTTGCTACTTCATTGGCAAAATGATTCTAATATGCAGACAGTTTTCACCATGGGAAGGGGAGCACTGGGTTCACCTTCTGCAACTCACTTCCTGACCACACCAAACAGATTGTTGAACCATTCACAATGTTTCTGAAGGGTGCATTCAGTGAGTGCACATCCTTTTTCATTATGGGTAATTATCTAATTTTTCACAGCTTCTAGTGCTACATCTCAACCACCTGAAGGATTATGTGGTGAGGAGCAGATTGACTTTTTCAGCAGGGTCGACATGCTTGATCCCACCCCTTCTCTTACTGAAGCCTGCACTAACACCCCTTCAATTCCAATTCAAGAACCGTCGGCTTTGGAGTCTCTGCCCATGGAAGGCGGAGGTGTATTCATACACCCCGCTGACAGCAAACTTTGTAATGTGATTCACCCATCTTCACATGACCCAAACAGCTATTCCTTGCCCAACGGTTCCTTCGACTCTGGGTTCTATGGGCCTCTCAACCATTACATGATGGACATCAGTTTACCTGAGCCTGAGCCTGACATGGACTACAACCTTACCAATACTCCCTCCCTTCCCTTCTCAGGATGGCCCAGACACACCCATAACTGCGTGGAACAAGGACTTCGATGCTGGTAGGATTCCCATTGTTTCTCTGCCCCATCTTCACGATGCCTTTGCATGTGTGGCTTCACAGAGTCCTTCTGTCCAAGGCAAGAAAATACCCCGTGCACATCCTGTTATTTGGGGTCAAGCTACAGCGCCTTCTATCTATGATAAGCTCTGTGACTCAACACCACCGTCTCCTAATGCACCCCCTGCAGCCCCCTTGTTGGCAGTTCCTGATGTTGCCACTGGGCCTCTCGCAAGTGACACATCGACATCTTCCAATGCACCAGCCCTACCTTCTACCCCACCTGCACCAACATTGATGTCTCCCAATGCACCAGTTCTACCTTCTACCCCACCTGCATCAACACCAACGTCTCCCAGTGCACCAGCCCTCATGTTGGCGGTTCCACCTTCCTCCCCACCTGTATCTACATCAATGTCTTGCCATGCACCTCCTGCAGCCCTTGTCTCAGTGGTTTTACCTCCTGCCTTGCCTGCATTAACATCGACATCTATCCATGCACCTCCTGCAGCTCTTGTCTCGGCAGTTCCACCTCCTGCTCCTCCTACAGCCCTTGTCTCAGTGGTCACCACTGTTCCTGCTGTTCCTGTGCCTCTCACAACTCCTATGGAAGGTAGTCAGCCTCAATCTAGCACTGTGGACCAACCGATGGAGGAGATGCAACCATTTGATGAGATAGCCAATCAGTCGTTCCATTGCAGCAACCGAAATCATCTTCTGTCAACCCGTCTGATAGACGCTAACAAGATTGGCAACACTTCAAAGAGGTAAGTTAAATGTTCTTAGCATGGATTAGAAGGGCCATGATGTCTTTTTCAGATCTCGCAAGTCTAACACATGAAGAAAGCCACGTAAGCTCATTGGGGGCATTCGCTTTAAGTTCTTGTTACCTTGTTGCTTGTATATGCACGCTGTCTACGACTTGCACTATGTATTAATTGACGCAAATATATTCATTCTTGATGATACAAATGTTGAAATATCTTTGTAGCAACTTGAAATAAGAGACTCAAAAAAAATCGGTGTGAACGCAGGTGCAGGACTTGGCAAAATTTTGGTTGAAAGAGCACGTGACACTGTACTGGCGAGACTTCGTGAAATTTTGGTTGACAATAGATTCTAGAATGTGGCACATGCTACTGTATTGATACAGGTGCGGGACCCTGTGTGGGACTTGGCAAAATTTTGGTTGAAAGAGCATGTGACACTGTACTGGCGGGACTTCATGAAATTTTGGTTGACAATAGATTCTAGAACATGGCACATGCTACTGTATTGATACAAGTAAATGTGTCGCACTAATAGTAATAGGAACAGAAAACAAAGTATGTGATATATTTAGACAGGAGATGGTTCCCAATGGAATGTGGCACGTGCTACTGTATTGATACAAGTAAATGTGTCGAATAATAGGAACGGAAAACAAAGTATGCAATATATTTAGACAGGAGAAGAAGGTATGTCCCAAATAGGAATGGAAATGCAATATATTTGGACTGCCGTCCCATTAAGGTACACTCGGCATGCTGTTTCCCGGAGAATTGATACAGAGAAGCAGAGAGAAGCACAGAAGCACAGCAGGAATTAAGGTACATCCTGAATGGGATGGCCGGAAATGCCCGAGAACAGCACTGGCATGAGTATTGATACAGAGAAGCCGATACTATTGTGGAGGCTGGGGATCCTCACTGAGTATCAAAAACTATCCTGTTACTATCCCTGGGTTTGTATTGATAATTATGACAGTATACCCTCGTGGCTCAGATTCTACCAAATTTCACATTCCGATGCTGTGCTGTTCATGCCAAACTAGCACACACCCGTTGTGCCTTTGGCACAGGAAGCAAAAAGAGCGCTTCGCGCTCTTTGTTGGCTTCCTGGCCTTCAGCTTCATCCTACTTTGGGTGTCTTAATAATCATTGCAGGGTTTGAAATAAATTATATTTCATTCAGAGTTGTGATAAAAATTTCAAAATAAGTTACATACTTTGAGCAGGATTTTGACAAAAGTCAAAATACTATTGAATATATATATTTTCTCATCTGCTGTTGTGTCTGGTGTTCTGTGCCCCATCTCCTATGGATTACTGCCTGCTGTCCTCCTCCCATCCTGTTGTCCTCCTCCCGTCCTGTTGTCCTCCTCCCGTCCTGTTGTCCTCCTCCCGTCCTGTTGTCCTCCTCCCGTCCTGTTGTCCTCCTCCCGTCCTGTTGTCCTCCTCCCGTCCTGTTGTCCTCCTCCCGTCCTGTTGTCCTCCTCCCGTCCTGTTGTCCTCCTCCCGTCCTGTTGTCCTCCTCCCGTCCTGTTGTCCTCCTCCCGTCCTGTTGTCCTCCTCCCGTCCTGTTGTCCTCCTCCCGTCCTGTTGTCCTCCTCCCGTCCTGTTGTCCTCCTCCCGTCCTGTTGTCCTCCTCCCGTCCTGTTGTCCTCCTCCCGTCCTGTTGTCCTCCTCCCGTCCTCTTGTCCTCCCCCTTCCCCCTTCTCTCATTCTCCCATTCTCCTGTTTTTCCCATTCTTCTATTTTCCTGTTCTGTTTTCCTGTTCTCTGTTCTCCTATTCTCCTATTTTCCCTATTTTTTCTGTTTTCCCATTTCTCTCATTCTCCTATTCTCCTTTCCCATTTCCCATTTCTCAATTGTCTTTTCTTAATATGTAGTTGAATTTATGTTTAATTTCATAAATAATAAATGTTTTTCAATGAGTGCTGCCCTAACGGGCAGCGGACGCGTGACAGCCATGCGAGTTTCCAAATCGAGCTTTAAGCGAGGTAAGCGAAAACCACATGGCGTTTAGCGAAAAACGCATGACCTTTAGCGAAACGCACATGGCCCTACGCGAAAACCACGCGAGCGTCCGGTACTTCCCTCACCCATCCTCCCTTACTTTATAGATGGAAATGACGACGAAAACGACTTCGAAAACGCTACTGTGAACCTGGCTAGTATCAGCGACGGTATATGTACTGATTATGGGAACTCAGGTAGTTAGAAAAAATCAACACTTAAAGGACATGGAATATGGATTGGTGGGACATTGGAGTATTTTTTACAAGGAGTTCCATTCGAGACTGTAAAGTCAATGGGTCGGTGGTAAGGTGATTCCTTTGTCAGGTATTCGCCACATTTTCACTTCATGCAATCCCCTTTTTGTCAAGTGCAGCTCTATTCTACGTGGATAGCAGTAATGGACAAGTAGAGCGAATATAATGTCTTATCTAGTTACCACTTATCTCCTTGGCGAGCTGCTCAGCCTTGGACTTGACATCCTCGATCGTACCGGCCTGTTTAACGCATCAATGAACGCGACCCCAAATTTACACATGTGTGCGTACCATGTAAAATGCAGACTCAGGCAAGTTATCGTGTGTACCGGAAAGGATCTCCCTGAAAGAGCGAATGGTGTCCTTCAAAGGTACTAGCTTGCCTTCGTAACCCGTGAACACCTGTGCGACCTGGAAAGGTTGCGACATGAAACGCTGAATCTTACGAGCACGCTCGACCTAGTCTCCATCAGCATTACACCATTACTTCTGTCTTTGTATCACTGACCGTTAACTTGTCCTCTTCTGACAACTCATCCATACCAAGAATGGCAATGATATCTTGCAGAGACTTGTAGTCCTGAAGAATCTTCTGGACCGCGGTGGCGACCTCGTAATGCTCTTGACCAACAATACGGGGGTCAAGCATGCGCGACTTGGAGTCAAGGGGGTCGACAGCAGGGTAGATACCAAGCTCGGCGATACCACGCGACAGCACAGTGGTAGCGTCCAAGTGAGCGAAAGTAGTAGCAGGAGCAGGATCAGTCAAATCATCAGCGGGAACGTAGACTGCTTGCACTGAAGTGATTGAACCCTTCTTAGTGGTGGTGATGCGCTCTTGCCTAAATCCAAGGTCAAATGAATACTAGAGCGAACGCGGTAGTGCACATACATGCCACCCATGTCAGTCGAGAGAGTAGGTTGGTAACCGACGGCGGAGGGGATACGGCCAAGCAGAGCGGATACCTCGGAACCAGCCTGGGTGAAGCGGAAGATGTTGTCGATGAAGAGCAACACATCCTGGCCTTCTTCGTCGCGGAAGTACTCGGCAATAGTGAGACCAGTAAGCGCGACACGTGCACGTGCACCAGGGGGCTCGTTCATTTGACCGAAGACGAGAGCCACCTTGGAGTCGCCCTCAAGGTTGATGACACCAGTCTCAATCATTTCATGGTACAAATCGTTACCCTCGCGAGTACGTTCGCCAACACCTATCGAATAAAGGAAATAAGTCTAAGGGCCTGATGCGACCAAAAACAATCGAGTTTAACCAACCGCAGAAGATAGAGAAACCACCGTGGGCTTTGGCAACATTGTTGATAAGCTCCTGAATCAACACAGTCTTGCCGACACCAGCACCACCGAAAAGACCAATTTTACCACCACGGGCGTAAGGAGCGAGTAGGTCGACGACCTTGATACCGGTCTCCAAAACCTCAGCAGTGGTCGACTGATCAACAAATGGAGGAGGGTCGGCGTGAATTGGCGAGAGTTTGACACCTTTTATAGGGCCACGCTCGTCGATTGGCTCACCGATGACGTTCATGATACGGCCGAGAGTTGCGGTACCGACAGGAATTTGAATAGGAGCGCCGGTGTCGACTACCCTCTGGCCGCGGACGAGACCCTCCGTACCGTCCATAGCAATGGTACGGACAGAGTTCTCGCCAAGATGTGATGCGACCTCGAGGACAAGACGGCCACCGTGGAAGTCCTGAACCTCCAGTGCATTGAGAATAGGTGGAAGAGCATCGGTCTCGAACTGAACATCGACGACGGCACCAATGACGGTTTTAACGGTCCCAACAGCTCCCTTCACTTCTGTTGCATATGTCCGTGCTATAACCCGAGTTCACCCGGTCCAAATAGAAAGACGCGAAAATAGCCAGAAAAACTCAGTAAGCAGTAGAGATAACAATCCCAAAGTTGGAACTAACCGTGTTGCGCTGATGCACGCGTAGGACGAACGGCTGCGTTTTGCTTTTGGGAGGAGGAAGGAACGGCAACACGCGACAAAGAATAAGCAGCGGTGTTGACGAACCGGCTTGTGTTCCTTGCACTGTTGGCCGCTCTCCGTGAGAGGCGGGTAACGCCGCGGGCGGTAAGCATTCTTCTGACGAACGACGACGACGACGACGACAGATATAAAGTTGCGAGAGACACTTACCGACACACTTATTCACAAACGTGCGAAATTCAATTTCCGTTCAAAGCTCCGCTATCGGCACCAACAAACATTGCTCGGCGTTGTCCGCCATTCTGCGAGCAGAACCGGTTTCCGCCCGTCAGATCATCGGCAGAATCCAGACTTTTTCACCCTGTTCACCTTTCCTGGTCAGCTCAGAGCACTTTCTTGTGAGGTAGAAGAAAATTGTATAACCCCAGACAGACTCCAAACCATTGGCAGTGTGTGAGAGTCTCATACTAGTGCCACATTACCAGTTACATACTATTTCAAATCTTGCACCTTAATTCAAACACCGCAACTTTGGACTCTACACACCTAGTCAACTGGCATAAGTTGTTGTGGCATCAAGTTTGCCACTGTTTGCCACTACCAAAAATCCATCCAAACAGTTGACAAGCTGTAAGGTACACCAGCAGCTTAGCAATATAACCATCATAGCAGCCCCAGCCCCAGCCCCTGACTCGCTTATATCATCCACTCCAATAGTTTCTCACCTAAATTGGTTTGTTTGCGGCCTTGCACCTCTTCCTTTCTGTCACTTATTACATGCATGTATATATGTATTCTCTCACAGCATCAAGCCCAGAAATTGCTCAACAATACTGTGCTAATCTGGCCAAAATATCAATTCCTTTTTCCACTGTGTTTGGTCCAAGCAGATCCACCTGATTATAATCTGGTTGATGTATCCAATGTCGTCTTCATTGCAATTGTGAATGGCACATTTGTTTCCACAGTTATGCTTGATCACCAACATGTTTCCATTCACGTCACCATCAACCCAATTCAAACCCGTGAGACCTCAAATCAGTGAGTTCAGAGGGGGAAACACTGTTTCGTTCTCACAAAAGAAAGTGTAGCCATACTTGTTCTCCATCTTGTCCCAATGATAGACTGGATTGTAAGTCTTTCTACCACAGCTAGTGGAGGTGATGAACTTGTTAGTCCCCAAATGGTTTACCCAGTGTATAATTTCAAGGTGTGAGAGGTCTTCACATTCTACACCGTATATGTGTATGGGCACGGACACAAGATAAGGTTGTGTGGCCTTTGTCCCATAGACCATGCCCCTATATGATGTGCTATACGCCTATGTGGTGTCCTTTCATGAGTACCCACTCATTAACTGCATGTATGACACACTTACAGCTCTACTGTGTTTGATCAGGCCTTCTTGTATGTCGACACTGAGTAAGTCATCTGGCATGGGCTCTGGTGGGAGCCATACTGTCCAGTTCCTATTTGCATGGTATAAGGGACAAAGGGTGTTTCCACACTCTTGTGACAAACACTGCATTGAGTGTGAGCTCTCCATTATGTGTTGGACCGAGAAACGCTCATCCCATTCTAGTTTCAGGCTTTGGCCACTGTCATCTGCCACTTTGCGCCAACACCTTGGGCACTTTTCCTTGCAAGGTGCCCCCAGAAAGCTATCACTTGCTTCAAGGTGAAACTGGGAGTCCCTCATCATTCCCATGCCATCATCCTGTGAACCAAGCACTGATGCATGGCTCATCACACCCACGTGCATCAATGTCCACTCCGGATATAACACCACGAGCCCTCTGGCTGTCATCGCTACCATGTCAGCAGTAGTGTGAGAGGACAAGAGGACTCTCCAAGGATTGCCCTGTGTGGATTCGGACACTGTGATTTTGACCCCATTTCTACAAAATACGACCACATGTTTCACTGTGCACTGGAACCTGCTGTTCACCTGAATCTGTGCATCTTCACGTCAATATCGAAGGGTTTGTGTGATGAAAAACTCCACTGTGTCCATTTCATTTGCCATGACCACGATGTTGAGGTCATTGGGAAATATATCATTACCCAATAGCATCTTCAAAGCGCAACTTCCTGTTATCAATGTGCCTGCAGTGTTCAGAACATAGCGTAGTTGTGTGACATGGTGGCTGATGAAGGGCCTTACAATCTCGGTAAGCCGCTGCTCAATCACGCGCCTACCCACCACTCTCATGTCATGTGTCGTGTTCATGTACACAACCATGTCTGGGAGTGGTTGTATGTTTTGGTACATCAGATGCACAAGGGACCATGTCCTGAAAACTGGCAAAAGAAGGTCAGTACCAGACTTCCTCATCACAAATTGATTTCTTTCTTACATGTCATAGATCCGGATATCATCTGGTGGCACATTCTCCACCAACTAGTTGTAGGGTGTCAACATTGTATGTTTCATGCTACCAATTTACTGCAGACTCCAGCACCACCACCCCATTCCAGCCAGTGATTGCACCATGAGATCCTTCTAATTAAGCCCACCAAGAACGTCAAACATGATCATTCATGGAATATTTGGAATTGTGCAAGATCTATCCGATGAGATCACATAAATTGGCCCAATATATTGATATCCACTTATTCATGTCTCACTCTTGACTCACAGGGCCCAACCTCAGCAGTCTTTCTCATTCATCATTACTGCCTCCAAACTGACACTGTAACCCATATGTCACACATTAACTGTGAACTTCCTGGGCTCTATCTGGTTCTATGTGAGTTTTCCTATGATGAACCTCTCTTCTCGCTGATGACAGAGAATACAGAATAAAGCGAGACAGCATCTTCCCGCTTTTCCATGTACCACAACTGCACCTGTGTTTGGACAAACACTACAGAATATCCCATTGTAGACTTGTCTGATATTCTTCACGATATGCCCAATCGTCAGAGGTTCAAAGGTATGTGTCCACATGTGTTGCACTGATTGAATCTGAGGGTACTCTTCCTTACATAGACTTTGTTGCCTTCCTCATTTGAGAGGGCATCTTTATGTTTTTTCTTGATGATGCTGTGGAAGGGTATGCTCTGGCAGATGCATTCAATGCTGAATAGACCTTGTGTACAATGGATGCGCTCGCTCATGCATTTGGATAATGTAGGCCTATTAGAGTATTGTTCAATCCTGATTCCTTGGTTTCCCATACATAGCACATCACAATTGAACTTATATCAAATCACAAACATTGCTCCTGCGGTCTTCAAAACATGGGATTGGGGTCCCAGATCATTTCCCCCCTGCTCAGGAAAATAAGTCTCACAGATGTGCCATTGCAAGATCCAATGCTATGTTTTGGTCTATGGTTCAACGACTCTGTCTTGCCTCCCCACTGTCCGTCATCTCCACAACCACCATGTCTGTAGCATTATTGCAACTCTTGGATGTCTTTCATAGTGACACTGCCTTCATACTGAGTCAGTCATCTTTCTCATGACGAATCTGTCCTGACCCCCCAATTTTATAAGTATCACACACTGGCAGGGACTCTCCCCATTTTCATGTTTTGTCAGGCAGTGACATCCAGGCCTCTCCATCTCGTCCAGCTTTTCATGAGCCTGCACTCTCTGTGTTATTTGTCACTCAGCACTTGTTTTCCCATTGACCTCTTTTTGCCAGTAAACACATGTATCATACATAATACGATTTGTTCACAATTTCAGGCACAGTGTGGACCATTGCGCACAATCATACAGTGCACACTGTTTGCACTCAGGGTCTTGATCTAGCTGAAGTCCTAGCCTATGATGCCTGGTTGCTTCTTGATTTTGATTAAGGTGAAGGAGTTCAATGAGCACTGAGGCACTGACAGCCACCCACCCCTTGGCAAGCATCAGTCTGACTACTTATACAATGAGCAATACATTATGTTGCTTACTACTGATATACTACTTCATGCACATTCAGCATCACCTGGCATATGCTTACACACTTATACTGCACAGTGTCACAGTCAGTCACAATCATGTGAGGCGGTTACAATCCGCACAATGTCTACCTTATATCTAATACAACTTCTATGTGATTTCTTCCTGTGTGTCCTACAGGGTCCTTTCCCAGCACATGAATGGAGTGAATGTTTGCCAGGCACACAGTGCAATCTTCTGATGCATGTGGAGTTAAAGAGGATCCTCCCTGTCGAAACCTTAATGCATCTTTACTTTCATGCATCCATCAAACCTTGCTTCATGGTGCTGTCTTACCTGGAGATCGTGGCTTCTGACTCAGTTTTTGGGCTGTTCACACATGTACTTAAGTCCCAGAAAACTTGATTAGCTACAGACATACACCAAAAATGATCACAAGCAACCATAATGCAATGCACTCCATTCTTCATCAGTTATATACAGACACTCATGTAGCTTGCCACTCACCTGTTAATTATAATGTTGGACACCAGCATGTCATCCTTAGTCATGTCCATAATTTGGCCATCGACTCACGAGCTCTGCTTTACCATTAGAATACTTCCTTTCACTACAGCAGACCTGCCGTCATCCAGTACTATCCAATGCAATAGACAGTTCAACATAGTATTATCCTCTATCTTTTCGAAAAACACTGTGTAGGTTCCATTCAGAGCCATCATGGTGTTTGGAACATCATAGAATGTGCATTGTAGGTGTTGTCATGTGCATGTGACAGCGTTGAGTTCTTGCTGTTGTACCCAGTAGTTAACATATAGGTCGTTGAGCCTCGGTGCCCTCCTCATGCCATCAATCACCGGAATTGAGACCAAAAATGGCCTGTGGTATGCCATACCATAGAAAACACCCTTGAAGCACTGTAAGAATCTCTGCACAGTCACATCAGTGGCTATGGATATGAACTGCCGTCCCTCTCCTACTGGTCATTGACAGTGTATTTCTCTTGGAATGAATTTCACGTCTAACCCTATTTGGCAGTGTTAGTGACACACATTGATTGAATTTATAGTTGCACATATGGTTGGACACACCCACCCCTTCCACATTCCTTGACATGATAGTGAAGTTGTAGTGACAGACATTATTTGTGCAGTACCAGTTCAGCCACCATTCAACGTCAATGTTGTGGAATGTGTTTGTCACCGAGTCATCCGTGTCCCAGTTGATAGATTTGCGCATTTATCTCTCCTGGACATGATGCCATAGTGTGGGGCATCAGTTCTAGCACTCCTCTCCAATGAAGTCCATCCTGGTCTCCACTCTCAGATTTTCATTCAGATCACCAGCACAACTGAGTTTGTGGTCCAATCCAACCAAATTGCCTATGTGGGTGCAAATCACCACTCTCTGTTCCAGCCATTGTGGATAAAAGCATGTCACACCCCCTGTTGTTATGCATATCATGTCAGCAGTAGTGGGAGCATTTAAAATTAGGTGCAGAATGTGGTCTTTGTTGACAGGAGAGGCGAGTGTGATAATGTGGGTGTCCTGGCTATATTTGCAGAAATGTCCTATGCTGGTAGCTATTGCAGGGTGACTGACATGAAATATTGTGCTGTAACCCATGTTGTTGACTATGAAATTGTCCAGATTTTGGAAGCCTTCAACTGGCACTACCATGTTTAAGTCTTGCATAACCTGCTTGAATTCTCCAGTGAGTATGCATTGTGCACTTGATCCCGTTATTGTCATATCCCGCGTTCCGGACCCGGATGTATCACACACATCATTTCCGGATTTCCAGATCTGACCGACTTCTATCTATGTCCGGATCCAACCCACGTCTAACTTCCGTGCCTAATCCCTTTGTACGTTCCTATTCCAGTTAGACTATATTATTCTCTGTACCTCATTTCACTTCTGCCTTTATTTTCCTCTGTTCTCATCTCCTGGTTCATTTACTATTTTCGATAGACTAGTGTTTGACTTTTCTATAACATCCGTCCACAGCCTCGCATAGCTTCGGACTGCGCTGGCTTGTCCTCCATTAAGTCCTCCATAGTATATAAACCCTGTAGAATCTATGTACATCTTTAGTTCGAATATTATCTTAGACTCTGCTCATTCTCCCCTCCATTTGACTTGAGTTATTCTCTCGTCGACCTCCACTAGTCTTAGGGTCGATCCCGATAGACTTATCACCTCTGCCTCTACCTTTGGTAGTCCTCCACTGTTTCCTTTCTAGTTCGGCCATCGTCCGGATTAGTCTTATCACCTGTTCCCGAATGTCCACCGGAATTCCTGCACATTGGACAATCAGAATCTGGACATCGTCCAATACTTCCGGACATCGCCTGACGCCCTTTGGACATCGTCCATTAGCCTTTGAAAGCTAGGGGCACGTACTCGGGGAAGGGGCGCAGCACACGAGCTGAAGCCAAGCCCTTCGGATTGAACCTTTGAGCACGATCTTAACAGTTATCAGGCCTTTGGATTGACATAGTACTCTCTTGAAATTGTGGAAATCTTGACCCACAAATGATTCCAACAGCCTCCTGAAGCATCTCAGAATGACACTTTTCCCCACTTTGTGCAACCTCCAAGTTGTGCAACTTGTTGATGTGACATCAGATATCGCCATTTTATCAAGGACTTTCATGATGATATCTTCATTCAAATCACAAGCAACTGTCACCCAGGTCAGCATATGTTTATGCAGAAGGACAGGGTCTCACAGTTCATGTTTGATTGTGATGAAGGCGAGCCCTTGGATATGCAACTCCATTCCACAACAATCTTGATGGGTTTAGGGCTGTCTTTATGTGGCTCTTTCTGGTGTAACATGTTGTATTTCTCCTCCATTTGCAACATCCCGCTTTCAACGAGTTGAGACACAAACATATATTTCGAGCACAATCCTTACAATTTAGACACATCTATATAAACATTTGAGTGATTACTGTTTGACTTTGCCAATCACACTTTTACTCTCTATTCTTCAGTGAGCTCCATCGCTTGTTCACCATAAAGGTCATCATCATCCTCCACACCATCATCAGCCTTTCAAGATCCTTCTCCCTCATAATCAGTGTTGTCCACTGCAAACCTTTTCTTCACATGACCCTTGTCAGCGACATCAACTGCTTTGTGTTTTCCTTTCACATTGATGAAGTAGCTTGCAAACATCTGAGAACTGACCCCAGCATCAGGCATCAACTTCATGGACTTGAGCATGACCTGGTAACACCTAGATCTGTTCTTGTCCTCATGAGCACTATTTTCCTGTTTGCTTGGGGAAATAGTCCATCTATGGCTCTATCAGATTTTTGACAATGATAAGCTCAAGGTTAGACTTACAATTTAAGCTGGCACTCTAATAAGACAACATCACCAGTTTTGATCTTCGAGCAGTATTCATGAGGTCCAATGAGAACTCCATGGCCATCTCAGATGTTAGGCGCAATGATAGTGCATTCCTGCAAGTGATATTGCCCAATGACAGCCACATAACGACCCAATGGGTTGGGTAAATCAGATAGTTGCTGCATTCCTGCTGCAGTAGTGTAAATCTTGATGAACATTCTTCCACAGGATATCACTCACAGTGTAAGGTTGCAGCTAGGAGAGACCCTCCTCCTGGAGGGCCACCTGCTGATGCAGCAGCTTTCACCTTAGCTAGAGTTATTACTGGTGAGTGGCAATGCAAGGGCAGAGAGAGAAGTGCAACATACAAGGACTTTGTGTAGTATCACCTTCCACAAGGATGAATAGCATCAATTCAAATGTACTTGCATGGACTCAACAAGCAATATACATACCAGCCAATATCTCCACATCTCAAACATGGGACCGAAGCCCAT